TCAGGGGTCGGGCACTTAGGATCATCATGTTGAAATGATATCCTTTAAAAGTCCAAAACCAGTAGACCTTGGATATACCAGAATCTCTCCGACCACTTTGATATCAATCAGGTCGAAATATGTGCGAGGAGTGGAACCCTGACATTTTCGTCTGATCAGAAGAAAAAAAAACCGGGGTTAGCAGACCTTGGAGGGGAGAAAAGGAACCATGGGGCCTCAGGGGAAATTATATTTGAATGGCAGGTGGTGCGGAATGCATCTCCCCCAAGGTTTCTCATGAAATCTGTGGGGCTGCCAGGCTTGTTATTCTCCCTGACGTGCCCTGTCCTTTTACCTGTTCAAGGTCGAGCCAGGGGGTTATGAAAATCCTAACCTGGGGTTCGACACATTCCGCCTGACAACTATCAACGCCTGGGCAACACATACTTGCTTTGTCGTTTCTATGATTCTTAGTTGTGATCGTCCATTGAACAAGCCACTAACCTGTGCTTGATTGGATCAATAGGACCGGTTTCATTTCTCTGACTCTCATTGACTTATCCGTTTGGATGATTCTCTGAAAGCCTTTGAATAGCCTTTTCCTTCCTACTAACCCTTTGATTAATTACTTTTTACTCAAACTTGCTTGGAGGTTCAATCGAACACGTTAACTCGTGAAGTGTATGTTCAATCCTTGTTGCACGTTCTCTCTCCCTCCCCTGACGATCAATCTCCCCCCCTACATAGGGTTGTCCCACATTCCAAAGTACAGGACTAGGGGTGAAGACGTTGACTCGTGCTTCATCTGTCGGACTGGTATCCTACAGAATCTTAATTCATCGGATCATTCCTGTGTGCTAGCCTAGATGCCAGACTCACCGTCGCGGTAAGGGTTGCATTGTACCCTCTGCCCGAAGGTCTCTATCTGGGTCAGTATTCTCCGAAGGAGTTTAAACCACCCTATATCTGGCTGATATCTAACGGACGCGGCTTCCCATTCCCTTTACCTCACTTCGTTCACTCTCTAACACGTTTTAATTCTAATACCTACTAATCACCTAATCGGCGGTGTCACTCGCTAATATCTTAATTCCTTCCGAACAGCTTTCATTCCTTTTTGAAGTCTTCCTCCCGGTATCCCGCCTTGTCTTTCCAGCATCTCCAGACTATTGTCTCGACGCTGTCCACTCCTTAATCTTTCCAACTACCATTCAGTCATTCATTTCAATTCACCACGTCTAATTTGACGACTGTCATTCTCTTCATCTCCGTCGTTGCCTGAAATACTCGCCATTTCAGGTTCAATCTTTCGGTACTCAGCAAAGCTAATCAAGTCTCGCATCGCACTTTTTCACTCCGGTTACCCCCCAAATTTTTCAATTCACCATGGAATACACACGCCCCCGGTCCAGCTATCAGCCTTGTGATACGTTCTTCATCGAAGATGACTACCGTCTGCGTGCCGAGAAGCAGGCCAAACAGGAGCACGACAAGCTCGTTGCTCGTGAGCGGCAATATGCTATCGCGGATCAGCTGTCCAGACTCGCCAGCGATGAGCTTCGGGATGATGTCCTGAGCCACATGATGGAAATGGATGTGAGTACTAGTGACAATGCTCAATTGAAGCTTAGCGGGTTATTGACATCACGTGACTTAGGGCCAAACGCTGCCGGACGTTGAATCGATTGATATTCAGACCGAGATCCAGTGGTTCATGCGACCGTACCTTTTGGACTTCCTGATTGAGGCTCACACTGCCTTCCAGCTGCTGCCATCGACACTGTTCCTGGCCATCAACCTCTTGGATCGTTATTGCTCCAAGCGTGTGGTCTACAAGCGTCACTACCAGCTTGTTGGTTGTGCAGCCCTCCTCATCGCCGCGAAGTACAATGACAAGAAGGATCGGGTTCCAACAGTCAAGGAGCTCAAGTCGATGTGCTGCTCCCTCTACGATGACGACATGTTCATCCAAATGGAATGGCACGTCCTGCAGACCCTTGGCTGGACCATTGGACACCCTACTGTGGATAGCTTCCTCCAGATCGCTGTCCTGGATGAGCCTTACGACCCTGAGGTGGAACACATGGCACTTTACATTTTAGAGATTGCCCTCTTCCACCGGGACTTCGTGTCCAAGCCGTCGTCAGAGCTTGCCCGGGCTGCCCTGGCATTGTCACGCTGTATTCTTAACCGACCCCAGCCTCGTCACACTCACTGGGCCTCCCAGTACGATTCGATGACGCTTGTCGGTTTGTCTCAGCAACTCCATCAGCCATCCGCTGTCGTTGCCCGGAAGTACGCATCCGCCCACTGCTCCCGTGTTTCTAAGGTTTTGGAGCACTTCCTCAGCCGCCAGGCTTCTTTGGCCAACTATGCCCGTTGCACTCCTCCGGTCGAGACTCCTGTGGAGTCCAAGCCATACAACGGAGAAATGGGCCTTGCTACCCCTCAGAAGTCACAGCAGTTGACTGTGCCCCATGGGTACCTCACCCCACCCATCACACCTGAGAATGTGGTATTCGCACAAACACAAATGGCCACTCATCCCGCTGTGAACGCTTGCTCGCCATCGCCTGCTCCATCCGCTGAGATGCAATACATTCCCACTGATGCTTACCAGCAACAGGAGGCAATGTACATGTCTCAGCAGCAGCAATTGCAGCAATTCCCTCCACAGCCCCAGATGGTGGTCGACCCGGTCTATGCTGGTATGATGTAAAAAAAGAAAGGCACGACAGAAGAAGCAGCCTTCCAAAAGTTTTTTTTTTGGCGTCTTGCACAACTCTTCGGTGCAATCTTTTCATTTCATCCTGACCGCATAGACTAATTGAGGGAGCGTCTACTTTTATTGTTGGCTCGTTCGACTCCGCTGAGAACACCCTAATCCTTGGCTGTCGACACCACTATCTCTCGACTCTCAACCTCATCGCCTCTACCATTCTCTTACTTCAGCTTTGCATTCGGCTTCGGTCTACAGAACCGGAGCCGAGACCAGCCTGTTTTTTTTTTCTTCTTGTTCCAAAAATTGCATACCCTTCCTTTTTCTTGTTCCCATACTTTTTGGGTCATCATCTGCATTTTTGATCTCATTACACATAGCATTGCACGAGCGAGCCTTTACTGTTTACCATCCGATTTGATTGCATTTGTTATTTCCCTCCACTCACCAATTTCGCTTCTTCCGTCGAGAAATCCTGACAAACCCCTCGACCTATTGTTCACCTGCTGCGCGCCTGTTGGCGCTGCGCCTTTGCATCCAACTACTACCCACCCACGACGATCTTTTCGCAGCATGGCTGCTTCAAATACACCCCGCCCCCTGTCACCCTTACCCCCACCCCCTCAGAAAAAAAGCCTTTAATGTGTCGCGCCTTTCGCCTTGGGCTTGCTACCCGCAACCTCATGGGTGAACTATCACAACTCCCATGTTCTCGATAGGTCACAGGCCACAAAAAAAGCAAAAAAGAGAGAGAAAATTTGCAAAAAAGAAGTTCTGCGGTCTCCTGTGACTACTCGCTTCCGAGACCTAAAGATTGAAACCAATCCCCCCTTTGCCCCCTTTGTGTATCTATTTTGAAATGGCCCGTTTCTTTGTTTGCTCTTTCTTTACATGTATGAAGAGCTCAAGGACTGGTGCCTTGTCTTGATTCTTTGTGGATTCGAGACTGCCACAATTCCCACCAATGATATCCAATTTAGTGGACCTTTTTTACTTTTCAACCTTCTGCGTAATCTCTCAAGCACTTGAGTGCTGAGTCCCGATAGGTAAATATTTACACTAGCCCTGGAGATGTCTCCCGACTCTCCAGTCCAAAGGTTTTCAATGATCACATGCATGTGCATAAATGTCAACTGGTCAACTGGTACTGGTCACCTTCAAATATTCAAATGTTACAATGTGTGTCGTACATATATGTATACGCACCTTTTGAAGCCCAGCACCTGGGTGCACATGTGCTCAGGTTGAGCCCCGTGTACATATGTACATATGTAGATTGATAGGAGGTTAACAAATGCTCAAGGGACCTGGTGTACATAGAAGTTGACTTTAGAAGAGCACTGGCCAATCGAACATTCAAATGTTTTAATAGGGGTTGGAATCAATCTCCTCTACCTGTAACTTTCAATCGATGTTGGAACAAATGTTCGAAGATTCAAATGTTTACGCACGCGTAGTATGTACTAGCTATATCTACCCGGAATGTGTGTATGTATATTTGGGGCGTGTCTCAAGGGCAGATGTTCCAGAGGAAAACCAAATTTACATAGAACTTGTATGTTCATATCATTCAAAAGGGCTGATGTCCACTTCGGCATGGAACTTTGATAAACAAGACCGTTGGCAACATAGAGTTTATATTTGAACTCGTCTAAGAATGGATGATCAATCGTTATACATATATGTTTATTAGTTAGTACAGATGTTGAAATAGGAGTTTAATAGAAACACATGTCATCCTCATGCTAACACATGCCCCGTGACCCACTAAGCCTAATCGGGATAGATTGATGCCTTAATTGGCCTTATTCTGCCTGAGGTAGCAATGCCTTTAGACCGCTTCCCTCACCGCCTTTCATCGCTGTCTTACCACCCTAATACCTGAATCCTTAGGCTATAATATTAAAATCTAGTACTAAAAAAGTATATAAATCCTTACTTGATAATAGACTTGATAATAGACTTGATATTGGACTTGATATTGGACTTAAAGACTTGAGAAGTAGGGGCTGTATCGCTGACTTAGCAGCAGCACTAATGCCTGACTGATGCCCGATTTCTTTTTTAAGGAAATGTACATCTTTTATAGCACATGACTTTTTTTCTGCCGAGGCAGGGCTGGCAGAAAAAAATAGCTGTCCCGATTAGGCTTAGTGGGTAACGGGGCATGTGTTAGCATAAGGATTACATGTGTTTCTATTAAACTCCTTGAAATATGACACTCGGCCTCAAACACACGTGATTCGCGGGCTCAATTCACCCGCGCCGCCCTTCTCCATCCACTTGGGTAAGCAAACCAACAATGAAGCTGCAATTGCATGTATGGGGCCCAGCCTTTAATTTGCCCTCAATTGAGGCACAATGCTTGGCAGCTATCGCATACTGTTCCTTAACCCTGCCCGAGGGCTCATGGGAGCTTGTCGCAAGCAGCGATCCCTCCATCTCCCCTACGGGTAAGTGACGTGATGCAGCTTGGCCGCGGAACATGAAGAAGACAGGTGGCGCAGATCACAAAGGCATGAGAAGAAGCTGACCGATCATTTACCTTCCAGGTGAGCTGCCTGCTCTTCAGAATGGCTCAGTTTGGGTGGCCCGATTCCGCAATATCGTTGACTACCTGCGGAAGTACTCGAACGGAGATTGGGACCTGGATAAGGACTTGAGCGATTCAGAGAAGGCCGACAACACTGCGTATGTCAAATCGATAAGCCCACGCTCAATCAAATTGAAACGGTCAGCTAACATGCTATCTTGTGTTGATTAGATTCTCCTCTTTCATCGAATCCCGCGGCCAGGCTCTCATCGATCTCTCTCTGTACGTGACCAGCCAAAATTACAACGCCAACACATCGCCCGCCTACGGTAGTCTGTTACAATGGCCCAACCAATGGATCTTCCCTCCAAAATTGCACAGCGCTGCCAAGTCTCGCACCGAGCATCTGGGTCTCTCGTCGTTGGACCTGCAGGCCATGGAAGATGAGCGCCAGCGAAAGCAGTCGGCTGCGATAGCCACCGGTCAAATCCCGAAGAACTTTATCCAAAGCCCACGCGAAACTGTCTCCGGGCTTCTGGGCCGAACAGCCCAGCAGAACCATTTCCGTATCGATGCTCTGACAGGAGAGTTTTTCGAACCATTAGAAGCCATGTTGGGTCAGAAGTCTTATTTGCTGGCCGCAAATGAGACCGACCTCCCAGCTAGCCTGGACTGCATCGCGCTCGGCTATCTTTCCCTCTCGCATATCTCCGATCTCAGCCAGCCCTGGCTTCACGACGCCATGCGCGCCAAGGCCCCGCTGTTATCGGCTTACACGGAGCGTTTGCGCCGTCGTTGTTTCGGTCAAGCCCCAGCTGAAGTGGCGCATGCATTCACGCCGCAATCAGCTCCTCCATCGTCATTGCCCTGGAGTGCACCCGGTCGTCTTTCGGTGGCTGCTGTCGGTAGTACTCTCATCGCTACCTTGGCAGACTCCACACCCTTTGTGCGGGATATCCGCATGAATAACCGTCTGAAGAAAGAGGCCGAGTCGGCATTGGACCTAGATCCAGTAGAACGCCGGGCCGTGTCTATGTTTGCCGATGCTAACAAGAGAGACATGTATGTGTCTATCGTGACTGTTGTGGCTGGTACCGCCGCTCTGGTGGGCTACCTGTTGCACGCGGGTACACTCGCCGTGTTCACACAGGGCGAAGAAGAAGATGAAGAAGAAGAAGGAGAAGAAGGAGAAGAAGAAGAAGACGACGAAGAATTTGAAATCATCGACCCAGGGCAGGCGAGTGACTTCCTGGGTAGTATTAGCGCGGACTCTTTCTAAGGCTTTCAGCGTTGACGAAGCGATATTACAATTGTCATGCATTGGCAGCATCTCCCCTCGTTCCCCGAAGAATGAGTGTTTTATTATTCAAATTTCTCGAAGCGACACCTGAAACAAAAGTGTACTATAGACCAAATCACATGCATTTTCTTTCTCCTTGCAAGTATATTCAAGTTGTTCTATCTGTATTACTTGCCTTGCTGTCTGCCATCTTCTCTGTTCATTCTCTATTCATTCTCTATTCATTCTCTTGCTTGTAGAGAGCATGGCCTTGCAAATGAAGAGAATGACTTGAGGGTGTCTTCATGAAACTCTCCAAGCACTTGATCCTGAGCTTTCCAGATGTCTTGATCAAAAAGACATGTACTGAGAACCTGAACCACCGTTTTGAAGAGTCTCTGGCGCCATGTTTGAAGCCAACCGTGCCGATTGCTGTTCGAAAAGAGGTTTGTCCATCGTAGATACGTTTGCTGATCCCGAAGTCGCCAACCTTGACCCACCAGTCTGGGCTTTTCTTGACTAAAAGTCTGTTCTTATATATTAGTCTAACAGACAAGATGTTAGACAGTTCAAATGCAGTTCAAATGTGACTTTCAATAATTTCTAAGGTCATTGGTAACATTAATCAGTACATCGATTGATGTTTAGCCGAGTCCGTTCTGATGACAAAGTATACAAATAGCCTGATACACGTGGATTGTCCAGTTGTCCAACAATACGTAATACCGAGTCCATTGTACATAACTGTGAACAAGATGTGCATAAATTCAAGCAAGATCCAACATTTGAATCCAACTTGAAAGTTTAGAACTAAAAACAGTCACAGGAGGTGCTCAGATGTTAAACATGGTACTAATTGAAAGTTTGGTCTTTGGTCGTATTTTTATCTGAGACATCGGGCCCATGTTCCTGAACTCGCGTTTCCAAAGAACCTCCGTTTCATCCTAGGTAAAACGGGTAATCTTCGACTCTACAACCCACATTTTCTCTATCTCTCTCCACTTGTAGCAGCCGGCACGATCAGCCAGCCATACAGCAGCCATACAGCAGCCATACAGCAGCCGCGATAAGAGCCATGACCTCACCACATACACGTGGCTGCGCAAGAGCCCCCTTCCTTCTTCAGCTCCGAAGCACTGACGCTGACACAACGGGAAAAAAAAAAAGGTAAAGTAAGACAGCCTCAAGAAATAGAAAACCAATGAGAACAAAGACCAAAAATACTAAAAAATACTAAAAAATACTAAAAATCAATAGAAAAGATTAATGAAAAAGCAAAAGGATAAAAAAAACCCCCCAAAGCCTGTTTCTTTCCTTGCGGGGGCTCCACTCCAACGCTGGGCCAAGTATGGTTGTACGTTGTACAATCTATACTTCCAAGACCAGGGCCTTAGGCAAGGCTGCAATCCAATTATGCAATCTAAATCGGAATTTCCCTCAAAACCGATGACGCCGAGACATCAGTAGCTTCGACCAACGGCTTTCACGGATAGCAGCACGCCCTACCCTACCTCGTTTAGTTTATTAGGCTTATTAGTTCATTAGTCCGTTTAGTGGCCTCATCATCGTTCACAGACCCCGGCCGAACTAGGCAAATCCAAACAAAGACTAGAACCAAGCCACGGAGCTTAGCTGAGCTGACCTGATCTGACACCCTAAGCCGAAACGAAACAAAATTAAAGCTGGGCAGAAGCTCCATTCCTGGAATTAACGGTCCCGTGGGGGTAGCTCAAGACACTTGAATCTGTGGACTTGGGGGACTTGGGGACTTGGTTGAGGTAGAGAGGGGGAAGCAGGAAACCTTGAGTCACCCGAGCCCTCCAATCGTAGGTCATACATATGTACCGATGACTTGGCTATGGGTGGGCCAAGGCTCACATTGACCAACGTGTAGTACATTTCCACCGAGAAGCGCTCAGGCCAGGACGGATCCAAACATGATTCATGAATGAATCATGATGATTATCGTTTTCTTTCATAGCCCCATCCTATCCGCATCCCCAGTTCCCCCTTCTTTTTTATCAGCCGTTTCGTTACCCGGCGAATCGGCGAACCGGCGATATATTGCCGGGAGAGTTATGCACGTGGATGAGGGGAAAGTTGCAAAGTTGAGCGTCATTGGAGTCCAACGGGATTTGTCAAAGGGTAGATAACGCCATGCAAGGCCATATCGCGCTTCTACGATTTAGGGATATGTACGCATTACATATGTACGGTTTACTATTTTAATCAACGGTGATGATTACATTTCTGATTTGCATTTCTGATTTATATTTTTTAGACTTTGCATTTGTTTTTGTTTTTTTTTTTACTGTTTGGGATTTAAATTCCCTTTTAATTGTAATCGACTGCGCCACGGGGGATCGGGGCGGGATGCGGTAAGAAGTAGATCGGACCACTTTGATCGTCCATGACTACCATTATCCCTTATGGAGTCACGCCCTATACACATGCAGCTAACCCGGGCATGCAATCCGGACTCGGAGGAGTAACACCCCCGTAGCCTTGCAGCCCATAGGCTAAATCTGTAGGTTGCAACTTTATCATCGTTGCCTCAAGGCATCCGTATTTCCGCCAAGTTTGGTTGGAAAATAAGAGCTCATATCTCCAAGGCGTTGCTTCGCTATTCCCAGTTGATTTCCATCTACCGGAACAACCTTGTGCAAATCTAGAAAAACGTAAATGTACGTGGTCACGGGAGTGCTGGTGAAACACGGAGGGACTGCCTGTTTCATCCCGTGGATTTTCTGCAGCCACTGCAGCTACTGCAGAAACAGCAATTAAATCCCCGAAACCTGGAAAGAGAGTGAAACTACTGGAAAATCCCGGGGGTGGAGATAATGCACGACATTCAGAAGATAAAAAGATGAAAAGATAAACAGATAAAAAAAAAATGACAAATTGCTCTGGGGTATATTAAGTCTATGATACATGCCGTTGATTCAGATTCGGCCCAATGCGGCTAAAGAACGAGAAGGAAAACAAAGAAAAAAAAATTACAAAAAAAGATCCGTCAAGATGGCCAAACAGTCATGGCATGCAAAACAAGAAAGCGAGAAAAAGAAAGAGAAAAAGAAATAGATCGGAAATGCGGAGATTCAACGGAGAATGATGCAAAGGTGATCGCAATGCAAATCTGGTTTCCAAAGGACGAAGGCTTGCTTGCCGGTCATTCGTCGAATGCATCTGCAGAAGCAATATTCTCCGCATCTGCGCGTCAAAGCCATCAGAAGCTCGCGAATAGATTGAACCCCGCACCGGGAGATGCGTCGCGAAACTTGAAACTTGAAACTTGAGACGCTGGAAGCGAAAGAAATCCAGAAAAGATGATTGGGAGAAAAAAAAAGAGATAAAGAGAAGAAGAAGAAGAAAAAAAAAACACGAAAAAAAAATTAAAGTGGCTATGCGGGAGACATCAAAGGGTGGAGAAAATCCTAGCGCCGGCGCGGAGTCCCCAATCCCAGGTCAAGACCGAAAAAGTGAGATTTGTGAAGAAAAATGAAATATGGGCCACCCGGAACTGAGCTCGTATTTGTGAGGAGCTGTGGGATTTGGGACCGATTCTCGTCTCTTTAGGGCGCGGGGTCGAGTTTCCTGTATGCTCCGAATCTGCTCTGCTTTTTTTGGGGGTTGGGTGAAAGCGAGTGATAGAAAGAAAGGCCAGGGTGCGCGCGCCCTGTGTTTTGGTTTTCGATACAGGGTTGGTGGTATCGTAAAAGAGAGAGGGGCCGGGGATGGTGGAGAATTAAAATGGTAGTTGATCCGAGAACAAAGAATCGTCAAGCCGAAACCAGGTCGAAAGTCGAGGTCATTCATATCCATGCCGGAGAGAGAAGGCCTCCCAAGGGGGTCGTGAGCGGACGTTCAGGATTGAACGAGCGCCAGAGTCATGACAGTTCATTGGGGAAAGGTCTTGTTTATTTCGGCAGTGGAGGGAGAGGGCCCTTGGGTGGAGGACCGGGGCAGGGAGGGAACTGAGAAGATCCGACGGAAGGCATGTTGATTGGAGAGAGGTTGGTGTGGTGTGGTGTGTTGTAGTGTTGTAGTGTTGTAGTGGTGTTGGTGTTTGGGGTAGTGAGCCTTTTGGTTTAGAGGAAAAAAAGTTGTCTTGGGGAAGTGATGATTTATCAAAGGAAAAAAAAGCGAGGAAGTGATTACTCTTATAGCAGAATCCCAAAATGATTACAGTAGGACTAAATTACTAGTGCCGAGTAACTAACCCTTTCCCAACTCACATCCCTGCCATGAACAGGAGGCTGAGGATCCACCTGATCTGACGTAGGAATTAATTACGATTGACTCCGATGAATAATGCAGCCCCAACTGGAAATCCAATGGAAATTCTCTAGTTTTTCTAGAAGCTCCCCACTCGGGACTCCCGTGTGGCGTTTGCCTGTCGTTGGTGAACCACTAGTGGATTAGGGTATAGGGGGTGGAGTTGTCTTTTTTCTTCTTTTTTTTCTTTTCTCGGTTTTTTTTCTTTTTTTTTCTTTTTTTAAATTAAAGACATTTCACAGTCCTGATTCAAATTGATATTTTTTTTTTAAAAAAAAAAGTTCCATAAATATGATTCCTTGATTCTTTATTTTCTCTCTTCCCCTACACCCGACTCTTCATAACCAGGGTTGTAAAGCTACAAAGTCCTCGCGTCGTTTACCTGGTTTCACGGCGTAACTTCCCAGCAAATAATCATCCGCATGAAACCACGCGAGGTGACAACTGGTAATGGGCAATCTCCCGTGGCTCCACCAATGTCTCCATCAGGACCGATGCGGTGAGCGGAGGAAACGGATGCGTATGATTATATGATTATTTTGATTACTATTTGATTTGAAAATAATATATATATATAAAAAAAAAACCACAGAATTTGTCAAGACTTAATCAGAAGAAATAGGATAATTTCCCTGGTGCAAGTGCAACCCCATGTTCAGTTTCCCAAGGCAAAAAGTCAAAGAAAATAGGTCCAAGCACTGAGTCAACTGAACCTAACATTTGAACGGGAATCGCCAGATCGAGAGAGAAAAGAGGTACAGAGAAAAAGCAGTAAGCAGTAAGACGGGGTCGGGACAACATGTCAAGGGTCCATGAGATGTACACGGAATTGTCGATCGTAAAAGATAAAGAAAAGACAGAAAAAATACAGAAAAGAAACCGAAAATCAAATCAAAAGCCTCGAGATTACCGGGTAATGGCCGATTCGTATGGTAACTTTGCTCATCGGCTCAATTCGTGGCGCAGGGGCTGAGTCGTGTTGCAACTGATATGACACGTCAGTATGCCAAACAGTATAGATAACGAATATCATTCTACTCTGTACCTTGATTCTTTTTGCCTGTTTATTTCTTTGCTTTTTTTTCCTTTTCTTTCTCAAATTAAACTCATATCTTATGGAGCTTTGAGTATTATTATGTCACTTATTGGAGTATACATCCGATAGTACCAAATTCAAAAATTCCAAAAATTCCACAAAAAAAAACTGAAAAAAACCGAAACTCGAACATCACCGTTCGGATTTCCTTCGGGACCCATCACCATCCATGGTTCATACCCGTAAATCTGTAACGCCCAGCAAATAGAGTGCGGGTGATTGAACCTATTCCTGTAACCCCCTTTTTTAACCTTTAGCGACAGTCACTTTGGAAGAAAAGCCCTATCCCAAGATTTCAATGTTGCGGTCCTGACTCGTGCGTGAACGGAGAACATCACCGAACCTTCTCCGTTAGAGGAATAATCGTGGCTAGTGTGCAAGAAATACATTGGCAATCGGCAGCATCCTAGCGTAGATTGCATATCGTCATTTTATTCTCATATCTATGTAATCTATGATGTACAAGGGTATATTCAGTATATGTACAGAGTATACACAAGGACAAAGCGCAAATTTTTGAAAAAATTAGACGGATGATCGTTCGTATGTACCCATCCCAAAGCGAATCAGGACACAGTATGGCAGTTCATCACAGACGCAACCCGGTTGATCACGTACATCACGGGGGAAGGGGGGGGAGACTGAGGGGTAGATCGGTGTTTCAAAATAATAGGATCTACCTGCAAGCTGTGGCGTGGTCCCCCATTGCGTGCTTAAATACGGAGGGGACAGGATATTGATTGCAGCTGAAAATACTCTACTTCGTACACACTGAATGGCCAAGGGAAAGAAAATCATCGTCCGATCTCTTTCTCCAAATCGGAGACGTCAAAGTCTCCGAGAACCCCGGAAGGTTATGATCTCCGCACTCCCGAAATCCTATTCGTACAATAAAAAGGGAGATCAGAAAAGAAATTCAACATTTATTCTTCCCAATCAGACAAATGACAAATAAGACAAATCCTGCGAGCCACATGACCCCAGCCCTATATGGTAACGTGGTATGGTATCAGGAACGGGATTTGAAACGGTACCTGGACAAACCTTGCAAAGTGGCCACAGAACACGGGTACCTGGCATAAGTTCGCGGCTTAAGCGGTTCCCACAATCCCCAAAGAAAGAGAAAACACTAGTAATAAGTGGAGAACCAGGGTGGCGACAGGGGACAGAAAACGGGAAAATAGCAGGACAGAGGAAAAATTGGTCACGCTAACGAGTTCCAAACTTCAATAACGACTCAAATCGGGTTTAGTGAGGTACACGAGTCCCCACCGTCGATGGAGCAGTATCCATCTGTCGTTCCGCACCGTTGGAAATAGGTGTGGAGGCCTTCGGGGAAAAGGAGTGTGTGCGATTGGAAATCGGAGGATTTTTCTTTTCCTTCTTCTTTTTTTGGTTTCTTTGATGGAGATGAAGGTTCAGCGGGTGCTTTGGGAAAGTTCTTTGTTTTCTGAATCTCTTCCAGGATTCGGGGAAGTAGATCTTCAGGTCGAATTACCGTTTTTGGTTCGGTAGCGGGAACTGCACGTGGTGAATATCCACGAGATCCACGATGTATCCATACAATTCCAGAGAGAACATAATGTACGGAGAGTACGGAGTACTTCAGTACACGGTTGGTGCCAAGATTACCGGTCTGATCGCGAGACATTCGTCACCAGATATTTTGGAATTCCATTTCTACCCGACCAGTCAGGGGTGTGTATTTTTCGTTTATCTATCTTTTTCTCTTTCTCTCTGTCTCCCGTGGTATGGATTGGTCACCACTGCCGTGTACACAGACACTCCGAGATGCCGTGGTCACGGGAAGAAAGTGGAGGGCACGGGTGGTTTCAAATTATGCTCCACTGGATGTTGTTTCTAGTCTTCTACATCTTCTGGAAAAAGAGCCGAGGTCGCCACATGCGATATGCTTGCAGCCGTTCATGGGAGACCCAGATGAGTCTGAACCGCCTTTCCGAGGGGAAGTGAAACCCGGGAAACAAAACCCAAGTCATGGTGCGGCGTGCAGAATTCGAAATTTTGCTAACCGAACCAAGACATGGCAAACCGAATCTTCTCAGCTGGGTACTGCCGGGGTTTGATGTCTTATGATGTGCGTATATGTATACTATCTCCACAGCCACAGCTGTGGGCGAAAATAAAATCCCTCTCTCGGCAATTGTAATCTGGGCGGTTCCAGAAACCTGGCCATGCACATCGACCCAGGGAATGGCATACATATCCGCCACCTGCGTAACAAAAAGCCTTCCACCGACACACTGGGATGTAAGTTATCCGAATAAGCTGACTGCATCCCCAGGGCGCACTGCAGCGGCCCGTTCGTCGATGATCAGGGCATTGGTCGTCATGGGAAATGACGCGTGACAAGGAGCATATGCGCTATGACAAAATAAGAAGCCTGTTTCTCAGAAGAGAGGTCTCAGCGCGACAAGTGAAGAGGCATTTTTCGGTAGGGCTGCAACTCTGTATTTTAGGTATGTGTGACAGGAAGACCTTTGGTTGATCACGCCACCACCGCAGGTGTCCGTGTAATGCGGAGAAAGCTTGATCGTGAAGAAAACCACCCCCTCCTCCATGTTTCAGACGAGGGGCTTCAGACCAAGACACGCTTAATTCTCGCCGGCGTCTTGTGCTTGCGTTGAAATCCATTGCTCCATCAATGGCTGCTTTGGCTCCGAGTTTGCAACAACTGGCCTTGCTTGGTTACCCTTACGTGAAATCAGCAGGCACAACACCCATCCCGAGATATTGAAGCTTTCATAGTGGGTGCTGAACCCCAGCTTTTTCTCATCCGTATCTTCAGTCTCCATTGCGCCCGTGGGCTGGTTGTTCCTCTTTCTCTTCCGCGACGGCTGATCCTGGTCTGTATTGCCATCATCGGTCGCCTTAGGGATATCGCTCAAATTTAACTCAGGATCGCTGTCGCTGTCGATGACTTCTGCATCTGCAGGGTCAGCTACGGTGAAAAGTGTGTTCGATTCTCCATCCTCTTCTTTTTTCCCCGGCTGTTCGAAGGTTTTGGTTCGTGTCAAGAGGGAATGACGAGTGCGCGATTCGCGAAGGAAGATGCCGACTTCGAAATCATCTGTACACCGCGGTGATTTAGCCAAAGTTCAAAATTTCTCACAGGGTGGTTAAAAGGAAAAGAAAGAAAAGACGATTGTACCTTCAGCGATGACATCCTTGGTGACTTTGCTCTTTTTTCGAAGCCACCGTCGCTCATTCTCTTCGCGTAGCTTCGGTAACACCAAAGGGCGGATCACGTCGAAAACGCGTGGAAGAACAGGATCTTGTGAGTTAAGAAGCCATCGACTGTCAGAAGGGTTATCGAGATAGATTCGACATTCAAGCACGGAATATTTGGTGATGCGTAGGTAACGGCGGATGGGAGCCATGGTGACGTAGAGATAGGGATCATGAAGAAGCTCGGGCGCAAGGTGAGTTAACCGCTGCCAAGCTTCGCCCCAGAGTGTTCTGATTGGCGATTGGGGGGAAGAGCGTCAATCATCCCTGACACCTTTTTCTTTTAACTTGAACCTGACGACTATTGCAAAGACCAACTTTCTTCACAACTTTGGCCTATTTCCAATTGCTTGCATGCTTGCAATTCTAATCAAGAGGTCATTCTTTGCTTTAATATATAGTAGTGAGTCTTTTGATTACCACGTGATACTGCCGCAGACGGAAAGAGACTAACTTGTCTCCCAAGGTCCTCACTCGCTGCTCCGAGAGAAAAAAAAGAGAGATGTACCGGGTACTTCTCAGCACACCAAAAATTGCATGTCTCGCCAAGTACCAGGTACACCCGCAACTACGTCTTCCCAACCCCCAAGGTCCCCATGGATCCCACTCTGCTTCCCCGCTGCGAACCGGCTATGAAATTCCGCAATTTTTTTTTTTGAACATTCCTTATTTCTCAACTTCTTTCACATAGAGGTCCTGCTGATCGTCCAATCACTCTCTCTACTTATTCATACACATCGGACGACAGTGTGAGGTTGGCCACCAAGGTACTCCGTACTCCAAAACGGTCTTCGGAAGACCAATCCGGAAAATCCAGATTTACCCCAAATCACTAAATCACGACGCGCTGAACACAATTGCATTGCCAAGATAGTTTTGGTTCTTCTCTTCATGCGTTGAGTTTTCTGCATCCTCTGCCTTAGCCTTCCATAGTCGACAGGCCTACCTGGTTGTCTTCCACGCTACTCATTGGTCCGTCTCGCCTTTACTTGAGGACCTTGGGGGTTACGGACAGTGCAGCCAAGCACCCACACGGAATTCCCAATCTCTACCCCTCCACGTCAAATCGAACTTGCCCACTTTTCTCTCAAGGTGCTCACTCGTTTGTTTGATCTGATTAATCCTTGTCGACGGATTCCTTAATCTTAATTGACCCTCATAAGATCTACCGTCGAGATCTTATCCGGGGATCCACATTCCCAGCGACCCAAAAGACCCTCGATAAGAGAGACCAGTCATATAATCAATATGGAGATGGAGGCATTCAATGCCGTTGTCAAGCGGGACACTTGCTCCAGCGGCAATGATTACAACGGTCACATGGGCCTGCGAATCTCCTCTATCTTCGTCATTTGCATCGGATCGACATTTGGTGCACTTTTCCCCGTCGTCGCCAAGAGGTTCAGCAAGCGGGGAGGTGCCCCCTCATGGGCCTTTTTCATTGCTAAATACTTTGGTTCTGGTGTGATTATCGCGACCGCTTTCATCCATCTGCTGGCCCCAGCTGAGGAAGCATTGACCTCCGATTGTTTAACTGGTATCATCACGGAATACAGCTGGGTCGAGGCCATTGTTCTCATGACAATTGTGGTTCTGTTCTTTGTGGAATTGATGGTGATGCGATTTGCTCGATTTGGTACGGGTCACCTGCACGACGAAGAGGGACATTCCCATGTCCAGATCGAGGCTGCGGTCCCAATTACCCAGGAAGTGAGCCAGAGCAAGAACTATCTTCCGGGAGAAGATCATCTGGGTCACACACGTGAGCACCATGATGCCGACGATTCCGAGAAAGAAAGACAGGCTATCGAGGACTACACTGCCCAGCTTACATCAATCTTCATTTTGGAGTTCGGCATCATTTTCCATTCGGTTTTCATTGGCCTCACCCTCGCTGTGACCGGAACTGAATTCATCACTTTGTACATTGTCCTCATTTTCCACCAGACTTTTGAGGGCTTGGGTCTTGGCGCCCGTCTTGCCCAAGTACCTTGGCCCAGATCCAAGCGCTTTACACCCTACATACTTGGTTTAGGCTTTGGCTTGTCGACTCCCATCGCCATTGCCATTGGTCTTGGTATTCGTCAGAGCTACCCACCGAACTCGGCCAAGACACTAATTGTCACCGGCGTGTTTGACTCCATCTCCGCTGGTATCCTCATTTACACCGCTTTAGTCGAGTTGATGGCGCATGAGTTCATGTTCAGTACATCCATGCGCCAGGCTCCTATTCGCGACGTGCTTCTCGCCTTCCTGTTGTTATGTATGGGAGCTGCCCTCATGGCGCTGCTCGGTAAATGGGCATAATCTTCGATTTACCTGCCCTTTGACTTGAAAAACCCTTTACGACCTGCAAATGACTTTCAGCCAAAAAAAAGGGGACCATTGTGTCCCAGGACATATACTACACACTTTTGGGATTTTCCCGTGAACATGCATTTGATACCCACTGGTTCACACTTCGGCGTTTCTTTTTTTCTTGCTTCCACAGAGGAATGCAATTTGACATTGTGCCCGCATCGAACATTATTTAGAGCGAAATCTGTCACGATCCATTTTAGTCAAATTCCAAGTTTCTCCTCCTCAAAACATCTCTATGAATCGCTCACGCGACAGTACGAATCTTATTTTCAGTAACAACATCAAAGGATAAGACCCGCATCATATCCACCCCCGCATTCCGCCAATCACTGCCCAAACAAGACAAACGTGGCTGACAAGTGGAATGTAGATCGAGCCAAACCCGGTCGCTTGAACTTCTTTGGTCTATGTTATCCGCAAAGGGTTGGCAATCGCCGAAGCTTGGCCTTGGGGATAGAAGCTAGCTTTGCAACCTCGGAAAATCCCCGCTCTGATAAGGATCACACCGTCTCTCACTTCATATTTCTCCCGGCCCTGTCTTCTTTTCTTCCTCTCGCCCCATGTCCTCACTACGGCCATTTCTTCCACTGCCCAAAATGAGGACCAGATACTCTCCGGACGTGATCGCCGCCCCGGATTCCAAGCTCAGTGCCACAAAATCCGAGGTTCCCAGCGCTAGCCTAGTTGATAACGATCCCTCGTATGAGGTCTCGAACAAGCGCCAAAGTTTGTCCGACCTCTTTACAATTGTGAGTTCTATCAAATTAAATTGGATTGCAATCTATCATTATACAATGATCAAATCGCTAACAACTCCTTTACATGGGTAGTTTGCAAGCGGTTTTGCCCTGATCAGTGATGGATACCAGAACAACCTTATGTGAGTATTTGATCTCTACTTAAAACCATACCAGTGAGCTCACATTTCATCTATAGGACAATGACAAATGTTCTTCTCAAAAAAGAATACCCGAAGGAGTATACCTCGACCGTGAGCACTCGTGTGTCTAATGCATTGCTGGTTGGTGAGGTTATCGGTCAGTTTGTCATCGGGTAAGAGTCTCCCACGTACATGAATGTCTTCAAGTTCTTCTTCAGACATCCTTAACACGAAACTAGTCTCACTTGTGACTACCTTGGTCGCAAGACAGCCATCGTGTTTACTACTATTATGATTGTAATTGGCGGAATCCTCGCTACCGCATCTCATGGAGTTACCATCGACGGCATGTTCTGGATGATGACGGTAGCGCGTGGTGTCGTGGGATTCGGTATGCTTGTTCCACATGATCTGGATTCTCGATTCTGGAGATTCACACGAACTTAGGTGCCGGCGGCGAGTACCCTGCATCATCGACATCGGCCTCCGAATCTGCCAATGACTTGACCCCAAAGCATCGTGGCCCAGCCTTCATAATGGTGACCAACTTTCCATTGTCATTTGGTGGACCGTTTGCAGTTTCGATCTTCCTGATCGTACTGATGGCTTGCGGACAGTCCCACTATAGTACTGTATGGCGGGTGTGTTTTGGAATTGGATGTATCTGGCCACTGTCCATCTTCTACTTTCGTTTTCGGATGCTAAACTCGGCACTCTACCGTCGAGGTGCGATCAAGAAGCATGTCCCTTATGTGCTCGTGATTCGATACTATTGGAGATCGCTAATAGGCACCTGTGGTGCATGGTTCCTCTATGGTAAGATCTGCTGACTACCCAATGCCAAGTATAGAACTGATTCTTTGCACAGACTTTGTCACCTTTCCGAACGGGGTCTTCTCAGGTACAATCATTTCATCGGTTGTCACAAACGGTACAATCCGCTCGACGGCTGAATGGCAGCTTTTACTCGGCGCAATCGCTCTTCCAGGCGTCTTCCTTGGTGCTATTCTTTGTGACCGGGTTGGACGTAAGAACATCATGATGATCGGCTTTACCGGGTATCTAGTCTTTGGCTTAATTATCGGCTGCGCCTATCATAAGATCACCAAGATCGTCCCGCTTTTCATCGTTTTTTACGGGCTGATGCAGAGTTCTGGCAACTTTGGCCCCGGAAATATGCTTGGTTTGCTTTCCTCGGAGTCGTATGCCACCGGTGTGCGAGGAACATGCTATGGAATCTCGGCAGCGATCGGGAAAACAGGTGCTGCTGTTGGAACTCAAGCATTCACGCCCATTCAGAATCGACTGGGTAAGAATTGGACGTTCATTATTGCAGCAATATGTGGGGTTGTAGGTGTTCTAGTGACTTACTTCTTCGTGCCCGATCTCTCGGGTGAAGATTTGCGACTGCGCGATGAGAAGTTTCGTAATTACCTTGTTTCCAAAGGTTGGGATGGTGCAATGGGTGAAGCTGATCTCCAAGCCAAAGCAGACCAGGGAATTCCCCCAGCGATCACCCTTGACAAGGCGCTCATCAAGGAGGGCTAACCGTTAGAGCGACAAACACTAGTTTTTAGGAATACCACTTGCTATAATTGGAAGCCAAATTTTCATTTTTTGCCGTGTACAAGAAAGAGACATTACTACTCCCTTGGTACTTACATTGCATTCAAAATCTACTCCGTACCAAGTCCCGACTCCCACGGCCCACCCAACCTGATAGAGGATAGAGACCCACACCTCCGCACCTACTCCGCCCACGTTGCCTTCTCCTCTTGAATCCCCTCTTCTCCCTTTCCCAACTCCCCAAATCTCTCAACCACCTTCCGGACCCCCAATCCACAACTTCAAAATGCGTCTCACAGCCATCTTTCTGTCCCTTGCCTCTTTGGCCGTTGCCGCCGAACTCGGCATCGAAGTCACCCACAAAGTCGAGTGCACCCGCAAGACTCAGAACGGAGACGGTGTCTCCATGCACTACCGCGGAACACTACAAGCGGATGGCTCCAAATTCGACGCCAGCTACGATCGCAATGCGCCGCTGAGCTTCAAGCTGGGAACCGGCCGTGTTATCAAAGGGTGAGTCTCTGAAGCAGCGAACGATTGAGTTTGAATCTACCCTGGAGGATGATTGGCTCAATTGACACCGCCGTCCCTACTTTCGTCTTGCATTTCGTTGACTGACTGTTTCTTTTTTCTTCCTTTTTAGTTGGGACCAGGGTCTCCTCGATATGTGCATTGGCGAGAAGCGCACCCTCACTATCCCCCCGGAGTTCGGATACGGCGACCGTGGCGTTGGCCCCATCCCCGCTGGCTCGACTCTGATCTTCGAGACTGAGTTGGTCGCCATCGATGGCGTTGACAAGGATGAGCTGTAAATATTTATTAAATGTTAATATGGGCTGCTTTATGGGGATCAGCTCTTGTGATGATTTTATTGGATGGACACCCCTGGACGAATTCAGCCGTGGTCGTCGATCAATTATGTGGTAGGAACTCGTTTCCAACCGATACCGCTTTATTCATACCAGATACCCAGATACTATGCGGCTTTTCCTGTATAGATTATGAAATATCCCGAAAATCTTTATTGTCTCCAAATGAGATTATCTACACTTAGGTATTCCTTGACTCCGCTTATAACCCAGCACCAAGAGTGGTAATAAATAAACATTCAGACCAAACACTGCATATGATATATCAAACTGACTCTCCAGCCTGGATTCGGACCTCGGGGGTCTTCAAGCTCATGTTCTGGATTGAAGTCCAAGCTTTCTTCCCCAGAACCAAACCCTCAGGATCAAGTACCTTCCGCAAACCAGGCATCCCAGTATGATTTCGCGCATTGGCCATCCGATGAAACCAAGTAACAGTCTTTTTCCCATCTTCCCCTGTTTCAAAGAGCATCTCTGCGCCATTCTGTCCCGTATTCCCCCCTTTCGTCATAAGCCCAGTACCCATATGCTTCATCCAATTGACAAACGACTGCGCAACAACGCAAGCCATGCAATTACGGAAGTACTCCGGACGCGCACCCAAGGAAATGGATGTCACCATCTCAAGGTCTTTGTATAGATTCATTGTTGGATCAACATAGATGGGGAACGGACATCTCGTCTGTTTAACATATGAGTCTATAAGACCGGGATCTCCGAGACCGATTATGACGATGGAGGTAGGGGTAGGAAGGTTTTGTAGGTAGGATGGGGTGATTGTGTTGGAAAGAGCGCGCACAAATTCTCGACAGCTCTAAAGTTTCATATTTCATTAGCCAATGCGCATATCAGTACCCCTCAGGGCTGTACTTCTGATAGAGAGGCATATGTAGGTGGGCATTTGCGATAACTTACCCCACAGAAAAAGTGACGGATGAACACTACTAGAACCCGGTTGTCGGAATCGGGACCATCATAGATGCTCTTGAACGTGTGCTCATCTCCCATTCGATCTAGGACTGTATATTCGCCAATCTTGTCCAGGGTTTGTGCAGAAGGCGTCGCGTCGAGTTCTATGGACTCGTGCTTGGAATCGATATCTTGAGTTGCTGCTGTCATTGTGGAGCTGGAGTAATATGATCTTTGTTTTCGCACACCATGTATAGACTTGCTATGGTTCTTCATGGCGAGGTGCTCAGATATCTAGCACTCAAGTGCTGTATACGGCTGATAGGTAAAATGGGATGGGTGAAGGTAAAAAAGCCTCTGAGGGGACGTCGAGGGGTGGAAGGGCTAAAAGTCTGAGCAACGCTAGTAGGGTTAGTACCTCAGCGGCGATATTGATCGTCACGTATCAGATCAGATCGACATTGCTTTGGACAAGTCATCAAAATCCAAGGGGTTCCATGCAATGTTCGGTGGCGTTCTTCCCTAATTCTTTCAACCTTGGAATCATTGGTAGGATCTTCTTCTGAGTAGGTAGTACTCCATCCCACCTTCAGTTTTGTAGAAGCGGTATGACGTTCTGTGTTACACAGGCGATGTTGGTCTTTACTAAGGTTTATCCCTTTTTTGTATAGATTATATGTATCACATTGAATGTGATGATACTAGATGGTGGCCGTGGGATCCACTATTTAACAAAGGAGACCCTCATTATTCACCATTTACTCTGGAAAAAGGATCCGTAGATGCATTAGGCGAAGTAGGTTATACATACTCTATAGTCATTGTTACAGTAATAGATACCTACTAGGTACAGTTAGGATCAACATTCATGCACATGTGGGTGAAATCCACTATGGACTGTACTAGGAATGAGATCCTCTAGGTTTCCCTATCATCCAAGGTTGAGAAATTTAGCTTTGAATCCAAGATTTCTAAACATTGAATTGTATTCAAATGTTGAAATATTTCAGGTTTCTCAAACTGACCGCCATCTTATTGTATTGATGGGCAGCAGGGCATGCACTGCTGTGCATGGATGGTATCCATGGGTGTAATCTCTCATTGGCCACCTGCGCAGCACATGCCGCAAATCTGCACTTGCAAATCAGTCTCAAGGCGACAGTATTAATTAAATATAGAATTCGGGATATTTTCCAAGGTTTTTGGCGCTTTTGAACTTGCGAATCTTGGAATAATGTGGTATTTGATTCTATTTGTACAGTGGCCAAGATTCAACAAAAGCAACATGCATGTGGGTATTTTAACTATAGATAATATGAACAATAATCAACAAAATACTCACCGGGCAGTGGAATCCACATATACAGAGCCCGAGTGAAGTCTCGCAATCTTGATGTACCGAGTTCCGGTGCCCAACGCATGAGGATTCCTCATTTGTCACAAGCAATCCAATCTCACGGAAGATTACGGCAGATTCCGAGCAAGTTGCATAACTTCAAGCTCAATCCATCGCATCGAGTGCATTCTCAGCCTGAGAATCATGCTCAGACACCAGAATCCCAACCATGCACTCATTAAGGATTCCATCCCAGTTGACCCAAGGATGAACTTCCTGGAATAGCTGGCCCGAATCCTTACCCGCACCCCGCAACAGCTCACCCTTTCCACCAGGGTGATACGGGATATAGGGATTTATATTGTACACCTTGCCCTGGTACGAAGTCCACGCATCGCGGCCCTTGCGCCCATTCTGCATTTTCAGCATAGAAGGCGTAATCCTTAGATATCCGGGTGGGACGTCCTTTCCTCGGAGCTGATTGTTCGGCTTCGCAGCGAGTGCAGCCCAGTCCAGAGGCGAAAATCCTGGATCGAGAATAACTTTCTTGGACGAGGATTTCTTCAGGGATAGTGGCGCGGGCGCTAAAGTGCTGCTGCTTAGACCCGTACTACCGGCTGGAGCGAGGCGCGCTGATGCCGCTGGGGACAGTGGTGTGCGGGGGGAGCCACTCACGCGCGGTGGTGCGAGGCCTCCAGAGGGGGCTCGGTTGGGTTGGGGTGTTTGACGGAGGCGTGGGCCTGGAGGCGGAGGCGGAGGCATCAGGGATGAAGTTTTTGCAGGCCTTGTGGGATTTGAAGAAAGCGGTGCAAGGGATGGTGGCTTTCGTTGAGGTTCGGTCGTTGTTTCATTGCGATCGATTGACGCTACCTGTTCCACCTGTTGTGTTGTTCCATTCATGCTAGATTGCGCCGGTGGCTCAGTCACGATGCGGATGTCGGAGTCTTCGAGATTCAGCGTAGGAACAGCGAGCACCGGCGGAGAGAGTTCTGGTATTGATGCCTTGGGGGTGGTTTGTGGGCTTTCTATGTGTTTCTCCAGGGATGGAGGGGTCGTGGGGCTGTTCTTGTTCGGTTCAGATTCGAATGAGGCAGAAGGAGCGTCGGGTTTGGAGTCCGGTGGGGGGATGACAGAGGTCCAAGTTCGGGGAGGGTAGCGATAGAGAAAGTATGCTGCAGTCGCGGCAAGTGTAGCCACACCTACCCAGCCCATAGCGGACTTCCAAGGTAGAATTGTAGAATTGAAAGATTCAAGGGTTTTAGATGTGATTCTGGACCTGGTCATCTTCGCCCCGATTCGTTCGGAGCCCAGGTGGTCTGTGCACCCAATCTATCAAGTGGAAACATCTCAAATTCTCAATATACAAGTTCGTTTTAAGGTGATCAAGATTCCAAGGCCTCTTGATACAATACATCCCGATTTTTTTATTGCAAATGATTTCTTTGTTCCAACCTTCCAAGTAAAAACCATCGCCTGCGTGACAAAATCCGTGATGTAGTATGAAGTGCTACTATATCCTATGTGTTTTCAAATTTCTTCTAGCATTGAAGGAACAAGGGAGCATAATTGAGAAAATATCTAATCCAAGGATCGCTATCGGCGGTTCCTTCATGTTCAAACACCGATGAAATTCTAATGTGTATTTATAGAAAAACCATTCGATGTTCTATCAATAAAATTCATATAGGAAGAGGCGTTCATGATGTCAGTCCACCATCACTGGAAGGCGACGGAATAACCGAAGCTCAGTTCGTACAGAGTTAGTATATTGAACCTCCAGGATTATTTTCACACAATTGGCTAACATGCTGTGAGGGATCAAATGTTCCGGAAAACAGTCATGTCGACATCTGATCCGGTGGTGCTCTTTGATGTCGGAGTAGGTCAGGTATGTGTAACAACCACGACGCGAAAACCCCACAGCTGGTGATCATCCGACTGATTACTCTTTGAGGCAGGCCCAAGGATCGAGAAAGTACCAGGAAGACCGATGCACGATCGTCCTGCCGGATCAATTCCCCGGCGAAACGAAGGACAAGATAGCGTTTTTTGCGATATACGATGGCCAGTAAGGATCTCTCAGGGGGCAACCCTCACCTTCCTTATTTTGACTGGATATGTAGTGGGTCTGCATTGGTGTCGGAGCACGCCAGCAAGAGGTTGCACTATCTGCTGGCTAAGCGACCTGAGTTTGAAAAGGGAGACTACGCCGCCGCTATCAAAGCTGCGCTAGCAGACGAGGATGCCCTGTTGCTGGAGAGTTTCAAGCATGATACGGCCGAGCCTGCAATCTCCGGATCCACTGCAGCGTTATGCCTAGTGAACCTGACCCAGGGCGAGCTCGTTGTCTCTAACCTAGGCGATTCGCACGTTATCCTGGCGGAGAGAGATCCCAAAACGAATCGTCCCTATCATATTGTGCGCGGGCCCCCGATATTGTACATCATAGGTGGAAAATTAACAGATATGTACTAGTGCCGACTCACCGAAGCACACAAGCCAGAACTACCCAGTGAAAAGCAACGCATTGAAGAAGCTGGGGGCCAGGTCTCTACGCTTAGCGGCACTGCTCGGCTCGGTGAGTATATATACGTTTACCCGTGTTAGCCGAGGAAAAAGATAATGACGAATATACAAACTAGTAGGATCTCTGAATATGTCTCGCGCTCTAGGAGACTTGCAGTATAAGAACCCTGTCAATGAGGGCCAGGACCAAAGTTCCTGGCCTGGCGCAGCAAGGCGCGGTTCATCATCATCCGCTCCTGTCGGGAATTTCCTATCCAACGATCCATTTACCTCGCGACGAACATTGCAGGCGGACCGACGTTATCTTTTAGTGATTGTATCGGACGGAGTCAGTGATCATACCGAAGACGTGGCCTTGATTCAACACGTGATGAAGTTGGCGATGCGGGGGAAGCGGGCCAGTGAGATTGCCAGTGAGGTGGCCACCAACAATGCTCGATTTAAGAAGAGTGATAATGCTTCATGTGTTGTGGTCATGTTGGACGGACAGAGATCTTAGATATGGGGTGTTATATGTACTCCGTATGTAATCTTGCATTGAGATCATTCAAAGGTAGAGCACGAACATAAAATATGAGTAGCGTTTTGAGTGTACAAGTTAACCGGGAAGCGGGTTCCACCCTGCGGAGATTGTGTTATGCATGTTGCAAACGACCAATGAGAGCGAAGAATATCACTCGGCTTATCCGGATGAAGAAGGTGGTTTTTTTTAACCCTTTTTCTTACTCTTTTTTATCTCGTTTTTATCTCGTTTTCTGTTTTATCTTCATGTCCTTCTTCATTGATACTAGAAGGATTTATGAGCACTACAGCCTACTAGCATACTCTAGTATATACTATACTTAGGTACATAGTATACTTAGTTTTATTTCTATTTCTAGTCTCTCAACTCCAATTACCCCAAATATGAATACCTAAGAAAAAAAAATCTGTCTTCTTCTCCACTCGGATGGCGTGCACCCAATCTATAACCCGGACGGTTTACCATTACAGGAATCTGTTCTTCGCTAAGTGGCGTACCCTCGTGTTGCTTTCGTATACCACCCTACTTCGTCTATGCACGATGTCAGAGTTTAAAATTGATTAAAATTTCCGACTAAACTAAAAAAGGGTGTTCAAATAGATATCTATTTGAAATGTTTCTCGAATACTGTTCAATGTTCAATGTTGCTTGTGTGTTCTATAATGCTCATATTCCTAATAAAAACCAAAAGCTCACTGGATAATCGTTCTCCCTGTTGACTCAGACTTGAATTTTTTTTTTCTTGAATCCCTTCGGAGTCCCCGCTTGACAAGGTTATCTCCACGATGACGACAAGTACCAATTAAGCAGGCGGATAAGTTTGTTCCAACATTGAAAAGTCGCTTGGTTCCGTCGGAGTGGACCACCGCTCCTCCGCCACCAACCATAGACTGCAGAGCGTCTGTGCCCTTGAAAGCCCGTGTGTTCACTGTTCAAACCCCAGAGGCTCCAACAAAGGGGACTAAGGGGCCACTATCGGCGGCACAATCTGCAAATTCCCCGACACACCTGATTAGGCAGGCGATGAATCGGTTCAAGGTGGAGATCATCGATAGTCAAGCATGAGTAAGATTCGGCACTAACCACCTTCCATAACGGTCAATCTTTAAGAGAATCTCGCCATTTCACCTTTGTGCCTGGACCTCCGGTTCCAAATTTCCCCCCAAAAAATAATAATTCAAAACAAGGGCCATTCCCGCCCTTTCCTCATCACATTCACTTACCATTCGCAACCCTTGATAATCCCAATGAGTTCAACAAAGACTCACACTCACACAAAATCGGCCTCCGGCAACATGACTTGGAGCAACTTCCATGTTGGGAGGGACTGCGGTCATACCAAGTGGTCTCGAAACGTTACACCTAAATTGTCTGTCTCATCTGGCCAGACCGTCACCTTTGATGCGATCGATAGTAGCAACGGCCAACTGACACCAAACTCGGATGCTTCCGCTATCACTACCTTGGATCTCGGCCTCGCCAACCCTGTCTTCGGCCCAATTTTCGTGCAAGATGCCCAGCCCGGCGACGTTCTTAAGATTGAAGTCCTTGACCTGGAAGTCGCTGACTGGGGTTGGTCCGCTATCATTCCCGGCTTCGGTCTCCTAGCCGATGAATACACAGAGCCCGAAATCAAGATCTGGTCACTCGACCGCGAGAAGGGCTACGCACAGTTCAAGAATATGCGAATTCCTCTTCGACCTTTCCTCGGATGTATGGGGCTGGCCCCCGGTAATGACGACGAGCTCTCAACCGTTCCACCAACAAACCATGGCGGCAACATGGACTGCCGCGAACTCAGTGTTGGTTCTACTGTATACCTGCCCGTTCAGACAGCTGGTGCCTATTTCAGCTGTGGTGATGGACACGCCGCACAGGGTCTCGGTGAGGTCTGTGGCACCGCCATCGAAACTCCCATTCGAGCCACCCTTCGTTTCGAGGTTTGCAAGAACCAGCCTTGGGTGACTGCACCCCAATACCAGACCCCGCCCCGGTCTCAAATACCTAATCAGTTGCCGGATCTGGGAACCTACGGTGCTCTTGGAGTATCGTCGGACTTGTTCCAGGCTGCGAAAAGCGCCACGCAGAACCTTATCCAGTGGCTGGTCTCCACCAAGGGTCTTACACGGAGCGAAGCCTATATCCTGGCAAGTGTTGCCGGCGACTTGCAAATTGTCGAAATTGTCAACGTGCCTAACTACGAGGTATCGATGAGTGTTCAACTGGGTATTTTCAGTTAATTTTGGGATACGATTTGATTGGAGGAGAGTTTCAAAAGAGAAAAATCGCGACGTGATACCCGAAGGTGCTTGAATGACTTGTTGTGCCCTTTTTTTCTTTTCTTTTTTTTGTAAATATAACCATTGCATGAGCTTTCTGTTGTCGTGTCAGAAGAAGCAGAGTGATGACCCAGATATAATTAATGCATATTAAAGAACCAATGATCATGAACATTCAAATGCTCAAAACTTGAGTATGAATACTAGCATACTGAGAATTCGGAATTTCTTAAGGAATGGACGAGAAGTAAATGCGCCTCTACAAGGCATCCAACCATGTGCGACCGGGACAACATGAATTATGTGACAATGAAATGCTTATCTCTTTCCCCTTGCATTTATTCTCTCATAACAAAATGCCATTGAAATGTTGTAATCGAATTATGCATACTTGGACGTCACATGACAGCGCGTGTTGTCGCGTACTCGGCGACCAACCAAAAGCGGATCCTCGAGATCCCCCCCCCCCCATATTCCAAAAGAGGTCATGGATCATGGACCCCGTCCTCGATGGTCTCAATTCTGCTCAGCGACAGGCGGTTTCATCATCTGATCCTGTTTTGCAAGTTCTTGCTCCACCAGGGTCTGGGAAGACGAAGACCTTGACAGCACGCGTCGCGTATCTTCTATCCCATCATGGATACTTGCCTCAAGATGTTATTTGCTGTACGTTTACCATCAAAGCGAGTCGTGAGATGCGAGAGCGTCTCTCGAAGCTGGTTGGAGAACGCGTGCAGTCGCGTTTGATTCTGGGTACTTTTCACTCTATTTGTCGGCGGTATCTGGTCAAGTATGGATATTTGATTGGTCTAAGGAAGGGGTTTGGAATTGCAGATTCAGACGATAGTCGGGGAATTCTTCGGGTATGTAAAGTCATAATTTGTGCTATTTGCTGGTTACATTGCTTATAATACGATAGCGCATCATCAAACGGCTCAAGTCAGCCATTGAAGTCAAGGCTGCACAAGGTCGAATCTCTCGCCACAAGGCCCATGGAATCGGTCCGGATGAATTGGCCCAACGAGCCAAAGCTGAGGAGTTGGAACTGGTTGATATCTACCGCCAGTATGAAGCGGGACTTGCTGCATCAAACCTCTTAGATTACGACGATCTGCTCGTAAGATGCGTGCAACTTCTAAGAGAGCATCCGGATTGCGTCTCAAATGTGCAAGCAGTGCTAGTGGATGAGTTTCAAGATACAAATATCATTCAATATGATTTGATGAATCTTTTTGCGGCGAAGAATCGGCGCATCACGATTGTCGGGGATCCTGATCAGAGCATCTACGGGTTTCGCTCGGCTGAGATTCAAAATCTAAAAAGGATGCAGGACCGATACTCAAACACCTCTATTGTGCTTCTGGAATCTAACTATCGATCTTCGGCTTCAATTCTGAGCTCTGCCCAAGAAGTCATTGAACAAGATACCGCGCGTCCGGATAAAAAACTACAACCGACCCATTCTCACGGAACTATGCCTGTTCTCAGAAAGCTCCCCAATGCCAATGCAGAGGCCAATTGGATGGTTCTCGAGATCAAGAGATGCGTGGCCATGACAGGCGGTGTTCTGCGCATGTCTGATTTTGCAGTGTTGTTGAGATCCGCTTCACTATCGACTCGGATCGAAACAGCATTTGGGCGCGCCGGTATACCGTACAAAATGGTTGGTGGTCGCAAGTTCTTTGATCGAACGGAGGTCAAGACCCTGATCAACTACATGAGGGTGGTCAGTCATACTGATGGCACCGACGCGTTGCTTGGTATTATTAATATTCCACCAAGAAAAATTGGAGACGAGACGATCAAGCAGCTTACCACCGGTGCGGAGAAAGCCAGTATTCCGCTCTGGACGTTCATCAAAGACGTTATACAAGGCCGTCGGTCGACCGAGAAGAAGCTACAAAAGGCAGCAGAGCTGGGACTCTGTTCACTGATGAAATTGATTGACGCGTCTAAGCAGAAGCTACAGGAGTGTGAAGATGCTTCGGCTCCGCGAGTGCTTCTCGAATTCATCACAGAGAGCCTTTCATTTCAAGAGTATCTTGTCAGAACGTATCCGTTGGATGAAGACGGTCGCTGGGCGAACGTTAAGGAGTTAATGGGCCAAGCCAACGACGCCGCGTTCTCAAACGATGACCCGGGCCAAGAGGAAGATCTCCCTGAGATCGAGGGGATAGAACAGCAGCAAGTGCATGCCGGCGAAGAGGCCGTCTCTCGTTTTCTGGCTAATGTTGCCCTTGCGACCGAGGCGACTAAAAAAGACGACGGCGAGGAGGTAACGGAAAAAATAACAATTTCCACCATTCATGCTGCTAAAGGTTTAGAGTGGCCCGTTGTGTTCATCCCTGCCGTATACAATGGAAGCATCCCGCATTCCCGGGCAGAAGTTATCGAGGAGGAGAGGCGCCTGCTTTACGTCGCGATGACCAGAGCCCAAGCTTTATTGTATCTAAGTATCCCACTAAGACAGCCTCGAATGGGTGAAGGAGAAGATTCGACCACCACATTGACACCATTCCTTCCCCCGAAATTGGTCAAGACTCGCTTTCGTCCGATTGGTCCCCAATTGCTGGAAAATGTCGTGTACGCTATTGCCGATATTCTGGGACGACCGCGACCCGCTGTCGAAGACATGTACAAGTCACTGGGATCTCTTCCCTCAACCCTGGATGACCAATGGACGGCTGAAGGTGAAGAGAAAGATAAGGGTGGCGACTCTGAATGGAGGACATCCCTGGGAGCGGACTCGGGAGAACCCAACCCTAAGAGACGTCGTTCGGACATCAACCAGGCAACTACCACCACCTACATGTCTGTAGGTGGACAAGGTAGTATAGGCAACTCCTCCAATTTCATGGTATCTACCACGCTCGGTGCCTCCGGTTTCTCGTCTGCTCGTGACTATATCACGGCCAACCCGGATACCAATAGTCAGGCAACAACAGGAAGCACATCCAAGGCTGCCACGGAATCAGCGCCGGTCAGTCAGGTGAAGAAGAATGTTACCACCACTCGCAAAGATGGACTGAGCCAAGCCAATATCTCAAACTTTTTCGGTGGACCAGGATCCTCCCCGAAGAAAGCGTCCGCCCCAACCAGTCTGCCAACGCAACTAGCCCGACAAAATCAGCTGACATCAAAAACTCCCCGGCCGGGCTTTGGTAGTGTTCCGCCTACGTTATCTTCCCACCGTCTCCAGCCACGGCCACTGCAGCCTACACGACCGACCTTGGAAGCGGGCGAGCCTAGCAATTACACGTGGCTGGCGGCTCCGTCCACACATGCGGTGAAACCTGCCCGGATGCTAGCCCAGCCTGCGAATGAAAACAACACAGTGGACACAGGGACCAGGGCGGAAGAGGTGAAACAGGAGAGCTCCACTCGCGGTGTCCGATCAATGACCTTTCACACGACCACCGTGACCACGGTTCGTCAACAAGCCCAAGCTTCGGGGCGACGGACCTTGGGAATCCGGCGGAGTATGAATGGATGGGAGGAGCGGATGAAGCGGGAGGGCGGGCCAAGTACGTAGTAGAATTGAGCGAACTAGACTTTCATTTTTTTTTTTTTTTTTTTTTCAATTATCTAAAAAAAAATATCTTTTTTGGGGGGGGGGGGGGGTGTTCTTGTTAAACATGTATAATTACTATCTAGGGATTTTGTGGACTTCTTCCGAACTTAGCTGCGTGAGGACCCAATCCAACGTCTGGCCAGCTCATTCTGCATTGATGGTGGAAGTGGAGTAGAAGAGGAGAATGCTATGACTCGTAGGCTGCCCAAGCAACAATTGAATGGGAGAGAGAGGTCAGATGGGATCCGCAGGAAATCTCGGTCTGAGAAGTGACGCACATCCCCGGGACGACAATGCACACTACGTAGTACGGGGTATAGAGACAATCGACCCAATCAACCCAATCAAGCCAGCTGTGCATGAATTATGTGCTTTGTACTCCGTACTCTATATGCGGTCAATCTTCCTCATGACCTTCTTTTCCCCATTAAAACCAAGGTAGATCATCTAGATCCCCATACTTCTATTGGATAAGATCCGCAACTATCTATAGGTATCCGCAATGATCAACTTCAAATGTTTGGTACCTGAATAATTTTTGGGGGAAGGGAATTCTGGACCCAAGTGGACCCAGAAGTCGGTGAAGGGAGAGATAGAGAGATAGAGAGAGAGAGAGAGAGAGAGAATCCCCCTGGAACATCATTGACATCACATTTTGCCTGAACCTCGATCCAAGTGTTTAATTGACGCGATGGCAATAGGCCGCAATGCGCATAGCATGTAATCCCTGCTTTAGAGCGGTGAGGCTGAGGAATTTCTCATGTATGCAACCAAGTAGTCTGTTACTGTATCTATGGTAAGTTTGGGACTAAATGTAGGTGTATGGCCATGTAAGACTGTTACTGACTAGTATGAGCGAATTCGAATTGAGCAAATTTACGGCCTAAAATATACGGGATAAATACTTGATCTAGGCTGGATTGGGTTTGGCTTGTGCGTAATGGACTGTAATGGAGGGTAATTCATAGTAGTTCATTAGTTCATTCCCGTAATCTGCGTCATAAAAAACAGAAATAACCACAGGAATGGCTGACTCATCATTATTGGATCCACCCGTCGTACGAAGTTCTCCATCTCTCTCTCAGTTTGTGTATGACAGGAGGAAAGGGGATTGGCTGCCCTGTTTTCGGCTTGAGATCAGAACCAATCAATCGACTTTCACAAATAGAAACAAACATCACTTGTACTCCCGTACTAGACGGTTACCAGGCACCGGATACGTCAAGGGGCTGATCCATTTCCCGTGGAAGCTCTCAGTACTAGAGCTCCCTGGCGACACGATACGCTTTCTGTAGATCAGATGCGCGCTCAATTGGGAATGGCCCCGGGGGTATACAAAAGGGCCCGTCTGCTGCTACTTCCATTCTTGCTTCATTATACTAATCTTTTTAAACCAACTCAACCACCAACTCGTTCAACTTTTTGTTGTTTTTGTTCTTCTTTACCTTCTATCGTTTATATACTATATCGTGAATCGCCTTGACTTTCCTTGGACTCGTTCGCTCGCTGTTCAACACTGGAAGAGAGACTGGGCTTCATCAGACCACATTATTCATTAATTCTCACCTCCCCTACCTTATCTTGTTCTACCTCTTCTTCTACCATGCCACACAAGGTCACCAACGACTCCAATTCCACTCTAGCCAGCAGAGGCAGCAGTGGTGGTCAGGTCATTGCTACAGAAGTCAGAGGTATGTTGTCGATCCCTCCAATCTATCCAAGCCTCTTCCCCCCAGTCTAGCCCACCAAATCCCATACCCTTGTCCACCCGATCTCCAGATCCAGCCCGGCTAATGCAGACGCGTTCAGTAACCGCCAATCCCGTCCGCAAACCCCCGGTTGTCGTGCACAACAAAGGTGGCCAAATCTACGACGAAACACGTCCATCGGACTGGGACAAACAACGCTGGAAGTAGTTCTGCATATGCAGCTTTCAATTCCTCCAGCAGCAGCAAGCCGATGAAGGCGGGAGAAAGGGAGCGCTAAAGACTAGACCAGTCAGCCTCCGGTCATCTGTCTTCCTGATCTCCTTTTCCCCAACTTTTTCCTTTTTTGATTTTATCCGCGCGGCTTCCCCGGCAGAAGTCTGGACTTGAACTTGGACCTGGACGTGACCAGCACCAAAAAAGAGGATGCGACTTTGAAAACGAAAGTGAGGCGGTGCCGCAATGATCAACGGCAACACACCCCCGAAAAAAAAAGAAAGAAAAAAAAAATCTCCCAAAAAAATCCAAAGGAGTTGGTCTCGCGTATCCCGAAGTTACGCGAGGTTCTACTACAATCTGGTCTTAGACCATTTCGGTTTCTTTCCCCCCTTTTTTTGGGAGTCTGGAATTGGTCCATCCATTCCAGCTGCCAGAAAGAAGGGATGGGGTAAAGACGGACGCCTCTTCGTCACCGCCATCTTCAATGATCTTCGCCCCTGACCCGATTGGGCGAGTCTAGCCCTTTTTCGCTTCCTCTTTTTTGAGCTATCCTGTCCACGTCCAAAAAAAAAGTCCACTGCTTAGCTGGCCGACCTTCCTGCTGCTGGGGGGGTTTATTTGCTTTTTCTCTTGTGCTTCCTCTTTGGATTTTGCCCCGGGTTTTCTCGCTTTTCCCCAAAGTGACAGAGCTTTGGGCACTGGGGAAGGGGGATCCACTCTGATCCCCCTGCTTCCATGTCTACGGTATCTCCTTGTATCACTATATGCGGAGTTTTCTGGTTTTGGCGTCCTTGGGTCTTTTATTTTTTGCTTTTTTTTTTTATCCCCGTCCGCTGGAATTCTTTCTCTGGCGGTTACACTCCCTTCAACTCCGGGGAATTTCTGAGTGTCTGGGATGATCAATTTCTGATCTTTCTCATCTCATGATCCCCCGGACTTGTGTTTTTTTATACGCCTCTTACTCTCCTCTCATCTCCTCCACCTTCTTCTTCTCCTACCTTATCTTCCCCTTTACCCTTTATCTCGCCTCTTCCTATGTTTTCTTCGGGGGTCTGTCAACCACCGGGAGCTTGACACGTGTCATACTACTGTACACCCCCTCCTCCTAGCAGCGCTCGCTGCAGGATATACACCGGACGGTTCTCGCGCAGAGGCCCTCTGACCTGTTCTTTTTGATTTTCTGATTTGCGATGCATAGCGATAGCGTGGGTATTGTTTTTTGTTTGGGTCAATGAGCGAACAATTCTGTTTTCGTGTTTTGGGATATCTGCTATTTTACTACTACTATACTGACCGATTTTGAGTATCGAAATTGTCTGAATTCTATCTTATCATCACTCACAGCTTGACCTGATAAGTCGCTGTGGTTTTGATGCATTATTTTTTTCACATCTGTTCACTGTAATCACCTATAAAGTCCCCTGCTTTCCCGTTCTTCGACATGCTACATTGCGTCCTGCTAAACTCCATCAATCTCGTCAGGAGCGCAATCAATGGCAAGATTACATGCAGGAATTCAATGTACCTATGAAAGTATCCGAAATGAAAGAGAAAAGCACTCAAGCTAAACTTGAGAGAGCCTTCGTAAACCCAGGGGTAGTACTCCGTGCGACGCGCTGGCCTGAACGGAAAGCCCCGACAAGAGTGAATCGTCAACCCAGGGCCCCGTGCAGTTGTGTCTAGAGGCATTGCAATTCCATGCCCCATCATAAATCCATAAATCTCCATAGGACAGGAATTGCAATCAATAGTGGTTCCGAAGAATGCAAAGATCAATAGAGTTCGGGTCCAGAAACCGGGTGGTATGATGACTGTGGACGAGAACATTTGGAGAGAGAAAAACAGAAAATAAAATACGGAGCTGGGCAAGTACTAGTCCTGATTAGGAGCATCAATAAAAGCCCCTATGGACGCGGGAAAAAATCACATGGGTGAGTCTGCTATAGACAGCATTATTTCTATGCAATTAACACAACCATAGTACGTACACTTTATTCGTGCTCTTGATTGATATTGGCCTGGTTTGTTCCTTTCGCTGCCGTGTCATATATCACTGACGAGTAGGTGCTTCATGATCGACTTTTTGGGCCTCAACCCGAGTCGTTCTCGAAGGCAAGAAAGAAAATGCAACGATACTAGATAGAACACACAGTCCAGCTACGAAAGTTAGCAACGAAATATGAACCAATAATATCGGGAGATACTCACCTAGAACGCAATTCATAACATAGTATCCGCATTTCTCGATAAGTATTCCGCTAAGACCAGGGCCAATGCATGTCCCGATTGTCCAGGCAAGACCAGCCATTCCAATAGCTCGTGACTTTCCTCCATTGGGCCCGAAAGCCTCAGGATAATCTTCCTTGAGTTCTCTCACGGCCACTATGAATGAGTCAGTGAGTATGTTTGTGTTTTTGGGACCTTGGTTTTGACTTACCTGTGGCCTCAATCATCCCTGATCCATTTAAAAATGCACTTTGGAACCCAACCAAAGTCATTGCTAGTATATAAAGCGTAGGCCCCCAGTTCTCCATGCTTTTAGATGGGAATTGTGCACTGCCGGGAAGACCCAGTAGCCAGAGAGACGGAGCCAAAATAGCGAATCCAAATGTAGTTGGCATTCGTGTTCCAAAGCGATCTTTCAACCAGCCCACAACTGGAGCCATAATGAGACGAGGGGCTTGTAGAGAAGCAAACATAAGACCAGACTGCATGCTACCCCAGCCGAATACATCACGAACATGCAGGGGAACAGTGGCATTGAACGTGGTCATCAAAATACCAAACATAATGCTGCAGTATATGCCAGCAACAAAATTGGCCTTGCTAAAGATGCAAAAATAGAAATTCGGTCCTGTAACGGGTGTCGTATGAATCTCAGATGATTGATCGGAATGGTTGGAGAGCAGAGGCGACGTTTCAGAAACCGTAACTGAGGTGCCAGTAGAATCTTCAAAATGAAATATTAGAAAGAAGAGTTGAGGTTTTTACCCAGGGAGCATGAGACATACCGGTTTTCTCCTCTTTTTTCTTCTCCACCATCAACAGACGAAAGGCCATATCGATTCCCAGGATCACAAAAGCACTTGCCCATGCTACCCAGTACCCGGCCAGTTGAAATAGAATACCCGATATCATAGGTCCAGTTGAGGAACCCAGCGAAACGGCCATGGATATCATGGCGTAGGTCTTTGCAGTATTCTCAGGCGAAACAGTGTTTGCCACTGTCGTGTATCCCACTACCCACATGATACTGCTGGCCAAAGTTTGCACTGATCTACTGATAAACAGCAGTGGCACTATAAGTAATGCATAGTTAGCCACCTACTCCATCCATGACGGCGATACATATCAGACATACAAGATGATCCAAATGCCGTCGCAATGGTACTGGCCAAGGCGATACCCAGCGCCCATAGAAACCAGCCTCGAGTCGAAGTAGATTTATCCGCAAAATGCGCTAACGGCATCCGAATAATCACACTGACTGCCGCATTTTCAGCCAACAGCCATGAAATTGTTCTTTGTGTGCGGGATGGATCTATGCCCACGCGACCCTCGAGCATGTAGGGGAGGATAGGAACGACGAAGCTGGCTAGAAATGTATCTGTTGATGAGAGAAGTTAGTTTAATAAAAACACATGTGCATGCGGCCATGGAGGAAACAAGAGGCAGGCTCCGGTACCGGTGAATAGCGCCGCAGCCATTGCTGTGACAGTAAACCATGTTGATGATCGCCATGATTGTCCCCACATTTGTGTATCCATGGCTATAAGTTCTATAACTGGCAATCGAGTACGCTCAAAGCGTCTTCGAGATCAGACCTCGAGTGCTGGAAATGCAGTCCGTTTTGTATTGAGGATGGGGGGAAATTAATCCATGTGCGGGGTTGGGAGGTGTGCATGAGTTTCTGCCCCTTGCGCTCAGAATCAATAGTAATTTCTGATCATCACGAACATGCCAGTCATATTGTCCGAACTAATGTAACGTGTTTCACGTGTGACTAGATCAGATCGAAATCACCTGACTCCAGATGTTGTACAGAAAACACTGTCAACAGCACTTGAGTTGTGCATAATACAATGTGCGGATCTATAAATTCCCCTCCCCATCCCTCACGTTCAAATGTTTTATATACTACTCCTCTCCTTGGAGAACTGTGGCTCAGAAACCCAATGAATACCAGACCCCTCCTGCATAACTCTCCTCCATCTCGTTTCCCCACCTCAATTCTCCGGCTTCATCAACAAACCAGCCTAGTCGCGTTCGCAGATTTTCATAATCACCCGGCAAGAGCTTACCCGACTCAATCTCTCGCAACACTGGTAGGAAATTTGCACTTCCGGAACCGAGTACCAATATGTCCAGCCGCCTGTGCTTAAAGAGACGTTGCTGCTGACGAAGTGCTGCAAGAAAGTTGTGAAAGTTTTCTGCGCGAGTGTAGAGTATCTTTCGCCGTTCAAAAGTACTGATGGGTCCTTGCCTGCCGTCGAGTACATGGCAGATGTCATGCACATGTGAAATCCATGTTTAGGCTGTTGATCTCGTCCCGGATGTTATAGGTGTTGTCATCTAGATATTCGGTACTGTAGGCTCCAATATGCTCGGCACCACCGAGGTGCAGAGTGTCGGCTGCAGTGAGCACAGATGCCATGAATAGCCGACCATAACTATTACAAGAGAGAAGGCATTCTTGTTAGCAAGCATTGTACCAGTTACCATGTGCCATTACTGATGTCATCTTGAGCGCTGGAATGTGAGACTAACCTTAATGTCACGTTATAGTAGAACATTCCCGTCTCTCAACTGAAGGTAGTTTTGTTATGTGGCAAGAAATTATCCGAAATGCTTCAATTGATCAGCTCGTTCGGTTGGCTTGTTATGTATACTAAAGGTCTGAATCTCGCCGTTTGACGGGTTCACAATGATACTGCCTCCAGATGTCGGCTGACTCGACGATTGGCCTGCAATCAATTGATTCATTATCGTGACAGATGGAACCTCAACAAATAGTAAGTCGACATTGCAGTAGCCATTTTGATCTGTATTCCGCTTGGTTATTGTTACTGCATTGCCGTGAATCCATTTTCCAGCGAAATTCCGTTGCCAGTTACGCACTGTCCAAGTTGCAGGGTCGGCATTTGGGGACCAATGCCCAACAGCTATATTGGGGTCCCAATCACTACTGCTTCCATTGCCACAGCAGATGATCTCGGCAGGATTAACGAAGATGGTTGTGCAGTTTGGACAGGTTGATATATTTTTCCGATAATGTGATTGGGAGGATGGCACTAGCTAGTAGTTTGCTGTACACTGCACCGAGTTGATAGCCACCTTCGAGATTATTCATTTGAATGTTGGGGATCGTGCTAGCATTCCAAATAGTATGGTTGCTTATATCTGTCGACAGGCAGAGGAAAGTGACGAAATAGCCATGAACCCAATCATATTGAGCACTTGAGTAATGTTGCGCACACCAATCAATACCCAGCACTTGAGCTCAAGCGTCTGCCGTGCTTCTTTCTGGCGGATCCATCGTATAGCGCATTCCATCAAGCTCCCGGTGTCTTCAGGATGCTTGACATTGCCTCTGCTCCTTTGGGCCGTGCTAGACGAGCATATGGCTCGGTTCGTTTAACATCGTCAAATAAAATTGCCGTCATTTGGACGTAAATAACAGCGATCATGGTTGATCCGGACTAGTCTTACGCTGAAAACTATGGTGCACCAGATGTGCCCCACATCCTGGGAGACACCATACTCTAACAGTACCGCTAAGTTATGACATTATTGCAGTATCACTAAGTCGTGATATTGCAATTTGTTATAGTATCGCTAAGTCGTGACATTGTTACGCTATAGTTGGATATCCGCTTTGCGCGCTGCCTATACTAGAGAGTTACTTAGTCGTGACTTGCTACTGGTATCGCTAAGTCGTGATATTATTACAGTATCGCTAAGTCGTGACATTGTTGCGCTATGGTTGGACGTCTACTTTGCGCGCTGCCTATACCAGAGAGTCGCTTAAGTCGCCACATGCGCTTTTCTTTGTTGTTAGATAATTCTTGCACCCACTTCTTCTCTTTCTTAGTGGTTCAATCTTTCTTCAGCTTATTTCTTCAGCTTCCTTTCCTCTCCTACTGATCCCCGTTAAAATACTAGGTTATTTTAGGTACATGGCATATGACCGTGGTTTGATTGTGGTATAGAACGAAGGATATTCTAAGCGTGGCTTTGTTCTTAAAGGCGCTCATTTATCGCTGCTGACAGTTCAAGAAATTAAGATGTTGACCTCATTGTTGTTTCCCAAGGTTGTTGGCCCTCGAACCCGTGGTAAGTTGAGTTACTTCTCAGGTTTTTCTTTGACTACTTTCAACAGTTACAAAGAGATCCTATTCAAATATTATGTGGCAACACAGCAAAGCCATTAAAATTGTCTGCCAAATATCTAATATTCAAGGACTGAAGAGGAAAAGAATACCAGAATTCGAAAATGAAGGTGGAAAAAAAAATAACCGTCGATATGAACTAACCCATGTGGTATATGTACAGAGAATCGTAAAAAAAAGAACATAGATCACAAAAGATATCCATGTGTTTCCTTGGACAAAAAGGAGTCCATGGAAAAATTGGCCGGTGGCCGTGAAAATGGGAAGAATATCAAGGCGCCACCGTCGGCTGGGAAATTTGCGCAAGAAGGGTAAGAATAAAAAAGGATCACGCTGACATGGAGAGATAACTGTTGAGCATCTATTCGGACCAGTCAAGCTGGACGATGAGACGGACGGCACCGCTGCTCTGGGAGACAGCCAGCGAGGGGTTGCCCTGGTCGGCACTGGTGTAGGCGTTGAGGAGGCTGGCCAGACCGGTGGCAATGCTGGAGCAGCTGGCACCGAGGTGGTTGCAAATGCGCATACCCTGGACGTCGAAACCGGCGAGCTGGGCAATGATGGAGGAAACATCCCAGCCGGAGAAACCGTCGTTCTTCTCGCTGCTCATGTCAAACTCACCCCAGGTACCAGCCCATTCACCAATGAGAGAGACGGGAACAGATCCCTGACCAGCAGACCAACCGCCCTGAGAGTTGTCATCGATGGCGACGTAGGCGATCTCACCGGGAGCAAGGGTGAATTCGAGGGCCTTGTTGGGGCTCCAGAAACCATCCATCTCGCCATTGGGACCGTATGTGTTCCAGAAGACAACGGTCCAGTCATCGGTGTTGCTGCCCTCGAAACGGAGAACGTGCTTGTACTGGCTGGCGCTAGACTCGGCGACCTGGATGATGTTGCTACCCCAGGGGCTACCGACGTTGCCGACATAGTCCCAATCCAGAGATCCGGTACTCTTGCTGGCAGTGGAGTCACCGAATCCAGAGCGGCTGTAAGTGCCATCGGAGGGAGTGTCGGACCAGGTACCACTGCTGCTGCTGCTGCTGCTGCTGCTGGAGGCAGTGGTAGGGACGGCAGAGGTAGTGGACTCAACCACGGCGGAGGTGGAAGTGGTGGTGGGCTGAGCAGTGGTAGTTGGGGCGACATAGATGGAGGTGGAGGTCGAGAAGGAGGACGAAGTGGAGGTGGAAGCAGCGATGTCGCCAGCCCACTCGTTGATCCAGGACTCGAGAACACCGTCGATGGTGGCATAGACCTCATCACCGACAGCGCGAGCCTTCAACTCGGAAGGCAACTCAGCGACAGGAGTGATAGCCGGGCCCGCGACATCCTCAACCTCTTGAGCGACTTCCTCGATCTGAGGGTGAGCGTGACGACGTTCATGGCCGTGGAGGCGAGCAACGGCAGAGCCTGCGGACAGGGCCGTCAGCAAAAGAATGGAATCCTTGAACTGCATCTTTGGAATTGTGATATTCTTTTTTTCGAAAAGGAAAGTGGGTTTAAAGAGTGACTGAGCAAGGTAAACAAGCTCGAATTCCAATTCAAGAACAGAAGAATAAAAAAAAAAGAGAGTGTGGGATAACGATGGCCCTTGAGTGATGAAGGAGGGAGAGGTGAGGGTTGATATTATTTACTACTTGAGGGGGGGAGAGAACGCACAACCCGGATCAGGGGCTTGTTGCCTGTGATTGGGTTGGTTCCTGGTGGTCCCTGGTGGTTCCTGAACGCCATCCAGTCCATTGATCCTGTTTTATTGGCTGAATCCACTTGTGGATCTTATACAATCGAGGCCCCTGACCTCCGTTGGCCCTGTACTGGGTACATGGACCCATTACTGGTTTTGTGGGCGAAGATCAAGTACTTTGTACCTAAGCCGTGTTGTGGAGGGAAACCTGCTCACTATTCATCTCCATATTCGGTTAATTTGGAAATTTCCTTTTTGATAGCGTCAAAGTGTAATTGTTCCCTTTGGATTCTATATAAAAATCCTGAATATCTTCAAATGTCAAACACGTGTGGGGGAGGAATGTTGGAATGTTAACTCCAGACCCTTAATGAAAAAAAAAAAAAACCCTTGAACCCTTTGACCCTGAAAAACTGAACCCTTTCACTTATCCCCATCTTCACTAGAGGAATCAGCCACAACATGGCCAGATTCCCCACAACCGCCCAGTCCAGACCAATCATGCTCTGTCTTACGTGTCTCCCTGCAAATCCCTCGGAGTATTTCAACACGGGTCCATGCAGACCGTACCTGTGATGTCAACAAATCCAGTCCTTTCGTGTCCAACCCCCATACGCGCCCAACATAAACAACGCATCAATTGTTGTGTAAATCAATGACAATCCACATTTGAATTTTCAAATTCGACGGGCAACAACCCTATCTACTGTGCACTGGCCTAGGCCATAGCGATCGACTAGCGGGGGGCGATATGCGTCAAGGGCTCCATCCCCTAAACCCGGCAACTGGGTCCCCTAAGAAGGGGTCGTGCGAATGGTGTCCAATGTGCAGGGCAGCAAGGTCCTAAAACTTGCCCTGGACTCGAAGGTCGCTAGAATTTTCCGGCTCCACCGTGTTTGAGCCTTCCATGATCCATCCACTTTTCCCGACTCCGAAGAAAATTCTTGCAATGCAAGACGGGCTGGACGCCTTGGCTAACAATTTAGCGTGCCGTTTCGGACTTGACTAAACTTTATGCAGTCTGGGCCTTAATGGCGTCTCAATATATTAACAGATATTAACAGATATTGAATTCTTCGAATTTATCGCCACTATGTATCGTTATCCTGAGAATATGGAAATATGCAAAAAGAAACGTACAGAATAATATTCCCTTCATTTTCTGTAACTGATCCAAATGGCATTTATTTACTGTGAAAGCGCAATTTCCGAGAAAGATTAGCTTTGGCAAATTAAATCGACACTCGATGCCAGGGGTCACCGCGGCTGTTCCTTGGTTGTGCGATCGACGATCCGTTCAAATGTTCCATTGGTTGAATCCTGAAACGGATGATCTAATCAGTATTTTTGTCACTCGTGTTTATTGTTTATTTTTATCATCTCCGGATTCACGCGCCTTGATCTTCCAAAATGAGAAATAAGAAATTCTTCAATTAGGTGGAGATGTTGCTATTTACAGATGCGGCAAACCGCTTCACTCCCTTCCCACACCCAGAACAATGACGAGTGAGCCAATATATTGACCAGGCAACAGAGTCACACCATACACAGCCTTGGGAACAATCCATTTCCATTTACAGAATAGATCAGGTCTCACTCAAGTCCACGCCACCGTCAAAGGCTGCTCCACCAGCCTCCGCGTCTAGCTTCACGCTCTCATCTAGCCCACATACCCTGAAGAGCATCTGAGGCGTCAACTCCTTATCCAGACCCGGCAATCCATCCCGTTTCAGTTTCTCCAGCCCCTCTCGCATAGCCACGAGCGCGGGTCCAATTGTCGCAAATGGATAGATGATAATACGGAATCCGAGCTCACGCGCCTCCTTCGCCGAAATCGACGGCGTAGACCCATGCTCAACCATATTCAGCAACAAAGGCCAAGGCGCAAGGTCTCGCACGGCCTGCGCTGCCATCTCACGCGAGGAGATTCCCTCGAGGAATCCAACGTCCGCACCAGCGTCGCGCGCGGCTCGGAGTCGTGCCAGAGCCTCCTCGTATCCGTGTCCCTGCAACGAATCAGTGCGCGCAATCACCACGATGTCGCTGCCCAGACGTTGACGTGTTTGCACCGCTGCCCGGATCCGAGTTGTGTAGGTTGCTGTGTCAACTAGTTGTTTTCCAGACAAGTGGCCACAGCGCTTGGTTTGCACTTGGTCCTCGATGTGGAAGGCTGCGACGCCGGACCGCGCGTATTGCTCTGTTGTGCGGGAGACCATGATTGGGCCGCCGTAGCCTGTGTCGGCGTCGGCGATGAGTGGAATGGATGGGGAGAGGTTCGCGATCATCTCGGCGTTGTTGCGCATGTCGTTAAGCGTGCAAATTCCCAGGTCTGCCTGTCCGTGGACAGAGGCTGCGGTGCCTGCGCCGGTCTATTTTTTTTTTTGCACTCGCAAATTAGCCCTCGTCCTGACTACTATTCGGCTAACAGGTTGTACAGCATCCCATCACTCACCATGTACAGCGCATCGAATCCAGCTGCAAGTGCTAACCGGGCTGACATGCCATCGTATACACCGGGGGCCACAACGATGCCATTGGGATCTGCGAGGACCCGTCGCAAATTGGTAGCTCCTTGGTTAACCGTCATGACGTCTGTTGATACTGACTGACTTGGATTCCAAAATCAATACAGTTGTTCACTGTGCAGATGAACTAGGAACGACAAAAAAAGAGTTGGAAAATCCAAGAAGTCCGCTTCCGGTCATGACATTTTATATTCTGGTTTCTGCATTCCACGTGTAGCCCCTCCAACCTTTTTTTTATTTCTTCACTCGCCCCCCACCTCTGAACTGTTCTTGTCGATGATGCGCTCTCCCCACTGCCGGCGTGCCGAGCCCGATACCGGGCTTATGTCATGATTGCACTCGGTGTTTTTGCTGAGGCGCCGAGTTAGAACCGAAGTAGATCTGGAATTGCGTGGCGACTAGAATTTTCAGCTCAGGATTTTCAAAATGGATCTAATTGCAATCAAACATTAAAGATTTTTGTATCGATAAATTGCTTTGATATTTCTAGAAGCCATGCGGTTCATGCAGTTCATGCAGCGCCTCGGGATTCTATGCCGACCGCGGCAGTTTCTTGAGCGGGGTACATGCCTTGAATCAGGTCTGTCTTCCCATCGCCACCTTTGGCGGATTACATGACTCTCGACATTTCTCTAATGAATAACCTTGGAACCTTTTTGCGTCCAAGTCATCATTCTGACCACTTACGCGGCTGGGGCTGTTGCTTATGCAAAGCTTGAGTTAAGATTTTGTAGAAAACCGCCACAGCGAGCCGAAAAAGCCATTCTCCCTTGCGGTGACTCAACACTGGCCGGTGTAATCCTGTGCGATTGGTTGTTCTGTTCCGCTAAATTGACATCCTTGTGTGCTGTTACCTATCAAAAAGCGATCTAGGCTCAAATTGCAAACGCGATAACGACTTCCCCTCTCATGATTGTTTATGGGGGCTAAAAATCAACGAATACATTACATATAGCGCTGCATGCTCAGGTGGATATTCGTGTATACAAAACTCATCTGGGCATCGACCGCTAATCTGACCCAATACATAGTAGTATTGTCCCCTTCATCAGCCCCTCAACTCAAAACTACTAGGTATGTCAGATTCAAGCCCTCCTACCGATACAGCCAACTCTACGGCCAGTTTCCGCCTCGCAGACGGCCTAGGATATGCTCTTCAACAGAACCACCACTCAGTCATCAGACTGAATCTACAGCACTACCTTTGGCGCCAAGCATTGGGCTTCCACATTCACCCTTCCATCCCCACAGATCAGATTTGCGAGAAAATCGCGGATGTGGCGTGCGGTACTGCATTGTGACTGATCGATGTTGCCCACCAATATCCCCACTGCCAACTCGACGGGCTAGACATTGATCTCACTCAAGCTCCTCATCGCAGATGGCTCCCCTCCAATACCCGTCTCGAATCTTGTGATTTTTTCTCAGATGTGCCAGCGGGCCTCGAGGCAAAATACGAACTAGTGCATGCTCGGTCACTTGTAGTAGTTAGTATTTTCTGATATGCACATGTGGCTTCACGATCTCAAGCCTTAAAACCTACCTAGGTATGATACCTATATTAGTTTCTTCCAAGGTTTGAAGAGCCGGAGACAAATATACGTGCATCCATACCTACTAGGTAACGTTGCTTAGTGCTGGTATAGGTACTCTCCTTGAATCAAAATTTCCATATTCTCATCGATGTACCTTAGAATAGTAGATCACTTCACCAATCATATGTAGTACATCGTATGTACTCATATACTGCAGAAGGCTCTACCTAATTGAAAGAAAGGACAACAGGACTGCACACATGTGCAGCTCTCTCCAGGGCTGAGCAATAGATTAGTTCTATGACTTGGCCCTTGGGTCAAAATGATCCATAATGTTGTGATATGTGATACTGTGTGAGTCACTAGGATCATATAGTTCTTGACTACAGAGAGAAAGAATGATTATTGGTGGAATAAACTGACTATAAAGCTCTGGAGCTGCACTGGATGTTTTGCCAGCCATTTACGAAATGTCTTTTTAAATTTATTTCTACACCACCATTACTGTTTCAAATTAGCCGAAACTTTTAAAACTTATTAGTAAAGTGTTTAGAGCTCACAGTAATTTATTAAAGCAAAAATATAAAAAGCTGCTGGTGTTATTGAGATAAAGAGATTTTGACTAACAAAAGGAATATGAAGCAATGCGCAAAAAAAGCGATAATTTTTTTTGGGTATCCCAGTTTGCGCCATTTTCCATAAATTACTTCACCACCAGCCCAAAAAGCATTTTGAAAAGCTCAAAATCTCACAGTACTCCCTCTGGGGCACTAGAATGTATCAAATGTAATTTAAAAAAGAACCAATCATTATTGGTGGAAGGAGGTGAGTCGTGACTAAAGGACTCGAGCTACACCAAGATCAGTGCGAGGCCCTACTGGCCCTACTGTATTGAGTACTGCCCAGCATGCAAGATCAACAATGTGCAGCTGCGTCTTACATAATTGACAATCAAGATAGTTATTCAGATTGATGAGCAATGGGTATAATCATATAGTTCCTTTCAGACTACAAGGCTATTTATACTTATCTTACAATGTTTGTATGCATGCTTTTCTACTCTCCCATTTTTACCAGATTTACATTGTCTTTGCTCTCCTAAGCTCCTCATTAAGATTGTAGAATAGACATATTCATATTAGCTGTACGTTATATACTATGTACTTACTTGGTTATGCATCTACTCATCATTTACCCGTTTAACGTTAACCATGGCCCGTGCTCTTACCGCCTTGAGGTAAAGGCACAGCCGCACGGGCTATCTGCGGCCTTCGACTCTTGCAACCTCAAATCCACCTTTAATCCTGAAATGCGCCCGCCAACAGACTACTAGTAGTCCTATCTTCTCTCGCCTCTCCCTTGACTTAACCACCTTTCCAATCCCCCGATGGCTCGTTCCTCCGTCGTCCAAGAATATGCCGCGCCCTCCACAACTCTAAGCCTCGACCAGAAGGTCACCCACGAGCGCCAGATCTACAAAGTACCGCGCCCCCAAGGCTATCGCGTGTCATGGCATTCCAATCCAGCTGTGGAGCCACACCACTTTGGCCAGTCACATCCCATGAAACCATGGCGACTCACCTTGACCAAGCAGCTGGTCATGGCGTACGGCATGCATCACGCGATGGACATGTACCTGGCGCGAGCAGCGACATATGAAGAAATGGCCGACTTTCACGAAACAGATTACCTCGATTTCCTGAAACAAGCGATGCCTGGTGATGTCGAACGGCCCGAGCAAAGTGACAACGTTATCCGCTTCAACTTCGGTGACGACTGCCCCATCTTCAGCGGCCTGTACGAGTACTGTGCCCTGTACGCCGGCGGCACCGTCGACGCAGCCCGCAAGCTCTGCAATGACCAATCCGAAATCGCAATCAACTGGTCCGGTGGTCTGCATCACGCCAAAAAGTCCGAGGCCAGTGGTTTTTGCTACGTTAACGATATCGTCCTGGGTATCCTGCAGCTCCTCCGTCACCACCCACGCGTCATGTACATCGACATTGATGTCCACCACGGCGACGGCGTCGAACAGGCCTTCTGGTCCACAGATCGCGTGTTGACAGTCTCCTTCCACAAATACGATAAAGATAATTTCTTCCCCGGCACTGGCGCCTCCGAAGACACGGGTCCCAACCACCCGCTCAATCCCGGCGCTCACCACTCCATCAACGTCCCGCTCAATGACGGGATAGACGACGAACCATACATCCAGCTGTACAAGGAGGTCATTGGCGCCTGTGTCCGCAATTACCAGCCCGGTGCGATTGTGCTGCAGTGTGGCGCCGACAGTCTGGGTTGCGATCGACTTGGCTGCTTCAATCTCAATGTTACCGCTCACGGCGCCTGCGTCGCCTTTACCAAGTTGTTTGGATTGCCACTTCTCGTTGTAGGCGGTGGAGGCTACACACCGCGTAATGTCTCCCGTGCTTGGGCGCACGAGACTTCCATCCTGCTAGACGCTGATCAGACGATCGACACGACGATCCCTGAATCGGTAGGGTTCCGCAACCACTTTGGTCCGGATTTCTCACTTTTCCCACCTCTCTCTGAGATCCGCACCATCGAAAATAAGAATACCCGTGCGTACCTCAATGATTTGGTTGAAAATGTTCATGAACAACTTCGCTATATCAAGGGTGCCCCCAGTGTGCAGATGAGTTTTATTCCCCCTGATATCCTCGGTTTGCGAGAAGAAACCGAGAAGGAAATCGAAGAACGCACTGCCATGATGGAAGAAGAGTATGAAGAGCTTATGGGTGGTGGATCGGCTGCTGCATCCAGTATCAGTCCAGCAGGTGGTCCTGGCTCGACAGGGTCCATTCCGCGTGGGAACAGGCGGCGTGAACTTGAACGGGGAGCTGGGTACAGAGGCGAGCTATATTCTTAAGGTTGCTCGATCTTCTTTTTCGATTTATCTTTCCATGGTGTTAATGGTTCATGGGATCGGGAGTTTTAAGCGAAGTCTCTCTGGTTTAGAGGCCTGTATGTTTATGCTGGGATGTCATTATGGGGTTGGAGTTAAGACATCTTCCTTTTTCAATGTTGGGCGGATGTTTGACTGGTTTTTTTCTTTCTTTCTATTATCGTGATATCCCGGAAGAATTTTGTACTTTTGTACAGTGACATATGTAATAAGACAAACACATGCATCTTCGAAATGATTCAATTCTTAGACATACACTGAATAAATCCCATGAAAAAGTCCCCAGGACCGGCCCTAATGCGCTTTGTGTGAAGAAACCCTCTTGTTTATCAAATATATCGTTTCGGACTTGACCTTGACCACCATAAGCTTCGTACTATTAGATTCTCCATCTGCTCCATTGCCCCATTCACATATGCAGTTCTTCGTTCTTCGCTACTACGATACAATGAAACTCACGTTCAAAGATTACTGCTCACCCCCGCCTCGTTCAGCTCATGTAATTGATTCCAAAATATGATCGAAGTTAATGAAGATTCATTTGTTATTTCGAGGGCGTTTTCAAGTTTGGTACTTTTGTTTTGTCTTTTGGGAAAATCCAGCATAAAATCGGGTATCCAGCAATGGTGCGGCGTCGTGACCGGGAAACGCTTGTGTTGAACATGGAATATAAGGAGAGAAGGGGACGGGAAACATCATACTAGTAGATGCCCGTCTTTCGGTCGAAGGGATGATGATGAGTCTGCATGGGTTGTCCACATCGTCTGAAGGGCCCTCGGGATGGTGAAGAGGGTCTAGGTTGAAAGGATTGTAGAGGATGTGGAATATAAAGGGGGCAGGAGAAGAGGTGCAGAGGAAAAGCTCTTCATCCGATTAGGAATTTTTAGGCTTTTCATTGCTTCTCCTCTGCATCTACAAACTGCTCCACCTCTGATGTTCGGGTATCTTTGCGTTCCACAATCTCTGGCCTAGTGGGTTCAGCTTCGGACTCTGTTGGCGTGATGGCGGTATTAGCTGTGATATCCTGGGGATCCGCTCGCTGCACGGTGGTGGACCGAAGCACTGTATGGCGGAATCTGGAATTGAGATGACACTTTCTGACCTTGGACAATGGGCGCAATGGCTAGGATTTGTTTCTTGGCAAGTTCCGGGTCGTGAGAATCACTGATATTCAGAGTTAATCTTCCGGGACGTTTTGTCAGGTAACAGATCCAAGAAAAAAGACTTACACCTCGGCGTTAATGATCCAATCAAGGTCTTCATCTCCCTCCTCTGGACCACCAGGACCACCCTGTACAGCACGGAATAGGCGGGGTTTCCAATCAATACCTTCATCGGCGCGCTTGGCAGCCTCCTCACGTTGGCGGTCTTCGATCTTGGTCTTCTCGTCTGTGGCGGCTTCGTGGTTTCGAGTAATGATTGCCTGAACGGTTTCTTGCCACAAACGCTGTGACTCCCGCTCGCCTTGCTCTTCAATGGGACGAGCAACGGGCTTCGAGTGCTTTGCGTGGGTAGCATCGAATAAAACATCCTTCTTGTGGCTCTGTAATTTCATTAGCGCCTGGTCTATTCCAAATAGACGCGAAGTATAGAGAACTAACGTGAACATCCTTGATGACCATTTCACCGTTCCACATTCCTGATAGCTCATATAGAACGTCGCCGGTCTTCTCGTTCTTGATAGTACCTCCAATAGCATTATAAGTGCCCGAGAAATAACCCTTAGTCTTGAACTCAATATCGGCTACCAAACCGGTCTCCGGGCATCGAACGTAGCTGTGATCTCCAAGCTCATACTTCATCTTACCGAAGAGAATACCACGCGCATACATATTAGGCTGGGTAAGGATACTGCGTTGGTCTGTTAGTACTTGTGGCTGGCCGGTACAAAGCAACGCATACCCCAGCGCAAAAGAAAAAAGAAAAAAAGTAACGTACTATCTCTCGCCCTTCTCTTTGTTCTCTCCGTGGTTCAAAATGCGCAAGGTTGCGATACCTTCCATCATACTAGCTGCGGAGTTGCCTAGGAATTTACTGCGCGGCTTCAGGGTTCCGTCGATCCGAATGTGGTGCTCGGGGGCCATAAAGAAGTAGCTGGACTTGGGCGGGTGGTGCGAGGTTTGTTCAGAGATGTAGTATCCGCGGGTATTATCAGGATAATCCCAGTAGCAGGTAAAAGTTTCGCCCAGGATCGGGTTCAGCGGCTTCTTCACTCCTCTGCATGGATGATGTCAGACTGCGATCGGAGGGGAAGAACATGAAACGGTGCGGGCAACGTACGGGGGCTTGATGTGCCATCCACTCAAATAGAACTTGACCACCGACACAAATCGTTCGACAGGATCTTCAATAGTGGACATGGGAAGGAGCGTATCGGGGTGGGCCATGAAGCTAGAAGAGACGATCAGCTATGCAATAAGGCCAAGCTGCCAAGGAACCCCCAAAGCTGGGGAAATAAGTCCATACTTGGTGATCCGCTCAAGCATGGACCGGGGCTCGAGAATGAATGTGGGGAGAACGACCCGACTCAAGTCAGCGCCCGGTCGGAGCTGAGAAATGATGTGAGAGAGGACTGGAGGAGGTTCATCTTCAGTTAGTGGGCTTTTTTTTCTGGACTGCGGAGGTTTCGGGGATTGTTACCATTTCCCTGATCAGGCTCGACGATCTCTTCGTCGCCGCTAACTGCAGCCTCGTCGGCGGATGATCTACCTGGGAGTGTTTCAGACATGGTTGTTGGGGTAGAGTAGTTGGAAAGGTCATACTGGCCATGGAAGAACGGCGGAGGTGCGGGACCGGCATGACTGCGTTCGGGATGACAGAAAGAGTAGGATGTTGTGGGGGGAAGAACAACTAAAACAACAGCATTTAAAGGGAATAAAAGATTGGAAATCGAAGAGAAACACTGGAGGGGAAAATGCAAGGTTTCTTTCTGGAGTCGAATTAAACGATTACGAGAATGTGGAGAGTAGAAAAAAAGAGGGAAAAAAAAAAGTTCAAAGGTCAAGAAACGGGCTTAGACTAGAGTATTAGGCCAGTGACGTCGAATCTATGTTTCATCCTAAAGAAAACCGAGATCTACTAAAAAAAAACGCTAGGATTTGAGATGATTACTAGTACACACCGAATATTTTTGAAAAGAAGCCGAAAATGAAAAAAAAAAAAAAACAGGCTACATTGGTCATTTCCATCTTGTAGCTGTTGCCAACCCTGAAGCTGTGTCTCCTCTTCCCCAACACAAATCTTTGATCATCATGAGGGGCACCGTCTTGGCAGAAGTGGGGATTATCGGCAATGGAACTTGGCCAACTCAAGCAACATGCCGGAGGAAAAGGGGATATGGCTGCAGGTTTTTTTTTTCATGCACCTTGTAAGCCCATATAGATCCACCTTTCATCCTTCTCCGATCGTACCGGACCCATGGCAATCATACCCGGTCGATTAGCGGCACGTCTCCACGGGTGATCTCCCTCACAAATGCCAGATCCGGCTGATGGAGCATGACGTGGAAGTGTTCGACCGCGTGGACTGATTTGAGGGACTTCCAGTTTTTGAACCAGACGACCTGCTCAGCCGCCACACGAGAGCAAAAGGTACGCTGTACATATTGATCGATTGCCTCTCGTGCCTCGTCGGTAAGATTGCCCGAGATGGGATCATCTGGAAGCTCGAACTTGGTCCATACTACCAAGTGAATAATGTCAGTGTCAATGCCATACGGCCAGTCGTTATGTAGAATGCGGATATCCTCTGTGGGCAAATGAAGAAAATAATACGATCCTTTGTTAGCCATATAATTCATTTGGAAGTTGGAGATAGTATGTACTGCAAGAACATACTAGTAGTAAACAAAAGGGACTAGTGAAGTGTCTAGTACATACCGCTAAATTCAAATGGGCCTCCCTTGGGCTTCATATCCTCGGTGTTTCCATCGCCCCATTCTAGTCTCTTCTTAACCACGAATCGCATCACCGACCCATACTGGGCTTTGATATGGGCTGTGTATTCCAGATACTTGCGTAGGTCACTGGGCACGCGTTGGAATCGATCAATCCGGTTCGTTCCTGTGGACAGTCAGCAAGACCAAGGAACCCCCAACATATGCAAACTAGTCGATTCAGCTCCACTCAACTGATTATTTCCTGTACCAACTCCCAGTTTTGTCGCTGATAATGACTATCAGACATAGAAAGACACTGGATGTTCTTTGTTGATTGGTTCTGGAGAAAGCTGGGGCACTCGGCGGTCCATTGTGATTGAGGTACGTTTATTAGCCAATAGGGCAAGTTATCGTGATCAAGGCCATTGTCGAGGAGAAACTGGGCGACTGAGTTCGTATCGGCGCTGGTTCGTTTATCGTCGATGGCAGTGATTGCCAGAGCAGGGGTTAATGGTTCGAAGTGAGGCATCATAAGGAAAAGGCAGAAATAAGGCCCCCAATGTTCATTCAGGTTGTGAGGTAGCCTGGGCTTTGCAGGATGAATCTCTCTTGAAAGCGACGTCACCGTGCAGTAGTGTTGGGGAAGAAGGTTAGAGGAAAGAAGGGGTTCTCGAAATAAACGATTTTATACCAAAAACAGTTGGTCTTGTCGATCACCGGGGTTAAATATGCCGCGAAATCCACAAGGTCTCCTTGATTGGTGTGGAGGCTGATAAACCGTTACTGAACAGTTTATATTTGGTACATTATGGTCAATCCTGGAACCGATTGGAATTCTTTCTGCAGAAAAAGGGGGTTGGGTTGAGATATTGAACTACTAGACATCTATGCGACCGCTAGCTTCTGAAGGACCGCGTCATCTGCATGGATTACGGAAACCCCTGCGATAAGAAGCTCCTCCTTGACCTCGTCCCAACCAGTAGGAACGACACATTTCGTTGCCTCTTCAATCAGCCAGCTTCGGAACCCAGCCTTGACCGCATCAATAGCTGTGCATTTCACGCAATAGTCTCCCGCCAGCCCAACGACAAAGACGTCCGTCACTCCCTTGGCCTGGAGCTCAGAGGTGACATCTACCGTGACCGAATGCATTGTCACAGTCGGATCGATGTTGCCAAATGCATCGGCAAAGGCAGAGTACATCTCGACCTGCGAGTGTCTCCCTTTCATCACCACCAAGTCAAATAGATGGTCGTCGATCTCGGGAATGAAGTCTGCGCCGGGGGTTTCCTCCACGCAATGGACTGGCCAAAGTTGCTGGGGTTTTGTTTCTGGCTCTTGACCTGGAGGCGGATGGGGGTTTGTCATTGCAACAAATGACTCAAAGGGTCGGTTATTTGGATGAGGATGGTTACTGGCAAAGGAGATGTGGTCTGGTGGGTGGTAGTCTTGAGTCGCGATACGCGACACGAACCCGGGTTGGGCGAGGAGGTGGTTGATCAAGGGAGCTATGGACCGGCCATCTTGTACAGCGAGAGAACCATTCTGTAGACGCGCATCGCAGCTTGCGCATCAGCACCAAGCTTCGAGCTGTTAGTTGAGAAGCTATTGTTCACTCACGGGCGGACAAAAGTCTTCTTGCATATCGACTACGATCAGAGCGGGCACAAAAGGCCCATTCTCAATTTCTGTGGCCATTCTTTCAAGGCCAAGGGGACGTGGATTGATTCAAACCATGGGAGTTTGAAGAGTTTCAAGTTGCCCAGGATGTATTGCTGCCTTGGCACCCCTCTTAGCTCTCTAGCTCAAGTTTCAAGCACAAAAGCAAAGTGGGGAGCTGGCCAGCTGAGTCAGCAGCGTGATCAAAACCGCGAAATTCAACAGCAAAACGAATCCTCGCTTTCTCTTCTCCTCTCAAGGGCTACGGCCCCAATCAATGCATCACAAGTAAGACTCCCAAGATAATGAAAGATTATTGCAAGGTCAGTGAAAGAATAATGTTTCTTCAATTTGCTTTTTATCTGCTTTTTTTTTTGTCGGGGGTTCATGTGATGAATTTATATTTATTGGAGCTGTCTGAGCTTTCGCTATGCGGACAAACTCTTTATACGCATTTAACTGAAAAAACACCTCTTGTCTATCTATGTTTTTATACATGATCATGGAGAGAATACTCTTGCTAACGTCAAGAATATAGTCAATTACAGGAGATAGTAAACCCAACTTCAAGCCACCTTGATCAAAATTTTCTCTTTATATTTTCTATTGGCCCTTTCTGTCCCCAATTTAGTCTATCCATATCATACCTATACCTTAGGTATCAATAATTTCCCATCATGGCATATGACCCTCGTCGTGTAAACACGGGAACCTCTACTCCCCAAACTCCTCAAACTCCTCCACCTCCCCCTCCACCACCGGAATCCTCCACTCCTACCGAAACAATGGATTCACAATCTACCCCTACCCAAGAGGGCAGCACCGACAACTGGAAGTTGAAGTTCTGCACAGTCTGTGCCTCCAATAACAACCGGTCCATGGAAGCGCACCTTCGACTTTCCGCCGCACCCACTGCCTTCCCTGTCATCTCATTCGGCACGGGTTCTCTTGTCCGTCTCCCCGGTCCTTCCATCACCCAGCCCAATGTCTACGGCTTCAACACAACTTCCTACAATCAGATGTACGAGGAGCTACAATCTAAGGATGAGCGACTATACCGTAACAACGGTATTTTGAACATGCTGGACCGCAATCGCAATCTCAAATGGGGCCCCGAGCGCTTCCAGGATTGGGTTCCTGGCGCACCACGCATGGATCACATCACGAAGGGAGACAAGGGCTCATTGGGTGCCGAGGGTGGCGTCGTCGATGTCATCATCACCTGTGAAGAGCGCTGCTGGGATGCTGTGGTCGACGACCTGATGACCAAAGGCTCAATGGTCAATCGTCCTGTCCATGTCTTCAATGTCGACATAAAGGATAACCATGAAGAGGCGCTGGTGGGAGGGAAAGCGATCTTAGATTTGGCAAACCGACTGAATACCGCCGCTGTTGCACAGCGCACGCAGCATGGGACAGATGGATGGGAAAATGGGGCTGGTGCGGCTCGACAGAGCTTTGACGAGAAGGTTCCTGAGATTCTAGCGGAATGGCAAGAATTGAATCCCAATTTGCCGGCCTTATGGACACTGGCGTGGCTATAGCCTCGATCTTGATGCCTGATACCCCCTGGTGCACCAGTTAACAGCAAGTGACATAGTTATGGTCACTACTACATAGTATCCTTAATATAACATTGAATACATTTGGGCTTCTTCAAACAGAAATTTACCACCAGCCAACTGAGGCTTAACGTTATATTACACTCGTAAATGAAAAGTAGCAAGCGTTCTTGAAGAGACTGAATTCAAAATTGGGTATCATCGCGTATTCCCGAATATCAACGCCAGAGTTGCCCCCGAAGTGTCACGTACTAGTAGCAACAAGCAACCATGTATTTTGGAAAGCTTGGTTTGGATTGAGCCCTTGATGCCTAATCACAGCTCATCCTTGATTTCCCTCTTCACCCACTCGGTCTTGACTTTGTCATCTTTGACCCATTCGCCCTTGACCCTCTCGTCCTTGACCCTCTCGTCCTTTATCTGTTCGCCTTTGACAAACTCATCTTTCGGCAGCAGAGCATCGCGTCTTTCCGAGTACCATCGATCAAGACAAGCCCTCCGGTCAGCTTGGGTCATGCTTTCAACGACCAGTGCGAACTGTGTCGCATCGGCATACCCCAAACGCTGCGCCATGGTGCAGAACTGGCGTCTTTTGACATCCTCCGGCGGATTATATTTGAAACGGAAAGCAGAATGGTCCGGTGGGTTCGGGCGTGGTATATAGTCAACTTCCTCAAACGGAGAAATGTCATGAGGCTGCATTTGTGACGATGCTTGGAAGACCTTAAAATTGGCACTTGGGTCGTTTGTTATCTGCTCCGCTTGACGACTTAGCTTCTCCTCGACACGGGAAGAACCAATGACTTCATTGTTGAGGTGAGTATATTCCACTCCTGCGCTGGAAAGAATTGCTTGCACAGGGTCGTGTTTGTGTTGGGCGCTGGGAGTGACCCGTGATTTAGGCGCAAGGTCCTCCTGTTCACCGCGAATCATGGCGGCATATTGGCTCATAACTTCGTCCTCGGACTTGGTAGCATCACCAGAGACTTCTTCATCTTCTTCAAAGTGGAAATCTATTACTTGGACACCTGCTCGACTTTCAGCGACGTTAGTCGTATTCACGATATCCCGGAGGACAACATTATCGTATTGGTACGAGAACAAGTTTTGCATGCCGAAAATCTCGCCCTTTTGGTCTTTCTGGTCTTGAACTCCCTTAAAGTATCGTCTCTCGGAGCTCGCATTGTACCCAATTTCCGCCTGTTGCTGCTTGTAGATCTGACGAGCATAGACGATCTCCTCGATGGTTCCAGCGGAGACAAGACGAAAGACCTCGACATCGCGGACTTGTCCGATACGGTAGGCTCGGTCTTGAGCTTGGAGATCCCATGATGGGTTCCAATTAGGATCCACCACAACGACTTTATTGGCAGAGGTGATGTTCAGACCGACGCCGCCGGCCTTGGTCGAGATCAAGAAAACGAATTGCTTCGAGTCGGAGTTAAACTCATCCACAGCTAACGCACGATCTTCATACTTCATTGATCCATCCAGATAGCTCACATTGTAGCTGGTATGGGTGAACAGCATCTGAAGCATTTTCAAGAGACGTACGCTGTGCGAGAATATTAGGACCTTATCTCCATTTGAATGCCACCACTTGAGCAGCTTTTTGAGAACCTTCCATTTCCCGCAAAATTCAGGATTCGCAAAGTTCATAATGGAGTCCCTAGCGCGGTAAAGACCTTCCCATTGATCAGGAAGTGCAATCTCTAGCATCTCTCTATCTTTCTCCTGTCTCTCCTGGGGGTCATTTCCTTGGGGAATGAGGAGTGCAAGGTGGTTACTGAGCTTTTGCAGCACATGTATAGCAGGGAACACATAGGCTTGCCATGTTTTCCCCGTGCCGGGTATAAGTCTGTGGCAGCACCAGCCTGCTTTCTTTTTTTGTCCACAGTCGCACATGTCGGTGGAGTTCTTGATTGTCTGAATAATATCGCTGTCCAAGAAGTTTTCATATGCCTCTGCTTGTGACCAAGTAAGAGGGCAAAATACCACCCGATCACTTTTCTTCGGTAATTGATCTGCGATCAGGGATTTCATGCGTCGGAGGAAGAACTGCGGTAGTAAATTTTCGACAAGCTTCTTGGCAGTTCTCCGAGCCTTACTGAGCTCATTCACAGTTGCGTTGTGGGACTGTCCGATCTTCAATGGTTCTGCAATTTGTGCTTTCCATGTTGTCACCGGACCAAGCACGCCGGGGTTGGTCCAATTCAGTAGTGTCCACAGCTCCTCATATCGATTTTGTATCGCCGTGCCCGTCAGACCGATACGGCAAAGGGCGTTTATTTCGTTCATCGCTTTGGTTGTTTCTGACTTTCGTTCTTTGATCTTATGGCATTCGTCTGCAATTACACAATCCCATTCGATCAGATTGACCATCCCCTTGTTGTTGACATAGGTTGTGTAGGTGGTGATCATTATTTCGGCCATACCCGATTTCACAGTCTGGAAGGGGATATCCTTGCTGGCACCATGATACACTTCAATTTGCCACCAACCCCATCTGCGTAACTCGGCAACCCAGTTCGAGATCAGAGTTCCAGGACAGACAATCAAGGTGCGTGGATACCATGGCTTATCAGCAGATCTGCGCATCTTGCGCATTCGCTTTGCATCACGCTCGTCACCAGTCTTGCCATACGCCACTGTCAGAAATGCAATTACCTGAATGGTTTTTCCAAGGCCCATATCGTCTCCGAGAATCCCACCTTTCTGATAAATGAACTTCTCATGCATGAAAGCCACTCCCTCGACTTGATATTGGCGCAGCCATTGCGCAAATGGTGCGGGAATCAAGCCAAGGGAAAAGGGTAACGTAATGTCTTTGTATTCGCGAGCTGGTGTCCTCCCCGGGAAGGAGGGTCTCTCCTCCAGATGCTCAAGGCGCTCGTCGTCGGAAAATTCCACGTCCTCATAAGAAGGCGGTAGCTTTAATCCATACTCTTCAAGGTGTTCTTGTTTCCGATCAAACTTGAGACGGCGTTTTTTGAGGTAACTAGGAAGCGTATGCTCCATCAAGTCATCCTCAGACGATACTTCTCCATATTCTTTCATAGGTCGTTTGGGCTTGGGCGTCGGTTTTTCGGGTTTCACAAGGCCAACGATCATATCATCAGCCGGTTTTTCTTTTTTTGCAAACTTTGGAAGCTTCGCTCTGCGATTTGCAGCAGCAGTTTGTTTGCGCTTGACAGATTTGCGATCCTTGAACTTCTGGTATGCCGCTTCGCCATCATTGAACCCCTCGTCGCTATCACTGTCTTCAGATTCAACTATTACCGGGGTATTGACTGAGATACGAGAAGGGGTATCCAAGGAGTTCAATCTGAGAGGTGTGGAGGTCTCTGATTTGACGCTGGCAGAATGCTTGGCTTTTTAGAATGTAAGCTGCAGGTAGCGCGTTTTGGGATGCAAGTACTACATACTTTGAATAGTTGGAGTGGGGGTTGATTTCACATATCGCGTCACTTCCAAGTCATCATCGTCAGAGTCAATGGTAATGACCTCGGAAAGATTCTGGCGGGTCTCCATTTCGGCAGCATTATCAAAGTTGTACTAGAAAGATCATAGAGGTTGTAGACTGTAGATGCGCGTTTTAGGCAGAGGGCGGGAAGGCGGAGAAGAGGAAAGGTGGGCGATGTCATTCCCGATCGGCGAAATGGAAAAAAAAGCTCTCCGATCATTTCTCTTCTCCCCACACGAGCTCTGCGCTCTACATTGTTGGTATCACCCAATTGGGCTTGAATTGAGGCTCCAATATTGTACGCGATCACTTCGGATTCAGCTTTTAGTGGTCCTGCCACTGCCTTTTTATTCTGTCTTGACTGACTTCTATCCCGTCACGCAGATTACTAGACGGACCTACTCTTGAGTATCTTATCGCCATAACGGACGATCTATTCTTTTAGAATACACTGGGGATAAATCATCAAAGATGCCTCTCGATACCTCTACAACGTATCCTCTGACCCGGCTGCGCCTGGACGGCCGCCGGTGGAACGAACTGCGCCTGTTGCAAGCCCAGATCTCGACCAACCCCGCCAGTTCCGGATCATCCTACCTGTCCATGGGAAATACATCGATCATGTGCTCCGTTCATGGTCCTGCGGAAGGCCGTCGAGGAGGTGACTCAGCTGGAAGTTCTGGAGCTGTTGTCGAAGTGGACGTCAACGTTGCTGGGTTTGCTGGTGTGGACCGCAGACGGAGAGGCGGAGGAGGTGACAAGTATGTTTCACCAATTGCGGCATCTTGCTTATAAACAGCCTGTCTCAGGGCAAACAATGCTAATTCGTATATTTTAACTTGCAGGATATCGTCACGCATTGCAGTCATTCTCCGTTCTACCTTCCAGTCACACTTACACACCTATCTCTACCCGCACAGTACAATCAGCATCCATGTCTCCGTTCTCTCGGCCGATGGATCCGTACTCGCCGCCGCAATCAATGCTTGTACTTTGGCTTTGGTTGATGCTGGTATTCCCATGCCTGGTCTGCTCTGCGGCGTTACAACCGGTATGAGCGGCAGTGCTTCGACACCCAAGGATCCCCGACACGATGAGCTGGACCCCCTACTGGATCTGTCTCTTCCCGAGGAACAAGAGCTTCCTTTGTTGACTATTGCAACTACGCCTATGGTGCCTGGGGCTGAAGGTAGTATGGAAGATGAGGAAGAGGAAGACGAAACTACTGTTGCTTTGATGATCATGGACTCCAAGGCTCACGGTACATACAGCGAGACGATGGTAGCTGTAGGTATTGATGGGTGTGACCAGATTCGTGAGCTGCTGGAAGGAGTGATCAAAGGATCGAGCCGGGCATAAAACGTTACGATACCCTCTGATATAACAGTACTATTTGCATGGGCGGCGTCAAGGAAAATGAAATTTACTATGTTTCCCACTTGAAATTTCACTCGTAACGTTAGATATAGGATTATCTGCTCAAACGAGCGCATTAATATGCTCATCTTAAAAGAGTCCAACGTGAAATCTGCTCACTTCCCATGCGTGCTACCCAATCAGCACGCGTGACACTTTGTTTACCTTTTTCCAATCCACGACCTTGTTTCTTCTCTCCCAAGGTTGATCTTGTGCCTCTACGTTGCTCTCTGTACGCCCTTCTCATACTCCATAAACAGTAGTTGATATTCCATCACTTCCATCAATTCCATCAATTCACCTTCAACTCCAACTCAACTATCCACGAAACAATCTCCATGGCCTCTATGGGAACCATGACTACAACGACTGCAGCCATGCCCACTGACATGTTCCCCCCTGGTATGTTTCCTACTGGTGCTATGCCCACTGACATGTTCCCCACTGGTATGTTTCCTACTGGTGCCATGCCCACTGGTGCCATGCCTACTAATATGACGAGCAACCTCGGCATGGGTGGTATGGGTGGCATGGGTGATCTGGACATGAGCTGCAAGATCTCGGTGAGTTCACTGTCCTCTTTACTTGCAATATCTTTTTACTTGAACTGACATGAAGTTCTAGATGTTGTGGAATTGGTACACCATTGATGCCTGTAAGTTATCCAGTGTTTGATCACCTCACCGTCCTACTAACCGAGTGTCTTCTATCAGGTTTCCTCTCGAATACCTGGCACATTCGCTCCAAGGGCGCCTTTGCTGGCTCTTGCATCGGCATCATTCTGTTGGTCATGGTTCTGGAGGCTCTACGCCGGGCTGGCCGAGAGTACGAAGCCTGCATCCTACGCCGAGCTCGTCTCCGCCACCTTTACCTCTCTGCTTTGCCTTCTGATGTCCCGGCTCCTCGAAACGTCAAGGGAAATCCCGATAGCATCGTTAAGGGCACGCCAATTCCTCAGAACAAGATCATTGGCCACTCTATTCACTCTGACAATGACTCCATCACACCTTTCACAGGAAATTCGTTGCCTTCGAAGAACTCGGACGAGATTCACAATAATGGTGGGATTCGGACTGGTGCTGAGTCCGATAACAGCGAGGCCTTGAACAATATCTGCCTCTCAAACTTTGGACCTTACCGCCCCTCGCCCGTTGAGCAATTCGTCCGAGCTCTGTTTCACATGATGCAGTTTGCTGTCGCATACTTTATTATGCTGCTTGCCATGTACTACAACGGGTACATCATCATATGTATCTTCATTGGTGCTTTCCTCGGGTCATTTATCTTTTCTTGGGACCCGATTTCGCTCAAAAAGGAGTAGGCTTCACTTGGCATATTTCCAGTGGTACCATGACGACTGACATCTCGTGTTTTTCTTTGCAGTGATGATGCTACCACAGTCACCAAGTGCTGTGGCTAGTACCACTCGCTCAATTATGAGCCAATTATTCTCTGCGAGTCTGCCTTTCGCAATACTAAAGTGTGTGCTTTCCCGATATACTTCCAATAATGTCATGAAAGCTAACATTATATTCTCCATACAGAAATGATACCGCGAAAGTCCACAACCTGAGCTTGATGTTCTCCACTCAAAAAACAACTCATGGAAAAAAAATATCTTATTTCATGAGTGCCATAGCTAATTGGAATCCGGGCCGTTTCATTCATCATTTAGGGGCTAGTTACATATGATTATCATGTACATACGATTCTTATTTTCTTAGCTCTCAAAACATCCGGCCAATTCACTATCTCACCATCCAAATCACTCATCTCTCGCTCAGTCCAAATAATTTCAATAATCTGCCTAGCAATAGTGGCACTAATAAGTCCTGTTGTCGCAGAACAAGACTCGAACCACAACGAGAAGAATGTCTGTGTCTCCGAATGCACCGCCTCACAAGCAGCAATAAATGCAGGCCATATAAGCGTGGCCATATTCGCGCCTCGCAAATTGGCCTCATCCACGCGAACCTGCTCCAGCAAGCATTGCACAGACTCCACTTCTCGCTGAAGCAAAGAAGGATCCAAATCGGTAACCCGACGGTGAAAGAAGATCAACAACGCAGTATACATCACCTGAGCCCGAGGCTGCTTTCCAAAATCAATCTGGCTCTCCTCTTCCCATTCTGCACGGCTGGGACTAGTACAAGAGGCCAAAAGAACCCGAACGGCTTTTTCCAGTGCCTTGGCTCGCGCCCAGAAGTCCCGTAGATTCAAAATCCCCTCCCCGCTCCCATGCACGGAAAGATCCCGCTCATTCGCGAGTCGAATCACCTGCGAAAGAAGCATGAGAAAGCTCTCAGCAACGCCACATATCTTTGGAAATAGTGTCAACCTCCAGCGCCCGGGTATGGCTAGATGGAGATCTCGCTGTGCGACAGCCGGATCCTTCTCCATTTTCATGATGTTGTCTGTGAACGCGATGTTGGGGTAAATCCGGAAGTCTGTGTAGGGCATCTCGAAATTGTGTTCGTTTGGTAGACCGGTTTTCCATGCTGGGTTTGTGATCGGCGTGGCATTTATGCTGGTGGTCTCGGTCATGATTCGCATGTAGGCATAGCAGTGGTGTAAGGCTCTGCGTTTGGGTGATAGTGTGGGTTGTTTTAATCCGTTGATTGAGATGAATTTCTCAGCTTGAACTAGACAAGACAGACGTTGTTCAGAGTCTCCTTTGATCATCTTTTGCAGGATTAAAAGGTCAGTTTGCTCTCGCCAATGCCATGGATGTGATGTTTGTGAAAAGTCAAGATCAAGACGGATATAATTGGGTGACATACAAAAGCAGTTGAGAGACTTAGTATTGCCATCAAAACCTCCTTGTATTTGCTAGTCTTCTTTGTCGAAAGGCAAATCTCTTCCATACAGCGTAGAAAGCAGTGCTGAGCTCGTTTCAAATATGTGTTTCCAGCTTCAATCCAACTCTCGAAGGAAATAGCGGAATGGTTCCCCAGATGAAATGCACTGGTACTAAGCAAAGCATTCAACAAAGAAAGCTTTACAAACGTGACATTTGTATCTGCAGTGAGGTCAGTCAATGTGCTGGTAGCACAAGGTATCACCAGGTTCAACCAAGGCGCTTCCTGGCCAAAGCCGAGGGGTGAGATCAGAGGAACGATCTTGTCCTTGTAATGTGAAAGAATCGACCATGCTTCGATATGATGAGTGAAGAATGTTAAAGGTTTTTCAATGCAGGTGGGAGACGATATTTCAAAAACGGTTTCTATGTCCTCTGCATCTTGCATGACGAGATTCCCGGAGTCTGGACTGCCATTCCCTTCGCTATCTGGAATGCCCAAAACACAGTCCATTGATTCAAAGTCCATATCTGCTTGGTCAAATATTCCATCGAGCTCCAATATCCAGTCATCTGGCACAACTGGTGTTTCCTCGTTTTGATTGATAGTTTCTTCCTCGAGGGTCTGCGAAAATCGAGAGACTCCAAATGGGCCCTCAAAGAATGAAAACTGCACATCTTCGTTGGTCATGCACTCAAATCTCTCTATATCGAGGAGAGCCTGTGTATAATCTCGTCCATATAAGGAGCTGACAAGTTCATTGCTCATGTATTGACGTTCGGCCTCTGTATAGGAGATTAGAATGAGCCTCAGATGAGGAAGACTGATATTTGACATGCCCGTGAACATTGCTTGGCGATGCTTCGCTGCATTTCTGGCGTTCAATCTGCAGATCTTTTGCTTCTTGTCATTGATAAATGTTAATTTATGCTGGCGTCCATACGGCTTGTGTGGATCCGTCTTCGGTGCCGCTAGGAAGGGCTGAGACAAATCACGGCAATGCATTTGTAACCCTCTAGACCTCGATGGAGAGGAATTCAAAGCTGTTTAAACGTCCAGTTCATCATATAAGCATGTGATAGTATGAGATAATGAAAAGAAAGGATTTGAAGGAAAGGTATAATTTAAATATGCTAAGTTCGCCTCTCAGATACTAAGTATGTCCACAAAAGGCATGCAATTCCGAACAATGCGGGGCTCGTGCATCAGCGTAAACCAATACAAATCCAGACTATGAAACAATATCGCCTATTCAGACTGTAGATTCATAATTCCAAGGACCAAATAGTATCCTTGATCCTCAAGTGCTTAGAATTATCCCTTTGTGAATGCCAATCGGAGTTTCTCTAGGTGGAAGACTGGGTGCATGTTGAACCCTTGCGGCAGAAACAAACTGAAGGATCCACCAAAAATGCACATCCATGCCCATGTGCCTAGGTGCATGTATGGATATGCACATTTCCGATACCTCACTGTCCAGGTGGGTAGGGCTCGAAGCTAACCACAGTGGTTTGATATGATACTAGTAAGTGGCAACTGCCACGTGGATGATGCCCCACTTAACAGGTACAGATTGTATGCTTACAAGTAGAAAATTTTTATGCATTACAGGTAGTAAACTTTTTGAGTCTCCTGCACAAGGAAGTATGCATGACTAGCTCGATACACTGTCTAGATTACATCGCGCGATAAGGACCACCAGAAGAAAAGACTCGCTAGCTGCACTGCACTACTGTCCCGTCCAGAGAGACGCACGCTCAAAAGAGACATTACCGCCTACACCAGATCATGAAGATCCAATGATTTAGAGCTCACCGCACTCAATGATGGTGGGCTTGACAGCGGAGCGGATGGAGCCGGAGGAAGAGCCAACAGCCTCGATCGCCTTAACGACCTTCATGGAAGCCTCATCGGCAACCTCGCCGAAGACGACGTGCTTACCATCGAGCCAAGAGGTGACAACGGTGGTGATGAAGAACTGGGAGCCGTTGCTGTAAGGGGAAAAAAAAAGAAATAGAAAGTTAGGAACAGGTTTCGAAGCGGGGTCAGGTGGATCTGAGCGCAGCAGTAATGCTGACATGCCAAAATGACTTACGTGTTGGGGCCAGCGTTGGCCATGGAGAGCAGACCGGGGCGGGTGTGCTGCTTCTTGAAGTTCTCATCGGCGAACTTCTCACCGTAGATGGAACGACCACCGGTACCCTGTTCCAGATAAAGAAGAAAAAATTAGACAACGTTCAAGGGCATAGAAGTAAATAAACAATAGCTCCCAGGCACAGCCATTGGAAGGTAAGGAGAGAGCAACTAACGTTGTGGCGGGTGAAGTCACCACCCTGGAGCATGAACTGGGGGATGACACGGTGGAAGCCGGATCCCTTGTAACCCTGGCCCTCGGGCTTCAAGCAAAGCTCACGGAAGTTCTTGGTAGTTCTGGGAACGACATCATCGTACAGGTTGAAGACGATGCGGCCAGTCGTGGCTAGATACGTAGTCAGTATCACGTTCTAATGACATGGAATAAACCATGTTGGCCAATTCTTCATGGATGGTAGGAGATGGGGCATTCAATTGACGAGGAAGGTGGAGGGGCAGATTCTGGTTCTGCTTGCCCCTCCAAAAGCTCTGTCATTGATGAAAAAGGAAATTCATGAACTTACGGGTAGAGGTGCCGACAGGGGCGTACTGAATATCGAAGAAGACCTGGGACATGATTGCGGATGTGGATGAGAATGATCGAGTAGAAGGATGGAAAGAGTTCAGAGAAGAGAAGAGGGAGGGTGGGGTTGACTTGAGGCGGCAAAACATGGTGAGGGGCAGGAACGGAGCGGATTAACTTTAATGCCGGCCACGTTTTAGGTTAGCTTCTGCAGTAGACGAGAGAGACAAGGTGCGCATTTTTCGTGATTGGGTGACTCAGGCATTGCACTCCAAAGGATCCCAAGGTGTTCAGAGGGAACTCCCTTGATTTGTCCAATCAACGAGCATGAGGCATATGGGATGTTGTAGACAATTGGTACAATTGATCTCCAAATTTCCACATCAGGAGAGTCAATACTTACAAGTTTTTAGAAATACAAGATGATGAAGATGATGAAAGTAGAGGCTATAGGGGAAAAAAGGCAGCTTTGAGGTAGAAAAGCCGCCGGTGATCGATGATTACGTGATCCCGAGAAGCTCCTTGAAAAAGGGCAGAATTGTGGATATTGTCAGAAAGGGGTAAGCGGTAGGTTATCTGGATTACTTGCTTCTATTTACAATTTTACAATGCAATACTTAGTCACTAGCCCCTAGCCTCCACTCCCTTGACAGTCACAATGCACCCTTTAACATGCTGCCATTCATTTGAAACTCAATAATCCTAGTACTAATTGAACTATCCTCAAAGTTACTATTTCAATTGCCCCCTTGGGTTCAATTAGCTCAGAAATGAGCGAACCGTTCTGTAGTTCATTCAAAGTCCAGTATAATTAATACATTGATTCTGAATACCTTCAAATGTTACTTTCAGCATTTTGTGTGCATTTTCAAGGCCTGATAGCATTTATGAATCAATTGATGTCCTCTTCAATGACCAGCGATTGGCAAGTTTCAAGTTCATTTCCAAGTTTCGAGCTGGAATTTACAACGCAGATTGAGGTTTGAAGATGAAAGTATTGAAGAAATCATTGTATTCTAATTCAAGTGCATTGAAATAATGCAGGACCCAGCGCCTCTATCCCGGGGTCCGTGAAGACATGAACCAAAATTCAACAACGGAGAAAAGGGGGGAGAAGAGAATAGAGGGGGAGAGAAGTGATAGACCCGAGGATCATAATGGCAATAATACAACGAATATAAACCAATTCGAAACAGCAGAAAAGTAAAGGGGGAAAAAGCGAACCAAAAACCACGAATGCCACGCGTACCAGGACATCATATCGACATTGTCGGCTCGTTTGCCACAGATGATAGTCGCTTAAAAGCCAGAGAAAAGGTAAAAAGGTAAAAAGATGTGGAGAAAGTATAGAAGGGAGAATGGAATGAAATACATAGTGCAGAGTGGTTTGGGGCATTGCCCGCAACGTATGCATAAACACAGTAAACTGTGTTGAGAAAAGAGGAAAATCAAGTCAAATCAAGTCAAATCAATCATCACCGGAAGTCATCGTCGTCAGCGTGGCTCAAGGAATCTAGGCGAGACACAAGCTCCTTGGTCTGCCGAGCAAGCTCAAACGCAAGAGGGGGTAGTTGGTTGGTCACATCGCGCATTTGCTCGGGGGTGGTGGCATGGTGGCCTTCGGCAGCAGTAGTAAGGAGTCGACCGCGGCATTCATCAAGGGCCTGAATAGCGGGTTCAGATTGCTCGCGAAGGGCAATGTCGCCACTGCGGTCTTGAATAAGGTGTTCGGTAGCAGATACCACGTTGTTGACCACATCGCCAATAGCAGAGACGTGGATCTCCACGCTGCTCAGCTCCTGCTCGGCTCGGATGCTAGCAACCAAAGCCTGGATGGACTGAACCATACCATCAGTCTGGTCTTCAACATAAAGCTTCAACTCTTGGAGTTCGTGATCCTCTTGTGGCGCTCCGTAGGAGAACCCATTGGTGTACCCGTTTTGCATAGCCGGATGGTCATGCTCGGGTGGGCTTATGGCACTATATTCAGAATGGTTGCTATAGCGCCTTTGGCTGGCACTTGTGCTGAAGTAGTCTGGGTACTTCTCCTGGGAAAGGTCGGCCTCCTCCTCTTCCAGATTCTCCTCAAGCTCCTCCGCTGGTGATGCTTGGATTTTAACCACTCGTACCATCTCCACAACGGCAGTGCAAAGATGCGAGGCGGCGGCATCTAGCAAGGAGACCGGGGAAAGACCACTGGAGCCAGTGAAATTACGAGCAGCAGTGATCATATTGTTTGCAGTGGCAGTCACTCTGTTCTTAGCCTTCATGCGAAGAGCAGCTGTGCCATCAACTGGAGGAGGTGCCTGATCCACATCCTGAATCATGTAACGAACGGTAACGATAGCAGCCTTGACATGGCTGGATACCTCCTGGGCATCTCCAAAGCGTGCAACGCGTAGTAGCTCGTCAATCGACATCTGGAACTTGGTCACATGAATATCCTTCACCACACCATCGGCCTGCACCAGCTCGTGCTCCTTGGCAATAATGCTTGCATCAGGTCGAACTTCTGAGATGCCAACAGAGGAAGTGCGAAGATGACCCTGCTGAGCTTTCGCCTTTGCGTAGCGATTCTTCCAATTGTTGACTTCATCTTGGAGTTTCTGGATATCATTGGACATCCGCTCTTCTTGTTCCCAATAAGCATGGCTCTGGGCTGTAAGGGTTTTCATCTCCATGAGGAACTCAGATGCCTCGCGCCGGACCTCGGTGGTAACCTGCTGTTGCTGCTGTAGCTCGCTCTGAAGACTCTGGTGCTTGATTTCCAGATCAGAGAATCGAGCCATTAGGTCTGGATCCCCAGACTCCCGGACAACCTCATCAAGCTGATGGCGAAGCTCCTGCTCCACATTATCATGCTCTGCTCGAACCCGTTCAAGCTCCTCCTGGAGTGAGTTGTTGAGGTCTTCGGCCTGCGACACCTTGCTCTCCAAATCCTGTCGTAGATCATCCCACTCCTGGCGTTCACTATGGCTGACCGCAGATTGATCTGAGTCTGCTGACCGGGACAGCTCCTCATCCTTGCAACGGACTAATTCTTCCAGTTTTTCCACTTTCTCTTGCAATGCTGACACCTGCGCTTGACTATCCAGCAATAATTTTCGTTCTCCATCACCAAGAGTTGTAGTTGTGGCTCGTCTGCTCAAAACTGCATCCAGCGCAAATGCATCGCTCCGGGCATCATCATCATCTTCTCCTCCCATATCATCACTATCCTCAACCATCGTGCTCTTATTCGGAACCATAGTGTTACTCTGGAAAGATCGAGGGAAGGGGCCATCTCCATTCATGCCCGGGGGCGGACCTCCAAGCGAGCCCTGTCGAGGAGGGAATGGGCTAGGAGGACCACCAGATGGATAACCTCGACCATTGCGACTCGGAGGACCACGAGACTGCGAACGACGACCGTCCGGCGGCATGCCCGGCGAAGGACGACGACCCGTGAACGGTGGGAAACGGCGCTCCAGCTCACAGAAGACATCGGTCGCGAGATCGCGAAATCGCTGGGGCTGAAGCGAAGCGAGCTTCTCGCGGGCCTGGTTCCGTTTCTCATGAAAGTTGGCACGGGGAAGGAGGAAGGCAGGTACGTCAGGACGAGGTGGGCGGCCAGGAGGAGGTGTGGCTTGTTGTCGGCGAATAAGCTCGTCATAGACGTCGGTACTCAGTTCGTGGAACTGGGTCGGCGAGAGTCGCAGGAGCTTATCGCGGGCTTTGTTGGATCGGCCGTTGATTCGGTCTTCGCGGTAAGTGGCACTGAGGAACCGTTTGAATGTCACATAGTGCTGATGTAATATCTCCTCCATCTGTCGGCGTCTTCGGCCACCATCGCGTGTGTCACCGCCCAAGGTTCCTGAGCTGGATCTCGCGCCACCCACAGAGCTGGGCGGAGATGGGTTCCCGCTGCCCGGCAGCGGGAGACCGGTACCGTTGGGGCTCAGGGGAGCGCTAGGGACGACTGAGGTTGGGGGTGTAGCTAAGTTGCTACGAGAGGAGGGAAATGTTGGCGAAAAGGGCGCGTCCGACTTTTGGTATTGGTTGATGCCGGACCAGTCGCTGCCATCGACGGAGACAGGCGACATGGCTCCCGAATGGCCATTCATATCAGGGTCGCAAAGGGAAATGTCGACTCCTCCCTGGACTTTTGATCGATTCGGAAGTTTCCTTTGAGTTTGGTTCTCAGGTTGGGGAAATATGGGGGAAGGTTGGCGAAGTAAGACACATCCACGTCGTCAACCACACAGGACCCAGTTTTATCTCCTCCACTGATCTGAAAGTCTGAAACGAAGGGAGGCGCGGAAGGGGGGGGTTAGGAGGACTCGAGCCACCAAGAGGATTGGAAAGTATGAAGGAAAGTGATGAAGCCAAAAGCCCGAGTCCAAAGGAGTGTAGGACTTGTGGGAAGGGGAAACAAAATTATGAAAGGGGAGTTTTTGTCAAAAGTTCTCTTTCTGGTTGACTCCGGAGTTCCCTTACGGGGGACCCGCTGGTCCTTACAGTGTGGAAAGCCAAGGGCTTACATTAATTCAGGAACTAGTATGCAAGCCAAGCCCCAATCACCATTTCCTCAGGACTCTATTCTGATCTATGACTTGCCGTGTTTATAATCCTTTTATCTCTAACAAAGTGCACGTTTTTTGTATCTATAGAGTTCCCAAGGCTTTTTCTTACCAGCTCGTGGTCAAAAAAAGTGTCTTGTTGAAAATGACATGTCAGAATTAGAAGGAAAAAAAGAAAACACCATAAAATACACAAAATACACAAAAAAAAACACAAAAAAACACAAAAAAACGCAACAAACTTCCGTGCTAAAATAGTACAAAATAGTATAATTTACAGTAACAATACCCTAATTTCGTCACTAGCCACAAAGGGGGGCTGAAATCACATCCGGGGGGGCCGCGCCTCCCGCTGGCTCCTTGCAGAACAATGGATTCTATGTAAGAACCTTGGAAATATCTTACAAAATTTCAATGGAGGCTATTAAGCCATCAGATTCGAGGTCATCACTGATTTCAAAAAAAGTAAAGAAAAAAAAAGAGAGGGAACAATAACTCTAGAATATTGCATGGTTATATGCATTAAGGGGATGGGTTGAGTAAAGGGGGAAGAAGCCCTAAAAGACGTTCAGGAGATGGACAATCTAGACTCTTTTGGCTCCAGTGTTTTTCTTGATACGGTACGAATACGAAAATACCATGACTTGACCAGTTCGTGCACTTGATCCACTAAACCTGATGTAGACATGCGATATCCACTCCTAAAATTATTCTCATTAGATGGACTTGATACCGTCCATGGTGGCGCTCGGTTCTTAAGCGACTTTAAGATTAGAGCATATACATAATTCCCCGCTAGTTGGACTCCTTTTCAAGGGAAGTAGCCAACCGAAGGGTGATTACTAGTACTAGTTGATGTGTGTAAGCGTCTGGTCAAATGCTGAGATCATTGTGATAAATAGGCTAGCCTAATTAGGTACAACACATCGTAGTAGCTGAGAGCAAAAATCAAGCCCGACTCTATCAACCACTTCTTGGGCTATAGAATGAATCTATGGGTCTTCTATCCGCTCCTCAATCCAGCGGTCAACAAAAGTATCAGCCTTTGAGAGCAATACTGTCATTCTTGCTCTCCGTCATCTATCTCCACCTGGGCAGTGGCTAGCGAGGGCGTTTAAAAACACTTCTGAGCCGATGTTCTCAATATCATCTTCCAGAATTTCAAGGGATGCAGCGAGAGTTTCGATCCCTGTTCTTATGTCTCGGAGCTCTCTACTCAATTCTCTTCCCTTGGCTGAGATTTCCTCTTGAAGGACCTTGAACAAGTTGGAATTGTCGATGCCTTTTTTCTCTTCATTGGCCTTGGCCGGTGTCTCTTGATAAAGAGGGATCCCCATTGTAGAGGACTGGGTTTGAGTTTGATAAACGAACTGAGAGTTGGGATGTAAGATCTCCAAGGACTTATTGTTTGTTCGAGATGAGGTTGAAAGAAAACAGGTTGTTTGCCTTCAGAGTAGTAAAAGGATCGGTTTATTTCGTTGGGAAGAGTCAAATCAGAAGTAAGGTGCTATGAAAATGGGAAGAGGTTATGAGAGACCTCGGGAGTTAAATCGAATTTCCCTATAGTTGCGCGGAGATGGAATAACCATATCTGGATTCGGAGTCCAAGGTGAGTTAACAATTCAAGGTTGCTACTAGTACCTTCTAGTACTTGGCTTACCCCAAAGTGAATATTGCCTGCCTACTTAAATAGGAATTCGAGAATGTGACTAGGACCTTGGAAACTTCCCATTGTTTTCGTAGGACTCGGGAGTACTACTACCTACTAGGTACTAGTACATATGCCGAGGACGTGTTTGATTGGACAAGCAACCTTAGTATCGGTCAATCGGAGAGAGTATTTCAAAATTCGAAAGTTGCTTATTTATTGAATGGAACAGTCTAAGTACAAATTGTAGAACAGGGCGTAGGTCGTATCCGCTGGTAGCGGTTGCTTTTTGGGTTGGCCTCAGAAAGACCAAGTAGCTGAGCAACTGACTTACTTCTCAGCAGGGAGAACCATCACTGGTATTACCTAGCTGTTTGTTTTCTCTCCACATCTGTAGAGTCAAAATGAATGACTCTCGGGTATGGTAGAGATATAAGATGCAGAATCAGATGTTACTGGTCGAGGTGGTAGGCTCGCCGAAAGTCTGCATCAGAGGGATGGTATCGAAGGAGGTGGCATGGAGAGAAAATATACGAGAAAATCATTTCCGCGGGCCAGTGGAGAGCACTGGGCACGTCGTTGCTTATTTGGTGGTCATGGAAAGACCGCGGGCAGCACCCACGGCGGCCGACACGGGGGTCGACGAGCGAGTTGGGGCCGCACTACGGTTGTGGGCCATGTGGGCCTTGACAAGGTGTCCAGCGGCAAGGGCAGAGCACAGACTGAGCTCACCAGCGAGGACAGAGGCGGCGATAATGCGAGACAGCTGGCGGGCGTTCTCACCGGGGTTGGTGGGATGGGCTCCACGGACGCCAAGCAAGTCCAGCATGGCACCTTGAGCCTCAAGGATAGTACCACCACCGATGGTACCCACCTCGATACAAGGCATGGAAACCGCGATCTGGAGGTCACCGTTGTTGCTAGAAAAAAAAAGGCATTCGTTAGTTTTGATGTTCAATAAAGGATGTCACAACTGAATAGGACACTTACTTCTTCATAGTGGTGATACAACTGCTGCTCTCGACCACTTGAGCAGGATCCTGGCCAGTAGCCAAGAATATAGCGGCAACAATGTTGGAAGCGTGGGCGTTGAAACCACCCAGGGAACCAGCCATCGCACTTCCGATCAAGTTCTTGCTGATGTTCAGCTCGACCAAAGCGGCGACGTCGCTCTTCAGGACGCTCTTGACAACATCTCCCGGGATAATAGCCTCAGCCACAACAGACTTACCACGGCCATCAGTCCAGTTGATAGCAGCAGCCTTCTTGTCGGTACAGAAGTTACCTGACAGCGAGATAATGGACATGTCATCGAAGCCACATTCCTTGCCCATGACATCAAGTGCCTTCTCACAACCCTTGGAAATCATGTTCATGCCCATGGCATCACCAGTGGTGGTCTTGAATCGGATGTAGAGGTAGGTACCAGCGAGAGCGGTCTTGAGAGTCTGAAGACGAGCGAAACGACTTGTTGAGTTGAAAGCGGAGAAAATGATGCTTCGGCCTTCTTCCGAGTCAATCCAAACCTTGGCAGCAGCAGCCCGAGCCAAGGTCGGGAAGCTCACACAAGGACCACGAGTCATACCGTCGCCGGTCAAAACAGTAACGGCACCACCACCAGCGTTGATAGCCTTAGCACCACGGCTGGTACTGGCGACCAACACACCTTCAGTAGTGGCCATGGGAATGAAGTAGTTCTGGCCATCAATGTTGATGGGGCCAGCAACACCAAGAGGGAGAGGCAAATAACCAATAACATTTTCACAGCAGGCACCGTGGACAAGACCGTAGTTGTATCCTTGGTATGGGAGCTTGGAGTGTTCGAGGGAGCTGGTGATTCCAGAGGTAGCGGGAGTGCGAGAGACAACAGAGCGACGAATCTTGACGGCACGGGTGAAAGCGTCCACGCGGCTCATCAAGTTCTCATCCTCCATACTCTTCTCCAGAGCATACCCAGGCAGCTTACCACGCAGAGAAAGGCTGATCAATTCATCGTCGGTGAGCATAGGGGCACGTTTCTCCTTGAGCATCAGTTCACATTCGGTAGCAGTGCGAGTAGACTCCTGCTCGTTAGGCTCGAACTTGGGGTACACCTTGGGAGCGACGGGCTCCGCGGGAGCAGGGGCCGGTTCAGGCTCCTTGATACTCCAGCGGGCGGCATTGAACAGGTATCCGTTAAGAATGATGCTCAGGGTCAAAGCGGCAATGATCCACTTGCTAATGAAGGGGTCCTCCACGCTCTTGAGAAGGCTTTCGAGGACCTTGCCACCAACGGTGTCAAGGAACTGCTCAGTGTACTCGATATCGAAGGCACCGGTCTCTTCGCCCGCGTAGTAGACAGAGGGGTACTCCAGCTTGTACTTGATGGGCGAAAGAATGGTAACCATTGTCTCCTGCTTTTGGCTCTTGGCAGCGACGTAAACAGCATCCAGACCGTTCTCAGCAACCTTGAAGGGGTCGATAGGGGTAGGAGCCATAAAGTTAGACAGGCGGGAAATCAGGGCACCGTTACCAGTGTTCCGGAAGGGAATAGCTGACAGGTTGACAACATTGATCAAGATCAGACCACCAACCATCAAGATCTTGAACCGACGGACATTGCTCGACTTGACCTTGCGACCAAAGATGTTGGTGTCACCATCATTGCCAGCCGAGCCCAAGTTGGGCCAGTCATTGCTGGATGCAACGCTCTCAGCGACGCTGTGGGTGATTCCGTCCTCCTCCAAAGCCTTGCGCAGGGCAACATGGCGACGAATGCGGGTGATCTCAAGCTTGATGCAGAGAATGGTGGTGTAGAAGGTAAAGAGCAGCACACAGTCAAAGAACAGAATCCAAGCCGCGAGGAAGCAGAATTGCTGAAGACCGCCCTGTACGCCAGAGGCAGCACCAAGAGCCAAGAGACCAATCTCAATGCAGTAGTGCTGGATGATCTCGAAACCTTGCTGCTTGATGGCAGTAGCAATGGAATCTTGAATGGAGCCAGGGGTGCTAGAAGACAGAGGGCGAGGAGCAGCACCTGGACCAGGGCGACGGCTGTCCACCGATGCCTTGAGAACGGCCCGGGTGAACATGATCGGCTTCTCAAAACCAATGGTGACAACCAGGAAAGGCAGACCCTCGGAGAGCAAAAGGAGGTTAATTGGCACACCAAGTTTGGTGGTGACCAAAAGACCGAAGAGGAAGGCAAAGGATCCCGAGATGAGGACTGTGGCACCGAGCCAGAAGTTGGAGCCCAGACGTCTCATGGAGAAGAAGAGCGACAAGAAGCTAAGGTGCATCGAGATGTATCCAAGGGTCATGATCACAATGTCAATGGTCTCGGCATGCTTGATGAGATCCACAAAGGAGTTCCAAGCATCAGTGAACCATAGCACGAGGGCAGTGCGGGAACCCGCAGCACCACGAGCGGCTCTCATGATCCATTTCTTGGGCTCGGCCTCGGCACCATTGGAAGACGGGTCCGCAATCTCCTGGACGGACTTGAGGAGGTCCGAAACCTGCTCAAAGGGCACGGTGTAGGCAAGAGCCGAGTCGTGGGAAAAGGAGGTGAAAAGGTTGGGGGTGTAGGGAACCGAGTAGGCAGAGAGGTTGGAAGGGAACGGGACATTGACGGCGGACGGGGCAGACTTGGAGGTGGAATCGGGGAAGATGAATGTCGACAAAGCCAAGTGGTTGACAGCCGGCTCCTTAATGTCCTATAATTGTATGTTGGTTAACTCTTTTTTTGTCCCGGTGATTGGGGTAGCGCGGGGAAGGGGAAGGGAAAGGGGGAAAAAAGCGTACCTCCGAGTTGACCCAGGTGTCTTCCGCTTGCCACTTCCACGAGGTTGACTCGCCTAGTCGCAAGCTCCGACTTCCTTGGAGCAAGGCATCAATGTCGACCTGACCGGCAACATTCCGAGGGTTCTTGGAGTCCAAAAAGCTGCCTTCCAGGAGCCCCACGTAGGTGGTGCTGGCAAGCAGCGCAATGACCACAATGGTGTGGATGGGGTGTATACAGGCGCGACGCGAGATGCATTGCAAGCCGGAGGTGATCTGTCGACGAATCCAACTGGGTTCGGCATCCTGAGTCTCCTCCGTTGAGCGCAATCGCTTGGAAATCAAAGAAGTCGCCATGTTGAGTGCAATCGGGGTGGGTGAGGGAAGCGGTGTGGACGTCTGTTGAAGGCGCTGACGGGGGGTTTATGACGGTCCGGAGGGACCAATGCCTGCTAGAATTCCCACTGCGTTGTGATATGTCGTTCGGCCAAATCCGAAGACAATTGAGTGTTGAGAGATCTTAGAAATTGTAGATCTCCTGCCCCATGTGCCACACAAGGTGGTGTTTTCTTGCGCTGGAGTTCCCACGGGAACTTTTTTTTTTCTGGTCAGCGACAGCGCAACAAGGAAGGAAGGAACGAGCCTACCAAACAAGAAAAGGATAGGGAAGGGGAAAGGGAAAGGGAGAACACGGCGGTTCCTCTCGATCTGGAGTCGCGGTTTACGGAGAAGAAGCACGGAGACCCCCTGAAGGCTGCAAAATAATTGAGATCCCGGGTCCACGCCGATGGAATTAAGTATCCCCGGTGACTGGGGGTCGCCAAGCCACGACGGCGTAGTGGAGAACCCAAGTTTTGACAGCCAACAAAATGAATTGAACCAACTTTCAACTCTGCAGTGGATCACATACGAGAGATGGAAAAGATGATTTTAGAAAAAGAAATAGAAAAAAAAAAGACACGAGAAAATGAGGTATTTGCAACAAGGGCAATAGGGGAGGGAAAGATATCTGGGAATGTTCCTACTCAAACAAAGAAAGATCGAGTATAGAACAATCAACAATACTAAGCAGCACGAAGGCTCTTTTAAACTAGCGCAGCAGCTTTCTCTTAGGCTACTAGTACATTTGACTTTTCTTAGCTGCGAAAGCTTCGAAGACGATCATGCGTCTTCATTTGTACTATCTTTTGCAGCATTGACGGTTGATCTATGCCATTTCCCATGAATGCAGGGTAATTTAGTGGCAAATTTTCCTTTTAGAGAAGAAAAAAATATATGTAAGATGTATAGGGCGGGTTGTAGCCCACCATCAAGCCTAAAAGGGGGGAGTTCGTGTTACCCGAAGCAAGTCCCTCGGGCCCAGTAGTGAGTTCTCTATACTAAGTCTCCAGTGAGTCTCCAGCTCAATCTGCAACCCCCCCTTGTCAGCCTGCATATTATAGACACCACCATATGGCAGACGTGCAGAATATTTGCAGAATTTCAATATTGTGGGTTTTTTCTTGCATGTCCCCGAGTGCCCCGAGTGCCCGATAAAAAAGTCGATCTGTTACAGTTAGTGGGTTCCACTACCATTTGGCTTTTTTTTCACCTGCTACTATTTACCCATGCCCAATAACCGTAATTCTGAACTATTGATCCCTCAGAAAGAAAAAAAAAAAAAGCCGGTGACCGCTTCTCGTCACTTCAGTCCACGTCAGCGAACGCCCGATATGTCTCCGGGAACTTGCTCATGGCTTTCCAATTCCGAGAATCGCCGGTCTGCAACTTTGGCGACCCTGTTTCTTGCCGACCAGATGGAATCCACCCGGTGGAGCTGACGGAGCACCCAAATTGAATCAGATAACTCCAAGTCAAATCATGAGTCTTTCTGACCCGGCAGACCCGTGGTTTTTTATCCACCTGACCAGAATGGGCTCCGTTACCGAGCTCGCCAAGCATAAGAAAAAATCAAGATAAGATGGCAAGTCCGTCGGAGACAACCGAGCGTCGTTGTTCGTAGTATTCTCGGATCAATCACACTCGGAATGGGCTCCACTGAGGGTCGAATGGTGACAAACGGGAATGGGATGGGAAAGAGAAGAGAGAAAAAAAAACAAAGAGCTGATGCAGATCGCGACAACAGACGTGTCAGTGGGGACGGTTAGAGGTATTTTCTTTTTCTTTTCAGCTACATATAACACCACACAAACTCACTTGTTGAACATGGAGCGTTCCAAGCTGGGAGATAAGGACAATGGTTCAAAGTAAGGAGTAGATATATTGGAGTCCAACATTGAAGCTTTCTTGACAGGGAAAATTGAACACACAAAGGTACGTGACGGTCAAGACTCAAGAGTCACTGGGCCGGAGAAGATGCAAATGTCCGACCTGATTCGTATAGCGGCTACAATATCTCCATAACCACTCTATATAGGAGAAATTACCTAACGTTGAATGATGCCCAAGGCGCTTAGCCTCTTTTTCGCCAAGTCCATTCAAAATGTTATCATGTTGCACATGACTGCAGTCCAACTTCCCTAAGCGCCAGGAGTTACTTCAGACATTAAAAATATCTCACTAACCATCTCACCCAACCATTCCCCCGGAAGCTCAACGCTTCAATATCTCTTGGCGCTGGGCTCTAAATTCTCCGTCGGGTGCCAGATTTAGATTGTTTCAACCTTGAAGAATGCTGCTGCATATGTTTTGCATTGCTCCAATGAGGCGCAACGCCAGCCTTCTGTACTACTGACCTTTCTATATTTGCGACTCATTGCCCTGGATTGAAAATCTTGCGAAATTCCAAGACTCACTTATGAACCAGTGAGGCCAGTCTGTTGTAGATTGTTGCCTTGTCAAAAAAAAAATCCATTACTTGAAACACCTTTCAAAAGCCGTGCTGTTCCTTTGTCCCTTAGGTATCACTATGGTTTAGAACTGGATTCATTCAGCTATTGTTCTCCTTTCAATCTATTGTCGCCTTTCTTTTATTCACTCATTTCGCCGCGAATAAAACCACCAACCTTTCTACCCTTTGCTCCCATTTAATAACCTTCTTTGCATTCTTTACTGTTCTCCTCCCCCGAAGCCCTTTAGCTCAACACTGCACCGCTGGCCGGTAACGTGCACGATCTTTATATCTTTCAAAACGATTCATACTATATTTCTTTTACCAATTTTCGACATGTACTTTCGAGCCCTCACAGCTCTCCTCTTCGTCGCATACGCCAACGCTCATTCCTGGGTAGAGGAAATCCGAGTGATCGCGGAAAATGGAACCTTCACTGGGGCGGCAGGATACGCCCGGGGGAACTACCTTCGTACCGCGGCGGGATTCAACGATACAACCATGACCTACCTGATCCCTCCAGACGGCCAAGCAAATGTGACAGTGATCTATGACAGCACCAAGCTATGCAAGGACACACAGCAGGACCAAACACAAACAACCGGGAGTCCTCGATTACAAGCCAATGCGGGTGACGCCATCGCACTCCGCTACCAAGAGAACGGCCATGTCACCTTGCCCTGGAATCAACCAGGCAAACCCCCGAACCGCGGGACGGTGTATGTATACGGAACAACAGACCCCAAGCTCGGCGAAACTCTCAACGACGTCCACGGCGTCTGGGGCTGGAATGGCACGGGCAGTGGTGGAAATGGCACGCTTCTGTCTGTGCAGAATTTCGACGACGGCCGCTGCTACCAGATCAACACGGGAAATATATCCGAATACCGACAGGAGAAGTACCCGCACGTGGCAAACACGTTGATGGGCGCTGATCTATGGTGTCAACAAGACATTCAAATTCCAACCACGGCCACAACGGGGAGTCTGTATACCCTTTACTGGGTATGGGACTGGCCCACAAAAGCGAGCGCTGATGATGGATACCCGGATGGAAAGCTGGAGATCTATACGACTTGTATTGATATTGATATTGTGGGTCAGGCCGCAAGCGATGCGGAGGCGACTGATGACTACACCGAGGGCCAAAGTCTTGACAGTGCTGCAATCTCGTCGGAGTTTGATGATTTGACGAATGAAGATGCCGTGACTCTTTCTGGTACCACGGCGGCTGCTCTTTCAACTTCAATGACATCGACGTCGACGATTCAGGCCGAGACTAGCACTTCTTCTGCCATTTTTGTTTCGACGATGGTCACTCAAGCCACCGCTAGTTCCTCCGCTGTCTCTATTTCGACAATGACAGTGGAGGCAGCCACGGTGATTGTTACGGTCGGTGCTGTGACTGCCTGGCGGACCGTGACCGAAGTGGAGGTGCGAACAGTGACGGTAGATAGCTGCCAAGCGACGGAGGCGGCTAGTTAAAGTTTTACTTTTTTTTTTTTGTGAATATTTCAAAGATTCCCCTAGAACATGCCCACATGTATGCATTAGGTAGCTGAGCAGCCAAATGACGAGTATCACGAGAATACCCAGGCCCTGGAGGCACATGGGTTGAATCGTGATTTATTTTGTTTATCTTCTTTTTTTTTCCCCTCCCAGTGAATTTTGTAAATAATTTGCCCTTGAAATCTTCAAATGTTAAGCCTCAAGTTAGCGAGCGGACCTTTGTGATCCGATGAGATCTATAGGAGCCAATCAACATTTAGGAAGTGTCGAATAGAATGAGGAGATTGGAAATGATGAAAGAAAGGAAATCCTCAATATATGGAGGGTTGAAGGCAATGATTTTATCAATAAGGAGAAGAGGGGTTAGAGAAGAGAGAAAAGAAAGGCATTTTTTGGTGTATAGAATGTACTCGGTGATACGCATAGGCCGTCGAGTGCCTCGAGTGCCTCGAGTCGCAGTTTCCTAAAGCATCACAGCGTAGTTTCCTAAAATGGATTAAGTCCTCGATCTGAAACACGCTAGCACGTGATCGATGACCTAAGCCCCTCGAAGCTCCAATTCACACTCGTGAGGTCGATCGAGAAAGATCGATTCTTTGCGTCTGGCGTTATTTCTGACCTGCATCGGGTTGTTGTATATGTGTGTTGGGTTATCCCTGCTGCAGCCGCCGACCGAATATCCCCGCACCTGTGCTGATCATTGACCCTCAAGGGGGCTTTAAGATTAAAAAAGGTATGCCCCATCTCCGATCGCATTGCATATGAACACGCCAGGTGAAACTAGAATGGAGAAATCCAAAAAAAAAAAACAAAGGATTACAAACCGATCCTGTGCGCCTCTTTACTGGCTCGGATCGGGTAACCTGCAAGAAATCTTCACACTTGTTTAATTCGGCGACATAAGCGCTGCGTCCGGGTTCCATTGATTATCTGACACACTTGTTGCAGGTTCGGCTATATTTAGCATTTGCCCTCAACCAACTGCGGGACGACAGTCTGGAACAACCACTGTTCCGCCTCCTCTCCTTCAATCACTTTCTCTAACCGTGATCCCTTTTCTGGACTCCAATCACCGTGGGGTCCAACTCCTCTCGTGACTCGGCAGTCTCCCACTATCCCCCCCCCGCCTTGTGCCTTTCCCTTTCCTTCGATATCGGATACCCACTCCACTCGGGGGTTCCCCTCGTGCGTCCGCAATCCGGTGGTGGTTGAGAGACATTAGTGTCCAGGTGGTGGACTTGGTGTGCGTGTGTGTGCACAAGACACGTAGTGAAGGGTGTTTTCCCCTGACGTCCTATACCACCGGGCTATTTTGGGCGGGAATTACAAGTGGGATCACCGTCGCGCGCCACCCAATCGCAATGCCAATTTGGGATTCATGCGACGCGGCTAAATGAACCCTCCCTATATCCCTTGTTGACTTTTCTCCAATCGTGACCCTTCACCAGCAACTTCAATCTGTTTGCAGAAATTCTTACTTCTGCAAGATGGCTTCCCCGAACTCACCGAGTACACTCTCGGCAGACAACCTAACGGTCCTGCCCCCCATCCTGACAGATGCCACGGTAAAGCCGTCGCCGAGCGCAAAGGACCGGTTATCTACATACTCGAATCTCTCGTTAGCCTCTCAACATCGTTCGCGCCCGGGCTCCCACATCTTCCCCGTCTTTCATTCCAGCCTGCCATATGCTCTTGTCCGAGACTTTGCTTACCCGACAATCCACCCATTCCACTATGGTCCACCTCCTCTACCCTCCGGGGGTTCCACGCCAGCAAGCGAGTACCGTCGTTTGTCAGACCTGCCGAATTCGTGGGAAAGCGCGCGGGGACCATGGGCCTCTGGTCCATTCAACAATGAGACCAGCCAAAGCCACGGTCCGGGCCATGGCCAAGGTCATCAACAATTGCCGGCCATGTCCTTCGGGGACGGACCTCCGTACAGTGAAGATGAAGATTTGCACAGTCCAGTGGTGACAACGGTGCGTCAGCGGAATAAATCTATCGGCACCGATTCAAATGGCATGACAGATGAGTACATGGCCGAAGCCGCAGATCGCGGCATGTTTATTAGCGTGAACCCTGATGGGAGTGAGACATATTACGTCAATTCGGATGATGCAATGACAGATGGACCTGGTGGAGAATATGTGACATACCCAGTCAACGAAAGCAGGTATTCTCATTACGATACCCAGCAAGGCCACGCACCCGACGTTACGTCCGAAGACAATGGAGACCGGTATGCGAATGATTATCAATTCGCTGTTGGCTGTCCGGATGAAGAAATGCACGGGAAAGCCGTCGCTCTCTTTGACTTCACCCGTGAACACGAGAATGAACTACCCCTTACCGAGGGCCAGGTGGTCTACGTATCTTATAGACATGGCCATGGCTGGCTGGTTGCCGAGGACCCAACGACTGGAGAAAATGGTCTTGTTCCCGAGGAATTTGTGAGGCTGCTTCGAGATATTGAAGGGGGGTTGACCTCGTTGAACGGGGAACCTATCTCGGACTCGACAGAAAGCAGTACCTCGATTGATATGACTGAGGATGATCGCACTTCGACACCGACCCAAGATGATTCAACGAATACCAATGGCGACACTCCGATGACTATTTCCGTTGAAGGCACGAACGAGACCAACCAGGCCACTGGTGGTTCTGCTGGTTCCCGTGTCAGCATTATATCCAAAACATGAAACTGCCACTTTACCCAGAGCGGCTTTACTGAACAGGACATCATGATTTGAAAGGCTACATGGCTGCTGACCCATAAGGGCCCTCTGCCTGTGAGTCTCTACTATGGTATCCAAGGCTTGCAGGAGAAGCTCTCTCTCCAGAAAAGATGGAGTTCACCAGCTTTATCAATAATGAGCCTTCCAAATGGATTTTAACCCCATCGATCACCTGTTATAACTCAATAACAACGGGGGAAACGAGAATATTCTCTCCAGACTTAAACCATGTCTGGAAGTTTCAGGACCACCAAGTCCCACAACCAGAGAACATCCTTAAAAACATACCTCAACCGCATACCCTTCACCGATACGCCGTACCCACCTTCTCCGACTGATGAATATTTGATTCCCCCACACCCTTACCCTTCCACGCCGATATTCTCTACCATGATTCCCGTTTATGCCTTGAACAACCAACCCTTGGTTGGGCAAAAGCTAGTACGTCAGAAGACATAAAACATGACGGAAAATTAATCTCATTTTCTCCTCTTGTTGGTCTTCTCGTCTTGTCTATTCCCTTCTCCGCACCCTCCCAATCTGAATTCTGTCACATTTTCCCGTTCCTATCCCCATTTAAACTCCCTATCTTGCTCGCACATGTATCTAGCTTCCTTCAGCGCAGGCGTTGTCCTAGCATCAATTAGCATTAGCATAATGCCTATTCAATCCTAGACAATCTATCCCACTCCGTAGGGTAAAAAACAGAGAATGTGTCCTTCGTTGACTAAGTGGTTTCAAGGTTGGGACTGATATCTTTCGTGGTCATGTGCAAACGCACTACTGTATACATTTGTGCTCAGTGATAGGCCTTGCATGCTAAAGGTCCATGGGTATAACAAACAGCCTTCAAGTTTTGCACATGTTGGAATTCTCCAGATGGAAGGCTAGGTAGTTTGACGGGACAGCTTCATTACTTCGGGGGAAAGAAAAATAGGACATCAAATTTAGAATTTTGTTTCTCGGGCTGGGCAGGAATGTGAAGTGAAGTGAAAAGGAGAATTTTTCCAAAAGAAAAACTTTGCTAAAGCGACAGACGGAAAAATCCAATCATGTATAGCCAACGTTCAAAAGTAAAGAACAAAGGGGGTGAAGGGGGGTTTTCTCAAGATTGAAAAAAAAAAAAGATGGATAAAGCAGAGCATAAATGAGTCTGGAATTATGGAATACCGGATTCTGTACTCGGTGAATAACTAGAACGCAAATTTATCAATGAGTTTCAAAGACCAGATCGGAGGTTGTCAGCTCAGCTCAGCCGAGCAGGTCATCAAAGGCGGAGCTACCAGACTGCTTGGGCTGCTGCGATGGAGCAGGAGATGAGGAAGCAGGCGCTCCCCAGATACCGGCGCTGGCCTTCTCTTTGGCCATGCTGTTGAGGTTGGGACCCTTGTTTGCGTTGGCGTTAGCCTTGCTGATACCGGCGCTGGCGCTGGCAGTGGACCAGAGCGAGCCAAAGGCGTCTCCAGAAGCCTTGGGTGCGGGCTTGGCTGCAGTGGTGGAGGGAGCCTTGGAGGAAGAGATGGAGGAAGTGGCGGCGTGCGAGAAGGGTTGCGAGGCTTGTTGGTTGGAGACGGAGGTGAAGTAGTTGGGGGTAGCCGCTTGGAAGCCCGATGGTTTCGGCAGCTGTTGCTGCTGAATAGAGGCAGTCTGCGAAACAGGAGAGGTGAGCGCGCTGTGAGTCGGGGTGGGAATTGGTGAGGTGAAGCCTACAATGCCGTTGAGATTGGCACCCTGGGATGCTGAAACTGGTTGGGGCGCCACAAATTGGGTGTTTGAGGTCGTGCTTGCAGAGACGGGGGCTGGAATGGAGAAGTTCGAAGCAGCCGGTGCTGGGGCCGGAGTCGCGGACTGGAAGTCGTCGAAATCGTCATCATCGGCGGTGTTATCCAGCATGTTCAAAGCACTTCCAGCGGGCTGCTTGCCAGCAGCAGTCGAGGAAGTGGTTGTCACGGGTTCATCGTCACCGAAATCGAACAGGTCTGCCACGGGGGCGGGAGCGGGCTCTGGCTTCTTCGCCGGTGCCCGCTTGGTGCTAGTGGAAGAAGCGGCGGATGGTTCACGTCTCTGTGGGCTGGCATCACCCTCATCGTACTCATCATATTCGTCGAATCGGTTGCCCTTCTGACCGGAACTGGTGTCCTGGAATTCACTTGTAGCACCGCCAAATCCACCACCATCACCGTATACACCTCCGCTGTATCCACCGTATCCCATCGTCTCGCTTCCAAAGCCACCATAGCGGCCAGAGTTACCAGAAGACATCCCGCCGACATTCATGCCACCTTCGAATCCACTGAACTTGTTGCGATTGGAACGGGCCTTTTTGCGCTCGGTGCGAATTTGATCCACGTCGCCCAGCAGCTTCACCAGTTCTGAGGACCGGTTGCGCACATTGATACCCTGATCCTTGCCATTCTGATCAATATAGTGGAATTGCCGGAGCATCCGCAGAAGTGACATGTGGGATCTGGCGTCGTCGACCACTCGTTCCGAACCATTCTTGATCAGGAATTCAAGAAGCTGGAGACCCTGGAAATTAAAAAAAAACTAGATCAGTCGCGGATTTCGGCATTTTGGAAACAATACCCGGGTACCTTGTAAATCTGTCGCCACTCCTCCGCCGCCTTGTCCGTGAAACGTTTGTAGATCATAGGCATAATTTCGTTGAGCAATTGGCTACCATCCTTATGAGCGTACATTTAATGGAATGAACCAGGACAGACAGTGAAACTCACTAGCTATTAGTGGCATTGGCGATTTCCTGCATCAATGTGGTAGAAGCACCCCAAGGTTCATTGTTTGTGGCTTCTCGGACCTAGATCGTATACTAGTAAGTAACGGACTTGCATCGGATAGTGGAATCGCGTAGTTTGGAAGTTGGCGTAGGGTCTATGAAGGATTTGCGCTTAAGAACGGTGTACTAGTAGGCATACGAACCTTCGATTCTATTTCGGTATAGTTCATAACGGCTATGACGAAGCGGTCAGCTCAAGAGTTCCCGGGATTGCGAACCAAAGCCGAGTCGCTTTCAATCGCAACATTGCCGGACCTGGCGGATTCCAAACATACCATTCTGCACTTTGCGAACACCAGCTTTGAGGTCATACAAGGTCAGGTTGCTGACCTGGTCTTTGAGGCTGGAGAAGTCCATGGCGGCGGTAGCTGTGTCAAGTCGGGATGGGACAAGAAGTCTGGATAACGAGGATGCAGCGCGGACAGATAAGCCGGACAGTTGAACCAGAGAATAACAAGCGATCCAAGCCCGCCGGGATTGATTGTGAGCGAGGGTGAGTTGGTTGGAGGGGAACGGAGCGGTCTCCAGCTGGCCGATTGCACGCGCCACGCAGTCACGTGGCAGCCCCTGACCCCGGCAACGGTATACCGTGTGGGCCACCTAGATCTTGATCCGTTCTAGAATGAACAGAGTAGAAAATGAGAGTTGAGACTAATATATTCTATGATTTGGATTGTTTGGTCTATCTCAAGGTAACAGAATGCGCTCATGACTAAAATTTTCATCGATATACAAACATATGCAGCACTGAGTCCGCATAGTAGATTTACCTGTCGAGGACTCGAGATCCATGGATTTGGCCCAAGCATACTATATCCGGGGGTTCTAGTTATGCGTGCACATGTGTACTCATTCAGCAAAGAAATATTCACCATTTGTATAGTCCAAAAAATGAACTCGTGTCGAACAACATCCACTGTGCATAGATAAAATGCAGCATATAAGGTCGAACACAGAGTAAGTGGCTTAAAGAAAGAAATTGCATCAATTGATTCTAATTACAGAATTTCAGGAGCCTATGTATTACATCGATAGATTAGATTATTGGAAAATCTGAGATTGCTGGTCTACTCCATACCAGATGCATCCCCACTCAAGCACTGCGGGACATCAACACGGGGAAAATGACAATTAAGCGGGCGTTCAGCCACAAGCTTGCTTTGATCTATACTAGTACTATCCACAATGATTTTCTTCTTTTTGAAACGACTTTGAAAACTAGGGAATCTTCCGTCATATAAGCGAGTAAGTTTGCCGCGGATGTTTTTACTCTCACCAGTTTCGAAGTGGAGATGTCTGGGTAATCATTACCTCGTAGAGTATAGTAAACAACAATCATATGCATGATTCCAGTACAAGGACAAATCACCCACATTTGGAGAAGCACAATTGTTCTTCCGGTACGGAGTAACTGCGAGGGCACATTCACCCTCAGAGTACCTCAATTGCCGGGTACATGCTCCAAGTCCAGTCCATCTACTGTTTTTGAAATTGTTAATCAATTTATCATGACTACTAAAGTCGCGTTAATCACCGGGGGTGGTAGGTCAATCAACCTCACTACATGAGTATTCAGCCTGGTGTTAATTACCCCTCTTATGTAGCTAGTGGCATGGGTCTTGCTGTCACCCGGGCACTTTCAGCTCGTGGAGACTGGGTTGTGAAAATTGTTGATATCAACGAAACCGCGGGAACGAAAGTCGCCCAAGAGCTGCCTCAAGTTAATTTCCACAAGGCCGACGTGACGAAATACGATGAGTTATGCGATGCCTTTCAAAAGTCTTTCCTAGACCTCAACAGACTAGACTTCGTCTTCGCCAACGCGGGGGTGGTCGAACGAACAAACTTCTACGCCCCGCAACCCCCGACCGAATCGATTGTACCACCACCCGAGCCAGACCTTTTACCAATAAATGCAGACTTGAAGGGCGTTGTTCTCACGAGCTGGTTGGCACAGCACTATTTCCGCCTTTCGTCCCACGAGGGACGAGGTGCAAACGTTGTGATGACCGCTAGCTGTACCGCATTCTACCCATCCTTCTACTGTCCTCTTTACTCTGCAGCAAAAGGTAAGCTCATTTGACTGGTTGGAATAGATCAGCTTTCCCAAGGCTAAATTGTCTATAGCGGGAGTGGTTGGATTTATGCGATCGATTGCGCCCAACTTCCAAGCCAACGGAATACGCGTCAACGCCATCTGCCCAGGTATTGTACGAACTAATCTTGTCGACGAGAAAGGATGGAACAGCTTCCCCCCAAATCGGTTTGTGAAGCTAGAGACTATCGCTCAAATAGTGCTTCAGCTGGTGGATGGTGGCAGCCCCGTGGGTCAAGGATTAACCGACACACTCGGAAAATCCGTTGCCGCGTCCAAACTGTACGGACATGCAGTTGAGATCTCGGACACGGGTGTCTACTTTCGAGATCACCATGAGTTCTGTGACGATGGTATGCGCGAGGTTATGGGAGCAACAAAGCTTGACAACCAAGTGGACGGTATTCTTAACGATTGAGGGAGTGCGAGGAGCGATACTGGACGCAACAGAGCTAATGGGCTTTTGTGCTATACCGAGCTTTTACGTACGACTGTGTCGTGAAGAAATTGAAAGGATAATTGCGTCACGCAGTAGTTCAGTCACAATTATGTGTACCCCGTACAAAATCCAACCAATGCAGCTTCACGATATGCGTTGAAACGACGTTAAAAAGACAAATCTTGCAACCGGAAAATGACTTAGCACGTTTGCATAAAAACCCCGCCGGAATTCTTGAAGGACTCGCTACACATTCAAATGGATATTGGTGCATCAAGCCTCTCTTTCTCCACTTCAGTGGGTCGTTGTCTTTGGGTTGGAGCGACGGACCGGACCCGAACCATGAAACCATGACGCTATGTCCCGTCCAAGGGCGACTGGTTCTCCTCTCTGATTTCCTCCATTTACACCTACGCACGCAGGTGGCTTGTTTCTATTCCGTACACCGCTAGAGATCTACGCCAACCGTTATTTCCAAGGAGCTCATTGCGCTAAATCCTTCAATCTTGGCATGGTTTCAAAGCTTGACTAGCTCTGTGCGAAGGCACCCGATGACGGGCGCTTATTTTACTCCACACAAGATGGGTACATGCTATGTATTGTACGCAATGCGTACAAGGGAATAATGGCATTGTTCGTGGGCGAGTCAACATCATGGCTGAGTGCGTCAATAAAACTCGCTAGACACATTGCATGCCTTATGGGATTGCTCCAGGAAGTCCCGACTTCTCACCATGCATCATCTCGAATAAAGGCTCCCATACAGTAACCGCCCGCTCGGTTACACGACCGTTCCCTGGCTCAGGCATTGGGTAGTAGATCAATCTCTCAGCTGATCCTTCGAGTAATTGTCCTGCCATACCAGTGGTGTCATCCAAGAATACATCATAGGCCCTCAGGATAGTCTCCACGGGCGTAAGGCTACAGAAGATCCGAATTAGCGGGACATTCAAAACAGTTGAATGTAGCAGAACAAGAGCTCTGCATAGTAGCCCACTTACCACTCAGGCGAAACAGCAGCAATCATCTCGGGCGGAACAATAGGTGTGTTCACCATTCCCGGCATCACAACGTTAAGCAGGATGTTCTCCTTGATCTTCAATAACGGAGCAGCTCCACGGACGAACTGGTTTACTGCAGACTTGGTTCCACAATAGACCGGATACGATTCATGAGGAAACACACCCCCGATGCTGCCCGTTATAATAACCCGCCCTCCACGCTGAGGATTGTATCGCATGAAATGTGTCGCAAGCTGCGTGCAATACACCACGCCCTTGTAGTTGATATCAACGACAGAAGTATCCGGTGCAGGGGGTACATCTTCAATGTTCTTTTTTTGGCTACCGTTTTCATATATGTAGATGGATGATTGATCGACAATGCCCGCATTAACGCATACGGCATCAATGCGGCCCCAGCGTTGAAAGACTTTCTGGAATACGGCGACCGAGTCTTCGTATTTTGAGACGTCTGCTGCGTAGAACTCCGCATTGACCGTGTCAAGGTCTATTAGAAGCTGGGTTCCGGCGGACTGACGTCGGCCTGTGCAGGCTATTTTCCAATCTTTTGTAAGGAGATGCTTGGCTAGGTCGAGTCCGATGCCTGACTAGATGAATTGTTAGTGGATGAGTATTTGGCATATCTGAGCTTGGTTTTGGTAAAATTGTCCATTTTTGGGGGGTTGTGTTTTCTTTTTACTAACAGTGGCTCCAATAATTATGGCAACACGACTCTCTGTAGATGAAGCCATTTTGCAGTGGTTGAATGGAAATTCAATGTGAAGAACAGGAATGGAGGATTCTGTCACTATAACTATGAGGGGTAAGTACACTACGCTTTTTAGCCTCGAGCTAGCCTTACGGTGGAAGGATGCAAAAGGACGTAAAAAAGGATTCAAGTCTATTGTCGATCACTCTCATTCGGAATGGAAAATGGCCAATAATTTTCTCCCAAACTTACAGTATCCACGCGGGGTTACTGTAAGTGACTAGCTGCAGCCTCGCAAAACAGTGGAGCAACGGATGAGTGCGTAGCGTACATAGAGAAAATGAAAATTTGAAAAGCAAAAAGAGCACTTGAGAAGAACGAAAGAAGAACCTTCATCCATAGATGCATACATCAGATTCGATTTCACTTGGTCTCGCCATATTTGTCCTTGAGCTAGTCTTAGTTTGATGGGTTGCAGAAGTAATATAGATGATAATAGCAGGCAGGACCCCTACTTGACTTTGACTGATCATGAGATTACTTTCATTGTTGAATAGATTTAGAAAGACGATAGAATAGTTGTTTGTATTGTGTGTACATGTGCATGATAATTGGGGTACTAGTTTAAAATCCATGACGCTAACGCTATTGAAACAAGAATCGATACAGAAAGATTTCCTGAGAGGTATCTGGAACAAAAAAAAAAAGAATAGGGGGAAAAGAAGTAAGAAATAATATGCCCATGAATATGCCCAAACCGAATCGTCCCTCATCAAATCCGTAATCATGGGAAGCTTATTCATTATAGAACTTCTTCATGATCAGGTGCAAGAAAAGGTTCACATTGACCCTCATCTGCCCCTCAAAAAAGTCCATGTATTGTGTGTTGTTGAATTGAGCTTGCAATAGGTCATCAAGGGGGACCTGGGCATTGGCACCTGGAACCATCATGTTGCCACTGCTGCCGTCCATGGTAAACACACCCACTTCGTTACTGGAAATTGTCAAGTCCACCCTCTCGAATTGCCGATCAGAATAGCCCTTCCAGGCAACAAGCACACCGCGATCGGCCAGATTGCGAGCGGAGTACTTATAGGATCCAAATTTGAAGACCTTGCCGGATTTCTGCAGTTCTCGCTGGTGATCCCACTGCTTGGTGAATGGCATCAAGAATCGCTTCTTTCCCTTCTTGTTCTGAAGTGTGATCATGGCCTGCTCAATGTAATCGTTGTAGGTCTTGAGTTGTCCCTCCAAATAAGAGGCTTGATCACTGAGACGGTTCGAGGTCAGGCGTGCACCCTCCAATTCACGCTCACGCTGGATTCTTCGTCGATGTTTTGTTCGGATATCGATGGCGATGGCGTTGAGAAGATCCTGGTAGTGGTTGTGCCGACTGATCTTGCCAGCTTGCTCGAGGCGAAGGATGTTCTCCAAAGCGGTACCCTTCAGTTCCGAATAACTCATTGAGCCAATATCGATCAACGTGCTAGCCTCAGAGTAAGCTCCCCGGCGTGGGTTGCCTGTACTCAGTTCTTCTCGCACCAAAGTTTCCCAGCGCTCTTCATCTTCAGCACTGGGTGGCTTGAGCATGATGTCCATCAAGCTGGTGCCACTTTGAACCCGAATGATGTATAGAATGCATCGCTTAGTCTCCATGAACAGAGCCTTAACGGCTGCTTCCGGATCTGCCATGTCATGTTAGCCAAGCTGAATTCCACAATTTTTTGGGGAATATCTTACCTTCAACCTGAGCTAGCTTTGGGTTGAGTGTGAGGTTAATCTCAGTGGAGCTGACACTCATCAATTCATTCTCGTTGCTCTTCACGTTGCCCAAATCCCGCACGAGCTGTTTGAGGAAGTCGTCGGGGTGTGAACACATGAATTCAATCTGTGAGGCGACAAGTTGATGGATGGAAAAAATGTCGGACATTTTAATGTACAAAGTCGGTTTAGCCTTCGCATAAAGATCATTAAATTCATCAATGTCAAAGTAGGCTTCTGCATCCTGGACCGAAATCACTGCTAGGGGTTAGCTTTGTTCAGGGGGAAGAAATGGAGATAGGGACTGCAAAACTTACTCTGCCCCCAAATGCGTCCTAAGCGTTGTATTGACTCGCCGATGTAAGTATTTAAAGGTTGAAGGTAGACATTTTCGGCACCGAAGAGTCTACCAGAAGCGACCTGCGCAACGACCTTCGCGATTTCCCCAAGATTCCTCTTCTGTTCCTGTGTTAGGCCACGGTCCACCACGCCATACTTCTCTGGCTCTAGCACTGCCGGCTGGAAGTAACTCTTCCATGCCCAGTGACCGACAGTCTGGAGAACGAATCCAGGGTCCTCGTTGGGGAAACGAGCAAGCAGATTCTCATACATTTGCTTGGTGAGGTATCGGATTCCAAAAGGCATGCGATACAAGAAATCCTCGAGAGCCGCAAAAAATTGGTCAGCAACATCACGCAGATCTTGAAGGTTCTGAATGAACGTTTCCCGGGTCTCAGGATCTCTGATTGCTTCTTCCCGGGGAAGGTCCGCAGGTCGCCGGCTGCGTTGGCCCGTGCGGAGCTCCTCATTATTGATGGAGGAACGGTAGATTTGGATCGGGTCGCTTTCAAGATCGAGTTCTCGATTGTCAATGATAGATTCCTTCACCACCGGGCCCAAAACATCACGCATAAACTTCCGGTCTCGGGGTGACTTGGCATAGGAACCGAACAGTTTGTTCCAGAACGAGTGACAGCGCAGGAACTCGGACAATGTCGCAAAGCTTTCGATATCCTCTTTGACAGAGCGTGCAAGAAGCCTCACAAGGTAATATTCTTCTCGGCGTTTCTGGGAGTAACCAAACAAACCCATCATCAGATGTCTGATTCGCTCATATTCCTTGTCTGAAGTGTTGGTTTCACGAAGTCGCCGGAACAGTCTTGCGAGATATTGTGATTGGGTCTGCAGAAGGAAGAAAAAGACCTGGTATTGGTCCAACTTTCTTCTTGAGGTTTTGTTCAAGGCCTTCAGATCATATGGATCTTTAGACGAGATATCAGTGTTGGAAAGCAGGTTCCCAATGTGACCGCCGAAGTGCTTTTGGTGCTTGACTACTTCATCAAGGGTGATTTTGTTCTTGACTAGTAGCGCAATCTTGATATCAAGCTGGCTAATATACTGCTCTGCCATCTCGTTTTGTCTGACCTGTTGAACAACTGCCTTCCGTAGTCTTTCGAACTCGATTTCCTCGTCAAAGTCAAAGTCGCTGTCATTTAACAGATGCACAAAGCCTTTCACTGTTCCAACGGGTGGGTTCTTTCCACTCGTCAAGCTCTTGTAGGCTCGGCCTTGAATACGACCCCGAATGACGCTTTGAGCTTTGATAACCCTCTCCATGTTCGTGTTGTAATGATGGCGTCGTTCCTCGAAGCGGTTACGGACGATGGTTCCACGAATACAAGCTTGCAGGTCTGTGATAATGTCCTCCTCATCCTCCAGTTCAGCAAGCATCTCGCCGACATGAACTCGAAGAATCATGGCCCGAGCCAGGGCTTGAAGCTCCACCACTTCTTCCTCGTTGTCTTCAAGGCTATTGAGGATATCGCCGACTTTCATACGCTCCAGAGCTGCACGAGAGAGTGATTGAATCTCCACAATAGCATGTTCATGTTGTTCAAGCGCTTTCCGTTCCGCATCCCGGTACTGACGCTGTATCATTCCTCTCGCCATTGCCTGCACATCTAGCACGGTGCTTTCGGCATTCATAAGCTCATTGTGTTGCGATTCCAGGAATTGTCGTAAAGCGTTAGCTCTAATTAGTCCCTGCAGATCCGTGACAGATATAGTATGATGCGCTAGCTCCTCACGAAGAGCATCAGTCTTCTGCCTGACCGCACCACCTCGCACCAAGGCTTGCAACTCGATAGACTGCTGTTCGGTTTCTAGCAAGGCGCCCACCAGGCTTGAATGGCGATTTCTTGCTGCGAGTGCCCTGGCACCTGCTTGCAGAATGGTGAAAGCGGCGCTCTCACAGTGCAGGGAAGCATTGACTTGGGCCACGTGCTGACGAGCAAGGGTGCCACGAATTATAGCCTGAAGGGACTTGACTGGGCCGCTCGCTTTCTCAACTTGCTGTGATTGGTCACTCATTCGAGTCCGTTGCAAAGAACCACGGATGGCAGCTTGAAGGGCGATCACATCATTTTCCACCGTTCGAGTCTGGTCGTATTGATCGGCAACAATATTTCGCTGAAGGGCACCTCTAATTGCCGCCTGAAGGGCGATCACGTCATTTTCCGCAGACCGGCTCTGTTCGTATTGTTCGGCAACAATGTTTCGTTGAAGAGCGCCCCTAATGGCTGCTTGAAGGGCAGTTACATTATTCTCCGCAGATCGAGTTTCTCCGTATTGGTCACCAACAACCTTTCGCTGGAGAGCACCTCTGATTGCTGCTTGCAGGGCGGTAACATCATTCTCTGCATGGCGGGTGTTTTCGTATTGATCAGCCACAGCCTTGCGCTGCAGGGCACCTCTAATTGCTGCTTGGAAGGTCTTTATTCCAGATTGCTCTTTCCGGACGCGAGTTTGTAGTAGATTTGTTTGAGCTCTTAGCTTGGAGGCCCGAATGAGACTTTGAAGGTCAAGAATATCGCATTCTTGGGCCTTGCGGCACTGCATATCGCCTTGTTGGCGGTGGCGAACAATGAAACCACGACTGACTGCTTGGAGTCGAACCGCAAACTGACGCATTTGGAGACGATACTGGCTAACTTGACGAGCCCAGTCGCCCCGCATACGCGATTGCAATTCGATGAGTAGTGGTTCAAAATCCCAAAGGTCATTCATGGTGTTTCCAAGCTTCAAGCGCATGATAGCTCCTCGAATTTGAGACTGGAAATCAATGATTGCGCTTTCGTGTTCGTGCAATTCCCGGTCTATTCGCTCCTCCTCCGATTCCACGGGCTCGGGCTCGGGTTCTGGCTCCGCACCGAAGTTCGCAGCCATGCCCGCAAAGCTCGGCATGCTGACACCTGCTTTGTCAAGGCCCTTTTGCGTTTTTTCGAGTTCGTGGTGTTCGAATTCAAGTTGACCAACCAGGTTACCCATGCGGAAGTCCAGCATGCCATTTTTGAACAGTAGCCAAGATAGAGCATGGATACAGTGGATAACTTTCGGAAGATTCTTCTTCTCGTAGAGATCAATGAGTTCAAATCGAAAGAGCTCGGGTAGCTCGATATCATCCAGGAATCTGAAGAATAAGGCAATATTGTCAGAGTGGCGATACTGTAGCTTTGCGTTTCGAAATATGCGCAAAGTTCGGTCAGGATACATTGCTTGCACCACCTCTGCGAGAGTGACACCATCTCTCAATGCTTCTTCCAATTGAACAATTGGCGGGATTTCCTTTTTCATCACTTCCTCGATCCATTCTTTGGCCTCGCCAATGTGGCACAGATATTCATACGCTTGCAGGAATTGCCGCTGTTGATCCATCCAATTTCCAGCAGCCCATGAGGACACTTTGGGCTTTTCTGGTGATATGGCGCCATTCCTCCCAGTCACAGATCCTGCCCGCTTTAATCTTCGCCGTCCTTGCAGACCAATCACAGAAGCCGTTGCCGACGCAAGTTGAAACTCTTCGCCCTCGCCGGATTGTGCGAATTTGGACAGTGTTCTCAGGTGCCTTGTGGATGATTTTTGGAAAGTTTCGAGCTCCGGGGTGGAGAGGGTAGTTGTAAGTTGGGCTGGGCGGGGGCTTCCGGGCAAGGCCTTTTGAGGTGATGAAGGTCTGGATGATCCTGGGGTTGGGGTGGGCGACCAGTGGCGGGGCGAAGCTCCATGCGGGGGAGGTGTCTGGGGCTCAAGTGCAGGCGCTTTATAACGGGGTGATTCATTTTCCTTGAAATTGACATGGTGTGACTCTGGGGTGCGCGGTCGAATATCTTTGAAGTACTGTTGTTCGTCGATGGTGTGGCTGCGGGAGTGTCGATATGCACCAGAGTTGGAGGGCGTTGGAGCGATGTTGGGTGCTTGTTGCAAGGGTCGTAAAGAGCGGCGAATATTCTCATAAGTCGAGCCAGCACTCGCCAAACCTCCATTCTTTGACTCCATTATAACTCCACTTGCCTCGCTCTTTCCTCGGTGATGACCTAGTTGACTCATTACAGACGCATTGGAAGAGACCGTGCTTGTCCGGCTTGGGGCAAATGAGCTGGATCCGACCGAGTATGCGGATGAATTGGTGGACGCGTTTGACCCGTGTCGTAACGGACTTGAGGACTGCGCGGGGAGATCCGTCTGGGCTCGCTTCAGCGATGGGAATTGACTGGACATCACTATTACCGTTGCGACAGGAATGCAAACACCGAAGAGAGATTATTGTGCTGGATAGACCGCATCCCTGCTTCAGTGGGAGAAGCGGGGTGTGGATACTGAGTCTGAGATTGGAGCAATTCAGATCCTGTTTCTATTGGAATGGTCGGAATGTGAGATGAAAAACGCGAATTGGCAACAGCGCGATTCACGTTGGGGAGCGGGGATTCTTCCAAAGCTGGGTTGGTAAATGCAAAGAACTCGATGACAAGAAGGAAATGTCGAAAGTTTCGGCTCCAGAGACCCTCCGATGATGCTCTCTTGTTGACAGTGGGGGTGGGAGGAACAGGGCAGGAGCGAACCGGCATTCTCCAATTCCCGTTTGAGACCCGTCCAAAACAAATCTCCCGATCTGGACTAGCGCAATCAGCTGATGGCTGTCGATCTTCTCAGCCATAAAGCACGTGATAGGGTCACCCATCAGCATGAAATCCAACAATTTTCTTTTTCTCAACGTCCGAGTTTCGTATTTTGGTGATCCAATAAGATATGATCATAAATCCTGCTGTTTTAATTCCACTCTAAAGTATTAACAAATGGCATATATAGAGGATAATTGCAGTCTTGGCAAAGGTGACTTCGATCTTATGCGGGTTCAACTTGTGGGCCGTAGCCCCGTGCGACCATCACGATTATCTTCTTCCCCACCCAGCTTTTTGGTGGAAACTTTCGACGATTCATGGTCACGAAGCCAATTCTTGTTGTTTAGAAATTGCAAAAATATACCTAGGGATTCATTGAATACATGCTGCATAGACCAGTTGATATTCTTATTTTTGTAAGGTTAGGCTTAGATCCACTTGAGCACCTTGTGTGATGTCTCAAGTGCTCCAGCAAAAGGTCTTGATGCACACGCAGTAAAATTTCAAAGTCCTAATCCTGATGTAGTAGGTAGGAATCAGATGAGCCAGCTTTTCATCACTTCAAAAATTCCGAATGTTGGCTTTAGGCAGAGGATGCGGTTTTGACAATCTGTTGCACAGATGACGGAGAAGCCCCAATTACCTCCTCTATTTTGATACCGCCTTTAAAGGCCATGAATGTGGGCAATGCCCGTATGCCGACTTCCTGAGAAATGTCTTCATTTGCATCAGTGTCAACTTTATAGAATTCAATATGGCTGTAATCCGAATGATGCGATATGGTCTCGAAAACAGGTGAAATTGCTCGGCAAGGTCCACACCATGGCGCCCAGAAGTCAATCACCACAACTTTATCGCTGTTAATGATTTTCTGGAAATCGGAGAACCTATCATATGAAAAAAAAAAAAAGATGAGTAACAGATACAACATCTTTATTGTTTGAAGCACTTGAGGAGAACGAATTCCCAGCGTTCACTTACGAGTCGATCGCGGTAACAGGCATCTTGGTAGAGAAATAATTTGCAACGACCTCCAGATTAGGTATCGATCTTCGAGGTAACTCTGGAATAATGATGGAATATTGAAGGATTCTTCCAAGGTTGAGAGAACTATTGTGTTACGAGACAAAAAAGTTCCCGAATATCTGGACTTCAGGACCGATTTATATATGAAGGTTGACGTAGGGTCTTTAATGCTGTCTTAGGTAATAGTATTACCCCTCCTCTTAAAGTTTAGTCCAAGTCTAAGCTGCATAGAAATTTTAGAATACATCATGCAAGAATGCAAGAAATATTCATGGATGGTCGCAAGACTAGTGTATGACCTCATTTGGAGTAGTATTTCATCTGCATGCAGCTGGGGATGACTTTTCCGTCGTGGGATTCCCTTCATCACTCACATTATTGGAAGAAACAACAAAAATAATTCCGCCATAGAATACTCAATAGCTTAGACAGTTCTTTGGAATCGAAAAAAAAAAAATTGAGATTAAATAATGCTGCAGTAATTGACACCCCACCCATCCATCCAATTTGTTGCGATAGACGTACATATCAAATTATCACCATATCTATACTTGGTAATGAGTTGTTCATAATATTAAATACTTCTTAAGTGCATGGACCAGTATCCCCGAATCGTAATTGATTAATCATTCAAAGTTGTCAATATTTGTCTAGGGTGAAAGCACGCCTTAAGTAGTATGCAAAGCCGACCAAGTCTGGCGCGGGGAAAAGGCAGAAATTAGTAGCATCCGTGACCTGTCAACATTACTTGTTCACATCCTTTATTCGCCCCGCAAGCTCAACCCCCCCACCATACTCGCTATGGCAGCAATTGATTCACAGCCTCGTTATATCTATAAGATTGTCCCCTCATCTGCCCCGGTCAGCGAGCCACTCCCTGAGCGGTTACCCGTCAGCCAACTAGACGAAGATTCGGGATTCGTCCACCTTTCGGGAGGTTCCCAAGTCGCCAACACCCTTAAAATTTTCTTCAAAGAGGAACCACTGGTTTATATTTTACGTATCGTTTATGAGCGTGTGGCGCAGGATATTCGCTGGGAATCCCCTGACGGGAAAGTGTGCGGTCCACGGCCCGGAGAAGGCTTGTTTCCTGTGAGTTATATCGCCTCCCTTATTTTCCTTCCCAAAGGGGAAAAGTGAAGACAATAGCTGAATATAAGGCAAAGCACCTATACAATGGCTTGAAGCTGGGAAAGGAAGAAGTCGAGAGTATTGCAGTCTGGCAAAATGAAGATGGGTGGGACAAGGCCATTGCTGGAGCTGAAGCATGGCTCCTGTAGTAATGCAGACTATCCACCATCTTAATGAATAGAATATCAAGCTTTTCCAAGGCGCCTCCCTCTGCCTTTCTTTTCTCTTACCTGCTTTTCCTTATACGGGGCATGCATTACAGCCGCCCTGACATGTATGTAATACTTGCAAAGTTTTGGTGTGAGTCACGTGTTAATTTTAGGAAAGAGAGCATCAATAAAACTCGACATTCTAACGTTAACTTATATTTAGGCCCAATCGGATGCCTCGGGCCGTATCTTACTGCGAGATCTGCAGAAGATGCCTGCAGTGAATTAGTGAAAAGTATATCATATCCTTTAAATTCGCTTTGATATCATGAGTAATCTATCATTTCTAAGCAATTCTAAGCAAACGGTCATCCCACCGCCCGTCAAAATCTCGTTTAACAGCCAATCACAGCACGAGATAGTGAAAAAAAAAGAATCCACGCTAGGCCTTGATAGGAAAGGTTCCATCCTAGCGTGGCCGTGCACGGAGAAAAGAAAAGGAAGCTTCTTCGCTCGAACTTTTTTTCTTCTTCTTTCTTTTCTTTGGGAAAGCTGGTCTCTCTCCATCAACAGAAGGTTTCTTATCTGTTGATTTATACCCATCAATCTTTGAATCTATCTTCTTCTCTGATTGCTGAGATCCCTTCTTTCACATTTAAAATAATCATGCCTATCACCAACAAGGAGGCTGCGCCCGGTGCCGCCATGAAGGCTGAGATCGTGGACTACACCACTGCCCTTGAGGTCGTGAAGACCTACCCGACTCAGGATGGCCTGGATGTTGATACCCTCCTGGACTCCGACAAGCACGGAGCCCTGACTTACAACGATTTCCTCGTTCTCCCCGGTTACATCGGTGAGTCCAATCATGGCGGGGTTCTGATGTGAGATGAAAATTTTTTCTAACCATATCGGATAACAGGCTTCCCCGCCTCTGATGTGACTCTGGACACCCCTGTGACCAAGCGTATCTCGCTCAAGGCTCCTCTTGTGTCCTCCCCCATGGATACCGTCACCGAGCACAACATGGCCATCCACATGGCTCTGCTCGGTGGTCTCGGTGTCATTCACAACAACTGTGCCCCCAAGGACCAGGCCGAGATGGTCCGCAAGGTTAAGAGATACGAGAACGGTTTCATCCTTGACCCCGTTGTTCTCTCTCCCACCGCTACCGTCGGTGAGGCCAAGGAGCTCAAGGCCAAGTGGGGCTTCGGTGGCTTCCCTGTCACTGGTAAGTTTTTTTTTTTTTTTTTACGTTCCACGTTTTGCCTTACCCAACATCTACCCATTTACATGATGAACAAACCTATCATTATAACTTTCGTTCCACTGGGAGCGGCGAGAGCTGCATTGTAGAGAAACTTTTTTATCTGATCATTCCAAACTTGTTTTATTACATTTTGAGTCATACTTGTTGTCTTGCATGAACGCTAACATCAATTGATTGACAGAGAACGGTACCCTCCGCTCCAAGTTGGTTGGTATGGTCACCTCCCGTGATATCCAGTTCCACAAGAACCTCTCCGACCCCGTGACCTCCATCATGGCCACCGACCTGGTCACTGCCCCCGCTGGCACCACCCTTGCTGAGGCCAACGAGGTTCTCCGTCAGTCCAAGAAGGGCAAGCTGCCCATCGTTGACTCCAACGGCAACATCGTTTCCTTGCTGTCCCGCTCGGACTTGATGAAGAACTTGCACTACCCTCTGGCTTCCAAGCTCCCCGATTCCAAGCAGCTCATCTGTGCCGCCGCTATCGGTACTCGTGAGGAGGATAAGGAGCGTCTCAGACTTCTTGCTGAGGCTGGTCTTGACATTGTCATCCTGGACTCCAGCCAGGGTAACAGCTTGTACATGATTAACATGCTCAAGTTCGTTAAGGAGACCTTCCCTGACATTGATGTTATTGCCGGTAACGTTGTTACCCGCGAGCAGGCTGCTGCCCTGATCGCCGCTGGTGCCGATGGCCTGAGAATTGGCATGGGCAGCGGTAGCGCTTGCATCACCCAGGAGGTCATGGCCGTCGGCCGTCCCCAGGCCGCCGCTGTTCGCAGCGTCTCCAACTTCGCTGCCCGCTTCGGTGTTCCCTGTATCGCTGACGGTGGTGTCCAGAATGTTGGTCACATCGTTAAGGGTCTGGCTATGGGTGCCAGCACCGTTATGATGGGTGGTCTCCTTGCTGGTACCACCGAGTCCCCTGGCGAGTACTTCGTCAGCAACGAGGGTCAGCTTGTCAAGGCTTACCGTGGTATGGGCAGTATCGCCGCCATGGAGGACAAGAAGGCTGGTGGTGACAAGAAGGACACCCAGGCTAGCAACGCTGGTACTGCCCGTTACTTCTCCGAGAAGGACCACGTTCTGGTCGCTCAGGGTGTCGCCGGTTCCGTTCTGGACCGCGGTTCCATCACCAAGTTCATCCCCTACCTCATTGCCGGTGTTCAGCACTCTCTGCAGGACATTGGTGTTCCTAGCCTCGATGCCCTCCACGATGGTGTCAACTCTGGTGTTGTCCGCTTCGAGATGCGCAGCGCCAGTGCTCAGGTCGAGGGTAACGTTCACGGTCTTCACAGCTACGACAAGAAGCTTTACTCGTAAGATCCAGGCTTCTTTGAAATGTTGAAAAATACTTTCCTGCTGTGAATGTGAATATGAATGGGATGTCCGCACGTGGACTTGGAAATAAAAAAATGGGGATATGATGAGATTGGAGTTATTATTATCTAAGCTGTCGCTTTTGATTTAATGAGAATACGTACTATACTTTTCGAGACAACATATTTCATTTGTGTAAATTTGTAGACCGTGTTTTTAGTCCAATGTTGTTAGTACTGTTCGAAGGCGGCGCACATGGCTGTCGGACTAGCCCAATGGGGAAAAGCCGCGGGGTACCAAGGATAAGCCTAGGCTCTCGGCTCATGTGCCTTTTAGCTCTATGTTAATGTAAACTTCCAAGCTTCTCCGCATCGTCTTTCGCGATGTCGATTGTTCCAGGGTTTTTTAAGACTCCCTTACAAGTGTCTCGAATAACACATTCAACTATCGTATCAATACCGACATTACATTCATCACGCATTTCGCATCCCTTCAGTTTGTCGCTCAGCACGCGCAAGATATTAAGCAGAAACTACTCTACCTCAAGTCCAGCGCCGCAATCTCAAGCCCAAACTATGTCACAACGAAAAGCCGATAGTGATCGCAAGAAGCAGGTCGCCATTCCCCGGCCCAGCTCTAGGTGTGTTGCTCGCCAGCAAGCATAAATGTTTTCGCCGTGTGCCGTAAATGCTTTCCCACGGGAAACGCAGCCCAATCCAGGAATTCGGCTAATCAATTCTCAGTGTAATACTCGTTTCTCCAAAAAATGAGATCCTTCTTCTCCATCGTGTTCAAACATCTACATCTTTCGCATCGGCTCATGTCTTCCCTGGTGGAAATCTTTCCAGCCAGGATGGACCATGTCCGCCCCCTGACGACTTTGCCGTGCATAATGACGGACCCCATTACCGGAAAGCGGCGATCAGGGAGGTCTTTGAGGAAAGTGGAATTCTCTTGGCATCCGATCGAAGCACGGGCAAAATGCTCGTAGTTGATGAGGCTGCCAGAGAGCAAGGTCGGCGGCTGATCCACCAAAACAAGATCACTTTTGATAAGTGGCTGCAACAGCAAAACCCTACGGCTGAGCCAGATATAAGTGAGCATTAATTCTGCCATTCGCTATTTTGAGAAGGTTACGCCCCGCTAACTGGGAGGAAAAGGTGGTCTACTCCCATTCTCTCGCTGGATTACACCTACAAATGTCCCCAAACGATATACAACTCAGATGTATATCTATTTCATGCCGTTGCCCATCAATATGGACAAAGGTTTACTTGATGAGCTTCCCACTGAAGGGGAGCGAGAAGAGATTCAAGTACCGACCAGTGATGGTGGAATCGAGGTCACCGAGGCGCAATTTCTTCCAGCTTCCGAATGGCTGCGTCGAGCTCAGGTTGGAGATATCATTCTCTTTCCGCCCCAATTCCTCCTTTTACATCTAGTCTCTGGCTTCCTAGATCACGAATCTCGGTCGGGTGCTTCCATAGAAGTACTGGAGAGACGTCGACAAGCACTTGTTGAGTTTGTTCATTCAGGGTCACCAGCTTGGACACATAAATGCATCTCGCCCAAAGTACTGAGGATGACAGAGAATGGGCGGTCAGTTTTGGCCCTCAACGATGCCGGGCCCGAATTGAAAGGATCTGGTCGGCAAGGCGAGCCAGATCGGGTAGTGGTTTTGAAATTTAAGAAGGAAAGTGCAAGAGAGGTGGCTGTTGCATGGAAAAAGGATATATTGGAAGATGGTAGAAAAGGGGAGAGTAATCTCTAAACATTGATCAAGGTAATATAAACAAATCAAATTTACCAAGATTCAAAGTTCTTACCTTGAAGTGCTGTACTAGTAGTAGTAAATCCGACTAAAAATAAATTCTCGTTCTTGAAACGGACTTGCCAAGGATTATATTGCCACGGCTAGGATCTTATGTAAAATGCCTAAAACCACGGAACCGATTGTTCCGACCACGCCAGCCCTCGACAAACAGTCACATGACCCACACAAACCATTTTGGTCTTTAATTTTATGAGCCACCCAAGTTCCATCCACCTCCAACCTCACCGTCGCCCGTCAAAACCCCCTACACACAACCCGCCAAAATGGAGAACGAGAAGGGAGAGATCGTCGATCTGTACGTGCTTTGTCCCTCCGAATCGCTTCCCAACATCAAAAAACCCCCGGGACCCTGAAGTCTGGCTGTCGGCAATCGCAAATCCCACCAAATGTCCAAAGGCCTCCCAAAAAGAAGGAGTTTGCTTTCCATTGGACATTGATCGGAGACTACGCAACATCCTCACCATCAAAATTCCATGCGCACTGCGAACTCAACAGCCAGATCTCGTGGTCCCGCAAGAATTTTGGAGAACCCAATTCTTGAAAAAAAATGCAACCTCAAGATCTTTGTCCAGGTTACTAACGCAGTCTTTCCTTCAACAGCTACGTGCCCCGCAAGTGCAGCGCCACCAACCGCATCATCAAGGCCAACGACCACGCCTCCGTCCAGATCTCCGTCGGCAAGGTTGACGAGAACGGTCGCTACACCGGCGAGAACAACAACTACGCTCTTTGCGGCTTCATCCGTGCCCGTGGTGAGAGCGATGACTCCCTCAACCGCCTCGCTCAGCGTGACGGATACCTGAAGAACGTCTGGGCTGCTTCCAGCCAGCGTTAAATCGCTTGACTGTAGCGGTTGTTGACGGGTTGATATGATGGTTCGTGGTTTCTTGTCGCCGACATGTTTTGAATGATCTTCCAATTAACTCTTTTTTTTCAATAGACGAACTGCGGCTAGATGGTCCAGGTTCGGGGATTGGTGATGGGAAAAAAAATCAGGGAGTTGGGGTAAGGCTACGGCTACCTCTCCTTCGGCCTGAAAGTTTCTTTTTTTTTAGTCCCCATGGGAGAAACCCTGTTTTCCTACTTGTCCTATCTATCGAAATGAATGGAATCGACGACTTTAATGGGTCAGGTTTTTTCTCGCAAGACCGATTGTTGAATTACCCGAGGGAGGTTTTTTCCACGCCTTGTTCGCTATAGAAGTTTCCCGTCTACAAGGCAGATCCAAGGGCTCCCGTCTCACACCCTTGCATTGTTGCTCGCAGTTTCCAGGCAAAGCAAAAGCAAAACAAAAATGCCCAAAATGTTATCCTTATAAATCCGAACCCCGCCTTCCCCTCTACCTATAGCCCTTATTTTCTTCCTTCTTTGCATTCTCTTGCTGGTTTTCAATCCAGCCGGCATAGCAAGGCCTCCTCACCCTTGTAGACTAGGAAATCGAATCGTTAATTCGGTTTGTGTTCCCGACATCTGCTTCTATGAGCGAGGGGGTGGAAAGAACACTTCCATTGCCGTATATTACCATACTATGAACCCCGCCTACTGAAGAGCCACTGTTGCTGAGTTTTATGCACTGGGGCACAGATACGGATGGGACATTACTGCCCGTAGAACTTGAAATTGAAATCAAATGTTTGAATTTTGGAACCCCTCATTGGTGGGTCTTGTAATTCCAGTTTTGCATCAATGTGGGTTAGTAGCAGTTACATATGATTGTATGTATTCAAACATTTGAATGTTAGTAGTCGGAGTACTTAGCACTCAAGTGCTTTCTCTACTAGTAGTTACCGTGCTATACCTACTAGTACTCTAGAGCACCTCAATTGTATGTAAGTACTAAATCAATTTTATCCATGTACATATATTCTCTAGGTACCACCGATGCATATATGTACTAGTATATAGCATGCATTAAAATCCACATGCAGATGTCAAATATAGTAAAAATTTGTTTGAGTGCTCCATCCTGGTCGAGGTCGGGCTGGTAGGTCCACAAGTACGGGTAGTACATAGATATATACACAAGTAATATATCACATGTGCAACTGGTACTATTGATTGATTGAGTCAAATATATCAATTTGCTGGAAATGAGCACTATGTTGAGGCTCTACATTTAACAATTGATCAATTGAATATTTTTCTTGCACATGCATGTTCAAATCAAACAAAAAACAACATTTGAAGATAAACTGGTATGTACATACCCACTATGTATGTGTAGTAGGTCAACTGGTAGTACTCAAGTGCTCATGTACATATGTACGTTCAAATGTTTGAAAAAAAAGAAGTATTGATAGCTCAAAATATATAATGTAATCTTTTTGCTTCATTGCTCCTCATCATTGACATGCAATATGTCTTCCACGTGAACTCATAATATCAGATCAAGCTGCCTCGATTCGAAAACCAAGGAGCCTCCACCAGCAAGGCTCAAAACAAAAGGGTCTCTTATCTATTGACATTCCATTCCACCTGCCCCCCAACTGTCGCAGAATGAGAAATTTTAAACATTTTTTACTCCTTCTCCAGACGAACGGCCGGGTTGGACTCGATGAAGTTTAGGTCAACCTTGTGGCCCAAGAGCTCACGAATGTTGCTGACACCGTACCTGTAATGATATTAGTATGAAGACCAAAAAAAAAAGAACATAAGAGGGTGTTGTGGGGGTGTGACTCACTTGATCATAGTAGGTCTCTCCAGACTCAAACCCCAACCGTAGACCTGCATGTTCTTGGGAATACCCATAGACTCCAGCATCTCAGGTCGGAACATACCACTGTTACCGATCTCAACCCACTTACCCAGACCCTCGTGGTAACCGAAGATCTCCATACTGGGCTCAGTGTAAGGGTTGTAAGCAGGCTTGAAGCGCAACTGGTGAATACCCATCTTCGCGAAGAAGACCTCCATGAAACCAATCAGACCACCGAGGGTCAAGCCGAAGTCAGCAATGACACCCTCGATCTGGTGGAACTCTGCCAGATGGGTAGCGTCAACGGCCTCGTTACGGAAGACACGATCGATACTGAAGAGGCGGGCCGGCCGCGGGTCAGCGGCGAGCTTGTGCAGCATGTACGCCGAGATAGAGGTGGTGTGAGTGCGGAGCACAAGACGGAGAGACTCATCCGCGTTCCACGGGTAACGGTAACCGATGGAGCCGAACTTGCCCTTCTCGTGGACATCGTGCACGTTGTCCCAGTACTTCTGGTAGTCGAGGGGCTTGTCAGACTTGGGGAGGTGCGGGTCGTTAGGGGGATCCTCGCGCGGGGGGTCGGCAGTCAGCGGGTCGGCGATGTAGAAGGTATCTTGGAGGTCGCGGGCAGGGTGTTGCTGGGGCACGAAGAGAGCGTCGAAGTTCCAGAAGCCAGTCTCGACGAAGCGGTTGGTGGGCATCTCCGTGAAACCCATCTCGAAGAAGATATTGCGGAACTCGGAGCGCACCTTGTTGAGGGGGTGCAGGGCGCCGGAGGGGGTGGGAGCACCCTTGGCGTTGAAGTTGTATGGCTTCAGCTGGACGGTCTTCCAGGAGCCGTTGGCGATCATCTCGGGGGTGAGATCGGTCTCCTCCTTGACGAACTCCTTGGCGTACTTGGGGCCCTTGGAGAACTTGTAGTGGATGTCCTTAGACAAAGTGATGAGCTTCCTTCGCTTCAGGTCGGCCAGAGCCTTGGAATCATCGAGGGTTTGTGTGCGCTGCACGGTGAGAAGCTGCTCGCGGGTCTCATCGACGATTGACTGCTGAGTGGCCCGGAGTTTATCATTGTCCTTCTTGATCCAGCCACGCTTGAAGCAATTGCCCTGGCCAACCTTGGCATTGTCCTTCCCCACAAGGGCTGGCAGGTCACTGATCTTGAGGCCATCCAGAGCGGCGACAACAGCGGCGAACACCTTGGCCTCGTGACTGCCATTGTTGGCAATCTCCAGACCCTCGGGGGTGAGAACAACGACATCCTGCTCCAGAGTCTCATACTCAATCATCTGTCGCGAGCCTAGGCGGTCCAGCGCACTTTTGACGTTCAATGAGGGGGTGGAGGGGTAGGCTTCGTTGGAGAGGAGGGGCGCATCGGACTTGGACAAGGAGTCCAGAATCTGGGCGGTCATGTCGGACGCCATGGCTGCAGATATATCCTGCAGAGGATTTGGCGGAAGCTGTGCAGGTAGTGGGGTAATCAGTCTTGCGGTGTTCGGCCAAAATTAACGATGACTCTTTTCCACTTATATCCGGCGGGGCAGAGCGACCAACTTGAGTAAAATTCAGCCCAAGATATGGCAATGAGGTCTATGTGTCGTCATAGAACTCCATCTTTCAACAAGCAGCTCGCGTAGCTCAGTTGGTAGAGCGCGGCACTAGTAATGCCGAGGTCTTCAGTTCAAATCTGGACGTGAGCAGTTTCTTTTTTGCTTTTTTTTTTTTTTTTTTTTGTTTTTCAATCTTATCTTATCTTCAAATGCATTCCACTTTTTTGGAATTTCTTCCTTGACTTTCCATTGGATTCTTTTTGCTCAGTTTGCATAGTGAAAAATTCTCTCGCTTAGCTAGCGCGGGTGTTCCCGCCCCACCCAGAAAAGTTATAAAAGCAAGCTGTCGCCCCGTGGGTTTTCTTTTCTTCAAGCGACTCTACGTTAGTGATCCCTCCCCTATAGGATTCCAATCCTTCACAGGATTGGAACTCCTCACCCCCTGAGCTTCTCACTAACAACCTCACAGTTCAAAGAATCACTTTAGAGTAGACGTCCCACTTCTAAGCTCTTTAAAAGAGCCACAGAATCTCCACCCTTGCTGATGACTTCTATGTCCTCGATGCCCTAAAGTGAAGCCTTTTACTTCCGACTCGACATGTCACGCGTGCTGCTTGCAGTGTCTGCGTTTCATGTCCAGGGAGTGGTGATGATCTTGACCTGGTTCGGTGTCTGACTTCGGTCGGCTGGGCCTGGTGGGTGTCGAGGAGGTCTGAAAGGTTTTTGACTCCTTCAATTTCTTGATGCAGATTTGTTGCGACGATAAACGGATGAGTCTTGTGAGTGGTTGTCCCATTAGCATAGGCTTTTAATTTTTAATCAAAATATTTTCATCAAACACTCTTTCTTCCATTTATTATGTAAAGTTTGATAGTAATGGCTCTCGCCCTTTTGAATAATTAGTGTTCATCCATTTCAATTCACTCGTGACGAACCATAATCGATAGACTTCGAATGCTTGAAATTCATGAAATTGATGATTTTTCCGGAAGAGAAATTAGACCGGTTTACTAGTACGACCAGGTATTTTCTATGCAAGCTCTGGGTTGGCCTTGAAAATGTTTCGTATGAATACTAGTACTCCATGCTTCCAACTTCCAACCAACATTGAACTTCAGTGTTAAATAATTTCAAGCTTACTACATGAACCTACTCCATATATTAAATTTGGTACTACCCAAGAGAGTGTAGACATGTATATGTATTATTCATCTTTTTTACGGACGAACTTCAAATCTTGTGTTCAATATGATCCATGATAGAATCAAAGTATAATCAATATACTTATCGACCCTCACATATATTGATTGCCATCGTGCATGGCAGGACAAGCGGCAATACCCGTAGCTTGTACAGTAACTGTTTCTGTCACCACAATCTGGTCGCTCATAGGTGGAGCAGTCACAGCCTGTGTTGTCAAAACCAGAGGTGTCGAAGATGTTTCATCCAGAGTAGTCGAAGTAGAAGCAGTAGCAGAGAGTGAAAAAGTGATGGAAGAAGAAGAGGCAGCGACAGATAAAATAGTGGTCAACGGAGTCGTGGTGGTCAACGGAATCGGGGCCAACGAAGAGGTAGCGAGTAACGAAGTAGTGACCGAAGAAGAAGCAGTGACCGATGAAGAAGCGATAGCTTGAGTCAACGAAGAAGAGGGATATCGTGTAACAGCCGGCAAAGTCCACGACGTAGCACTAGGACATACACTCACGCCTGAAGCTGTAACATTCGGATACGCCAGGTCGGGGAACGGCCGCGGACCAGGCATAGTATAATTCACGATCCAGTCCCGATACATATAGAACAAAATTCCAGGCTCATAGCCAGTGTAGAGACCGGGGATCTTCACGGTGGGACCAGGGGACGCAACAATATCGCTCTCGACCTCAATTTGCGCACAGTTGAAATAGAACTCGGCATTGCCGTAGGTTCCCGCACCATGCAGAGCGATATGCTCAATCCGCACAAGGTACTGACCAGCCGGAACCTCAACGGGGAGCATAAAGGTAAAGTTCCCAATACCCGTAACGCCCCAAGTGATACCATCCGAGCCGAACCCGTTCGGACCGAGCTCGTAGATCTTGAACCAGTCACCCGAGCCGTCGTAGTCCTTGACTTCCGTGCCGGTTGGTGATTTGGAGAGATAGACCTGCAGGGGACCAGGATGTTCGATCGTCGCGCCGAAATCGACTCCAAATCCAATGGTGTCCCCGGCCTTGACTTTGTAGGTGCCTGTCGCGTTGGCGTATTGCTGGGAGCCAGTGTTGCAACGCATGAGGTCTTCGGTGTACTCGTCTTTCACGGGCATGTAATTCTGCGTATCTTCGCGGACGTACTCGTAGTAGCCAGTGAAGTTTCCGTTGGCGATGAAGTAAGGGAAAAAGTAGTGGGCGGATGCCTGGGAGAGCAGTCCCAAAGACGCAAATGCGCCCAGCATCAAGCTCTTCATAATGAGTGAGAAGAGTAAGAAATGAATGTAAATAGTGCAAAACAAAAACCAAAAAAGAAAAGCCAACGAAAATACCACCAGGGCTAAAAGATAGAAGGAATGATCAAAGACAGAATAGAACTTCTACTACGTACGTTCTATGGCTACTAGTAGGTTTTATACCTGGCGCTTGCGCAGCGTGCATGCTAGATCGACTGCCATCTAATTAAGAAGTTAGTCTCGGCAGCAAATGTTTTTTCAGGGTCCTCTGAGTTTATGCCTTTGGGGCGACATTTGAAACAACGTTTCTGTTCATTTGACGTGCCCAGCCCTATAGCCGAGCTTGGCAGTTTCAAGTGGATTGCTTCAATTCGGTCTCTGTAGGTCCGCCGGTCATGCGAGGTGAAAGTTTGCATAACACGAGTCATAAGTTGGATAGGCGAACCGACGATCCTCAGCTAAATACTCATAAAACCTCAAGTTGAAACAAGGTCTCCACCGGAGACCTTTTGAACCCCTTTCGGTACAAATGTTGTCCCGCTTCGGCAGTCGAAATATCCACCAGGAACATGCCGATAGGGTAAGCCATGATACCCTAAATTTTCTTCTTTGTTGGACATCCTTGGAACTACTAGTAAAATCCAAAGACTTGCCAGGATCCCCTTAAATGTCCACTGTCCACTGTCCACCCAGATTTAATCTTGCTTGGGCTCATCCATAAACGCTTCTGCCTAGCTGGAGACAAATTTACTACTTCGTCCCTGTTTTCGCCATCTTTCTAACCCTCCTTTCTTGAACCGAAAACGAATATTTTGAAGATTTGACTGGGCCACAACGCGTCTCCAAATCGAGTTGTCACTCAATGAGGTTGCAAACCTTCAATTTGTTGCTTGACGTGTGCTTTACGTGTAAGGGACAACCCTGGAACGTATTGCATACTTGTATATACTACTAGTGGCTAGCATACGTACCTTCCAAGGTTGTCAGAGCCTTTCAATTAGATCAAGTACAAGCAATAATGTAGTGCTAACTAGAGGAGACCTTGGAAGTCTGTTGGTCTAAATAGTACCTACTAGATATATGTCGACTCCGATTTCTCTGTTTTTGTCTTCTATTCCTCTTAACTGTTTACGAAACATTTCACGTACTCGTTACTGACCACCTGGACCCTCATCCACTTCTCCCCCAAAATCCGGAAAGCCCCGTTGAGTCTGGGGTGACGATGTTGGTCCCGGCGAGTCTGGGATGTCGATGCTGGCCCCGGCGAGTCTGGAATGTCGATGTTGGCTCTAGCGATTTTGGGGTTGTCGTCCGTATCCACCTGGACCCTCATCCGCTTCTCCCCCAAAATCCGGATAGCCCCGTTGAATCTGGGGTGTCGATGTTTTAATCCAGGTCCGTTCTGTCACCACTTCCCCCCTCAGACTGTTCCACCTCCACCCTCCTAAAAAGGAAGTCGCCCGATTGGGTATGCCACGAACTCCCCGCATCAAAACGCCCCAGATAGCATAAATATTCCCCTTGCTCATTGCTTCTAGTCGCAGCGCATGGTAGTCCCTTCTTGCCCGTAGTATCGTTGTAACGAATCCGCAGAGAGTAGTAAACTAGCCTCCCGATTCTCAGGGGTGGGTCTCCCTGGTCCATACAAAGCAAGCCCACTTAAACCCTAGAGGTTCACATCTGCGACTTTCTCCCGGAAAAAAAAAGTGGACGAAAGTGCGAGCACAGGGCAGACATAAAGCGACCACAGCCAAACGGCATGCCAAAGGGATCCGCGTCTATCACTTAAGTCGTCATCGAGGTCACAGAGCATGGCGAAGTTGAGGTCAGAGATGTTGCCGTCAAGAGTTCTTAAGACGGGGGAAAGTTCGAATATGTAGTATGCTATCCGCTCGCCCCAAGTTGGCACAGCGGCTTGGACGAGAGAGTTGAAGAGGAAAGAAAAAAAAAGAAAGTGAGAGAAAACGCGTGGGGGAGTATTTATACCAGGGCCTACAAAGCAAACGCGTCTTGGAATCTCTCACTTGGAGTCTTTCACTTGGTTCCCTACTAACTACTAGTAGTAGTTAAACTTCCCTAACATGTCACTGAGAAGTTTCTCGTGTTTCAAACTATTCAAATGTTTGCACTTACTCCCTATAGTACAATAAATTGCTCCCCTCTCTGATTATCGGCGTGAACTGAAGTCATGAAGCATAAGGCCGGTGAGGGGGAATCAGATACGGAGTACGGAGTAACGGATTATATTCCTGTGCGCCTGCTTCCTCTTTTGTTTCTCCTCTTGTTCTTCAAGTTCTTTCTTATTTCTAAAGCCTTAGTTATCTCGTCAAATGACCTCCTTCCTCGTGGATCGACTTGCCTCGCAACAATTATTATATGGATTCCAATATCCTGCTTACGACTGCCAGTGCCTAGTAATCTGTCAACAGTATCCTAATTGGCAAAAAGTTTACAGAGGATTGAATTCTGGTATGATACCCTCTAAATATTTTGAACTAAAGACTTTCAAATGTTCTGAATTTACCCAATTCAAATAGAATGATGGTAAGAAACTGGTAAGTCCATACAAAAACACTTGGGAGCTTCCATGAGATTTCTGCTAGAGTTCTATAGTTAACGGCTGAAGACAAGGCTGTCCAGAGCGAGTCTTTTGAACCATAGCGGGACGGACCGACCCCTGAACCGCCCCACCGCGACGCCGGAGCCGACAACGAAATCATGCAGCGCGATTTGCGGAACAGGACCCAATCAAGGGCATTCGGCGATGTAGCTCGTTTAGAGCTGGGGGTATTGCTAAGAGCTTCTCAGGGGTTTGAATCAAAATGAGTAGACGCGCTCTCAGCTTTTTCACCCCGGGGCCGGACCGGACGCGCCCAAAGTCGGACCCCTAAGCGAAATCCCCGCGATATTTTGATCAGTGAGCATTTCCAATTCTCGAGTATTTTACGTGTTTTCCGCATTTGAATTGCCATTGTCTTTCACTGTTAATATCTGATTTCTAAATGCCCCTTGTCCGTTCGTTCCTTGAAGGCTTTTCGCCAAACCCCCCTTACACAAAGTCCTGGCTTGTTCTCTCCTTACCCGTACAGGTCAAAAAAAAATACAGGTACTTCATTACCATCACTAGTATTTACCATCTGCCCCAGCCCTCATACTGATAAAATTTGATGGATTAATTGACCTAGACCCAGGATCCCTGTAAGAGATCCTTGATAGACAGCGAGGTTCCCGAGGTCCATTCTTCTAGGATCCGCGCCCTTAAATTGAAAGTTCTCATAAAGAGGGTTAAGCGGATCCACCGATATCAAGGGGTGATATGAATCGCCAGAGAGGGACATTCCTCCCATTAAGTTTGAATAGATCCAACTGAATGTTGCTTCCAAGGTTCAAGGGTGAATCCCACATGTGCAAGTAATGTCACAAGTTAATTACTCATAACCAGGTACGACGTCTGACCAGCATTCAATGTTCCAAGATTGTATTTGAATAGGTATTACCTGGTCAGAGCGTAGGACGTAATGCCGTCGTATGCACAAGACTTTAATTCCTTCTAATAAAAAGTTGAAATTGAAAGATTTGGGATTGGGAAGATTATACTCGGAGATAGTTGAAATGCAATTCATAAACATCACCATGTATGAGGCAGGAATGGAGGGTGTAGGCATAGAAATGAGTGTCCCGAAAGAAAACGAATGTAGTTATTCGCCCTTTCAAAGAATAAATAGGACTGATTTGGCCTATGTGATTGACTCCAAGCTCAAAACCTCGTAAAGGTAATTTCTTTGCCAGGTTCAAGGTACATACTCGCGCTCAAATTGCAACATCTATTATCCTGAGCTTGGGTTTTTGAAAGCCCTTGCAGCCAAGTCGGCCTTCGCAATCTATTTGCGGACTGCTTGTCAAGGCCTACGAATAGAAATATTCCATTGGACCTTGACGATGCGCTTTTTAAGTCGGGTACTTCTGGCGGTCTGCCTAGTAGCTCCTATGACACTCGCGCTGTCCGAGCCAGCAACCAGATTCTACAAGCAATTATCCGTATTAAAAGAAAAGCTCGAGAAAAACCGAAAAGCGATCGATCAATACAATGGAGGTATCATAGCGACTGGTCCACTGGGGACGTCAGCCTACGAATTATGGTCTGCGTTTAGGATTGGAAACGTTCAGCTGCACGAGGCCACTGCAAATTCCACAATCTGCCCCCCGGAGGAGCGTGAGGACATTATGAAAGCCATTTACGATTTTGGCTTTGATGGAGTTCAGACAATGGATGTTTACAAGAAAAAGGTGAGTCCAATTGGAAAAAATACAGATCAATCTGCAGAAGAAAGAACATGTCCTCTAACCAACTCTTAATCTTTTCTTTCTTTTTAGCAATCGGTACTCAGAGACTCCCGAATGGGCTTCGTTACGCCCATATTTTTGGATGCTATATTACGCGAAATTGAAGAAGCTGAATCTTACTCGCGTTATCTGCTGGGGAACCAATATGACGATCAGATTACTCGGAATTACGGACTTTTTCGCGAAGCATGGGGCTCCGTTTTTGACGCATATACGACGGGCTTGAAGCCTGAGTTGGGATTTGCACAGGATTATATGGGATTTATGACGGCGGTGCAACCAGTCCTTGGCCTACTTTTTTAGGCCATTCATTTTAACTCGTCTATATAATAATTGAAAGCCTTTTAGTTATAGCATGCTGCATGATCACCCCTTGTGTCGTGAGTTGCGTTACCCCCCTGACGTGTCCGTCATTCTGGGCTTTATTTATCGGTGGTCAAAGTACCGGATTGTTATTTTGAACTTCACCATTTATCCTTTGTTGGCTTCTCAGTTTCTTGAACCAGGCGGACGGAAGATAGCGTAAGCCTCTGTGCTGAATTCTGTTCACGCGTGGTCATAACAGACCAGTTGAGCTATGAGTCTGCAACAATTTCTCCTATCGGCTCCCAGGGCTACTTTGTGCTATTTATTAATATCTCTTGTTCCACCAGTCACAACTTTCCTACATTTCTGGGGCCTGGAGTATTGGAAGAGGATCCCACTACCTAATCGACTATGGCTCTGGGTAGTGTTTGTGTCCGCAGGATATGCCGTTTTATTCCCACCTGAGCTACCGGGATATTTATCTATCATCTGTGGCCCAGGCTCTGTTATTCATATCATCCGAGCTATTGAGTTGGCATTTGTTCTCGATGTCCCAAACCTGAGGAGACTTCGGAGAACAAAACCGTTGGCTAACACTCTCTACAAGTGGGAGCCATATCCTGCAAAATTTACGATACGCAGGGGCATTTGGCTTGTAGATCTATTGACCAGCATTCGTGCAATTGGATGGAGTCATGGGCCACAAAGTGGCTTGCCACCAGGTTTCTTGATCTACGAGCCCCGATCAACCTATCAGCCACAGCAGAAGTCAAAAAGAACAACAGAATGGACAGGCAAAACAGATGTGCATAAATTCATGACAGAGAAGGTCTTACATATGGCTCTATGCTATCTTTGGATCGACTTTTATCAGTCGATTATCATCCACTCCGAGATCTGGAAGGCACTTGCCAGGCCTGCCGCCTGGAACCATTCAGAGGCTACAAACCAAGTCGTATCCTGGCTTCTGATGCCATGGATGAAATGGATACCTACAAAGATTTGTATCTACGCGGCCATTCAACTCTCATGCTCAACGCTCGCATTTGTGGATATTGGGCTTGGGCTGCTAGGCAATGAACCCTGGCAGTATCCCCCTATATTTGGATCAAGCATCGGTGTGATGCAATTGAGCTTCCAAGGTATGTTGTTACTTCCAGAGAAGAAAACAGAGGCTGATCATTCCAAGCAATATGGGGAGAATGGTGGCATGATCTGTTTCGGTTCACATTCCTAGGTATTGCTGACTGGGTCATTCGCTCCAGCAAGGCAGAGCGATGGGAGCACATTCTTGTTCTTGGCATCCCGTTCTCTTGCTACGCAGCAATACACGCCAGCCTCTCATACGCTGTTTCGCATGATGCTCATGCAAGTGCTTGGGTGATCATCTTCGGGGGAATCCAGCCCCTGGTTATCCTGGTTCAAGCAAAACTTCGGCTTTCTATGCACAGCAAGAAAAAGTTGCTCCACGACTTGATTGGTCTGGCTGTGTTGTTAAACACCTTTGGGCTACTGCTTGGTAACCCTGGCGTTCTCCATTCCCTCGCTTCTTTTCCTATTCCAATTTCGGTATGGCGCAAGGGTGCATTTGGGATGGATGAGACAAACTTTCAGAATTAATTAAATGGGCTCGTCCAATTATAGTGGGTAGAATGGAGGTCAATAACGCACACATGAGTAAGGCTATTATCATGCAAGGAAAACGAAAGACATCGTATCAATAGGCACGTATTCTCACGTCCCGACCCCAAGGTTTCCGACTTGATTGAGACTGGTACTAAGGCCGTACATCCCAGTACATACCACAATGCATACTACAGTGTGTAGGGCCAACTATAATACTGAATATTTCAAAATACCATGTCAGGTAATTTTGTCTATTGAGGTTTATTTTTCACCTACCTGAGGCCTGTTATGGAAGACAAGAAGACTTGGAGACTAATTTTCCACCACTTGCTCTCCAGTATCTGAAGGCCCTTAAAGAGCGCCGGACCAATTCAGAGGCATCGGATTGGGTGACGACAAAGGTGGATGAGCACCAAAATGTTTAAAAAATTGTCGCAATTTCATTGGTGGCATATATTTGCTCTAGTTATATGGCCGCTATGGATTCCTCTGCGTTATCCGTACGTCCCAGTCCGCGGAGAAACGGTGGTTCTCGCTTTGGTTTACGGCTATATCCAGGGGCTCAGCATCACGATAGGTATAGCGGCCACCTCGCGATATTTCACGACTGTCCAAGCTAAACTATAGAACCTATTAGGATACCACCGACTTTGGGCACACAAATCTTTTCGGGCACATATCGCGTTGCGCATCTTCCTTGCAGTTTTCGGTGCAGGGATGGTCCAACGATCTATCAAGTGGTGGGTGAAAGGCCATAGAGCTCATCATCGATTTACAGATACCAAACTTGATCCATACAATGCACGGAAAGGGTTCTGGTATTCCCATATTGGATGGCTGTTAGTTCGGCAAGAAGACATCATGAGTCAATGGGACGTGGACATCTCTGATCTCGAAAATGATCCCGTCGTTGAGTGGCAGGATCGATATTACATTCCTCTTGCCGCTTCCATGTCATTCGTCGTGCCAGGGTTGATAGCCTGGCTTGGCTGGGGGGACCTTGCCGGAGGACTCTTCTGGGCCGGGACGGTCCGGATGAACGTTGCATGGCATTTCACATTTCTGGTCAATTCACTTGCCCATTGGGCTGGAAGCAGACCGTTCTCGTCAAGAACAACCGCCCGGGATAATCCCCTGGTCGCACTGATCACTCTGGGAGAATGTTACCACAATTTCCATCATGAATTCCCAACCGATTATCGAAATGGAGTGGGGCTTTTTGATATAGATATTTCCAAATGGCTTATCTGGTTGTTAGCCTCGGTCGGACTGGCGACTAACCTAAACAGAGTGCCAGACAAGGTCATCGAGAACTGTCGACAAGGCAACAGCAAGAAGATCCCATCTGATGATAATTGTGCAGGCGATCGAGTACCAGCGATAGAGTGGGAAGCATATGTTCAAAAGGCAGGAAGTGGACGAGCCCTTGTTGCAATCGCTGGCTTTGTTTATGATGTGACTGACTTCGTGGATCGACACCCTGGGGGGGAAATCTTGAAAATGGGTATAGGAAACGACGCAACAACCATGTTCCATGGCGGCGTTTTCCAGCATTCTGTTACTGCAAGTGACATTCTATCTGACATGAAAGTGTATGTAATTCGAGGAGGCGGGCCTGTTGAAACACTGCGTAAAAAATAGATTGCTCTTGGTCAACAAATGAAGGTGTTGTTGTTGATGCTGTTTGTTTATGTAGCTGGGAACATTTGTTTGTGCAGTTTGTGCAGTTTGCGTGGTTTGTGATGTTTGTCTGAAGATTATTAGTCAGCTTCCTGTACATCCAGCTTTTTCTAGTGGTTATCCTCGTACGGAGTCGTACATTCGACAAGAATAAAAGTCTTTTTAATTCAAATCTTTAACGTCACAGTATGAGAGACCTCTGAAAGGGCCCTGGCAGCCGTAAAAATCCCAGATAAAAAGTCTCCCGCTCTGTTATTGTAGTACTGGTAGGGTTATACTGTTCCGTAATAATCTAGAGACTTTTTACAGAGGCATAACGGCTGCAAGTGGGGAAAACGCACCGAGGAAGAATGAATGATTGATAAAGTGGTATTGCACATTGAAGGGCCGAAATAGTATAGGACCATTCGAAAAATCATGATGATTAAATATTATACAGTATTGGCATTGCACGACTGGGCCTCCAGACCAATGATCAGAGAACTTGCCACTGCAGCCCTGCTCAGTCTTGTAGAGCACCTGGGCAGAACTGTTTCGTATCTCGTCTTTGAGGGACTTTTATTGTCCGGAAATGATCCGAAGCAATTGGTCTCTGTCTGAATCCTTCTCTACCATTGCCCGAAAGATTCCATTCTCAAGGTTTATTAAGTCTCGAGGAGGCCCAGATTCCACCGCCATGCCACGGTCTAAGACCAAGATATGATCAAAGTCAGCAATCGTGCTCAAGCGATGGGCAATTACTATGAGAGTTGAAGAGCCATGTCCAAATCTTGTCCGTAAAGCCTGCTGAATCTTCTCATCCGTTGCATGATCGACCGCAGAAGTGGCTTCGTCCATGATAAGAATTTTCGGATTGGAGACAATCGCACGAGCGAGGCAAAGAAGCTGACGCTGGCCTTGGGATAGATTCAAACCGCCCTCAGAAATGGTATTTTCGAGTTCTGATAATGGGAGTTTCGCTGTAGAAGTAGTGCCTCGCACCTGCGCTAGAGCAGAGAGAAGTTCGCTATCATCGTGTTCCTGGAAAGGATCCAGATTGGATCGAACATTCCCTGAAAATAACATTGGATTCTGTGGGATGATGGCCAGTCGGCTCCGCAGACAGGTCAGTGTAATCTTGGAAATGTCGACCCCATCAATGAGAATCTGGCCCTGGCTGGCTTCTAAGAAGCGGAACAGAGCTAGAGCCAGTGACGATTTGCCTGCCCCGGTTCGACCAACGATACCGACGCGTTGATTCCCCTCGATGGTTATGTTTAGACCACTAAGAACCGGTGGCAGGTCAGGCGCGTACTTGACTGTCAGGTCGTTTATATCCAATCGTCCTTCTGTTGGCCACGCGGCTGGCGGATCAATGCCATCGTACTTTTCTGGCTCCATATCAGAGTACTCCAAGAGGCGGTCGACAGAATTCAAATCCAGTTCCCAACCAGTGTAAGCCTGAGTTAACAAAGTCATGGCACTGCTCAGCTGAATTGCAAAACCGATCGCAAAACCGGCCGCGGGCGCATCTGCTCCTGTTTGACTCGTAACCAAAACGGCAACACATGTAGTAAAAATCGCTCCGATGATGTTGATTCTTGTTCCAAGCCAGCGGGTTAACAGCCATTGATGCCAGTAGGCCCTAGCATGGCCATCGACAAGCTGCTGCATTTGCTCAATATAGATTTCTGGCTTTCCATAGGCCCGGATTGTCCAAAGGCCAGCGAGCGAAGAGTTGAATTTCTCAAATACTGGACTGCGAGCGATGTTTTCGATACGCTTTACCTCTCGGGCTGCGACAAAGTATGTACGGGTAAAATAGACACATGCCGAGGTAAGAGGAACGATGGGGATGATCAGAAGAGGGTTAACGATAACGCCGGCGACAATCACACTGCCACATTCCAGGCCGGCGGCGAGCATGTGGATCAGATTGAGACATATCCGAGAGTCGACAACGTTCAAGTCAAATGAGAAGCGATTCAAAATCTGACCAACCGGGACAGTGTCAAGCCATTGCAGAGGTGCGCTGAGTACACCGCGTAGACATTGCTCGAAAAGACGTTCTGATGCACGGAGTGCGGGAAAGAAAGTAATCACGTTTACCGTTGAGCCAACGAGCCACTCACAGACAGCGAAAGCGACGTAGATACCAAAATAGAACTTCAAATGTTGCTCGGCCATTTTCTGTGCATCGAGAGCTGCCTCGGTATCATGGTTGCTCCAGACACGTAGCCACCAGCTCTGTTTTAAGTTAGCATATTGAAAGGCACAATTTATTTCTCTTCGGGATAAGACACTTACTCTTGCGAGTATAAGAAGCATATATGACGCACTAGAAATGACAACTAGAGCCCATAGCCACCATCTGCCACTTGCTGTGACATACTGAATAAAAAGCCGCAGAGAGGATTTGTTTGTCTTGCCTCGCTCTTTTTTCAGAAAGGTTCGTGGTGCCTGATTAACTACTCGCCTGCTCTGTGACGAAGTCGGTCGATTGGGCTCATCGACTTGCTCAAGTGGAAATGAAGGTGTATCTTTCAATGCAACCTCTGCATTTTCATGCAGTTTTTCATCAAGTTTGCAAGAATGTAACAGACTGTCCAGCATTCCACTTTGATGTAATTGAGCAGCCGCACCAGTAAAACCAACCATGCCATCTTCCAAATGAACAATACGATCAGTCTGGGGCAAGCAAATACTGATGTGATGCGTGGTGAGAATTCGGGTTCGACCCGCAGCCAAAGGTCCGGTCAGTGCATGCTCATATAAATGTTGCGCGGTATGAACATCCACTGCGCTAAATATATCGTCCAACAACAGAATGCCAGCGCGGGAATATAACGCTCTTGCGAGAGAAATGCGGGCTTTCTGGCCACCACTCAAGTTGACTCCGTCGGGGCCGACTTCAGTTTGCTCGCCATCGGGGAGGGTTTGCAAGTCCTTTACCAAGGCGCATGCGTATAGGACATCCCTATACCTCTCTTCACGAAAGGGAAGGCCGAACAGAATGTTCTGCTTGATAGTTGCTGCTTCAATCCATGGCATCTGAGCCACGTAAGCCGTGGCGGAGTCCTGGAGCCATTCTTCATTGGCTACGTATGTGCGCCAGACACTTTCAGGATCCGGTTGAAGAGGTGCCATTACCTGCCCGGTAATGATATCACATTCTCCCAGGATGGCAGCTAGCAGAAGACTCTTGCCTGATCCCGTTCGCCCGGAAATTAGACTTAATTCGCCTCGGGCAAATTCCAGATCAAGACCCCTTAAGACCCAGGGAGACTTTTGAGATGTCAAAGCTCCCGGCCAGGTAACTGTGGCATTCTGGAAGCCAATAGTGTCGGATGGAGTTAAAATTGGCATCTTTTCGGGAGTACTAAAATACTCATCCAGGCGCCGTGTGCTGATGAAAGTGTCCAACACATTCGAGAGTAAATCCGGAAGCACACCTAACGACATTGCTATCGAACCCATAATTGATGTAGCAGTGAAAGTGACCGAGGCCGTCAGCCCCCCGTGTAGATAGGCATAGACTCCCAAGGAGGCGACAGACAACGCGATTGGGCCAAGTATATAGAAAGACATGATGCCAGCATTCGAGATAAAGATTCGGCGTTGACCTGCCAGCTCCTGCTTTCTCACCAAACCGATTCTATTTGACCATTTGTCTTCCAGGGCAGAGAATTTGATTTGGCGGATTCCGTGCAGCACCTCAGTGATGATACTCATCTTCTTGTCTCGTGCCACCATCAACTGGCGACCAGCCTGTGCATACATGCGACCGCAGGAAGTGATCATCGGCATCAGAACAGCGATACATGCAAGACCGGCCGCCAAGCTTTGCCAGCCAAGGATTTTCATCAATAAGACAGAAGCAAGGATTATCCTCAGAGGCACAAGCACTAAATGAAAATAGTACGTGGCAAATCGACCGATTCGCTGGCCATCAACAGCAACCAAATTGATTGTACTCTTAGCGCCGCAATCTTCGTCCTCGCCGTTCCCATCCCCGCTTTTCTCGGAGCTCATGGACCCAGTTAGACGCATAGCCTTGTCAAACACCATGATGGATATTTGCTCGATTATTCGGACTGAGATCTTATTGAATGCAATCCAGTTTATCCACTGCTCAACAAGAGAAGAGCAAACAATTGACAGGCCCAACGCAAGTCCCCATGCCCCCAACTGCAAGGGTTCTTTCATCTCAGGTGAATCGGATTCCAAGACTTGCAGGATATGGAATAGCGCCATATGCGGCGCGAAAGTGAGCAGTGCCAGGAGAAAGCACAGCACCGCTGTCCCGGTCAGATGTGCACGATTGGATCGCACTAGTATCCTCCACATCGGTGCCGGCGTTGTAAAACCGTTTGGCGTTTTTGACGTGATTGCGCTTTTAGCCTCAGCAAACGACTCTCGGAGACTTTGCGATCGCGTACTGTGGTCTAGCCCTGGAAGTTCCGCCGGGTCGAACTCCTTATCCTGATGGCCGAGCTGGACAACTTTACTTGCCCAGCTAAATGTAACACGACTAAGAATCGAGGTGGAAAGTTCGCGGTCGACCATAACGTGGTTGTGGTAGACATCGGGGCGGCGAGGAAGCAGCAAGCAGAGGGCGGCTGTGGCGAGAAGACAACAGCATTCTGCGCCGGCCAGCTTTCGTTGGATGTTGTCTAGATGCAAAGGATACGATGCGCAGGTCTCGAATGCAAGAGAAATCAACCCCAATACACAACTAAGACTCAATTGCAAGCCCAGGGAATAACGCACAGCACAGCGCGACTCCACTAGTAAGGCGAGACATTCAATGAGGAATAAAAGCTGATCCAGTCAATAAAGGCAAGTGGATTATAACAAAGAAGAGTTGTGCTAGCACTCCCACTTACCAAAATACCGCAGTGCAACCATTCCTCTCTTGTCGAGACGACGACAGCCCGTGATATAGATACGGCGACTGCGCTGGTTGTCAAGATGGTAATCATAGCGCGCTGTGCCCACCTCCTAGAAACCCGCACATCTTCGAGTGTACTCTCGCCATCGCAGTCGTGATAAAAATATTTGGCGAATTGATCAGTGGTGCAAAATGCTCGACGGGCCCAATTTGCCAGGCTTGGAAACGCCAAGCTGGTCAAGAAAGTGGTCAGGACAAGAATCGTGACTCTGAAATCCAGAGCATGGTCTCCAATGTCCCACATTTCTCCAACTTGAAGGTATGGGTTTGGTTTGGACAGAAGAAAGTAATCGATCACTCCTAAATAACTAGACATGTGATTGAGATCTACTAGTACGAACCACTGGAATACAGATGATGTGCAAACCATTCATTTAGTGTTGGCTGTAGCTGAGATGTGGGTCATGGTCTTTTCGTCATTGTTTTCTTTTTCATTTTCCTTTTTTTTTTCACTTAGGTAGTAATATAGCCTACCTATAGGTTTCTGCTCCCTTACTTCCACTCAGCTGGGCCCTCTAATGTACTCAGCTGGTAAGCCAAGCGTATCATCGCACGCGAACGGTTACTAAGTACACCCGAAAAAAACAAATTATCTCATAGCTCACTTCCAAGATTCTCTAGTTCGAGAACTACAAGTTTTGTACATACGACAATGCCCGGGTCCCCTATTTTCAAGGACTACATCCTGGCCCCACAAGCTGAAAATTGATCGTCGAAAATGGCCAAGAGATTTGTCAAAGGCGACGATCCGTTTCTATTACGAGATAAGAGTGATACAAGACCTTACATCCACCCCTTTACTACTCAGATACATACTTGCGGTTTTTAGGTACTCAGGAAAGGGGGTTTCCAAAAACGTGGGGGCCGATTTGGAGTTCCATTCGAACCTCGCGAGTATGTGATACCTAGCTTTTTCCAGAAAGTAGACCTCCTGCCTAGCTCATGGTTTTTTTTGCCACTCTAGCAACGTAGCCAAACCAAGTATTTGAAGAATAGTATACATATACTGTCTTTCGAACTGAATACCTGGACCTAGAGAAATGGTTGGTCCTTAGAAAGTGAGACTCCACCACATATTCAGGTAATTTCTCCACTTGCCTGGTTGCCTCTACATAAGACTTGTACTTCATTCAGGAAGCAAGCCCCTGGGAAATCTAGTAGTCCATGGATGCACCTAAACTCCTAGGCAGAAGAGGGGAATATTCAAGGTCTTTTAGATACCTCTAGCATTTTACTTCGTAGTGGAACTGGAAATGCACGCCGCGCAGATACATGGCGCTTTACTTGTAAAGAAAATTGTATCCATTGAAACATTAAGCCACAAAAACTGTAATTTTGAAAATGACGTTGCCTCGAGAACCCTGAAGCGTGGCATCGTAAGCGACGCATCTAGCCAAGTACATATCTTGACTTCGAAACTTCATCTCAGGATAAGATCCACATCTACTAAAAGACAAAAAACTCAACAGTCCTGTGGCAAGATGCCGATTAGTGTAACTAGTGTCTTGGTCTCATCTAGATCTCCCCATCTTGTGCGATTGTTGAAGTGGAGCCAACATTGAATCATTATAATGTAATGCTCTGACTTGTTAATCCTACTTGTCCGATAAGGGAATTCGAACCTACATGCCCCGGGGTTCAGGTAGATGTCTGGATTGTACATTTTTGAGGCTTGTCTAGTTAAGTTCTCTCGGAAGCAAGTAGTGGCTCCTGAATGCAGAATAAACAGGTTGAATAAACTCAGAGCGGCATAAATACCGGTCGGCAGAGAGAGAAAGAAGAGAAGGAAGCGGGGAAAGTGGGGACTTTGAAATAGTAATAAGTATGCACACCCACGAGTCTCTACTACATACATGAACCTTAAGCAAGAGTTTTAGCAGAAATTTAGCTGATGCTGCAATCGTCACAAAGAAACGATCAGTGAACCGAAAGAGATAAAATACTGAAAGTTCAATCTCGAAATTTTACCCGAGAAAAAATAACAGTCCCTAAAGTGCCGCAAAAGAAAAATAGTTGACATGATGATAACAAATATTTCGATCCGTGGGGCTTGTTTTGCCGGAAATAGTTCCCAAGCGCTCTCTAGCAATGGGTTTGATCAAACCCGGCCCATTATCACGTGGGTGCTTGACAAGGATCATTTGTAACATAAATCCAACTAGTGAAGATCATGTTCCTGGCAAGTAGAACAGCACTGTGTTTTAGCATCATTCGCCGCCTGCAGCGCTCTTTTGATGTGCCCAAGAAGCAGCTCTGGGTCTTCGAGACCGATCGAAATCCGAATTAGGGTCTCATTTAACCCATGACCCTTTGCCCATTCTTTCTGGTTCTGCATGACCAATTGGACATAGGGTAGTGCAATAGTAACATTTGCGCCAAAGGAAGGTCCTTTACAGACCGGGAAGTTGTCGAAGAAGGCTGCCGCCTGTTCAACGTTTTCAAAATCAACCCCAAATACAGAGCCGAAGCCCGGTTCGAACTCTTCCGTGGCGGGGCGCATGAAACTGCAGTAGTTTTCCCGGCTCCAGCAGACGCGCGGCGAGTAGATAGCATTCAGACCACTACTGGGATCGGCGATGTAGGGGTGAAGGAAGTCAATCAGATAGGCAGCAGTGCGGTTTTGCTGCGTAAAGCGCTCGAGGTAATTGCGACTGTTCAACTCCAACTGGATGGCATCCTCGGCGTAGAGATTGTTTACATGAGTTGCAGCAAAGACGGTACTGAGCTCTTGGTAATGAGGGAATTTTGGATTCAAAGTAACACTGCCAATTTGAGCTTGTTAGTCTGCTGATTGTTTATTCAAACGTGCAAGGTCAGATTCTGGGACTCACCATCCTCCAAGGACATCAGCATAGCCACTGAAATTCTTCGTCAACGATGTAACAATAACATCAGCGACATCCGAGACGTCAATATTGGCCGCACTTCCTATTGTGTCGTCCACAACAAAGACGAAATCGTACTTGTTCGCCAGATCACGCACCCTGTGCATGTCTGGGGTTCGCAAGACTGGATTGTTGGGGCACTCGCACCATACAGACTGAATCTTGCGGCCCTCCTTAGCTCGCTCAATCAAGAGTGCTTCCAGGTTGTCGATGTCTTTATCGAGGCCGTAGCTATAAAGGTGATAAGGCACACCAATCGTCTCAATCATCTTAATAGACAGCTCGTACGGAAAGCCGAGCATAACAATGTCATCACTTCGCCATCTTAAAAGTGCCTGGTTCACGTGATAGAGCGCAGCCATACCCGACGCGCTGAGATACACATCATTGCTGGTTGGCAGGGTATTCTTCGTGGCATCTATGGGAGCGCGCGAAAGCAAGTCGGCCACCCGCTTGCGAAGTGTCTCATAGAGGGCCAAATCCCGGGTCGATGGTGAGTCTTGTAGCGGGCCTGCAGTAGGCTCTAGTTGAAATTCGATACATTGGAGGCATTGCTTTGCCAGTCTCGAAGAAATTCCACGGCCATTCAACCGCCAGAACGTCATTTTCACTGACTCCGCGCTATGCGGATGGGTAACAGCGTAAAGCTGAGGGATGTAAGAAAAGTCGACCTCAGACTGAGAAGGACCCTTGCTGAGCTTGACAGCAAAGAGCGATGTATCCTTCTCATCAACTGCGCCATCTGGGTTGAGAGTCTTATCCAAAAGGAAAGACCGGCAGTCTGCTGCGCTGTCGTAATCAGGAAACACAGCAATGCTTTCCGCAGGCGTTGGAAGATTTCGGATACACGTGTCAAAAAACTGTTTTTGCATACATTAATATCATAGTCAAGTCTAGTTCCAGTATATTGGGGTATTGATGCCTACCTCTCGAACGCACTTGTGCAGAAAGGTTCTGGGATAACCATTTTGTAGAGCCTCTGAGACTTCTGCCTTTCCTGCTCCATAACCTGCTACATCAGCCCAAGCAGGGAAATGCACAGATATGGCGTGCTCCTTCGATACGGGAACAGCATGACCAAGAGGTGGAGGTAATTGGTACTTCATGGTGAAAAACTCTGGACTGAAAAAATGAGGGGGTCAAGGTTCAGTTCAAACAAAATGAAGAATAAAAACAAATAATAGTTGTGCGTGCCCAGGCAGATAAATGGAAAGAAATACGTGCCAAGTGGTAATCAGGTCAATATAGAATACTAAGTGAGGGAACTTCCTGAGCTCAGGGGAGAAATCAACTTTATATACTGTCCAGGTGGTTATCGTTATATCGGCTGCTCTCCTCAAGTGCTTGCCGGTGAGGTGACGTTTGACTGGTGCTAGAATGTGGAGAGTACCAAGGAACCCCCTATACTACAGTGTCCGCAACTATTGTTCAAGCAGCGACCATTCATTGATGTTCATCGATGTATCGCCATTACCGCCATGTGTTGTTGACCAAGATACTACTAGTAGTACATACGCACTTAATCTGGTGTCTGCCTAAAGCTGTACGAAAAGTGGGGAATAATGGATCTTCAGGGATGTTCATGGATGTATCGCCATTACCCGCAGTGTTTGTTGACTTTCTGCAACTATGTAAAATGGTGCGGAGAGTGGGTTAATCATGAATCTTCATGCGTGTTTAATGATGTATCATTATTACCCGCCACTTTTGGATCAAGATCCAGGTACTTAATTCGGTTTATGCAGCTAAAGGTAATACATACGAAGACCTCGGGGTACCTCGGGAGTGGGTAAAACATAGTAGATCTTCATATGGAGCTCGTATTCATGGATGCATCACCATTACGTACTTAATTTGGTATCTGCAACTAAAATGGTGCGAAGAGCGGGGGAAACATGGATCTTCATGGGTGTTCATGGATCGATCTATCACTATTACCCACAATTTTTGTTCAAGATGAAATACTAGTATAATTACCTGATTGAGTAAGAATCGTCCATGCCTAGGGGGTGGAGACTCCTGGAGTGATACGAGAGGGCCTTCAGGGCCGTGCACGGGCCACGGCCCGTTCCCGTCCCGCAAAAGTACCGAATATCCCTACCCATCTAGGGGTTTCGCGTGGGCGAAGGCTTAGCTGAACCCAAACAGCGGTGAGTCGTACTAGTACCTTGTAAGGCTGCAGGATACAGATACCCACTTGCAGTCCACGGGTCAAATGCAATGTACAAATCACGCAATTCAAACAACGCATAGTACATGTGGAGTAGCTACCTACAGTAGGTGGTACCTTCAAGTTGGTATGCATCTTGATCGAGTGGTAAACTTGGAACTTTATTCGCAAATAGCTTGCCTAGAATTTGACACTGAAAAAAAAAAAAAAAAAAAAAAAGGAAAAACTTACCACTCTCTCAATTCCACTGTCTACAAATCTGCTTTAACGTGAATGCCTATCTGCCCCTTCCAATTCTATACCAAAATTCACCACAATTCGCAAGCATGACGACATTCGATCTTGCTGCCGCTTCGAACCACCTCCTATACACTGGCATAACTATCTCGCCGGTGAAAGTTGTCAAAGCCAGTGGTACCTATATCTCGGATATTGATGGACGTCAAATCCTCGACTTCACCTCTGGCCAACGGAGCTCTCTGCTCGGTCATTCCCACCCCGAAATTGTCGATGTGGTCAAACACCAGATTGAGACGGTCGATCACCTACACAGCACCATGATCACCCAGCCCGTGGCAGATCTAGTCCTACGATTGGCTCGCTTACTGCCTCCCCCTCTTGAAAAGACACTCCTATTGAATACGGGATCGGAAAGTGTGGAGGCAGCAATTAAGCTGGCTAAGGCCTACACTGGAAAATTCGAGACCATTGCTTTGACCGCCAGTTACCATGGTCAGACATGCGGTGCCAGTGCAGCCACTTTCTCCAAGTATCGGAACACTGGACTCCCATGCATGCCTGGCCAGCTGGCTTTCCCTGCACCATATGCATATGGATCGCCATTTCAGCGTGATGGGAAGTACTGTTGGGAGACCGAATTTGACTATGGATGGTCCATGATCGATCGCCAGAGCGTTGGATCACTGGCAGCCTTTCTGATTGAGCCAATTCTTTCTGGTGGTGGAATTTTGGAGCTCCCTCGCGGTTATTTGACGCGATTGAGTGTTGAATGCAAGAAGCGGGGGATAGTGCTGATCGTTGACGAGGCACAGACGGGTCTTGGGCGGACAGGCAAGATGTTTGCTTTTCAAGAAGAGGAAGGATTTGTCCCGGATATTCTTCTATTGTCCAAGACACTAGGCTGTGGACTCCCTCTTGCGGCTCTTGTCACAAGTGCTGAAATTGAGAAGGGCACTCATCGGTCAGTTTTCTACTGGAACACAACGCACCAAAATGACCCCTTGACCGCAGCCGTTGGAAATAAAGCCCTTGAGATTGTCGAACGTGATGGACTCTGTCAAAATGCGACCGAGCGCGGTGCCCAGCTGACCCAAGGTCTACTCGGACTTCAGGAGAAGTATAAGGATTGGATTGGAGATATCCGTGGCCGGGGACTTCTCCAGGGGGTGGAACTGATTCCAAGCCCCGATGCTGAAATGAATGCGAAGGATTTGGGAACTGCAGTTGTAGAGAAAGCTCTGGCCGGTGGACTGTCATGTAGTGCTGTTCCGTCTCCCCCCCCTGCGCAGGGATCTGTTATTCGCTTGGTCCCACCGATCACTGTATCAGACAAGGAGATCGACCAGGCTATCCAGATTCTAGATGAAACGCTTGCAGCTCTGCTAGTGCAGTAATTGATTGATTGTACATTAAGCAAATATATCGATCAATTACTACCGACACCTGGGCATTAGGTGGTCCGTGCACCAAGGTTTTTTTTTTGTCGCTTGACTACACCTCTGGAGGTAGCTATGCTATGAGTCTAAAGTAATAACCCATAAGGTACATAGAGTGGCATCCAGCATGCCTGGGAAACTTGATACATGTATGTGATTTGCTGTATTAACAAGGTTAACTTTCAGCCCTGGAGGGCCATTGTAAGAACCAGTTGACCTTAGAAACACTGAAACTCAAATCGTTTGCCAAAACAACAAATTCTCCGCCGGCTATCCTTCCGAAGTTCCATGCCGAGGCTGACAGGGGTCATTGTGTAACCTCGGGCCCCGGGGACCATGTCGAATATCTGACTGGTCCATCAATTGATCTGCACATGCGGGCCCCGGAGCGGGATCTGATGTCCGATTGGTCAGATACCCGCCCGATCCACATGCATGTCGATCGAACCCCGAGATCTTCCCCTTAGAAAAAATGAACTAATCCCTCTGACCTGCATGTTTCGAATGCATACTTACGATTTGGTCTACGTAACGAAATTGTTACTAGAGTCTTGTACTACATATGTGCATGATATATGTATCTCATTATATCAAGCAGACTTTAATTATATCATCTAGTATCAAACTCTTGTTTGTACATATTAATTACCGCTAGTGACGTGTGCATAGGTCACAGTGGATCATTTGAGATATGCAAGCCAGGAGGGGTAAAAACAGGTTTGAATCGGTACTAATGTACCTAATGGTCCAGATGTCAGATTCAAATGTTAAGCCCTGCAGTCTCTGAATATTGATTGCCTTTTGGTTGAGAACCTAGAATCTTTCGTGCCATTGTTCTTCGCCTAGTCTGGAAACATTGAAGATTTTCTCCAGATCTCGGGCTGAGTTTCACGACCCATGTATTCATGGATTTTAGAATCAACTACATATGTAGATATAAGTACACATATGCAGTCTCTACCCACCAAACTTACAAATTTCCGAAGGAGCGCCAAGAAGGCGATCTTGCATAAATACTGTATTTCAGTATCTAATACGATTGAAAACGACTCAGTCTTTATATAATCCAGATTATAGATAGCAGATCGTCATTGCAATACGGACTGGTATTGCAGCTACTAGCGTGGAGTGACTTCAAATGTTCAAAATGTTCGGAATTGTAAGTTCCGTGGCCACATGTGCAGAGAATGTACTCAAGTGCTAGTTATGTATGCACAGGTGTAGAGCTAGATATATTTAAATTTCTAAATATCCTGAGAGATTTTCTAGCCTCTTTCTCAAGTCCTCGCATATTAATGGCTGCGATGGCACAGGGTTTCTCTTCAGGACAATTTTACCGAGATTTTAGGTACTGTTCTACCTGGGAGGAATGCAAAATCCCGCAAACGCAATGAGATGGAACTAAAAAAGATGGAGGCTACCTGCTAAGCTAGGGTGGGGGGTTCTGACCAATAGTGGCCACAAGCCTAAAAACGGCCACCTGGGCGACATCTGTGCCTTCCATCTCATTTCCGGAGAACAAAGTTCGGCATCTCTACTTCATGGCTCTGTTTATTGTTAGCCTTATGCCACTTATACTTGGGTCATACTCTTCTGCAGAGATCATTGGAGACTTACCTCAACATAGCGCCCAATCAACCGCATCCCCATAAAACCCGGGATGGGCATTGTCTCTTCAGTCATAAAATCATATAAGGCCTTTCCCTCGGGGTCTCCAGAGGGATCCAATACTCTTTCCAGCTCCTCCTGAACAATCGCCCAGCCTCCTTGAGACTCCAAGTCTAAGACGTGCAAGAGAGGGCCCACATGATCCTGAATGAGGGAATGATGCACTTTATTCCAAGGGGAGCGGAGGTTATCGGCAAGATTGGGGGAGCCTGCGGGGACTTCACTGAGATTATATCCAGAGCGCAGGAATGTAGGGTAATGAATTCTAGTTCCTTCGAAATCTCGGACAGCAAACCCTGTTACCTCTTTTCTTGTGACATTGACACGGACGGCGACGTTTTGAAGGTGGCTTTCAAAACCAATTCCGTAACGAACCAAGGGAGGCAGAACAGTGGAGAATAATAGCATAGTGTACCTATTTGAGAGGATCAGTCACGTTCTTTTTGAGGCAAGAAAGCCAGGCCGGAAAATGAAGACTCGGAAGTTTTGAAAAACTTACTTTCTAAACCAATCTTGCTTTTTCTTCAAGTCATCAAGGCCAAACAAGATCTCCATATACGATTGATCCTCGTTGAAGGGCTTCTGTAATAGCCCAGCACCGGGAATAATGACTTCCTCGGGGGTCTTAGCCAGCTGTTCTGGAAGTTGTCGGATGACGCATGATATTTGGCCTGCTTTATGCAAGTCCTGTTGCGCGCCCGTGATGGATGCAGGCTCTGCAAACCACCAAAGATCAGGGGGAAGCAGATTCGGGAGCAATTTGCCAAGTGCAGGACCCAGAACCGCGCCCCAGGGTCTGACGTTCCTCAGACCAGAGGTGATTTGAACATTTAGCGACAGCTTGAGGTGATCTGGAAAGCCAATTTTTGGCATGAATGAGATACTCCGCATTGATATTTGTGCGCGGCAGCAGTCTGGAACACTTTTAAGAAGACGCGCTTCAGGGAAGAAGGGCATGATACTTGGCAGCTGACGAGTGAAGCACGGCACGATAATCTGATCAGGTTGCTCGGGGTCCTGAGGAACCCCGACTGATTTGAGAAGCGGTTCTAGAAGCTGCTCAAAGGGCCCAGTGACTATCAAACTTGATCTTGGCACGGAGAGAAATGTCAATTCAGGCGATAGGAGTTCCGGGATGTCACCAGGCACAATGGGCTTCAGCGGGGGTTGTGCAAAGCACGTTTTGTGTAGCTATGTGAGGTTAATTTCATTGTCAAGCACACCAAGAGCAACTAGGAAGAATACCGGATGTGTAGGATGCCCAGTCACAACTGATTGCTCCCAATCAGCCAGTGGAGACAAAAGATGCAGTCTTGGCTGAGTAGCTGCAATTTCCAGCCATTTCACTAATTGGGATTTAGTCAAGTCCGGGATAGCAGATACTGCGGCACTTACTCTGATTGTCGGTGGCATTTTGCAATTCTTTTATCAACGACTCTCCACCGTCATTTTGAGCCAGTACAGGGTTCCAACGGCAGATGACGCGGGCCAGCACTGTCGGATCGAGCTCCTCAACTGCCTCGCTCGTTGCGTTCCCGGTTAGCACGGGGTTGAGCAAGTCTTCAGCCCGCACAAATCCAATGGCTCTGAGACCGTCCTTCTCGAAGTAGGCATTGGCACGGATACCACACTTAATCCAAGTGTCATCATACCCAGCTTCACCTGGGGAAGTAGGCGCACGCAACAGCAAACTGAGGTTTGCAGATGTATCGACAGTTCCGATGGCCAGACGCTCGTTCACTGCAGCGGCAAGCACTCGCTTGGTTGTCTCGAAGTGCGCTCGTCGTCTAGTGGACATAGAGGTCCCAAGAGCTGCTGCTGTATTGAGAGTCTCCAAATACTGCGCAGCTTTCTCGTCGTCCATAATTGATGCCGGCAAGTTATTTTCTCTGGCTGAAGCCAGATGCTCTCCAAGGATTACCGACATTTTGGTATGATATAATAAGCGAATCAGGCTTGCTTGTACAGCGGGCCTCGTTTCAGCTCTTCAGAAGGTTATATTGTGAACAAAAAAAAGTCCCAGACAATATAAGAGCGAAAATGAATTCGCAACAAGAGATGTTAAGTTCCAAATCTCTTGATACCAGAGGGCATCAGTGAATTTAAGTGTGATTCTGGGGTTGAATCACACTTTTTAGGTAATTTTGAAAATGCCACGTCACTTTCCACAGTCTACATAAAGAGCTTCACCGACACAAATCTTTTCCGTCCATCTTGCTTTGCCAGTCGTTAGTTCGATATTATGCATTCCGGCAAAGTGCGGCTGTAGGCCCCGCAACTGACCAGTCACAAACAGCGAGAATACCTGACGATGGTATTCGATTTTCATGAAGGTCTGTAATTTTTTTCTTCATGTTCCAATCTTAGTAGTTTAATGATTATCAAAGTTGCCGAAAGTACGATTCAAATGCCGATCACGAAGAAAGGTCTCTGAAGGAATTAGCGTCATGCGAATAACGTATAGTTCAGTGTCTCAGTAAGCTGGACCTGCCTCGTCAGGAGTACTCGCATGTTGATCATAGATTTGTCCGAAATTCCAGCAAACCTTGAGTAATGAGCTGACCTTGGCATGCAGTCTCAGAACGTACCCACTAGGCACGTTCCATCTCATACGGCGGCACGCCCCACATTAGCCCGATCGGGTGGCGCTTCAATGAGGAGAAGGGTACTCCGTGCTCCGCACTCAGCTGCACAATCCAAGGTTTGGAGTGATCCACCTGCAAACTTGGTTAAGTCTATTTGAGCTCCAAATGTGCAGGTGGATCCAACGCGAAGTGGTAATTTACATGTTCAGCCTTGGTATAGGATTTTTAAAAACAGCAGACCCCTCTGGCCTGCATATTAGTTGTATTAGACGTAAAATACGCATATACAGTATGAGGCTTCAGTCTCAATTCTGGTTGGATCGGATTATACGCAATCGCAAGGCGAGATCAAGCGAGATCGGGGCAAAAGCGATGTGGAGTACCTTGCAGCCCTTTTTGTGATCCATGAGAAATCTGTGTAGATCCTGAATTGTAGATCCCGAGATTTGGAATTTGCTATTTCTACACGAGGAAAAATAATAGTTGGACTTTTGACCTATCGATTTATGCAAGAATGGCGGTGTGATTAGGTACTTTTTACTCTCTGGATGAACTACCGAACCTCCAGGCGGGGAGTTATTTACTGCGGTTTGCGTCCTCGGCTCGTAAGTTAAGGTTCACTATCATTATCACCACGAAAGCCTCCTGTCTCACCCAATATTGAAAAGATGCCAGGTTATACGAATGATCATTCTCCCTCGGTCCTGAAGACATACACGTGGCGAGATGCCAATAATTCAGCCGCTTATCTTCTGCCTTATCTACGGCCACAGATGAGCATCCTTGATGTTGGCTGCGGCCCAGGCTCTATCACAATCGACCTGGCACGGAAAGTTCCCCAGGGCCACGTGGTGGGCGTGGAATATGTGTCCGATCCACTAGAAGGAGCACGGTCGCTTGCTAGCTCCGAAGGGGTGACAAATGTCAAATTTCAAGTCGGTGACATACACGATCTACCGTTTCCTGACAACTCCTTTGATGTTGTTCATGCACACCAGGTTCTGCAACACATTGCCGATCCAGTCCAGGCATTCAAGGAGATGCGGCGTGTTGCAAAACAAGGAGGCATAGTCGCAGTACAAGAGACTATCACTTCGACCATATGGCCCAATTCAGAGGGCCTGGCAGCTTGGAGCGATCTTCAAGACCGTATGCGACAGGATAAGGGCAATTATGCAAAAGCAGGAGTTCAATTGCATGTATGGGCAAGGGAGGCTGGCTTTGCCGTGGAAAATATGAAGAAGAGTACTGGGTCATGGTGTTTCAGCAGCCCCGATGAACGAGAGTATTGGGGCGGTGCAATGGAAGCAAGAGTTCGTTCCTCTGGTCTTGCAGCGACCGCGGTTCGTGAAGGACTTGTCAGCGAAATTGACTTAGAGCAGATGGCAACAGCGTGGAGGACCTGGGTGGAGAATGAGGATGGGTGGCTTGGATTTTTACACGGGCAGATTCTCTGCTGGGCGTGATGTACGTACTATCTCAAGAGCTTGGCGACTCAACCTTTGAGCGCTATGATATTCATAAAAATCTCGATTTAGATTGCCAGTACTCAAAAGTATCCAACATGATAACCACTCGTTTTCTGACTACCCCGTACCGACTGAAATAATCACGTAACGAAATTTTGTTGAAGTATGCTACTAGTTTCGAGGAGGTGGAAATTGAATAAAGGGGGGCTTTAGAGCGGGTGATAGTCGGGCCGATCGGGCGGGTGTCGCCAGGAAATGGTAGTGTCACGTGTGTAGTGTACTGTGTGACAGACAGCACCAATCCATGATTTTTGATCATACTAGCTCTCAACTCATGTCAGCTTTGCTTAACTCTTTTCAAAAAACCCCGAGCTCTACATAACTTTGAAAGGTTTGACTTGGAGTATTCTTGATTTCGTGGCATGTTTTAAGCTGGAAGTGGAAATAGGGGAAAGCAAGGGATTTTTACACACCGTACACAGCAGTCAATCCCCAACTTTAGAGATGCAGCTGGTGACCCATTCTAATACAACCCATTGGTTACCAACATATAATTTCCTCCAGGGCTCGCTATGACCCTTGCGTTATTCTATTTCAATGATGGCAATTTTTGAACCTTCCGGTCTTGCCTGGCGAAGAGATTTCCAGTGCACAGATAAAGATCAAGCGAATACACATACATTAACAACCATCCTCTGCCCGTGGGCTCAATCGTCAGTCTGAACACAAAAAAAAAAAAAAAATTGATTTAGGGAAATCCTCACCTCCGTTTCGACGTTAATCATGTCCCGTTTCCTCTGTACAGTTGATCCGGGTGCAACCCCACCCGATGAAAACTGCACCACGCCTAGCACTCTCAGCGTCAATGTTGACGAGTTGGATGATGATCAACCATCCATCCCATCATCCTCCGGCACAGCATCATCGACTCCAACAACTGTTTTGTCTACCAGAGCGGGGGATTTTGAACCGATCGCAATTGTTGGCATGGGACTAAGGCTTCCTACAGGGATTCGATCTGGCGAACAGTTTTGGCATTATCTTCTAAACAAGGGCGAAGGAGTACGCGAGGTTCCAGAGAGCCGGTACAAAATTGATTCATTCTACGACCCAGAGAAAGCACGTTGTGTTCGTACACGACAAGCCTGCTTTCTTGAAGAGGATCCCGCTTATTTCGACGCCGCATTTTTCTCCATCAGTAAGCACGAAGCTGCAAGGTTGGATCCACAACAGCGACTTCTCTTAGAGGTCACTTGGGAGTGTTTGGAGAATGCAGGAGTGACGAAATGGCAAGGAAAAGATATAGGATGTTATGTTGGGGTCTTTGGCGAAGATTGGGCTGAGCTTGCCTACGGCGACTCGCAGTCTATCGATCGATACCACGTTCTCTCCACTGGTCCGTATGCCCTGGCTAATCGCATCTCGTACGAGTATGATCTTCAAGGTCCAAGTATGACGATACAAAGCGGCTGCTCGTCTTCAATGTTGGCCTTGCATGAGGCATGCCAGGGACTATTTTCAGGTGAATGCTCTGCGGCCATTGTTGCTGGTTGCAATATCATTCTCTCCCCCACCATGTCAACAACAATGTCAGATAATCTCGTCATCTCACCCGACGGCAAGTCCAAAACATTTGATGCAGCTGCGGATGGCTATGGTCGAGGCGAGGCTATCAATGCACTTTATATAAAGAAATTGAGCCATGCGATCGCTGATGGAGACCCGATCCGCGCCGTTATCCGTGGTACGGGTACAAATTCCGACGGGAAAACCCCAGTTATCACAGCCCCCGGAACTATATCACAGGAGGCATTAATTCGAAAAACATATGCGAAGGCTGGCATTCCAGATATTACTCAGACACCCGTCTTCGAGTGTCATGGCACGGGCACATTGGCTGGAGATAAGTCCGAGGCCGCTGTCCTTGCCAAAATTTGTCAAGGAACGCCGACTTTTATCGGAGCTGTATGTCTTACCCATTTAGTATTTCTATCTCTTTGATAATTTGAGACTTGGAAGGATATGACTAACATGTTAAGGTTAAACCAAATGTCGGCCATTCAGAAGGCGCTTCTGGTATCACCAGCGTTATCAAATCGGTACTTTCTTTGGAGCACAAGATGATAGCACCCAACATTTATTTCAACAAACCGAATCCCCAAATTCAATGGGCAGATTGGAATCTCCACGTTCCTACGGACGCAATGCCTTGGCCCGAAAACAGCTGTGAAAGAATTAGCGTAAATTGCTTTGGCATAGGTGGTGCTAACGCTCACGTTGTATTGGATTCTGCTAGTTCATTCAATCTACCCTGTTATCATGGACAGCCAGTATCCGACAACTGCAGCAAAAGTCTTAGGGTTTTGATTGTGTCTGCACGGAGTGATGAGGCTCTGAAAAAGCGGATCGAGGGCATTGTTCAGTATGCTGCCGAGAAACCCAAAAATCTACATGATCTAGCTTACACATTAGGTGTACGTCGGGAGCACCTGTCCAATCGCGCATTCGCAATAGTGAACACATCCCCAACACAATCGCTCTCCCCTGTTGTGTTCAAATCCCACAAAGCACTTGAATCAACAGTTATCTTTGCTTTTACAGGGCAGGGTGCCCAGTGGCCCGCGATGGGCAAGACATTGATAGAAACCTTCAAAAGTTTTAGAGATGACATTAGATATCTCGACGATGTACTCCAATGCTTGGAACCAAGGCCAAGTTGGCGTTTGGAAGGTGAGCAATCAATTATCCATATAATCCCCGTGGCTTTTGTTTTTGACAACCCTAGAGACGAAATTTGTAAAGAATCAGACACTTCCCGTATCCATGAAGCAAAGATGTCCCAGCCAGCCACCACTGCCATACAAATTGGGATTATCAATCTGTTATTCCAGTGGGCAATTGTGCCAGTAGCAGTTGTCGGCCATTCAAGTGGAGAGATAGCAGCTGCATACGCTGCTGGTGCACTCACTGCCAGTTCGGCTATCATAACTGCGTACCTTCGCGGAATTGTTGCCACAGAGATCAACAGGCCTGGCGCAATGGCCGCAATAGGACTGAGCTGGGATGAGACATCATCATTGTTGCCGGATGGAGTAGGTTTGGCATGTGAGAACAGCCCTCGGAGTGTCACTATATCTGGTGATAGGGAAGGGGTCGATGCTGTGCTCGAGCGAATAAAACTAGAGAAACCCGATGTTTCTTGCAAGAAGTTGATGGTCAGCACTGCATATCATTCCGGTATTTCCCTTTTTCCAACACAACGCCTCGCAATTGTTTTGAATACTAAAATTATTGGCCATTAGATCACATGCGAGAGGTAGGAGAGCGGTATGAATCACTTCTTACACGTCATCTTACACCCATCCAGCCGGGCTCTCTTAGATGTCCATTTTTCTCAACTGTGACTGGTAAGGTGCTTCTTGAAGCATCCTGCATGAGTGCGAAGTATTGGCGCCAGAACCTGGAAAATCCAGTCATGTTTGCGACAGCCGTCCAGGCGCTCCTGAAAAAAGATGATGGCCTCAAGGTCCCCAATCCAGTTTTTATCGAAATTGGACCGCATTCCGCACTTGCAAGTCCTCTAAGAGAGATTTTCAATTCCCATGCCGCGAAAAATGCTCCTACATATCTCCCCACACTGGACCGCAAGTCGAATGATTCGGCTTCCCAATTACTCCAAACCGCGGCTCATTCATTTTCTCTTGGTATTAATGTTGACCTCCACAAGATAAATGGGCCTGGGAATACATTGAAAGACTTACCCATATATCCATGGGATCATGGGGAACGTCACTGGCAAGAAAGTCGTATCACAAGAGACTGGAAATTTCGATCTCACCCTAACCATGAGCTCCTTGGCTCACGTGTGGCAGGATCGAGCGACTTTGAGCCAACTTGGAGAAACCTGCTAAGCCTTGATGAAGTTCCTTGGCTTTATGATCATCTTTTGCAGGGAGAGTTGGTGTTTCCAGGTGCGGCGTACGTGTGTATGGCCGGCGAAGCAGTTCGACAACTTGCCCCTGAGTCCGATTCGTTCTCGATCCGTCAAATTGTGTTCAAAACGCCACTAGTTTTGCGGGAATTTGAGCCTCTTGAGGTTATAACCAGCCTCAGACCAGTCAGGCTTAATATTCTTACTGACTCGGAGTGGTACGAGTTCAGCATAACGGCCTATGACCCACAAAGTGACCGCTGGATGAAACATTCACAGGGGCAAGTCAAAGCTAGCTCTGATAGCGTCCCAATTCCAAGAAAAATCACGAAACAGGATAGATCAGTGCCGGCAGATCAATGGTATAACATTCTAGATCGATGGGGACTGTCCTACCGAGGTGTATTTCAAGGACTTATGGGTATATCTGCGAACCCAACTAAACCAGTTGCGACGGCCACGGTGAAAGATGACCCCGAAGGACATGCTAGTCGGTACCTTATTCACCCCGCTGCCATTGATTCTTGCTTGCAACTTTTATCAGTGGCAGCAACATCTGGACTTTCTTACCGATTTGATCAAATGGTGATTCCTGCTGGGATCGAGGAGATTTACATCAGCCGTGGCAGCGACACGATGGCGGTAGAAGCGTCTAGTGACACAAAAGTTTCTCGAACCGCTTTTGGTGATGCCATAATGATGAATGACAATGGGAATGTTGCCTTGAGCATGACTAAAGTTGTGATGGCGGTTCACGAAGATTCTGGGGACCTTGGGTTCGGGGGAAGACACCTGATAGCGGAGGTCGAGTGGAAACCGTGGCTCGAAATGCTCCCCCGCAACAATCTGTTCCCCGTCGTCACCTTTGACAAAAGCTACGTGGACCAGATCAAAGTACTGGGCCAAATATGCCATCTTTACATCTTGGAGACGGCGGATCGGATTCGAGAGCTGGACACGGATATCTATGCTCTGGAGAACTGGAAGGAGTGGATTCTGCAGCAGTATAGAAGCATCTACAGGGGGACTCAAACATATTGCAAAGACTCGACCAAATGGGCTCTCTTGGACAGCCTCGCCCGAACACAGTTGATCAATGACCTTACAGCCACTGTCGACGATGAGAGCGGTTGTATTCCTATCGCCAGGTGCTTGGAGCGGAATTTTCATAGTTGTGTGGATTACTTGCAAGGCAAATCGTCACCAATGGAGTGTTTAGAAAAAGACCGCCTTCTCCAAGAAGCCTATGCTGTTGATCGGTCCTTCGCCCTTTGGGAGAATTTTCTTTCTCTTCTCGGCCACCAACTTCCAACCATGAGAGTCCTTGAAATCGGCGGCGGAACAGGCGCTGCAACATCTGCGTTATTAAAATACCTCAAATCCTCAGACGGAGTGATGCTGTTCTCACAGTATACCTTCACAGAGATATCTCCTGAATTCACGGCTGCAGCGCAAGAACAATTCGCCGGGATAGACAATATTGAATTCAGAAGCCTGGACATCACGAAAGATGCGAAGGAACAAGGATTTGAGCTGCATAGCTTCGACTTGATTATTGCATCTAATGTAATACATGCGACAGCTAGCCTCAAACACTCGCTCAAAAGGGTACACGATCTCATCGCTCCCCACGGATATTTTTTGCTTCATGAGCTTGACACGGAACATCCCTTTGTTCCGTATATCTTTGGTGTGTTCTCTGGCTGGTGGGCTGGGAAAGATGATTCAAGATCTGAGAGGCCATTTGTGTCTCCAGAAAGATGGAACTCTGAGCTCAAATCAGCCGGATTTACTGGTGTCGAATCGGTTGTGCATGATGCAGTGTCCCCCTATCAGCTTTGCGCGACTATAATCAGCAGACCAGTCGCACAACATCCGCCTCAAGGGGATATCTGTCTTTTGACGGATGAATTCATTCCAGAATGGGCGGTGGATGTGGAATCAAAATTCACCCAAGACGGCTTCAATGTCTCTTGGACTACCTTGGACCAGCAGCAGAAAACACCTTCTCAGCCAGATACTATATTCGTGTCATTACTAGATATGAACGGCCCATTCCTCCACGCGTTGACAGAAGAAGGCTTTGGTCTTTTACAAAAGTTTCTCAATGCCTCAGAGGATCGCTCCCTCGTATGGGTGACATCATCCACACAAATGTCTTGCCCGGATCCGCGCTATTCTTTGACCCACGGATTTTTCCGAGCCTTTCGACATGAGACCCCAATGGATCTAATTGTCTTCGAGGCCGATAGATTTGACTTGACTGCCTCATTTGCCCTTGTCAAATTCTGCCGTGAGATTAGACGATCACGAAATGGATCTCTCAACGATCTGGACTACGAGTTTTCTTTGCATGCAGGTACAGTGTATACTCCTCGTATACATTGGAGAGCTCCAAACCAAATATGCCGCCACCTCGATCTCACACAACCTCCTTGCAAGATTGAAATAGAAACATATGGGCTTCTAGACAGCTTCAAATGGGTCTCCTTTGAAAAGGATATCCTCCAAGATGGCTATGTTGAGATCGAAGTCCAGTATACCGCCTTGAACTTTAGGGTATGTCCTCCCCCCTTGTATTTTTCACAATCTTAGTAACTTGTCATGCTCACAATAATTAGGATATGATGATTGCCATGGGACTATTGGGATCGATCGATGAACTTGGCCTCGAAGGTGCGGGCCTTGTCACTCGCATTGCTCCAGGTGTGGAAGATATAAGAATTGGGGATCGAGTTGCCTTCGGGGAGATGGGAGCACTTCGGTCGAGGGTTATCATTCCCCGAGAAAGATGTAGTAAGATCCCACATGAACTCTCAATGGCTGATGCTGCCACAATGCTGGTTGTTTATTCGACGGCATTCTATGCCATTCTTCACGTGGCGTCTTTACGCGAAGGCCAATCCATTCTCATACATTCCGCCTGTGGAGGTGTTGGCCTGGCTGCGATTCAAGTTTGTCGCCAGATTGGAGCTGTGATTTACGCAACAGTAGGCTCGGAGGAGAAGGCGAATTACCTAGTCGAGAACTGGAGCATTCCTCGCAGCCGGATATTTACATCTAGGAGCGCAGCATTTGCTTCAGAGCTCATGCGAGAGACAGAGGGGAAGGGGGTAGATGTGGTGCTGAATTCTCTGTCCGGGGATCTTCTTCGCGCATCCTGGATGTGCACAGCTGAATTTGGAAAAATGATTGAACTTGGAAAACGCGATTTGATTGCTCACGGGAACCTGGACCTTGCCCCATTTTTGCTGAATAGGGTTTATTTCGGGGTAGACTTGATTCATGTCGGGCAAAAGAGGCCAGAAATACTAATGCAAATTCGAAAGGACTGCTTGGAATGGTACAAGCAGGGGAAAATTACCCCAATTCGGCCGGTGACTGTTTTCCCGGCGGCTGATATCAGTGCTGCTTTCAGACACATGCAGCAGGGCTCCCACATGGGTAAGGTTGTTGTGGATATGCAGGAAGTCACAAAGAGCTCGCCGCATTTGCAATCTGGTATCAGTGAGATCAGATTTCTTGGAAATGCGTCCTACCTCCTTGTCGGGGGTCTGGGAGGTATTGGAAAAACCCTCTCCGCTTGGATGGTGAACAACGGAGCTCGAAATCTAGTATTTCTCAGTCCCTCTGCTGGTAAGTCCAAGGAAGATCAAGAATTCATCGGGGAGTTGGAGGCACAGGGCTGTGTGATAGCAACTGTTGCCGGCGACATAGCAAAAACAGCCGATGTGGCAAAGGCTATTGAAGGCTGCCTCTTTCCCGTGAAAGGTGTTGTGCAACTTTCTGCAAGACTTCGGGTGAGCATAAATTTCCACAAGAAGTAAATTTTATTTTTGTCTCTGACATGAAATTAGGATCGCACGTTTAAGAAAATGCTGTTTGAAGATTGGACAAAATCGCTTGAAAGTAAAGTGAAGGGCACCTGGAACCTCCATGAAGCCTTGAAGTCTACGCCACTGGATTTCTTTTTAATGTTCAGCTCAACCTGCAGCATTACTGGCCAAACTGGACAGACCAACTATGCCGCCGGCAATAGCTTCTTGGATGCTTTTGCGGCCTATCGCCAACAGCTTGGTCTTCCAGCTTCCATCATCAACCCTGGAGTCATTGAGCATCGCGGGATTGTGAGCCGCGATCCCGAATTGCTGCGCTACATTAAGGGGCTGTCGATTCATCTACTACAAGACAGAGAGCTAATTGATGGTGTTCGTTTGGCCATGGGTCCACGCAAAACACCATTTTCACCACTTGCGATTGGCTTATCGCATACAAAGCCGCTATCGGACTCGACTATGAAGACACTCTGGCCCCGAGATGCACGCTTTGGCATGTACGCAAATCTTGAAAAGTCCAGTCAGGGAACCACCGGGCCCAACAACAAAGTGCTCCACAGTCTCATGACCAGAGTTCAAAATGACCCAAGCATTCTACTGGACCTGGAAACCGAAGATTTAATCCGGGCTGAACTAGGAATGCTTGTTGCCACATATGTGCCACGTGCAGAAAACATGAACGCGGAGGAAATCGCACAGATGCATCTCGATTCTTTGATGTCTGTTGAAGTTCGGCGTTGGATTAAGAGCCACTTGACCTTGGAATTGAGTTTGATTGAAATCAATAGGGCTGAAACAGTAGGAGAGCTTGCACGTGTTACACTTGAGCATTTGAAAGCCAAGTTTAACCTCCATGCGGTGGCAGAGATTCACAATATCTAGAATCAATGCAGATCAATCGGAATTTTAGGTACATATTAGAAAACCTTTGCACGGGAAACTTCCACATGTCCTTCCTAATCTGGAACCTTATTCATGACCATCATCAGACCGCAAAAAGGGGGGGGGGAAAGCAAGCAAGATTTGGTTTCAAAAATCTTCCACATGATCCGTACGGATATCAATGATCAGAATTTTCGAAAAGTCAAGACGAAGTTCCATTCAAATGTTTCAGGTCTGCTGGTGATAAACACCCGAAGGAGTTTGGATCCATTCCTCATACAGTATACTTCGGAATGAATTTAACCGTAAGCCAATGAGAATGCTTTTTCGGAATTAGACACGGAGTTCGGAGTTTGGCGGCCAGAATTCAGTGGTGTTTGCGGAGTTCTCTTTCGCCCTAGTAATTCGTGTATCATACCCGTTTTATGTCATAATACTAGTGAAATAGAATCTTGTAATTAATTCTCAGGAAAATGCGAGCGATCGTACATACAAGGATTATATGGGAATAAAAAATAAAAATTCAACATTATCTATATGCCATTATTTAAACATGATGAGGCAGACAGAGTTCCAGATGTCATTCTCGCCAACATTAACTATATGACTTTTAGTTGATGATTAAGTGATTACGGTTGGAAGCGCTGGTACTAGCTGGTATCCCCTCAAACGAAGAGCGCGGGCTTTTGGAGAGGCACAATGTTTTAGTTACGTGATATTACATTTCTTGACAAATGACTTGGCCTCTTGTCAAATTATCCTGTATGCCGCTCAAAATTCACCAAAGTTCACGCAAAAGGTTGCGGAGAAAGATCATTGAGTGGATTCTCAAGGTCGGCCCATTCCGTATTCTCGATCCAATTGGCAAAGAAACCATTCTGTGCTGACCAATCATCCAATTCATTGGCTGAGGCTCCAACGAGGGCCATTGATCCCAGATCTATACTACCGGTATTGTTCGGGAGCAATGGCGATGAGGTAAGTCGGTTTGCTTCGTTTATGTGTAACCCATGCAACTGAGAAGAGTCCACTGGATGAAGTAATGGGGTGGAACTCGCCGCATATGCCGGAGTTTGATCAACAATATTGTCCAGGATGGTTTCCAATCGTCGAGTGGCACTTTGACATAATTCGTAGTTGCCATCGGTATCTGAGAAGGCAAAGAATTCTGTGAACGAAAGCAATCCGTATATTTTTCGGATAACTGCCGATGGGGCTGGTTTTAAGCGTCCTTCTCCTTCGTCAGCAAAAGAAAAACTGGACCGGCGGGTACTCAGTTCAGTAAGAAGGACTGCGGCGCTGGGAAAGCCATAAAAGAGGAACTAGATTAGACAAGAAGTCAATGCCAAGATATCATAATCCACTCGATAACTTTTCTTCAGCAAAGTAATCTTGATGCCAAGGGTATCTTACCAGCCATGAAAAGTTTTTCCGCACTTCATCCATATGGTTCCATTTGCGGGTCAGAGTCATAACAGTCTCCAAGATTTTCATCGAAATGTTATGAAGGTCTAGACTCACGGATGGAGTATGCTGCCGTAGGCGACGAAATATGTGGAAATCCAAAGATAGATGATCCAAATATACCGCCAAAAGCATCAAGCATAGAAGCGAAGGTGATGAATCCCAACAAGATTCCACGTATTTGAGGGAGTCCGGCAAAGATTCCCATACTGCATGGGATCTTCGTGAAAGCTCCCTTATCAAAAAAGTTAGAAAGAATCAAACGACAGAAAGAAATTCTGCAGAAAAGTGCACACGTAGAGACTCACTGCAGCTTTTCGCTCGTTTCATCGGTGATAGCACCCTGAGAAAGCTCAAGGATGTCCTCTCGAAGGATACTGTGCTGGAAGCGTAGACGAATCCAAGCAGCAGGCTTAAGGCGTGTATCGGTACGCCAGCCGTATTGGTCATATGTGGCAAGTATGTCTTTTAGCTCGGATTCATCTCTCATCAGATCTTCATCACTCAAGTCAGAAGGCATTGCCAAAGTACAGTAGCGTTTTGCAATCCGAGGAGGACGGCCTAGAAAGCTAGCCAAACTTTTATCACAGCGGTAAGCTGACGCGAACACCCTTTTTCGTGACTCTGCTAGAAAGAATGGAATAGAGGCCGGTTGGTCTTGGTGCCAACCTAACGCGAATATATCTGTGGAGACATCTCCCATTCGACGCCAGACAGCATGATCTATCTCATGTAAACGATAGTGAGAAATGTAGTCAAATAGGCGACAATACAGGATATGGATTGATTACCTGAATCACCACGGCAGTTGCATAGTAAGTGAAGGTTCATTGAGAGGAGCCAAAGCATGAGATCGTTTGCAGAGTTGTAGTTTTGACAAATCGAAATACAGCTATTACTAGCTTCCAGCGCGTAGACGATAAGATTTGAGTTATCAGTGCTAGCATCATTCGGAAAAATTGACGGGAGCTGCGAAGATGTCAATTGCGCCGTCAATCCAGCCATGGCAAAGATGGTTCCTAGAAACTCCCATCGAATGTTATCACCAGTATACAAGGTGTGGAAATTTGACGCAGTGATGGATGTGGGCACTCTGAATGGACGCGATGTATTCTCTGCGAGAAGCTTCACCAGGAGGTGGGATCTTTCGTTACTGTGGCTTTCGAGGGTTGCTCGGACTGACGGTAACGCGTTCATGATAAGAGGAGCTGGAATCACGGATGGCTCGCAAACCTTCCAATATGTTTCAAGTAGAGTTTGGAATGGTGCAAAATCGTGAAACAGGCTCAAGAGCCTCAAGCCTTCCTTGAATTTAGGATCATCATATCCGCCTGGTATTGACTGTGTGGCTTCAGTGGTTGAGTAGAACGTTTCAGATTGCAACGACCAATTTGCTGAACGAGGTTGGCTTGGATGTTGTAGGGCTCCGGGTATCTGGGCATCGTTGAGGTGGTATTGCAATTCCAGTAGTGGACGAGATTGGGGGTTGGCTAGGCCCCGTGGAAAGGAGAGACTGTGGGAAGAAGATCAGTTCACTTCTATGGGGGGTTTCCCCTCCAGTTTGAGATTCGGAGCCCGTGGGATGGACCCAACCTCTGGTGTGCAGATCAATTTACCTTGCAGGCAGTTCAATTGGAGACTTAAATTTCTGCTGTCTCCGTTGTCGTGTCAAGGGAGCTGGATGATAAAAGCACTGATTTTGGTCAGTTCTCTTGGTTTGTCTATCTCTTCAAATGTTTTTACCATATTCCCCATTCCTCGTTCGTCGCATCGACGGCAAATTGGCAAAGTATGATCGCAGCGCACCTTAGCCAGGCGGCAAGGCTCACATGAGCGAGGCTTTCCATTGCGACGGATCATGATTCTGGCCTCTCTGCATTCATTTCCACTAAAGAGAAGGGTATAAGAGGATCTTGGCGTCTAGATATGAAAGATCCACATGGCCCCTGAGCGGGGTAATTAGTAGGAACCTCATTGGATGTCTAAATACCCGTATTTTTCCAATGTCAAAATTACACTCCAGATACGTTCCACAAATACCAATACCATACCCGCACCGTGGTCCTTACGTCGAGACAATCGTGTCTGTATCTTTACCTAGCACCTGAACATAACAACCACCATGCAAGGTAATTGTTCAAGCAATCCTAGTCTAAAACCCAGGAATTCCTCTCACCTTGCACCACCTCGTCCACCAACCTCAACATCTCTTCTTGCCGTGAAAGAAATACACTATGTGCGGTATCGACATCTACCCGCCGCACCTTCACCCCCTCCTCAACGCGCTTGAGCACGATATCCTGATGAACACGAGGCACTGAATAATCCTGGGTTGTGGTCATGTAAGTGGTCGGCAACCGAAGCTACGAGTCCCCGGAACCAGGGGCCTCAAAGGTACTCAGCGGGCTGCGCACGAGATGCGGCAAAGTGGCCGCGACCTGGGTCCCGTTGCAGTCACCCAAAAACAGCTGGACGGGGTCGACAGGGAAGGTGGAGCCGTCGGCATTGTTGTGGATAAAATGCGGCCAGAAATCCATCATCTGGGCATCGGGAACCACATCCCAGACCGACGGGGCTGCTGGATGTACGCGCACAGGTATAGCAGGTTGATGATGCCGCCGGCGGCCGGGGAGGTTGCTGGCGGCGCGTCTCCACTGCGGTAAGCCGCAAGCGCCTCCTGAGCATAATACGCCCCCAAAAGGTCCACCGCGGCCTAGGAGAAGATCAAAGTTTGGGGGTCGAAGAACATCTGTCATGAATTATAATCCACAAATGATATTTGAACCACTCCGTGGGCGCTGTGGCCAAGCTTTGTCATTGGAAGAATCAGCCATAGTTACATATAGGTCCTTCGGTGATTCACTTATTCCGACAGCCTTGGCCAGTGGGGTCGAGAGTCGAGACTCGAGACAGGAGGGGTAACACCCCAAAGTTCAAACTCCCAGACTTTCAACTCCGGTTTTGGTTTCCTTCCCCATGGTATCATGAACCTCAAGGTTCTTGAAGGCTGAGTGATGGCTTCGACAGTGTCATTTGGTGGCCATCGGAATGTAGGCTTACAGATTGGAGTAAACAATGGCACTGTCAATACCGAGTTTCGGCTGCCTTCCAGTAAGATTGAAATTCTTTTACCCGAGGATGTTCGACTGACTTTAATACAGGTCTGGAGGCAAAGTTACCCATTGTGCCCGAGGCTACTTTCAATTCGTTTGCAGATCAACATGACGATGAATGTCACCCAGGTACCCGAACTGACCTCCTTCAGCAAATTGAAGAGTGGGCTCTGTCGCCAGAAACTTGTCATCGGAGAGAATGTATCTTTTGGTTGAATGGAATGGCCGGAACAGGGAAATCAACTATCTCCCGGACAGTGGCGACACGTTTCAGCAAGGAAAACTCATTGGGAGCCAGCTTTTTCTTCAAAAGAGGTGAGGGAAATCGGGGAAACGCGACAAGATTTGTCTCAACCGTCGCACGAGAATTGGCGGCCAGCATTCCTGAATTAATTTTCCCTATCGAGGAAGTTGTTCGTGAAGACCCAGGAATCGCGACAAAATCCATGACAGAGCAGTTTGACAAACTGATTCTGCGTCCACTTCACAGTCTAAAGTCATCATCCAGGGCATCTTGCTTGGCGAAACAGACTATGGTGATAGTAATTGACGCGTTAGACGAGTGTCAAGGAGATAACGACATCCGACTCATTCTCAACCTTTTACCGCAGCTACAACAATCAGGTTCGCCGCGACTTCGGGTGTTTATCACCAGCAGACCTGAAATGGAAATCCGTCTTGACTTTTCGAAAATTCTAAATCACAAAGATTTTATTCTTCATGAAATTCCCAGAAATGTGATCGAAGAGGATCTGTCATTATTCTTGAATCACCGACTTTCTGCAATTAAAACTGAGCGGTCTCTTCCCGATGATTGGCCTAGAGAATCATCCGTCCTTGATCTAATCTCGCTCTCTTCCCCACTCTTTATTTTCGCTGCTACTATTTGTCGTATGCTGGAAGACCGCCGGTTTGACCCCGTGGAGATTCTATCAGACATCCTTGAATCTCCCGAAAATATCTCGAAGCTTGATAAAACATATCTTCCTGTCTTGAACTCGCTTCTATATAATCTGCCAAACAAGAAACAAAGAGATCAGGTCATCAAGGGGTTTCAACAAGTGGTCGGAGCTATTGTGATGCTGGAAAATCCTCTCTCAATTGAGTCACTCTCAAAACTTCTCAATATTCCCGAAAGGACCATTCAAATCAGATTAGACCTTCTGCATTCGGTTTTGAAGGTTCCAGAAGATAAGTCACTTCAGGTCCGCCTCTTTCACCTGTCGTTCCGTGATTTTCTTCTCGATGATGAAACCCCCAGCAAGACGCCTTTCTGGGTTGACTCGACAAAGATGCACTTCGAACTGGCCAAGGCGTGTCTTTCCGTTTGTGGACATACCCTGCGAAAGAATATCTGCAAATTACCCACCGATGGAACCCCGCGTTCTGATCTGGATCCTGCCACCATCGATAGGCATATTCCTCCAGAGGTGCAGTATGGCTGTCGGTACTGGGCAAACCATCTTGGACAATTCTTAACAGATAGTGAAGCGTTTCCTGGTGGTGAAGCAGCCGATGTGTTTGCCGATGCGCTTGAATTCCTCCAGAAGCACTTCATGCATTGGATGGAAGCCATGAGTATTCTTGGTCTTATGCCGGAGGTAATAGGGATGGTCAACCTCCTGCTCGGCCTTTCACCGGTAAGTCACTTTGGGCATACATATTTATGTGTTACTAATACTTGGTAAAGTGCAAGACAAATCCGGCAATGTCTAGTTTACTGAGCTATGCAAGACGCTTTGTTCTCAAATATTCACAGATTGCCGACGAAGCGCCGCTTCAAATCTACTCTGCGGGTTTGATATTCGCACCCCAAAACGCGGTCAGGAAATTGTTCGACGCCGATCTTCCCTCTTGGTTGGCGCAATTACCGCAGGTGGCTGCGAGCTGGAGCTCAGAAATCCAAGTTTTGGAGGGCCATGAAGATACTGTATTCAATGTGGCTTTCTCCTCCGATAGCCGTGTTCTGGTATCTGCATCAGCTCTTTCAATACGTATTTGGGACCATTCGACGGGCACCCTGCAGCATTGTCTCCCTGCAGACCCATCTGATCAATCTCCATATCACCTGATAGTCTTATCCCCCGATGGTCAATTGCTGGTATCCTCATCTCAGAGCGGCATTTTGAAGCTATGGGACACGGTTACAGGGGTGTTACAGGAAACATTTAGCTCCAATTCATCCCATTTGGGATTCACACAGTTTTCTCCGGACAGCCGACTGCTGACTTACGTATCTCGCAATGGTCAACTACAGCTTTTTGATACACAGGGGACTCTACAATGTCATTCCTTCAATGGCTCTTCGGTACCAATTTCTTCATTGGCATTCTCCCCGGACAGCTTATACATAGGGTACGGATATACAGATGGTGTGGTGAAGATCTGTGAGCTAGCGACTGGGAACGTCAAGCATAGGTTCAAATGTCACACGAAATCAGTGTATATGATGGCATTCTCACCCGACGGTCTTTTGCTGGCGTCAATCTCTGAGGACCAATCCACAGCAAATATACGGAGCATTTCAAGAGATACGCCAAAGTACGAGATCGATGTCGACCCACATGGCCCAGTTTTGAACATGGTTTTCTCTCCTAACAGCCAAAAAATAGTTTTCGAAACTCGCGATGGAACCAAATGCTGGGATCTCAGAACTGGCGATCGAACGGGGGTGTTGAATATCAATTATAGTGAAAGGTGGCGTGAACTAGCCTTCTCGCCCGATAGCACTTATTTAGTAGCTGCTGGATTAATAGCGGTGTTTATTTGGGACTGCCAAAGCAAGCCTCGCAAACTAGCGATACATTCGGACTTGATGCATTCTGCAGCCTTGGCAAAGAATAGCCAATCTCTCCTCCTAGCATCGGGTTGTAAGAATGGCACAGTGCGATTATGGGGCCTCAAAGCACCTTTGGGGTCTGAAACTAATGTCAGTGGTGCTTCAGAGATTGGAGGCTTGTGGACAAGTGAGATGACCGATCTACTTTTCTCGCATGGTGGGCGATTGCTGGCATCAACATCATCCCGTGGACAGATCGTCATCTGGGATGTAATGAAGCAAGTCATCAAGGATGAAATTGAACTCCAATATCCATTTGATGGGAAGGTGGCATTTGCCTATGATAGTCCCATTCTTGCCATCACCCAGACCAAGGAGATCTTGCTTTGGGACCTTCTTCAAAGGCGGCCCCTCAAGAAGCATCTCAACTTCATTGATTTCGAGATCTACTATGAGGAGAGACCTCTCTGTTTGGCCGTCTCAAGGAACGGACAGGTGGCATTTAGCCTCAGACACAAGATTCGCCTGTGGGACATGGAAACAGGGGCCAAGTTGCACTATTGGAAACTTGATGGGAATATCACCACTTTGGAGTTTCTCGACGATGGGCCATATTTGCGAACCAACTTTGGCATTCTAGGTCCTGGCGAGGATGTATTCTCACAAAATTCACTTCTGCTGAGAAGTTTCCCCACGCCGAAAATTGAACAGGTTCGAAAGCAGTTGAGCTCCACGGTACCTTTAAAGGATGACGGAACTATGATTGGAGAAGAGTCGACAACAAAATCACCCAGAACTTGCGATCAAGATGAATTGCAAGTTTCTGTCGACAACCAGTGGATCATGCTTAATCAGAAGAGAGTTCTCTGGCTTCCACCAGATGTCCGACCACAGGCTTACGATGATAAATCTAGAACGAGGATTGCCATCCATGGTCGAAGAGTAGCTTTGCCACACTCTGCAGGACATGTATGCTTCGTCGAATTTCGTCCATAGCCGGCTTTTAAAATTATTGGAATCATTTTCGTTCTTAAATGTATCTTATTACTAGGCCCAGAGCCTTTCCTTAAACGCAGATTTCAGAACTATGTGTCCTGTAAATACTTGGGAAAACTTGAGCTCAAATGGTCAGACTGAGAGAATCACGTTTGCTTCCAAGGTTCTCAACAAACACAAGAGCCCCCTCGTCCTCCGTCATTGTGACTTTCATTTTCTCAGACATTGACATTGGCTATTGATGGAATGAATTTCATTGTAGTTATCTCGAGGCAGCGACCTTGGGATGTACCTTTCTTACCTAGATCTATAATCCAGCAAGCAATCGAAATCTTCGTCCACGAGGGATCGCACATCTCTCGGGTCATTTGGAACCATCTTTGCCCTTATACTCGCCGCGACCTTGAAGGCGAGGTTGGCTTTAAGCGACTTCCCAAGTTGTTGCAGCAGCTTTGCCTTCACCCAAGTAGTACGCGCTAGCTCAGGTTGAAACAGATCAGCATTGAGGGTCCAGCACTCCAACGCAGCGTTAAGCATAGTACTATCGACATTCGTCAGCTAACATGAACTGTGGAAAAGGTACAGTACTAGTTTTCCCATTACTTACACAGCCTCTTCGTAGTGTTCCAACCTGATAAGATGTAGAGCGCACTTATGTCGCAAGTCCGCCGCCCGATATGATCTTATACCCATTGACTCTATAAAGAAATGCAAAGCTTTCTTATGGTAATCGTATGATTCGTCGAATCTTCCTTGGAGGTTGCGAAGATTTCCAAGAGCCTGGAAATGTCGAGCAATTCTGCCAAAGACGTATTAGCATTGTTCGATATTCTGGCTCAGTCATCATAAGCACTGCTATTACTCATTTATTGGCTCACCTTAGTGTCACAGGGCTGCCTCTAGACTCCCAGAGTTTCACACAATCCAACAGCACTATTTCTGCGACTTCTATGTCTCCTCGGAGCATTAGCGCCATCGCATAATTGGCATCCCGGGATTGGAGATGTGTAACGCCGAGTTTCTTTCGGATTTTCATTTCCTGCTTGAAAGAGTCGATGGCCTCGTCTAGTTGCCCAGCCTGAGTAAGGGCGAGTCCCATCTCAGTATAAGCGGTCCCAAGGCGCATGTCCACAAAATCACTACCGATACTGTTGCAAAGAGACTGCTGCATCGCCAGAAAAGCTTCCTTGTGTATCTTTGCTAGCTGGTGTCGGTTTGTGTCGGTATATATTAGGCCAAGGGAACAGTGGATGCTGGCGAGGACACTTTCACTATCGTCGCCCGGAAGGGACTCACATAGTCTTTGTGAGAGGTTGAAGAAGCCGTCGAACTCACACAATCTGCCTTTTTCGAATTGATACCTTGTGTAATTTTTAGAATAAGAACTGTGAACTATGTGCAATTTTAGGACTCGGTGATGGAATGCTTTTTCAACTCACCAGGCTGCATCAGTCAACAGTGCGGCAAATCGAATTTTGGTGCTATCACTGCAACCGGACCCTAGCGACCACATCTGCTTCAATCGCAGAACATGGGGATACAGGGCTACACACAATGGGTACCGAGACATTGAGTATCGCGTGTCGGCCACTTTATGTTGTAATAGAGATGATGGCTTTGTCGGTGCCGGCATTGCCGGGGGCCAATTTTGCCATAACAAGTTGACTAGGATTTCGAAGATTGAGACAGTCTCTTCATTGCTCATACTGGATTTTATTGCGTCTTGGACCAAGCGGTGAACTGAGATGTGATGGTCTGATAGTTCGGTCTTTTTCTTGTCTCTCCTTATTAGTGACGACTGTGACAACTCGGCGCGAGCTTCATTGAATTTGGGTCTGTTAAAGGACGATGGAGCAAACATTAAGACAGCGGCATCAAATACAATGCTCTCTTGTATGACATCTGGATCCAGCAAAGACATAACTTTGAGGAGTCCTTTCGCCTCCATTGAGAGTTTCTCAAATGCCCAGACGGTAGCAATGCTATGCTGGTAAGCCTTTGTGCTGGTGTTATATTTTGTGTGATATAGATCTATCCGATGTTTGTCTTCTTCGTAGATGGACTGGAACTCGCTTAGGCTAAGATCCTGCCGGCGAATGATTCCAGCCATTTGGGCGATAGCTAGAGGCAGTCCGGCAAGCTCACTGGAGATGTCTCGTGCAAGGTTCTCCGCATCCTCCTCTGCGCTCTCGTCGGACTCGGTAAGCTTCAGTAGGAGCGCCGCGCCGTCGATGTCGCTCAATGGCGCCAAGTCTAGACCAGAAGAGTTTGAAGAGAAGAGTCGCTTTGCTAATGGGTCGCGGCTGGTTATTAGAACACTCCCCGGACCCTCAGGCCAGTAATCTCCGAGTATCTTAGGGTCATCGGCGTTGTCAAAAATGAGAAGCCAAGATGCATCATTACCACCCGAAGCTGTAGAACTGATGTCTTCAGCGATTGTAGTATTCACCTTGACAGGATTTGCCAGCCACCCTTTGACCAGAGATCGTGAAATAATTTGATTCGTAGCTTCATCTGCCGTTTCAAGACCTAATTTGACCGAAATGTCTACGAAACACTGATCCATTTTCGCGGGTTCATCGGCGCGAACCCAGAAAATTGCGTCGAAGTTTTCAGTATTTCTCAAGGCAAATTCGGCTGCCAGTTCTGTTTTGCCCATTCCCCCGAGTCCACAAAGAGCGAACTGTCGCAATTCAAAGTGAGATGCTTTACTTTGGGCCTTGGGTATCAAGGCTTTTTGGATCGTGTCCAGGATCTGCTGTTGCCCAAAGAAAACTCTGCTTGGATCGTTGGTCTCCAGTATAACACAAGGCAGGTTGACTGCCGTTTTCCTAGAAACATCGTCCTGTATTTGCGGTATCATCTCGAATCCTTGATCACTAGATCCAGCTGCTGCTCGACCAGTAGAGTCGGGAATATTTTGTGACCCTTGCGGCTCTATTGAACTCTGGATGAGAAGGAATACATTTTGTTTTTCGTTCTGCATGGGGTGCTTACCTGATATTGAATTTGATTCACTCTGGACTGGTGAATAGGTGCTAGTGGTGGCATGCTTGAAATCCACTATCCAGAAAATTAGTCTGTCGTCCTGTTGTCCTGTTTGCTTTATTTGGGCACCTGGGGCCTTACATGCTTCCAATCTGGCTAAGACAACACACTCGGCGTCCTTCAATGCTGCTTGTACAAATTTCTCAAACGTATTTCGGCTAGGCTCGTCAGCAGTCTCTAACCGGTAAAGGGCTGCATGTTCGAGAGGAAAATCTTTAATTGTCTCGATGGGAGAGTTCGTGGTGCACAGTGGTGTATCGGTCAACTGAGAAGAGATGAGAAACCTAACCTGTGGATGGTGATCATCACTTACTAGTAAACTCTTGCTTTTCAAGATGCCCTTATTGACTTTTGTCTTTTTGTTTTCGGCAACACTAAGAACCGGTGCTTGAATATGGATTTCTTCAAAACGATCAGCCAGCTGGGTCAACATAGCCGTTTCCGACGCGACTCGATGTTCAGGTGGGTGTATAGGCTTCTTGGTGTTAGTGGTGCTCGCAAAAATGGTTGACCATCTTGTCAGAGTATCTGCATCTGTGATGCCTCTATGAGGTGTACCCAAAAATATAATCCCTGCGACTGAACTGAGGATGGATCCATAGCGATATGGTTGCTCATGAGCGATGCAGAGAGCCTGCTTCAGGATAAGACCGCCAAGACTGTGGCAGATTCCGAACAGCGGTCTTGTATCGCCCGGAAGGCGGGATCGGAAATTCAATAATGCATTAACTAGTGCATCGCCCTGCACCAGAAAATTATGGACGGGAGATTCACTCTCATTCAGAGATATAGAGTAGTCGAAGGCTAGGACACGTCCGCTCTTCAGGTTTTCCGGGAGCACGCTTGACAACCACAGTGACGAAGAGAAGACCCAGTCATCGGGTCTCGCAGTCGCAACGCCGGGAATCAGAAGAATACTGATTAACGTCTAGTCAGTGCATTTCTCTCAAGTTATGAACGTGGCTGAATCCTGACTCAACATCAGCCTCTCCGTCCCGTCCGTCCAATAATACTCTGAGAGATCCGGTTTCGGGTGTCATTTGACCGTCAATTGAATCCTAGGCCCAGCAGAGTGCCTAGTGGACCGGATATAGCCTTGAGCTGAGTGTGGGAGGAGGTTTAATGAGAGAAATCAGCCGTGGGGCTCCGCTCTTGCGAGGATCTAGCGCCTCATCTGGACCGGACCCACTATAGGCTACGAAGCCTATTAGCCCCACGAGTTAAATTTCCAGCATTGAAATCAGGAATTTGTTTTGTTTGCAGCGCCCAATTATGCCTGACTTTAAGCCTTGCGTTGATCAAAGGCCCCAGATTGGCTGTTGGTATCGTGTGACTTCTTAATTGGGAAGCCCGCATTCACGCACAGTGTGACAGTGACGTGGCGGTAGATGATTGAGCGCCTCATCTGGACGGAGCCACTATAGGCTACGAAGCCTATCAGCCCCATAGGTTAAATTTCCAGCATTGAAATTCTACGAACGTGCAAACAGAGAGCGTACGTATCAGAATGATATGAAGCGTGTGGTATGGAGAGAGGAAGAAGTCTAAGTCTATCTAGTGAGAGGATATGGGTGCAGGTCAGCTGACCTAACAGACATCAGGAATTTATTTTGTTTGCAGCGCCCAATTATGCCTGGCTTTAAGCCTTGCGTTGATCAAAGGCCCCAGATTGGCTGTTGGTCTCGTGTAACTTCTTAATTAGGAAGCCCGCATTCACGCACAGTGTGACTGTGACGTGGCGGTAGATGATTCAGCGCCTTGAAGACGTGAGGAACTTCACTGTTCTCGAACAATGGATGAGGGGAACAGATGAAGAAGACTAATAAAGTATGAACATTTTAGTAATATAGTCTTGCGACTCTTGCCCTACGAGTTCTATGGATCCTATGGGTCCGGGACCTGCGGCTGGGAGAAAGGCTTGGCGTGTCTGGGCCTTTTTATCTTGATCCAATCTGTACATGCAACCCCGATGGCCAATAGCATCCCTGAATCCTGATCAGGGTCTGCGCCACAAAGTACTTGCAATTATGTCAGCATAAGCAGCCTCAGTAGCAGTGTTGAAGGCCATGGAATCCTAGGTAGTGTCTTTCTCTTAAGGATCTCCTTTCGCCAGGATTTAGAGAGTAATTTTACCATGTCTAAAGTTTTGCCAAGACAATATACAAGCGAGGTTGACAGCGACCTTGACAATGACCAGCTAATACCAGACGGTCAAAATGATCACGCGGTTGAACAGCCCCGGTTGTCACCTGATTTGAAACCTCGCCGCAGCCAAAAGAAATGTATGTTACCTATGTACCAAAAGAGCAGTCACGATACTTCGAGCATAACTAATACGTAGTAGTCACTCCCCATGAGTACAAGCAAGCGATTTACGCCCATTCTCAACGATCTGTCTTGACATCCAGCTTTCCTGGCCGTAATTATAGGACACTTGCCAATTGGCTCATACGTCCGAATCCAAACACAGCCTTGCAAGACATAGATAGTGGGGGCAGGGATAAGCATAAACTCATTGTCTTACACAACCTCGACGACCCCGGACTAGGCCAGACCCGGATTCTCACTGAAGATGACACCGCTGGCCTGGCGGTGTCACTATCGCATAAAGGCAAAGGGAGTTTGTTGTTTGTACAAGGCTTCCTATCTCCTGGCTGGGTTGCGGAATTGGGGAGTAGATATCGAATCGATCCTGAGTTCTTCTGTCGTCACCTCGATTTCTTCGACAACTCGGTCCACAGCAACTGCTTCAATGCCCCATCACTCTTGAACACGACTAACAATATTATCCACATCCCCGTGAGCACGATACTCACAGATGTAATGACCTATTCTACCGCCAAACTATACGATAATTCTGTCAGTCATCGAGGGTTGACACGATCTCAAATGTCCAAGTACAAGAAAAGCCTTCAAAGTACGGCTAGATGCGGTGATTCGATTGTACGACAATATTCTATTTTAAGCGACCGATACTCCGTTATTGAGCAACGAATCTCTATATGCATCGCAGAAAATGGCGATAGCTGGACTGGTAAGTACAGTTCCTAGTATATTTTCCTAACAGGTATTGATCCACATATAGGATTGCTCTGCATGGATATTGGCCGCAACCTTGACAAGTCACTCGTTGGTCCTTGGTATCACGATTTAGACCGGGAGTCAAGCAGCAACATGACATCACTGCCTGTGATTCAACACCATCCTAAAATGACCTGGAGAAAACTGGGCGACATAGATATTTCCTCTCGCCCATCCCTCATACCAACCTACTCGACACATCCCGGTCTACCACAATCAATATCCACCCTCCCTTTAGAATATCGCTCTTTGCTCTCCGCACTAAATATTTCCAGACGGGCGCAATCTGATCCTCTCCACGCACTCATTCCTGTTTTCGCTCACGCAGCATTCTCTGAAGTTGCTTTTCTGAACCTAATTGGTGAGCTGATGGACAAATTAACAGAGCCGCTACCGCTGGATAATTTCCAAAGCGAGACTTTCGAGAGCCTCCAACATTTTGAAATCATTCTAGATCGGCACGCGGCCCAAATACGTCACTGTACCAGATCTATTCAACTTCTAAGCGAGAAGAGCCCATTCTCTCTGCTTCGGAATACAGGCTCTCCACCAAGAGAGCGCAACAGTCGTTCGCCATCGGGGAATACGGTCTCAGCAGACTGCGACCATCATCGATATGTGTCATCATTTTCTGCCGTCGGAATACTTCAGGATTATGAAGATCTTCTAGAGCGTTGCTTGGGTCTTCTTTCTCGAGTGCATTCTGCCAGAAACTCCGAGATGAACCGCGCCATGATACTAGAATCGCGACGCGCCATCGAGCAGTCAGAACGGATGAAGAATCTGACACTGATAGCAACTTATTTCATCCCGCTATCTTTTACCGCCTCACTATTTGGGATGAACTTTCATATATTCGGACAGGGTGAGCTAGCTGTGTGGTGGTACGTCGTTATCGCGGTACCGATTACGTTTCTGGCACATATGCTCTATTTTTGGGACTTGCGGACTCTTCGGCTTAGATATCGGAGCCTGAAACACATTTTTGGGGAGTACGAATGAGCATTTAGATCATGGTGAATTTCAAATTATGCCAAAAGTATTTGACTAGATCTTTACAGGACGGACACAAAGCTAAGGAATATGGAACTATCCATGCCATTTGATATAGCACTATGGGGCATCCACGCATCATTTATCAATATGCGTCCGAGTGACTTTCAATCCTTGTAACCTGACTATGGGGCCCTCGCATATTTCCAATTCCATTCTGTGGGCAATAGAAGGTCGAGTTAAGACCTGATCAGACTGAAATAATTGTATGTTTGCGCGTCGTCTTGTAAGGAACTCTTCACAGTTAGTGACAGTCCTTCCTTGATATCCCTTATATCTTACGTAATGAGAAGGGTTTAAGGTTCGGCCCCACCACTTCTGCATATACATCATTATGGGGTTGTAATATGACCTCGACATTTGTTGTATCATTCCATATTAGTCTCGTCTCAAGGTCGGTCCAACAATTGGCGGTGGGTCACCGTGACACTTGAGTAGTCCTATTTAGGAAGGGGTCCGACCAAGTGCCAAAAGGACCTGCATACTTGACTATACCCCTTTAGGAAGGTGGATATGGTCCACTGTGCAGATGAGAGAACCTGAGATTAGTGGCAGTCCGGTCCACCGTAATGTATGTGATGCACTAAGCCTAATCGGGATGAATTGATGCCTGCATTTGCCTAACTATGCCTTAGGCAGCAATATTTTTAGACCGCTTCTCTCACCGTTTTCAAAAGCCTTACCGCCTTCTCACCCCGTCTTACCCATGTTTTGCCGCCGTCTCACTACCCTAATACCTGAATCCTTAGTAGGCTATACTAGGAAATTTACTTGGAAGAGATACACATGTCAATTCATGCATGTGTATTATTGTTTAATATCCTAAGTCTTTTAAGATAGAAACTCTAGCACATCCCTTTTCGGGTATGCATAGACGATGTCTTGGCGGTATATAACTAGCAAGGGTAAATCTCCCCGTCCCGTATCTTAATTTCGCATACACAGCTAATCGTTCCTCACTATAGGCTTCATCTTCAACCACATGGGGCCACAGCTCATGGCCGTATGGTCGTGACTTTCGTTGATTAATCCGGTTCCATCTTCCTCCGGTCCAAGCTCGAATTCAAAGGTAGTTACCAATCTTGCAAGGACTTGCTTCATCTCCATGTAAGCAAAAATCTTACCCACACAGTTGAATGGGCCTGCACTAAATGGAATGAAAGCTTTCGAGTTGTGGGTTTCTGAAGGGTTGATCCAGCGGGATGGATTCCAAATGCTTGGGTCGGTGAAGTTTTCAGGGCCTAGTACACGACCATTAATTATTTGTTGGGATATTTGGACGCAGATCATCACTGTCGATTTTCTATACTTACTATGTTGAATAGTCCAGGTCGGACAACTGACGGTGGTATTACCAGGGATATATGTGCCGTCAACGTAGATACCCTCTGGAGGAGTGAAGCGTGGCAAACCGGACGGCACGGCGGGATGAACTCGGAGAGTCTCATTGATGACGCTTTCCAATAACGGAAGATCTTGGATAGCTCCAAATTCCAGGTTGGCAACATCTGCATGACTCTCAATTTCCTTGCGAAGTGCAAGTTGAATGTCTGGATTGATCGCAAGACGATACATGCTGTAGGTTAAGGCAGAGAGAGTCGTGTCGCCGGCGGCAATCTGCAGCATCATGGTATCCTCGATTTCTTCCTCGGGGGTCAGGGTCTTTTTTCCTCCGAAAACGAAAGACAGAACGTCCGGCGTGTCTATCTTGGCAGCTTTGCGCTCGGCCAGACTAGATGCTGCGAAGGATCTAAGGCCCTCCATCGGGACTGGCAAGCCGGGAAGACTGGTTATGATTCTCACTAGCCATGGGAGTGGCGCCAGTAACACTCCTGTTGCCAGGAATTTCTCCACCTCCAGAAGTCCTTGGTGAATCAATCCAGAATCGAGACAGCCATAGGATTTGCTGTATCCCAGATCACCCACCATATCAAAAACAAAACACTTCAGCCAGTGATTGATTAGGACGCCCCTCTCGTCTTTCCCGTTTGCTTTGGAGATACAGTCAACCATTAAATCGGTCAGGCGATATAGCTTAGGGAGATATTCCACGCATCCTAAATGGGATAGTCAGCTTCTAGATATCTATTTTCAATCAGGGAATGCTTTTTAATGGTGTAAATACGACATACTTTTGGCGCTAAAGGCCTTGTCCCACGCGGGTCTGCGGGCTCGATGTTTCGTGAATTCTGTCTCAAGCTGCAGACTTTTTGAATCCCGCAAACCGTAGAATGTATTAGACTTCTCGCACTTGGTACCAGCACCATAAATCATCGCCACACCTTCTTGGCTATTTACAGAGAGGTAATTGGGCGCTGATTAAAATATTTTTGAGTCAGATTTCTGATTCAAAGCATCGGGTGGATACACTTACCTATCCGTACTATTTTTCCATATTTACGGTGTAGCTCATCGTGGAGTTGGTACCTCTGCTTTCCCATCGCAAGCTTGCCAACCCCCCACCATGATGTTAATCGGGCCATGCTAGGGCCAGGGAAAGACTTCAATGGATGGAAAAAAAGTCGATAGATAGAGATGCTAGCAAATAGTGGTGCACAGAAAGCTGCATTGGCAAGCGAAAGAAATATCCATGCCTGGAGAGGGTTGTTGCGAATGGACAACAATACCCAGAGGCCAAATTGGACATAGAGGTACGGCATAAAGCCCATTCCTACCAAGCGGTCGACGTTCCGATGGCGAATAAAAAACATATGAGAAGCGAGACCCAGGAAGGCAAGGGAAGTGAAGATCCGAGCATCTCCCGGACCTCCCATAAGAAGATCACTCATCTGCAGGGAGAGAATCCCCATGCTGACTTATTTTGTTTGACCTTTTTCAGCTGTGTTGCCGCTTTTGAAAACTTCCAAAGGTTGAGTTAATGAACACGAATCTCTTTTCTGGAGAAAGTGACATTCCGCAACCCCACTTTTGCACATGTAAGAACTAGTCCCAATGAGGGTCAGTATGATCGCTAAAGCCCAAATATCATACTAGTAGGTCTTGAGAATGTGTATCGGTTATCAGTTGGTTTATTTTGTCCCGAACTCCGAGGGTGAATAGCAAGGCACCGCTCCCGCAACTTTATGGTGAGCGTGAGCAGACACATGATATAGATGCGTAATATTGCTTATGAAAGAACTGTGTAACTGTAACACAGGAAATACCTTGGGGCTTACTAAGCAGAAATGATGTTGGTTGGTTAACTAACTAGTATTTAGAAATTAGTAGTAAGTTCTATGTACATAAGCACTTGTATTGCCAGAGGATTAGCAATCTTGTCTCTGACTCTCCAGGGCTGCGAACGCGGGTGGTTGTTCTTCCTGCTGAACATACATTCGAACCGACCAGTACCCCTAGAATAAGCTATCTCTCGAGAAATCCCGTCTGCAATCGTTAGTACACGGTACGATCCCTATCTATGACGAGATAGCGCATCCAGATACTTTATAGTTGCAACTGCTAGCTTCGCCACCTGTAACCTTGACATCCTCGAACACAATGTTCGAGCATGAACCATCACCACACAGAATATAGTAAGGTTGGGCCTCTGACGCAACATATCCCTTGACGTTCTTTATGAGGACATTTTCAATTATGACACCATTACTGGGAATGCCAGTCGGTCCTCCATTGAGATAGTCTTGCTGAATGTCGATACCGTATTGGGTGATATTCTGGAGAACAATGTTTTCGTAGGTAATGTTGGAGATGAAACCGGTGTAATTGTAGTTGGTCTTGATACGGGGACCAGCTTGGGTGTTAATGAGGAGAGAATTGGAGTACTGTAAGTTTCTTATGTTAGTAAAATTCGATTGTAATAAAGACGAGTATTTTCAGGGTCAACTCACGTGGATATTAGTCACATTGTTGTCAGACTTTCCACCGACGGATCCAATGCTGAGACCATGGGAACCTTCGCAAATCATATCCGACACGGTCATATTATTTCCACTGGTAATGGCGACACAGTCATCCTGGTTGTGAACGAAGTTGCGACGAATGGTGATGTTGTAAGATGAGCTGACGTCGAAGCCATCACTATTATGCGCCGCTGCTAGGCCATCGCTACGCGAATTGGGAGCATCACCCGCCGCGTTATTCAGAGTCATATCTTGGAAGATCACATTCTCGGATCCTGTGATATCGAACAGATGAACAGGCCAGTTCTGGATGTAGAGCTTCTCGATCACCGAGTTGCCAGTGACTTTGTCGACAACAATGAAATGATCCGGCTTGGGTAATCCTCCATTAGAGCCCAGGCCATCCCAGTAGGCCTGGCCGTTGCCGTCAATCACAGCTCCTTCCTTCGCAGTGATGGTGATTCCTTCTCCGCCAATCGTGATGGGGTTAAAGCTCGACGAATTGACCCATCCGAATGTAGTGAGTCCCTCGAATGTCACAGTTGTTCCCGCCTTGAGGCTAGATAAATCAATAGAAGATCCATTCGGGGCAGCAATGTTGGACAAAACGATGTCGGTGCAGTTCGCAACAGCAGCTGCAATCTGGCTATATTCTTTGCAGATGCAGGGCTCGACAGTAGATGCTGTTGAAGTATGGCCATTCGAGCCAGGGCTGATGCGAGAGGCAAGCGCTCCAGAAACGCAGCTAGAAATTAAAAGAGAAGTAAGACCGACCATCATGGCGAGTAAAGGTTTAACTTTTCTTCAAGCAATTGACCTGAAAAGGTACGCGACGCATCCATTTAAGCGAATTATTTCCCTCCATTCCAGGTACGACGGTAAGCTACCCCGGACTCTAAATGCGGGAGGAAATTAAATTTCCCGTCAATCGTTAAAATTGCCCAGAGTGGACCTCTTTTTCTAAAATCTTTTCTAGTATTGAAATGTTCCCCGGTGATTCCCCGCATTCTCGTGTGGAGTTCGACGGAGGATATAACGGCCAGCTTTTCCGCTGATTGGAGGATTTTTACCAGATGCGGAGTTTTTCCGTCAACCGATCAAAGTTGACTTTGAACTCAGGAGAACAACCATTAGAAATTCGGTTCGAGGGTATGCAGTAATATGCACAAACATGGGTATACAAAGCTTGTTTTCTCGTTCATGTCAGATTTGTATGGTCGCTCATCAACAACCGATCCATTGCTATCAAGAGTCAAGACCCATCCGAAACAGATGGCAGGATGTTGGACGTCGCATTGAATGGTGAAAATTCACACCCGTGGCAGCAATAGTGGTCGGCATTTCAACTATTGCGGGTTGATCATCGTCACAAGAAAACAATGACAACTACTAGTATCTAATGTGTGGTATTGAAATACATAACAGAATCCAATCTATTATTAATGACCATGCCTGCACAGGCTGCACTAATAGAAATTTGGGGTAACGGAACAGTATCGTATAGGGGGCGCCCTTCCCCACCGCAACTACAATAATTGGAAATTTTAATCGATGTGCGCATCGTATATTGCGCCTTGGGCACTGACACCATCGAATACTATGGTTGAATCAGGAACTGAATATTCCGCCCACTGAAGTGCAGTTCATTCCAATTAACTCTAATTACCACCCTTCTTGTCCACCAATTTCCGAAAGAAACGATTACTTCAATATACCGCGCAGTAATAATGGGCATTGAACCGCCGTAAAACGACTCGAATGGCTTATAGGTTTGAGTCGGCAGTGATCTCCGAAGTCGTCGAACACGAGACGTCCTCCACTATCACCGTGTTTCCGCTTTTACCTGTCACACGCACATCGACGGTATCCGTATCAAAGCCCGAAGCATACTCGAAGTAGTTGTAGGATTGGCGGGTAGTACTAGTCCAAGTACTACCTCCATCGGTACTAACCTCGAGTGCAGTAACGGGCTCATTGGCATTGACGACTTGCATAGAGAACCAGTATTCGGAAGAACCAGATTTATTGCGCAGCTTCAGGGCACCGTCCAGGTCGCAGGAAGTAAACTCCCAATCAATATCGATGATACCGGCCGAGATATCCGCGATTTCGCCAAATGCATCCTCGAAAAGGTCAAAGTGGTTTGCTTCGCAGCTTGGGCATTCGTCGACAATCTGTTCAGGAGGTAGGTGTTAGCCTTGGAAGAAAATCTTAGATGAGTTTGGGAGATGATATAGTTACCATTGCTTTGATGGTCTCGCCGTTGGGGCCCTTGACGGCAACACATGCACCGCAGTTGGCAGCATTGTCCCATTGGTCAATTGACAGTGCCGTACCAAAGAGACTACTGGGCAATGTGTAGTCAGAAAAGGAGCAAGTTCCACCCGAGAGGTTACCGCCGTAGTAGGTGGCGGTTCCAGCAGTCTCGCTGGCTGAAGACGAAGACACAGTCGAAGATGAAGGTGCAGTCGAAGTCGAAGTCGAGGTCGATGAAGTAGAAGAGGAAGTAGACGAAGACGAAGATGAGGAGGAGGAGGATGAGGACGAGGAGGACAACACAGTAGTAGCAGGAACTGTAGAGGATGTTGAGGTTGCAATATCTTCCACAGCTGCCACGGTGGTGATAGTACTCAAGCTCTGAGGAGCATCCGAGGTTGATGTAGCAACAGCAGCAACACGGAATGCGCTTTCAAGGCTAGTAGTCTCGGGGACAGACACCACAGAAGAAGTCTGGATGGATGAAGTCGACACCACATCATTGTATGTGGAAGTGGGTGTTTCAATATAAGTGCTGGTGATGCTGGCACTGGTAGGGATCTCAGGTGCTGGGGTAGACGTCGCGGTAGCAGTGATAAGCACAGTCTCATAGTACACGCTCAAGGTATATCCGGATGGGCAAGAATCATCGCGCTTCATCAACGGGCTGGCGGAGATGGTCGCAGCAAGTCCAAAAATGCTCGCAGTAAGCGAGAAGAGATTTTGGGATTTCATGTTGGGGACGGTTGATATCAGGTATATAAATTTGTATGGGTGAAATGAATCCTGGGCAGTGAGATCGAGGGATGCGAAAAACGGGAAGCGTAAAATGATTGTGGTGGCAGCTATGCCAAAAAGTATTGATAATGAATGGACGTCAGGATTTCAAATCCTAGACTGGTAAGAGAATGGCAGTGTCGCAGACCTGTGGACGAAGAAAAATTGTAAACAAGAGAGAAAAGACAGTGGGAAAATCAAGTATAATGTAGGGCCGGTTCACCGGGTCTCAGTTAATTAAAAAGCACATGTCCAAATTTACACATCTGCACCTGGCTTATCCATCGGACCATGGTCACTGTGTTGTAGCTACTATGGAGTAAAGAAATGAGATTGAATTCATATGAAACACTTAACCACCCTATGGCCACTAGCGTCAGGGTTTATTCCCGGAAGAAGCCGAAAATAGGCGTCCGCCGTGCCTTATCGGGCTTAGCGGGCGCTGCTTAATTAAAACCAATTAAGCCAACGGTCCAGGCTATCTATCGTGACGAATGAACTTGAAGCAAATTTTCCACTGGGGCTCTGATGAGATTAAGGGTAAACAACTACGCCATAAACCAAGACATGACAAGGGTCTGTTCAACAATTTGACATTTGCATGGTTCCGATGTTAAAATCTCAATTCCACCATAGTGCCAATCAGTGCTTATTTCATCACTAATAGTTGATGAAAGGTAGAGATAAATAGCTCTCAGAGTCTCCCCCAGTATGAATTTCGTGCCTTCCTCGGTTTGTACCCACCGGCTCAGTTGGTGTCAAAATGTCGACCTCGGGAAGCGCCATATCATGACCGGAAATAACGAAGCATTATACCCTCTCCGGCTTCAAATACAATTCCCACAGGCCAGATAGGGATGAGTAGCGGAACAATCGTTCCAGCGGGAATTGGTTCACGGCATGTATAGGAAGTTGTTGAACGTTCCCAGGATGAAACCCCTTGTAGTTGAATGCTGGGTGCTCATCTGGGTGACAAAGAGGGCTAAAAACCGTGTCTGGAAACTTGCTGTTAAGCTTGTCGTGCACAGACATGTTGACAGTGTGGGAATGGTGAGCAGCCGTGAGCTAGAAAATTGATTCTCGCCGGTATACAGCTTAAACCTTGCAGCACAAGAAGACTCTAGGCTGCGAAAGTCCTCCATATTATGTCTCTGACCTCATGAATTCTCGGTGACTCGGAAACTGTCAATTGATCGTCATCCGCTTACATGTCAATTAGTCTAATTTAATAGTGGAAAGTCGAATCGACCAGACCCCACACCCCACATACTCCACAATGCACAATGCACAACTTTTTTTTCCGAGGTCCTAGAGGTTCACCTCAAGTGCTCGCTTTTCCTTCATTGATTTTACCGCATATCCGTTGAATAGCAGGGATAATATATGAGAGCTATTACATATTACAGTTCTCTGTTTTCTACATACGCGCACCCTTGTCTTCACACATGTGCAAAGTACTAGTATTACTCCAATTTAACTTTGATCGAGTTCCGCTTAGTCAGTGACTGGGTAGACTGTAGTACAACTTTTAACTGATACCTACACTTCTTTCCCTGCCGAGGCTCAGATACCTAGGAACAACTTTGGAACATGACCTAGCAGCTAGCGCTGCTGGGAACGTTCTTGCACTTGCTGCTCTTCTTTCCACCGGAGACGCTGACGCCGCTCCAAGTCCAGTCAGAGCAAGCACCAGAGGCGCACAGAACGTAGATATCAGTCGCGCTGCTCTCAACAGTACCCTTGACATTGCTCACGGTAAGGCCGGTGATAGGGACACCACTGGTAGGAGTACCAGTGGGGCTGCCGTTCTTGTAGTCCTGCTCAACAACGATGCCGTACTTGGAAATTCCAGAAAGAGTGATGTCCTTGTAAGTGACGTCCTTGACGGAACCGGTGGCTCCGTAGACGGTCTTGATGCGAACACCTTTAAAAGCAACACGTTAGTGGGAATAGTGCAGATTTGCGTAGCGGTTTCCACCTACCATTCTGGGAGTCCTTGATGCTGCAGTTCTCGATGGTGACGTTATCGACGGTGTTATCGGAGCGCCCACCAACAGATCCGATGGAGATTCCGTGTCCTCCGGTGCAAGAAGCTCCAGTGAAGGAGATGTCCTAGGAGACGCAGTATTAGTACAGTCCAAATTTCTCAAAAGTCCATCTGCACGAGATCGTGCTTACCGAGCCAGAGTTGACGGCCAAGCAATCGTCCTGGTTGTGGACGGTGGGGTTGGTGATGTAGACACCGGTGCTCTCGCCAATGTCGAAAGCATCGGTGTTGTGGCCACCGTTTGCGTCACCGTCGGCGTTGTTGACAGTGATACCGCTCAGAGTGAGATCGCTAGCACCGTTGATGCTGAAAACCTGGACAGGGGAGTTCTTGATGTAGATGTCTTCGATCGTAGAGCTGATCATCTTGTGGGCATAGAAGAACTTGGGCTTGGTCTTGCCGCCGTTGGTTCCCTCTCCGTCCCACCAGCGGGAGCCATCGCCGTTGAGGACAGCTCCGGATGCTCCCTTGACAGTGATGTCGGTTCCGGAAACCGAGACCAGGGGACCGGACCACTCCTTGTAGCCGAAGGTGGTTTCACCTTCGAAAATGACCTGAAAGAAAAATTAATAAACGATTCAAGGTGCAAGTTTTGCCAAAGGTCGGCTTTGGCTTCTTACAGTCGTTCCCTTTGTCAGACCAGTAAGATCAAGGGTAGTTCCGGCCGGGACAGCAACGGAGGAGAGGACGATGGTCGAACAAGAAGCCTTGGACTTGATGGCAGAGGCGGCACCCTTGGAGCCGGAGAAAGTGCAAGTGGAAGAGCGCTGCTCAATTTCAGATGCACGAGTGGGAGCCGGGGCGGCGTGGACGGCGGCAGCGCCAAGCAGACCGGCCAAGCCAAGCTTAAGACCGATAATCATGTTGTAAAGAATGAATAATGAAACAAAAGTAAAAGAATGTAAAAGAATGTGGTTGATATCACTTTAGACCTACACGGCGAGGGTGCCATTTTATACCCCAACCTTGCACAAGGGGTTGGTGGTTCCAAGTCAACGAACTAGATCAGGGACCAATTAATATAAATGGGAGATTGCACGACCCTGCCCAGACGGTGGATACAGGCAACAGCTATTCCCTCCAATAGCATGGTCGGCTTTGTGCATGATATCGGCATTTATGGACTCCATTTCACACATGGGGCGCAATAAAGTCATGGGTAAGCGCCTTTGGAGAGAGCTAGTGGCATGGTAGAACACGGTCATTGGCGGGATCATTCATTCAGGGCAGGTAACTTTTCTAGAACGCACCGTTGGTCCACAAGCCCAGCTGTTAGTTTAAATAGATGGCGGTTTCGGAGAAAGACATGTAGGGTCCTAAGTGGGGACTTGATAAGGAAGTGTGGACCAACTAACTGCTCATCGCACTCTGAAGAATTGTTCAGGTTTTGAGAAGATTGGACTGTAGCTAAAGACCTCATTCACTTAAATCTGATTTTGTTGTTGGCTTCACCGGGCTTTGGATCAATGGAGGCCAACTTCATCATGGCGATCAAAAGATGAGCTTCACATGTGTTGAGTCTGGGCGGGATTTATCCGGGCGATCTTGGGCCGGCACCTGGGAACGCCCGCAGCCCCAGTAATGCCGGAGGCTAGCCCTAGATAGGCAGTCTCCGATGGGGTCTTGGCTGCTGAAATGAAAGTTTTGACTGTTGAGCATACTATATTTCCAATGATTTACGGAATCCGGGAATCCAAACAAAATCCTTTTATGGGGTGGAGGTGCCAAGGATCTCCAGGGCTTCTGTTGAATAAAATTCATGACATAGAGATGAAGGGCAAAAAAAAAAGATTATGAACTACCCAGTTCTCAACATCAGGCCGACTGGATCTATCAATGTGTGTGTAGTACATATACGTGTGCTCGTTGTGGCTCCAATGTTTGAAATATCCAGCCTGCAGACGTATCGTATGCTCGTTCCAACAAATTATCGAAACATCATTTTGAGTGCCCACCCCGACCCATATTTTTAGTTCGGATATTCGGCTGCGAATGGGTTGACACTGCCCCATAAAGAATTGCGTAGCTTTCTTTCGGATTCAAAGTCTCATTTTCCCCTGGTAGCCCCGACGGTCTCCTTGGATACATTTACCTCGAGATGTATGTGGCATGATGCAACACCTATTCAGTCCTGTCGAGCCAGTTTTAGCGTGCATTTGGTTTAGTCCCCTTCTGTCCACCAAGTCATATTCTCTATTGTCCGGATATTTTTCTTCGTCGGTGCTTTCCAAACACAACCAAGAATGGTGTTATATGGGTCTTTAGATGCAAGGGCAACCTATTGATCGATCTTAGCCCCTCAAAAATTCCAAGTGTAGCTTCTTCAGAAAGTCATAATAACTAGTTACTTAGTTATCAGGTGATGAGTCATTGACGACAACAGTGAACTGCGTTTCGAATATGTTCATTGCTTTCCCTAGCAAGCGAAAGAGGTTGTATTTCTCAAACTAGCAAGGCCACCAGCGGCAACAGGTGGAATTTGACTAACCAAAGATTGCAGGTGTATGTATGGCATATCGAGGCAGTCGGTGAATCTTCCAATGTCGTTCCGGATACCGGCATAGAGAAACCGTGTTTTGTGAGTCTCTTCAAGGGCCTGGCCGAATACATCTTCTGTTGGTCGTGTAGAATCGCCCATGGTCATATATATACCCACGGGCTGAAAGGCTGCTGGCGAGACGAAGCTCAAAAATAGGCACAAAATAATGAAATTTATGCTGTCTTATGGTCAAGACCACATGCGTAGGGAAAGGGGATGAGTTGTGAAGATTAAATTTGGGGGGGGACGGAAGGAGAAGAGATCAAAAGCGCCGTTGAAAAAGTTGGGCTTTTTGGAAGCAGCCTGCCGAAACCTTGGGAGATTTGCTATTACCTACATACCAGAGCAGTAGTAGATACAGCACTTGAGGCATTCCAGTTCATGAGGCGTAGAGTTAGACGAGGCTATCAACATCTGCTGAATAACCTTGCAACCTACATTAATGAATTCAATATCCTGAAGTGTACTTTTGCTGTTCTTATTCCTCTCCTCAACGGTGACATTTCATAGGTAACTCTCTACCATTAATCTATAGGTAAGAAATTAACTATCAACAAAGCTTTTGAAAACCAATCAACCCGAACGCCAGTGGTACCATGTATATGACACAAATGCAAAGAAGCCTCAGCCCACGTCCTCAGGACTGCATCTTGTTGCTGTTCTCCTCGTTGAACTGGTCACGGGAAGCGGTGAACTTCTCAGTAACAACATCACACAGATCCATCAAATCACCGAAGCCCTTCTCAAGAGCCTCGAGAGCGGTAGTTGAGTCTGGAAAAGTCATGTCAGTTAAGACGATCCCTGAATATTGCCGTGGTATCCAAAAACCATCGCTTACCGGTAGTCTGGATGCGCAAGTGCATCTTCGTTTCGGAGGGGTGAGGAATAGTGTAACCGCAGAAATCGACAGCCGGGCTAGAGAGGTTAAGTCAGTGATACAATTCCAGTATCCAAGACCCAATCCGTGATCTATAATGCATGATCTATGGAAGTCCGAATCCGAGTCCGAGCAAGATAACTCACTTCTTCATGATGGCGTATCGCAGTGCGTTACCCATAGTGTGGCCTTCTCCTTCGAACTGGAATGATGCGGCTGTCTCTGAGGAACCGGGGAGCTAATGCGACAAGTTAGATCGGATGATATTGTAGAAGAGGACTACTCCTCTATGTCTCCGCCGGGTATCACGTACCACCACGATACGGCGCTCATCCAGCATCAAGTCATCTTGCTGCTGCTCGACGTCGACCATGGGCTGGTCTTGAGCATCTTGGACAGAGCCAGGCATTGTGGGATTGGAGGTGGAGGATTTGGTAGATGCTGTCGTTTTAGGTCGCGGAGGCCTTGAGCTCGGACTCGTGGGTCAATTGGTGTAAATTGACTGAAAAGCTATCGGACTTTTCAGCTGAACAATCTCTGGAGGATATAATGGCAAGCGGAAGGAGAATCGTAGAAGGAAAGAGTGACATGGACTTTGACGCTCCGAATTGCCCGCAAGAAAAAAAAAGTGGGTTATCGATAGAGGGGCTCACCGCCTTCCTTTCTAGGTATGCATGTGTACAACTTTGACTATTTTTTGGCTTCATGAATCATGAATCATGACAAAGCGTTGGATGTTTCTCCGGGTGTTTATTCCAACGACAGAGTCTTCCTGCATGTCATCCTGAATAGAAGCTACAAAGAAGCCGTTCATTATTAGAGTTCCTCATGTCGTGCAAGAGCTGTTTTGTGAGGTTACTTGTAGTTTGAGCCCCTGTCCCACAACAGCTACAGTTACAGATTGATTACAGATTGAGGGTGGGATGTTAATCTCGATAGGAAATGCAAAAGCCTATGAGTTTGATGAATAGTCAAGATGGATACGCGGATGGAAGAGATCAAAGAGATCAAAATGATCAAAATGGTTATTAAGAATGCTGAGGTAATCCATAAACCAAGTCCAAGCTGGACCCATGGATCTGAAGCATGAGATCCCATTTAGGTTAGAGTGACCCCTGTGGCTGGTTTCATCGAGTTTCCATTTATTTCATTTATTTAATTTATTTATCAAATCCACCTTCATCGTTCTCTCTCTCTCTCTCATATTTACTATTCAGAAGTGGCTGTCGCCTTTGAGACTGAGCTTTTAACTCGCCTTCCAAAAGGAGAAATGCCCGAAGCCAAATTTAGCATAGTTCGGTCCTACCATCAATAATAGATCCATCACATCTGGAAAAGATCCGAACCGGGCGAGATTTCTTGAACCATGATGCTAACAAAGGATGGACATAGCGGGGAAGCTCATTAAACTCCTCATCTCCGATCCAATCGATTAGATGAAAGGAAACGAACCATCGAAACTAGTGACTGGCTGCAGTGGCTTGACAAGGCTAAATAATTTCCCTGGAAATTAAGTAACAAACTAGTAGATGAAAAAAAAACCAGATTGGATTGGAAAAGGAATAATCCAGTCAAAGATAAATTGAAGTACGAAGTACGGAGTACGGAGTATCGAGTCTGCAGTCTGTGAAAGAGTGAAAGACACATGACTGAAATGGACCCAAAAGAAGAGTTTTCGACCTCCTGGCGTGGTGATCTGTGCACCAGACTCGTGTTCTTTCAAACTCCTTAAATCCGTTTGACGTGGATGAGCACCAATCAACGGTCATAGTCCACTGGAAATTCAGGTTTTTCATTTTTCTTTTCTTTTTCCCTCACGGTCGGCAGAGGCTTCCGTGCATTAGTGATACGGAGTTCATGAAGCGATCCACATCTCGGGGAGGGGCCATGATGTCTAGATCAATGATTGATCAGATACTTATCACAAATTTATCATCATATCGAGGACGGACATCTAAAGGAAAAGAAAAAGAAAAGAAAAAGAGCTAGGTTATAGGTACATCTACAATCGAGATGCAGCCCCCAACCCTAGTGTCACATTATGAACCACACTCCTTGTCGATGTAAGCGCCATGTTTGACCTTTGAATATGTGCCACGATGTGGTCTACTAGGATGAGGTCAGGGAAGTAAGATGCTCATCGGGACAAATAAAATAAAATAAAAAGTGTTACGATTTTGGGGGCCAGAATTCATACAGAGTCATAGAGCATAAGAGTACAGAATCATCGTGTTTTCCTTATTTCTCTCCCGGCGAGTTAGCACCAAAGCGAGTCTAGTTAAATACCAAATCAATAAATGTTTCACGATTGATGAAGGCAGCAAGAAAAGAAGTAAATCAGAACAGAAACATGTCGTGTCTCAGCCGAGAGATTCTGATACGCTCGGTGGCCCCAGAGTGGAAGCCCCTTCTCCACCATGAACTCTCGTCTTGCTGGTACTGGGGACTTGCTTGATCTTACTGGTTGATATGGTGAATTCAAGTACCAAGTACAAACCCCCCTCCCCCTCTTAATAATGCTGGTGTTAGAACTATTTTATTTTCCTCCCTTGGGGGCCCAGAACATTCACTTTCGTCTTTTTTCTTTTCCCCTTAAGCCTCTTTTTTATCTATTAGTTTAAATCCGAAGCTCCATTTCTTTCGCTTGTTGCTTCTGGATCTTTTTTTTTTTCTTTCGTTCTTTTTTCCTGCAATCTGTCACACTCTTGCCGCCTAACCGCCGAACACTTCCCCCCTCAACCCGTTCTCCTAAATCCTTCCGAGTTCTTTGTTCATTCCAACTTGGACATTGATCTTGCTATGACCCTGCGCTTGGAGATCTGAGCCAGATACAATACTTGAACCCCGCACTTCATCAGTTCATTGATGCTCCTCTCTTAAGCCTCCGGGGTGCTTAGACGCCGATCCCGTGCTGGGACGAACGCTACTACTACAAGAAAAAAGCAACAAAGAGAGGATCCCCCGACTACATCCATCAGAAAGGAGAAATCACCTACCCATCTCCCACACTTGTCACCATGTCGACAGCAATTGCATCCGCGACGGCGGCTCAGCTATCCTCGCCGCATACCACCCGCGATCCCAGCCCCAAGAATTGCCCGACCTTGGCACCTCCGCCTGCGGTTAATTCCTCTCCATCCCGGATGGCAAGTTCACAAGATGGCCCCAGGGGCACTCCAGAGAACAAAGGCCCATCGTCTCCGTAAGTACTATGATACACTGGATGCGAAAGAAAGAGAAAGAAAGAGAAGATAGATAAAAGGATATCCCAGCGCAAAAGGCTAATCAGATTGGATAGATCGCAAGGTAGCGCGGGTCCCAAAATCACCGTCAAAAAGGAGCCTCCATCCTCTCCCCGTATGCAAAGCCGTCCCCGTCCCCGCAAGCTGGATCTATCGACAAGTCTTCCCTCCTCTAGCGGCTTGACCGTCCGACCACCAGGAGGTCCGATGACCGCTCGCGATGGTGTTACCATGCAGGATGTCGGCCTCGCCTGTCTGTCGCCCGGCTTCCAGACATATGATCCGGTAATGAGGGAGCAACTACAGCGCAGCCTGTCCGTGCGCGAACAGCAGCGATCAATAATCGAGGCGCGAATGCAGAAACCTGGCAAGGATGACGCGCCTTCGTCACAAACGGGTTTCATGGGCATGCCACCCCGGAGTGGCTCCAAGCGACGAGCACCGCCTGGCCTCTCCATCGTCCCGCCATCCGCATCCCAGTTTGCCAACGAGCGGGTCATCCAATCCGCCCCGTTGCACCAAACTTTCACCGGCCGTTATCAACCCCAGCCTTTGACCCGTCACGTCGTCAACCAGAGTCCAACACTAGGCGCTTCATCGCATATGCATCAGATTCCGGCCCCCCAGACCAACAACCGTCTTCCTCCCCTCTCCGATGTGTTCGGATCCGATGCGCTCGGCCGTGATCGCGAACCCAGCCGCCAGGGTCTATACGTGAATGCGTCGAGCAGCAACTCCTCGCAATCAAACTTGGCTCCCATGCCTTCTCCGGGTCTACCTGCCATGTCTACGACCCCCAGTCGACCACGGGAATACCGATCCGCCGAGGAAGCCGTACAGGAGCTATCAGGCGGACGGGAAGAGCTGCTTCCCCGGATTGTGCATTATGGAGGACACCAACCGCCCACACCGCCATCCCCGCAGACCATGCATACCATTCCCAAAACTGCGCCGATGGCCTGGGAAGAATCAGCACCCACTTCTCTCGCTCCAATGCAAATGGCGGATACGACTGCGCGCCGTCGCCCTCGCTCCGAATACGAGCATGATAATGGAAGCCCCCCGCTGGGACATGGTCCTGATTCTCAGTATCGACCTAACCCGGCTACCAACCCAGCCCCCAGTGCCACTTTCCCTCCCACTACCTTCCCCGGTCCCTTTGGCGCCGGCCGGGACTCGCCCGAGACAACACAGAAGAAGAAGGATGAGTTCTTGGGTCTTTGTGCTCGGGCATGGGATCTGTTCCATTCGTGATCAACTTTGCAGATGTAATTGCAAAAAGAAATTCCGGCCTGGTCTGATATGGTCGTAGTTGACTCGATCTTCTGTGAAGTCAGTCAAGATGATCTAGAAAGGACCCACCCTTTTTGCATAATCCCTATTGCTCTTTAATCTGTGGTCTTGGCTGAAACATCGCTCATGTTTTATGCCATAAACAAAAAGAAAAAAAAATCTTACAGATGACTCTTTTCAAGGCAAAATTTCTCATGCGACTCTCTGGCTGGTCTTGAGTGATTGAGTCTGGGTTCTTCACCCTTCACATATATGACACTGATGTTTATACCTCCCATCTCTTATATCCACGGTACGATTAGTGGTGAGCCTGTGGCTCATGGAAAATCCTGCACTTGGGGACTCATGCATTTGATTTTGAATTGGCGTTTTCTTGGGACGGAGTTGTTGTTTTTACCATATACCTTTTCTTTCTGGATGTTCTATCTTTTTCTTCTTCTTCTTCTTCTTCTTCTTCTTCTTCTTCTCCTTCTTCTTCCTTGTTTGGAATCTAGCATTTGTGAAATGGGATTTGTGATGCAAGACTTTGTCTTCAGCGGAATAATGCTGGTTGGACCTAATACATATTGCTGGAATCTAATGCTGTAATCTTGAGGACATTTTGGACATTTGAACATCCACACCGCACCATTCATCCTAATAATTTTAAAATCGTAAAAAAACCAAAAAATTCCTGGGTATCTACTCAAGTCGCCGACGCTTGCCAAAACTCGGAGGCTCGTCGTTACTCCCCGTTCCACGGCGTTCCCAGGGCATCTCCTTGCGCTCCTTGGAAGCCATCTTCTTGCGCCGACGCTCCATGGCCTTCGCCCGATCCTTGGACTTCATCGACTCGTACTTCTTTTCCAGAACCTGTTTCTTCAGGTCTGATTGCTTCAAGAAATACGGGGTGCTCTTCTTGCCCTCCCGAATCAACTGCTTTTCACGCTGCTTATGTTCAGCCATAACCTCGCGCTCCCGCTTCTTACTCTCATCGGCCTTGAGCCTATCAGTCGCGGACCGAATCTGCGCCTTCAGCGCCTCCTTCTGAGCCGGATTCTTACACCTGCCAAACTGCTCCTTGAGATCCTTCAGCTCATCCGCTCGGTACTCATCCAAGAATGCGTAGGCCTTGCTCGTTCCTTCCGAGAAGCGCCCAGAACCGCTGTAGCCCATAACAGCCGCGTCGAAGCGCGGATCACGAGCCTTAGCATAGGCTGGAGGCTCGACAACCGTGCGCCTTCTGGTGACAGCGCGCTTGGAAGATTGCTCCATAGGTGCGTGCTTGGATGTGCGAGCCTTTTCCTTTTCCTTTTTATCCTTGGATCCTGACGCTTTAGCCTCGGCCTCTCGTTTCTGTTCGCGAGCTTCGCGGATCTTGGCCCGGATGTCGTCGAGCGGGGAGGCAGTTGAGGTTTCATCTGATTTTTCCTTGCGCTTTTTGGGACCCATGGAGGCCTGAGCTTTGGCTAGCGCGCCAAATGAGATGTTACTGAGAGATGATTGGAAATCGTCTTTGTCGTCATCTTCGTCGGAGATTTCACCCTCGAGATCCTCATCTGAGCCTTCCTCTTCATCGTCTTCGTTGTTGGAGTCCGAGCCATCATCCTATACGGGTATTAAAGTTAGTGCATGCGCTTACAAGGTCGGCAGGATTTGCAAGTTGTATACATACTTCTTGCGATTGATCTTCGTCGGAATCAACTTCCTCTCCGGCCTCGTCCTGCGAGACTTCTTCGGCAGAACTTGAGGCATACACATCCTCCTCAACATCTGGCCTTGCCCGCACACGGCGGTTCAACATATCTGAAATAGCCATGGTATGGATTGAACTGACTGAGACAGTACAAATTGTCTGACGATGGAAAGCGGTGCAAAAAAAGTAAAAGTACTGCCGGTGTGGCGGTGAACCCGATAACGGCCGATTAGATATTTTTTTGCGCGATCGATCAAACGATCCAGCTCCGCGATTTCTAGAAGAAGTCATTAATGGCTCGTTCTATATCGCCTGCTTTATTTTTTCTTTCTTTAACCCGTCCTATAAACATACGAACCTCCTACAGGATAGCCTATCAGGTACACCTTATCCAATCTCCTCTCCATCCAATCATTGTCTACAATTTCCAAATCCATCAGGACTGAACCCCCTCTCTAGATTATACCCTCCTTGCCTTCCTCTTCTGCAGTCGATTCTTCCTCCCTACAACCGTCTAAACCACCCAAAGTGCCTCGCCCAAACAAAAGACAGCGGCGCGTGTCAAACGCTGCTGGCGCTCCTCCGTTTCCCGACCCGGTTCCCCACTTTGCCAATGCGACGAACAGTCCTCTCTACATGAGCATAGAACCAATGGAGAATGGCCAAAATAACTGGTTCGCGGGGCAAGACCAATATGGTGGATTTCAACCTACAAATATGCCTCCAGCCATAGGCCCAGGTTCACGCGCCGGAAGACATGCGACATCCAACAAGAATGCGAATGCGACAAACGACAACACATACAGCCCTCGCAGATTCGACCAATACCGGAATTCTCAAAACGATCATAATTCCAACTCAATACCAAACAACCAGTACAATTATGAGAATTCAACGCAAAACCAAGACCCGGCATCCTTTGGCGCATACAATCTTCCACTTTGGAATCAAATGGACATGGATTCAATAAACCAATTCAACGACGCGACATCCAGCATGGCTTTTATGAACCCACAATTCTTCATGAACAATCCAATGCCACCATTCCCTATGATGCCGTTTAATTCGATGCTACCGTTCCAGGGTGCGCAGCAAATGAGTACCATGGCAGGCTCGGCACAACAGAGTCGAAGACAGCGGTCATCAACTCCAGCTGTGACGGTTCCTACGCCAACACAAGCATACATGCAGCAAGCCTCGGGGATACCACAACGATGCCAAAAGCGGCCATTGTTGGTTATACTCGATTTGAACGGTACTTTGATATGTCGCAAGCACCGTAGATTGCCGCCCTCTTTTGCCGAGCGCGCTGGACTGAAGCATTTCTTGGATGAGCTGTTCAAGAACTACTCCGTCATGGTTTGGACTAGCTCTAGGCCACCGACCCTCAACGCTATCGTCAAAATTCTGTTCCCTTCCAAGTCTCAGAAACGGAAGCTTGTGGCTTTATGGGGCCGTGACAAGTTTGGACTCACTACTCGACAGTACAATGCCAAGCTTCAGGTATACAAGGAGTTGCACAAGGTGTGGGACGCGAGCGAGTGCCAGTTTAGGTATCCAGGCAATGGCGGCCCGAGCAAAGACATACCAATGCCTCCGTTCCCGAAGGGCCGACGCTGGGACCAAACAAATACTATTTTGATCGATGACAGTAAGATAAAAGCACTCAGCGAGCCATACAACATTCTTGAGGTCCCAGAGTTCACCAACGATCCAAATATCGACGAGTCAACCTTCTTCCAAAGAGTCCTTGCAAGACTCGATGTTCTCGCCCACCACGACGACGTCAGCAAAGTCTTCCGCGTATGGGAAGAACGTCAAGTGCAACAAAATTGCAAAATCCTGGATCTGGACATCACTCCCGAAATGGACGATGATGTCGATCTATCCGAAGATGGCGGAGCCAAGCTACCGCCAGTGCTACCCACGCCCGCCACCGCTAAGCAACGCAAGGCAGCCGCTGCCCAACAAAAGCAGCCACCAACCGAGCCAGCCATCGAAGCGGAAAAGAAAGCATTGAAAAAGGCCCGGAAACAGGCAAAGAAGCAGGAGAGGAAAGAGAAGAGAGTCCTGGCAGCTGCCGAACTTGCTGAAGAGGCCGCTGCCGCTGCCGCTGCTGCTCCCGGCGCCATAGATAACGACCCCCAGAGCCTCCCTAGTCAAGCACCCGATCAAACAGCCAAGCTAGGCCGCAAAGCCCGAAAACGCCTCAGACAACAAGCAATGCTTCAGCAAGGACTCGGCCCTACAGTCTCTAGTCACGATGCGGATCCCAGTGAGAAGCTGTCTGAGTCTGGTCTTGAAAATGTCGCAAAAGAAGATGGTGCTGAAGACGCGTACTCACCGCCAGCTTCTATATCCCAGGACCGGTCAGTTGATGGTGCTGAAGACACGTATTCGCCGCCAGGTTCCATCTCTCAGGACAATCAACGTCAGCGGTCTGTTGATGGGGCCGAAGACGCGTATTCACCACCGGGCTCTATTTCTCAGGACAATTCACGCCAACGGTCAGTTGACTGTGTTGAAGAGCCGTATTCACCACCGGGCTCTATTTCTCAGGACAACTCACGTCAACAGTCAGTTGGCGGTGCTGAAGAGCCGTATTCACCACCGGGTTCCATCTCTCAGGACAACTCACGTCAACAGTCAGTTGATGGTGCTGAAGACGCATACTCACCGTCGGGTTCCATCTCTCAGGACAATGCACGTCACCGGTCGGTTTCTCCCGCCAGGTCTGGTGTATCTACGAATTCGCTTTTGGATCGGTTGGAAGAGGGACTTGGGATTAAAGGAAATTGAGTCATTGACATCTGGAAACTTGTTCTTGTTTTCAATTGATGTGGCCAAGCTGCGGTGTTGCGATAGCATCCAGATGTCAGATGCTCGGGAATATCTAGGTCGGCATGGGTGTTAGCTTTAGTAGTGTTCAATTTTTTGATATCAAGTTGCCTTTCTTTATTCACAGGTTGAACTATAATCCGACTGTCTTACACATTCAACTTTCTATTGTCAATGAACCTCGGTTGTAGTTTGGATTATGTGGATATAAGTAACATTGAAGTACTAGTACATACTAGGTAGAACAGAATCCACACGCTGCCCAGGCTGAAGAGAGCTGGACTTTATTTTGCCGATCTGGGAAGGAAGAAAGCAACAACCTTGACTGTACAAGGCGCTGACAAAGCTCTATGGCACAGCACATTCAAACTTGAAACTTCCATGTGTCTACTTTTCAAAGTAACAAAGCCAAGGAGATAGAAAATAGAGAACAATAGTCAAGACGGAAATAAAATATAATTTGACTATCAAAGCTATAGAAATGTTGTTTTTACTTGGAATGTGCCAGATCTTCAATGGACGTATGCCACCTCGGTTTCCCGTTGGGCACAAATCTAGTACTCACTGGTTAATTAAAGAGATGATTAATCCCACTCGATGTAAGCACTTCTTCGGCACGACCTCAACCATGAAAGGGTTGGATCGCAATTTGACATCCGTGCTATAGTCTACAGCAAGACTTCTACGCAGTACGTAGGGAAAGAAAGGGAAAGGGGAACATTAGTAACAAGTTCATCAAGACGCAGTCTTGAATCCTTTATTTCCATTGCTAGACAGTAACTAGCAGCGACAACGCTACCCTGGTGTTGTTTCACCAAGATGCGAGTCAATCATCTCGCATCACAACGTCATAAACATGAACCACATCGGCGCGTAACGTAAAAGAATTTTGCAACTCCCGCGAAACGACTTCACATCAGACGCGCGGGGGTAAAATAGAAAGGGCAATAGAGAAAAGAGGAGCGGATAAATGGCACGAGGATGTTGGGCCAAATCGCACTTCCTCTGGGGTATTTCGGGGATGGCCAAAGAGAAGGGGAAGGAGGGTGCGAACGCGGTGGGCGATACGCTTATTTGAAGACGTGACCATCGACCATCTCGAGGGTCTTGCCGTCAGCGACAACGGGAGTGTCCCAGGCCCAGATGTCCTCGGTGTACTTGCGGTCAGCCTCGGAGGTGGGGTCGAGCTTGGTGAACTCGTAGCTCTCCCAGTCGGGACCGACCTCGAAAGCGGGGGCGGACTCCTGGCCACGGACCATGAAGACACCACGGACGACACAGGCGTAGTTAGCACCGTAGACACCCTGGCAACCGAAGAGGTACTTGCGGGAAGCCTCAAGACGGTTCTGGAAGCCACCGATCAGGTTGTTGGCCATGAAGGTGAGCTTGAGCTCGCTGTCGTACTTGTAGTCAACCTTCCAGAGGGAGTACTCCTCAGCGTTGAAGTTCTGCCAGAACCAGGGCATGGCAACCTCGCGGGTGTCGTTGTTGGAGTACTGGCGCTTCCACTCGTCAATGGCGAGACCGGGGCGGCCAAGAGCCTCAAGGGGGTGCTTGGGCTTGGGGGCCTCCTTCTCCTCCTCAGCGGGGGCAGCGGCAGCAGCGGGAGCAGCAGCCTTGGGCTTCTCCTCCTTCTTGGGAGCAACGTACTTGATGCACTCCTCGGCGAACTTGGCCTCGGGGAGGACAGCCTTGAAGGAGGCCTGGTTAACGATAGTGTTGAACCAGCGGGTGAAAGCGGGGTTCTCAGTGCGGTACTTCTTGTCAAGGACAGTGGCGAAGGCACGGGCAAGGAGAGCAGCGGTGAAGATATCAGCAAGGGTGATACGCTCGCCAACGAGGTAGGTGTTCTTGGTGAGGTGGTCCTCAAGGACAGCGAGGGTGTTGACGGCAGCCTTGGCGGCCTCGTCGACAACCTTCTTGTTGTAGCCCTCGAAGCCCATCAGGGGGCGGTACCAGGCAGCAAGGCGGGGGAGAGCCTCGCTGTTGGCGAAGGACATCCAGCGGACGATGGAAGCGTAGTCCTGCTTGGTCTTGCCAAGGAGGGTGGTCTTCTCGTTCTGGGAGGTGACTACAAAACCAAAACATGTTAGCTGAGGTCTTGATAGGTTTGTTCATGGTTGATGAAGCAATTGGGAAGACCAAAAGGGGTAAAGTGATCCAAGAGGGGTAGGATCCCAAGGCCCTAAAAACTTTCCCCCTAAAGCGGGGTACTTGGTTTTTCTTTTCCAATGGTGGGTAATTTTTTTTTTCCTTTTCAGAAGTCGTGTCTCTCAACAGGATAATAGATATAAATATCCATAGTGTTCTGACAGGGATAACGTAGAAATCATCATAAAAGAGGGGGCGAACGAGTGATTGCCACATCAGAACAGAGAATGAAATATCTGCCGGATACGTACCATAGATGGCGATGGCAATAGCCTCAGAGAGGTTGAAGCCGTTGGCGCCCTCGAAGGCAGGGATCTTGCCAAGGGGCTGGACCTTGCGGTACTCAGCGCCGGAGTTGGCAGAGGCATTGGGCTGGGTCTGAACCAGCTCAATGTCCAGGTCGTTGTGCTTGGCAGCGACCAGGATGGAGAGGGTACGCCCGTTCTCCTGCAAAGGGGTTAGAAGATTGCACAGGGAAATATATGAAGCTCATCAACACGTACGGGGAGACCGTAAAGCTTTCCGAAGACCATCTTGAAAGCGGGTTGTGAATTAAAGGAGGGATGAGAGGAAAGAGAAGAAGAAGAAAAGGGAGGAGGGGCAGAAGCTGAAATTTTATGCTTGGGTAGAGCGGGTGCGGAAGCTCGGAGAAAGAGATCGTCCGCGATCACATGATACCGGGAAAAACAGCAATTCAACGCCAACTCCAAATATCGTTCCGCAGACCGGTCCCTTGCGAATCACACCCTCCAATGGCTCGGTACACACCCAATGGCCTTGCTTCGGCAATGCAATCGCTGCGGTTGAACAGCACATTATCAACCCGGCCCAGTTTCCCGGTTTTCCGCCAGACAATCCGCAGGTATACCACCGAGATCGAGACCGAGACTCCGAGCGCTCAGCCCGAGATCCCCGTGCCAGTGCAGCAGTCAGAGCAGCAGCTAGAGCAGCAACCGGAGCAGCAGCAAGAGCAAAAGCAGGAGCAGAAATCCCAGATCCCAACGCAGCAGAAGGAGCAGTTGCCGCCAACACCACCACCCTCGGAAGTGACCGCAGCGCCCAAGATCAACTTCGACCTATTCCGTCTCCAACCCGCCCGTATCATTCCCGCGTCTCCCTCCTACTTCTCCGGTAACCCGCGCTTCATCGACCATGTCCTCCGCCTCGAAGCTATGCAAGCCAAATACGCCGGTCTCCCTACAGTAACCGCCGGTGATGCACCACGCATGGCCTGGTTCAAGCTGGCCCAGTTCCGTGACTTCGTGGGCGAGGCAGTGCCAGTCAAGAAATACAAGAGTCTGGTCAAGATTCTCCAGCAGTTGAACCGGATCGAGCCCAACATCGTACCTACAGAGGTGCGCAGTGCGCTCAAGGACTTCCTACGTCCCGGAAACCCGTACGCAGCCCAGAGTGCGCCGCGTGTTGTGGATGAGAATGGACGTGCGCGAGCCAAGGGCAAGCGTAAGGAGTCGACTGCTGTCGTTCACCTTGTCGAGGGCGAGGGCGAGGTCCTTGTTAACGGCAAGGGGATGGTCGAAGTTTTCCAGCGCGTGCACGATCGCGAGAGTGCTCTTTGGGCGCTCCGGTCTACTCAGCGTTTGGATAAGTATAATGTGTGGGCTACTGTCAGTGGTGGTGGTGTGACAGGCCAGGCCGAGGCTATTACCTTGGCTATTGCGCGTGCCTTGTTGATTCACGAGCCGGGCTTGAAGCCAGTTTTGCGAAAGGGTAAGCAACCTCATGATATCTTTTTAATCATTTCTGTGCAATTACTAATAGTTTTATTCAGCTGGTGTTATCACTGTCGATGCTCGTCGTGTGGAGAGGAAGAAGCCCGGTCACGTCAAGGCTCGCAAGATGCCTACCTGGGTCAAGCGTTGAAAAGTGGGATTCGGTGCCAGCGATGCTTTTCTCTTTTCTTTTCTTATCAACCATGTATTATTTCTAACTGCCATGGCAGCCAAGTCGCCAATTTTGTTCTATATATATCCTGTACTCAAATGCATATGGAGCTTTCAATGTTTATCATGATATTTTTCGAAGGTCCAAGGATTTAAATGCCGTGGAGGTCGAGGGGGTTAAGATTCAAGGGACTGGTGTTGAAGTTCATTTTCGGAATTTCTTAAGGTCACGTCTGCTACTTGAAGCCCTCCAGGGCTGGAGGTAGAAGAGGCGAAGCTTCTACACATGTGCAGCGCCCAGGTGGACCAAGATGGATGGCTTCCAAGATATGTTATAGCACACATGCATACATGTATGTTCAGTGTCCACGGATCGATTAGTCGCACTTATAATTCCACAAGTTATACGGCAAACATATGCGGACAGGCGAAGGACCGCCATCCATGATCCACTTACCCGAATCTGTCAAACTGCCGCTATTGCTGCTTTGCATCTCCCTTCACAATCTCCGGTATGGGGATCGGCCCTCCCGGGGAATTCTCTAGTCTCGCTGTCAACACCTCAACGCCTGTTTCCGTAACAAGCAAAGTATGTTCTATCATTATTCAAGTCAGAATTCATATCCACATCCACATCCACATCCACGTCTAGAGCCCATGACACCCATAGAAAATTTAAAGGTTTATACATACCAAATTGAGCAGTGCGTTTGCCGTCAACCGTAGCATTCGTCCAATCATCGGGCCAATACACAATCTTGTCATTGCCAAGAGACAAGATAGGTTCGATCGTAAACGTCATTCCCGGTTTACACGTCCCCACAGCCTTGTTCTTCGCATAATGCGGAATCCAAGGAGGAGGATGGAACTCCGAATTGATACCGTGGCCACCCCAGTTTTTGACGACCTTCAGACCTCGAGAGGTTGCATGGTTCTCGATGATCTTGCCAAATTCCCGAATCGGGACACCGGGTTTGACTATGGCAATGGCCATATCTAGCGCCTCCCGCGTCGTTTCAATAAGTCGAATCGAGTCTGGGTCTGCTTTGGCCTTATCGCCGATGTAGTAGGTCTCGTTCAAATCGGCATGGTAACCGCCGTGGTATATAGAGATGTCGAGGTTGAGGATGTCGCCGTCAAGAAGAATTCGTTTATCGGGGATTCCGTGGCAGACGACTTCATTGGGAGAGGTACACAGTGATTTGGGGAAACGGTTGTAGTTGAGAGGAGAGGGATATGACTGCGTCAATTTTAGTGGACAACTCAAACTCAACACAAACGTCATTGACGCAGTGGATTGAAGTAAGTAATAATCACCTCTCGTTCCACGCAGGCATTGTGGCAGACCTCATCCAGGTAATCGGTCGTCACGCCGGGTTTCATCGCCGCGGCAGTGATATCGAGTACTTCTCGGGCCAATCTGCACACCTTGCGCATGGCCTCTTGGGCCTTCTCATCCAAAAGATCCACCTTGTACTTATTCAAGCGCTTCTCTCCCTTTGGAATGCCAGTCTCGGCCCAGTCAGGATGCCGAATCGTTTTGGGAACAGGCCGCCGGGGCGACAGCGGGTATACAGGTCTAACCGAGCCAGTGTACGCGTAAGTCGGGAACGGGTTATGGAATCCGCTAGCTATATTGCGCAACGCGATTAGAGGTCTAGTCACCAATCAATGACACGTGCGATTCGGATGAGGTGAGTACCATTCTGCGCGCCATGTATGGCCTTGTGCGTGGCCTAGATGCGTTCAATGTCAGGTCCTCAGTGGCAAGAATTGTCCGTGCGGGTGCAATCTACCCAATTCCTCTTGAAGCAGTCTTGGGCGCAGAAGTAGCTACCCTCCACGCCCTGCTTCAGACATGTTGGACATTGCAAGGTGCCAGCTTTATTGTCGCAGTCAGCTCCCGAGCACTTTTTCTCCGAATCAGACATTCTCGCGGCGATTTGGACTCAAGCCACGTTGTGATGCGGGATGCAATTAAAAGATCGTCTGCTAGTGTGGACTTTGGAAGTGGGTAAAAATACAAGTTCTTGGGGTTTTCCAGCTCGTTGTTAGTGCAAGAGCCCCCCACTCTCCCGTCAGGTGGGGGTGTGCACTAGCATGTATACATTGAGTTTTTGATGTTTGTCGATCCGATCTGAGGGGTTTCTAGTATCGCGTAGGTGTATATTGATAGCCTCAGACTCTGGGGAGCATATTTAATAGAAAACATGTACTTAGTCTAACGAGTATTCCAAAGGATTTTGAAGTCGCGTCAAAATCGCAAAGGATGACTAACAGGGCCAGCAGAATCTTGGCCTTCCACATGTGCAGGGCGGTCAAGGCGCAAGTATCTGGATTCTGCGTCACATTCACGTGTTCCTTGGGGGGTCAGTAGACTCAGTAGTACTGCCCAGGTGGGTATCTATAGTACATAGATACAAAGACCATTATCCATATTGAACTTTGTGAGGAATAATAAAAAAAAAAGTGGATGGGTCACTGTCACGATGACAAATAGTTATGTATACTAGTAAGTTACACTCGTCAATTTCGTCAAACATATCCTAATCCGTAGTCCGGCGCGAGTCACCGCCACAAGGATAAATCCATACTAGTATAGCATCTCACGATCCCATCTCATCACACCACATCATATCACATTTTTATCCCGAGCGCCCGGGAGTGGGGTAATGGATTAGATCCAGCGCTAAAGCCAAGGAGAGGAGTAGGTGGACAAGGCAGTACCGTAACAGGTATATAGTAGATGTTGAAGGGTAAATTGGTGAAAATGTGGAGCAAAAGAGTTGTCGAAATGATGAGGATGTGACCCATGATCGGATCATCAGTCGATTCATTGGCGCTTGGTAAGAAAGACCAAGGCCTGTGATCGATTGGCGCGGCGCTAGTAGGCAATAGCCTAGGGCGCCGGCGTCGCTTTTGTGTTTGCCTCCCAAACCAGTGGAATCTCTCCGATTGTCGAGATCTGTTCCAGCCCGTGGTTTTTGTTTTTTGGAATTGTTTGTTATACTCTTGCTTCTGTTTTCTTGCCTTCCGCGTATATTTTTTTGATTGAAAATTACTTTTTCGGGCTTTTTCGACGGAACTTTTAACACCGGTGTTCAGGGAAAAGAAATGGGAGACTTGCGCGCGGGGAGATCTGGGGACAAAAAGTTTTTAGGGCTTTTTTTTTTCAAGGTCGCGGAACTGCGGTTGGTGGTTCAGGAACCGCTTGCATCCGTAGTTCGGGTTTGCTTTCCAGTAGATCGAGGCATTGACCAAGTACTATAATTTTGGGTTTTACATGATTAGATTGGATGTGGAGACTATTTGGAAGCATTGAACTCACCACAGAGGATCTCCTCTTCCCAAATCCCCATCTGGTAATCCACTAGGCCGTGTTGCTCTAATTGATCACAGAGCTGAATCAGAGCTTTCCCCATCGCCTCCATTCGATCTCGAGTGAGTAGAGTAATTTGGACAGATGGATGATCACCAGTATAACCCTGGGTTAGATCCTTCTGTTTCTGACACACGGCCAGCCAACAGATATTGAATTCTTTCCACAGTTCCAGGCGGTCAGGGTAAGAAAGATTGTCGTCGCGTAGGATTCCTATGTATCACAAAAGCGAAATTAGTCTCTCCTCAAAACATGTCAGATGATGCTTGAATGACGCGGGCCTGCAGGCACAAAATGGACAAGAAAGCAAGAAATTTTAATAAAGAATAAAATTAATAGAAAAAAAAATCTGCTTCCCAAGAAAAAAAAAAGGGTCCAGTCCAGAGTGTGATTCCGGTGCGACACGGCCGATTTATTCCAGCCAAACAGCATAGAGAGCGAGCAAAGATATCACGCAACTCGCACCGAAACGCGTCCGACCAGTAAAAACATACCAGAACGAAGAATGGTGTTGGGGGAAAAAAAAACCAAAAAATTGGACAAAAAATTGGATGAGTAGCAAGAGAAGGAGAGGGGAAAAAAACCTCCATCAACTTACCAAGATCCCGTGAGTTAGTCACAAGCCACTCAGAAATTTCCAATAGTGATCTGCTCGCCTCCACTAATCGCCCAGTACGGGTATGGTCAAAGGTGCTGCGCAGTGCGCGCTGATACTGGGAGTAAGCTTCCTCGAGGGAGGAGAGGTCTGAAGCAGGCAGCTGGGGGGGATCCGAATGATGCTGAATCTGTGGAGGTTGCGGATCCAATCGGCTTGACCCCGCGGTACCGATCGGAGTGAAATCGGACATGGTAGCGGGAAAGGGCTGGGTGGTGCTCGGGCGTGCCATGGGACCGGGGTGATTATATGGGATTTGCTGCTGCCCGAGATAAGGTGAGAGGGCTGGATTTGGAACACCCGTTGCCGTAGACTCTTCTGGGGTGAAATACTGTGGAACGGCAAATTGGTTCGACAGGGCTTCAATCGCTGCAGACTGCCGTGGTGAGTACTGTGGAACAACGTCGAACGGCCCTTGTGCTGGACCCTGCTGACCGAAGCCGTACAGCATTGCCGACTCGTACGGTACGAACGGCAGCGCAGGGTCGTGTGGCGTCCTTCGTCGAGACTGCTGCTGCGATTGCTGGCCGGGCTGTGATGGGTGTTGCTCATGTGGGGTTTGATGCTGATGCTGGTGCTGATGTGATTGTGGATTTGGATGTTGCTGTGTATGTGAATGTGGGTGTGGGTGTTGCTGGGTTACTTGGCCCTGACGAGACCGTGTAAATTCGGGCGGGTAACCAGGTAGCTCGTGGGGCTGTAGTGAACCACTATGGTAGGAGCCGCCTGTGTATCCGTACTGGTCGTAGGACATCTGAGCCCGCTCTGGCGCCTGCGACATCCCCGTTGGTTCTCCACGTGGGTGCATGCCCGTTGACTCGAAATGATCCGTTGCACGGCCACCGGCCGCACTATTCCCAGATCGTGCCATCAACCGCTCATGCTGCTTCATACGTTGGTCGCCATCCATGAGGTGTCCCACACGGACCTGCGCTGATCTAGATCGGCCCAATGCTTCGGGGACAACGGCGGACTTGCGTAGGATGCCAGCTTGAAGGGAATCCTCAAAAAAACGGAACGATTCTAACACCTGACCTCGGAAGATGCAATTGTAATCAAGCTTAGAAGCTTAGGAGTTACCCCAGGTGCAACCCTAGGTAAGGGCACCTTCTAGTGCTTGAGGAAGAACCTCCTGGGAGTACAGGGCTGTGGCTGTTCCAAGGTTGATGACTTTCTTCCTGATATCTCGGGTGCTTTTTCTTGATGTTGTTGTTTTGACAATCTTTTTTTTTCTTCCTTTCCAGAGTTCTTTTTCAAGATTGTTTTTCTTGCCTCTATATTGACTAAGATTCTTTATCAAAGTTCAACTTGGAAGCTGGTTTTCAGCAGATCTGATTTAGCTGATGCACAGAGAAGTTCACAGGCGACAGAGTGTATACCTCAAAAGGTGGTTCCAAGTTCCCGGGTCGACATGTACTATATAGTCGGAACGCCAGACGACCCACCGAATCTAGAATTGCAAAGCACCCAATGAAAAGGGCAAAGGGAGAAAAAACAAATAAGAGGGCCACTAATGAATCCTTCAAAATCCCGAAGCGAAAAGCGCAAGAAAAAGAAGGCGAATATGACGAATCTATTTAATAGTGAGTATCAAGAATCAAAAGAAGAGAAGATGGGTTAGGAAAAAAAAAATTAAAGAAAAACAAATTAAATCAGATCAGATGCAAACCTTCGAAAGGAATAAGCAATACAGAATTGGAATCCCAAAAATAAATAAAAAAATAAAAACATTTAAAATTGGAAAGGGGAGAAAGCCCCAGATCATATCAGATGACGCAGAGAACAAATGAACATACCAAGGGGAAAGAGAAAAGCATCGGGCTCGTGTCATGGACCGGGTACCTGGGGCTTGGGTAGAGAAGGGGCATAGTATTTGAGACTATTTACTATAAGCTAAGTCCGATGTTGATCTACATAAACTTGTTTCGGGCCTGTACGTCTGCGATCGCCCGGGAACCCGGCGCCTTGGTTCCTGGTGGGCCAAAAGCTAGGGATATGATAGATAGAAAAAGAGCAAAAGCACGAGATGCAAAGGGAGAAGGGGGAAAGAGAATCCTTTCCAAAGCAAAATAAGGAACAAAAATGCAAGTACAAAATGGAAGAAGAAAAATGGGGGAGAAACATGGGGGAAAGACTTACCCTTGGGCGCCCAAAGGTCATGTGGGGAGTGATTGTGTAGTTTGTTTTTTCTTTTTTTCTTTTTGTTTTTCTCCAGGAGGGATTCTGGTTTTAATTCTCATTTTAATCTATTTCTGATTTGTATTATTCCAATTCAATTTTCCAAATTCTTTTTTTCGATGTGTAACTCTTATGCCTGGGGCTGACGATCCATGAAGCCGTGGCGGTGCCCTAATCAAACTAAAATAAAAATAAAAGAAATATAATAATCAGTACGCATCTTAAAAAAAAAAAAACATAAATCTCCTTACCTGGAAAGCCAAATAAAAGACTCCACCGAACAGAAAGAAAGCAAAAAAGCAAATCTATGAAGAAAGTGTCAAGTTCTCGACCCAGTGGGCTGGGAATAGGAACCTGCAGTTCATATTTAGAGCCGAAACAACCTTGGAAGAATAAAACCGACATCCATGTAAGATGTGCAGAGATAACATTTGAATGTTTGGATAACCTTTCCATATTTAAGGGGAAGTGAAGATTAAAAAAGTAGGCTCAAGTTCCTAGGGCTCTAGGGCTATATCCGAAAGGGCTTAAGTTTGTACACATTCCGTCGATTGCCCGGACAGCTACTCCAGGCCTGCTTTTTTTGCCCCTTTTCTCCCCGATTCTATGGAAAAATTGGAAAAATTACAAAAATTACAAAAATATCACAAGTACATACTTGCAAAAGATGCTAGATACCTAATTATTAATGCAAAATGCAAAATGCAAGAAAACACAAATACCCAGATTACATATCCTCCAACCTTAGAATCCGAGACATGCAAGTTCCATTGCCCGATTTGCCGATCTGCAACCAGGGACTGTCAGAGTCCCAGAATGTCCATTTGGGGGGCGATCAATGGTCATTGCGCCCCCAACCGAATCCGACGCTCTGGTTGGGATGGGGACGTGCCGAGCTTAGAGTCAAATGAGTAAATGGGGGTTTCACTAGCCTGATCCAAATCCTCGTACTTTTGATCATTTTGAACCTGATTTGATTTTTCTTATTTTGATTTCATTTTCTCCCCGAGTGGATGAAATGTAGGAAAGTGAGGCTGGTGGCTGAAATCCTGGAATGACCTGCATTGCAGCCAAGGATGCAATATACAATATATTTATAATGTCATCTACACACATGTCCACACTGATCGATTGATGTCCATATGTACATAGCTGCCTAAGCACTTCCAATGTTGACTCAAATGCTCATGCGGTGTACATATGTAGCTTTCAAGCACTTGAGGTCCCCAGGAACATCGGAAAATCGCCATTTGCTGATTACGAGGTATCAAGTACTTCAAAGGTTGCACCTGCCCAGACGAACCTGTATACAAACAAGTACCTGTAGGTCAATGGCTGGATTTGAGTAACAAAGTTGCACCAACTGAATGCCATTTCGGGGCTCGGCCTGATCCGGTGGATATAGACCAGGAGCCCGGTGGCTGGGCCAGCAGTTGCACCATGGAAGGCTGAAGACATTTTTGCCCCCCCCAATATCTTTTGAAAGTTCAATGTTCAGGCTTGCAATTAATTCTCCTCTTTTCTCGGAAATTTCTCGCCCTACCAACTCGCTGCATTTTTTTTTCTTCTCCCCGCTGGGCACAACCCCCTTGGACCAATGGCAGTACTGTACCTAGCTTCGAGGTACCTAATCTTAGGCAACTTATGAAACAGGAGTCATATCCCGATGACAATCCGTATCCCGAGTCTGTAACAGGAGTCATCCCATAATACCACCCGTATTGTCTAAAGACTGCATCAGGATCATGCGAACCCTGTCAGCTGACATCTTGCCAATTATAGCTCTCACGTCCGGAACATAGGGCAAAAAAAAAAAAAAAAAAAAAAAAAAAAGGGAAAAAGGAAAGAAACTAAGAGACTCGGAAAGGGAGAGGAAGGGGAAAAAAATCTCCGGGTAGAGAAGGACAGCAACCAGAGGTGAATCGGTACCACCGTCTATCCGAGGGGTCTGGCACCAGTGGTAGGATTGGAATTACAGCTGCACTTCCCGGTTGTGGTGGGCCACGTTGCAGCCCGGACGGAAAGAGGTTGGCCCGAGGAGTTCACGGATGAGGCTGAGATCTGACTCGGCTTTGAGAGTATCAGATAGCACATGGGGAGTTTGGTTTCAAGTGTTTCATATTTCTTAGGGGAGGAGGATTGTATCTCCCCGCCTGTCCCACAATGCTCATCCAAATTCGGTTGGCGGGAAACCACTTAAAACTACATAAACACACGTCGCTTGGTCATAGAGTCATGTCATGATCGCGTGCTCCGCTTCTTCAAAACATGGTAAATGTTGAGGTTAAGGCGGGAGCACCGGAGGCTGAACCACCTGAAAAAAAAAGAATATCAAAAAAAGACAAGAAGATAAGCGGGAGCGCATATAGATAACAGAAAATGCTGCACAGAGAGAATCCCCGGAGGTACTGATAACACCCACTATATTTGATCTGCATCGCATGTCAGCACCCAATCTGTCCAACCATACACCATCTCCCAGAGGAAGAAATGGAAACTTACTCAAGGTCATGCTGAGGTTCACATCGGTACTCTCAACCATTCCAGTGAATTCCTCAAAGCTGATACGTCCATCTCCATCCTTATCGGCCTCCATGATAGTCTTATCCACGATCTGTTGTAGCTGAATATCTTTCAGATTGTTGCCCACCATCATCTTGAGCACGATGAACAGCTCGCCGTTGGAGATATAGCCGTCACGATCAATATCGTAGACCTTGAATGCAAAGCGCAACTTCTCAGTCTTATTGCCCTTGGAGCTGAATGCCGAAAGTCCGGTCACGAATTCTTGGAAATCAACATCGCCACCACCGTCTTCGTCGAAGATCGCAATCATTCTAATAGCGAGGTCAGATAAAGGTGCCGAATGGTTTATCATTTTCGGAAATGAAACGATACTTACCTCGTGGCAAGTGGGTTGGAGGAGACCTGGGGAAGTGAGAGGAACTCGTCGCGATCGATAGTGCCAGAACCATCCTATAAACACAGTGAGAGATAAAGTCAGTTTTCTTCCCTCTTGCGACCGTAAATAAGTATTCTGATCGTACCTTGTCCAGCTTCATGAATCGTTTCCGTAGTCGGTCAACCTCCTCACGGTCAACTGTTTACCCCCCTGTCAGCCCACGCTCGCAGTGTCTCCTATATTTTGAAAACTCCGATTGGTAGGGGATCACGTACAGTTGGAAGTAGAGACGATGTTATCGAAAAGCTGAGTAGTGCCGACCGAACCTCGCCGGCGTTGGACATTATGCATGGCGGCAGCATTTGGTGCGGAGGGGGATGATTCCATTGTTGTGGCTGGAGAGGGGAAGATGATGGCAAGGGTGGGGGTGAGGGGAAGTGAAGTGGGAAAAAATATCAAGTGTGGAGAAAGAAAAAATAAGGATAAGAATAGAGCTAGGATCAGGTGATGAAAGAGGACCTTAAATTGTTAGGTAAAAGCAAATGGCCTAGAATGGAAGTTGGGGAAATGAGGGAAGGAGCGATGGGGAAACATCAATCTGATAATGCCCAGCCCCGCACTAACCGCTTTTGGAGGAACAAGCGAGCCCCTGAGCCCGTGCGCGCCCCCAAACCAGGCCAACACCCGGTGAGATTGTAACGTCAACCCAACCGCCCGACCAAGAGCCGCGTGTTTTCCGCCGTCGATATCTCCCCCTTCCCATCCGATTTCCATCTCCAAAATACGACTACGATACGGCGCATGATCTAAGCTTTACGGCGAACCCAATTTTACCCCCGGGACCCCCATGGTCGTTGCCCTTTTGCCCTCCCCGACGCTATGACTCGGTACGGGGGCCTGGGCCGGACGCGCCCTAAGAAGCTTACGTCCAAGGCCTCCATCCCCATCGTTCGTGAGGAGGAAATCGATGCCCTAGACGAGGACCATCAAAACCACCAACAGATCGAAACCGGTGTCGAAAAGGCTGAGGAATCAGTGAGTCTCCATATTCCCTCCTCTCATCAGCCACAATTTTAGCCTCACCCCTGTAAATCACGTGACATGATCACCAAAGCGACACGAAATTTTCACGAGACTGACCAAAGACGCGTGCCATAGGAATTTCACTTGCAAGTCGCGATCAACCTCACTGCGCAGGGTAAAGTCAACGACGCGCATATTCCTACCCCCGAATCCATCCTCAGTAACCTACAATATGACGAACTGTACCCGCCGCTCTTTTCGCAACCCGCGACCTACATTCGCTCCTCAGCTACGGTCGAGGATTGCTGCGGATGTCCGTACAACATGACGGAGGAAGACGATGTCTTCCTCAAGATTTTCAATCAGAACCGCGCCCAGTCATCATCCCCCTTGACTGAGAATGCTTTCGAGGCCACCATGAACTTCTTTGAGGAGACGGTGCAGGCCAAGCAGCCCTTTGCAGCAGTTGATAGCCCGCCAGTCTTGACCTTCGAGGAGATGGAGGAGGCCATGGATTCTGCTGTAGAGGTAGCCGTGAGATATTTTGCCAAGCACATCTATCCGCACTGGAAGTCCCGTCGCACCGCGGACGGTAACAATTCCCTTGAACCCAGCCTCAAGGTGAGTCATTGCTGTGCATTGTTTTCAGGGGAAATCCCATGGAGTCAAATGCTGACCATGTATTTCTGTAGTTTGAAACCGGCCAAGACACCGATGATAGTGATCCATACGTCTGTTTCCGCCGACGTGAAGTGCGACAGATTCGTAAGACTCGTGGCCGCGATGCCCAAAGTGCTGAGAAGCTGCGCCGACTGCGCAAAGAGCTTGAAGATGCTCGGAGGATGGTCGCATTTGTGTACCAGCGTGAGACAGCCCGAAAGGAGATGTTGTCGGTAGAGCGAAATCTCTTCTTGCAGCGAGCCGAGGTCAAGGAAATGAAGCGCAAGCTGAACATCAAGGACGACGACGAGGACTTTATCAACCAAAAGGCAAGAGTCTTTCTGCTTATCCCGGGGATCACATATACTGACATCGCATCACAGCCCAAGAAGAAGACCGAGATTCCACCCGGCCAACGTCCCAATGTACCTCAACTTCGTTTGCCCCCCAAGGCAGGCATGCAAGGTGCAGAGGACCTTCAACTGCTCGAAGATGTTCAAGCCGAGAAGGAGAACGAAATCTTGCGCGATATCAAGGCAAACATCACCAAGCATATCAAGTGGAACGAGGGTTATGTAGATCATACCCGCGCGCCGCTTTCTCCCCCTCCCGAAAGGACATTCGATGCTGCTGCATTCCGCCCTGCCTTCACCGCACAACTACCCACACCACCCTCATCAGATTCATCAGGCGATATGGACACAATAGACGTGACCAGCCCCCTCTTCTCTCGAGATAAACTTGCCTCCCGGGCCATGGAGATACACGGGGAGCCGCATCGGATGCCATCATTCCGTAGACGTGTTGGACGAGGTGGTCGGTTAATGATCGACCGTCGGAACTTCGCAGCGCGCTGTAAGCTCGAGATGGATCCCGTCAAAGCTGATCGTTTCAAGTTCGACCAAGAAGATTCCGACGAGGAAGATGTCCATGAGACAGACGGGTATAGCATCCAAATCATGCAGCACCGCGCCATCACCATGGTCAAGGCCCGCGAACAGGCCGCCGTGGCTGCCCAAGCTCATGCGCAGGCGCAAGCTCAGGCAGCTCAGGCTCAGGCCCAGCAACGGCGATTGCAAGGCGATCAACCTGGGAACCCGGGAGCACCTCCTCCGCCCAGCGTTGTGGCTGCTTCGTCAGAGGCCTAAACAACCACCAACCACCAACCTCCTATTTCCATTTTTCTTATCTTTCCTTTGCAGCATTTGGCGGGCGTTTCGAGTTGCTTGTTCCCCCTTCGTCGTTACCTTTTCCTTTTTCATCTTCTCACCTCTGTAGTTTTATTTGGTACCCATTTTTCATGTTTTGACGATTTCCATTTATCGACGAAGGGATTTGATGGAGCCCGGCGGCCTGATGCTTTTTGCCCTTGTTTTGCTGTTTCACCACACCTTTCACCCTCACCACCTCTTTCACCATCCATCCTGCAGCAGATTTCGATGTCGATTCGCGGGTCTCCTTCGGATATCTGACCCGAATCGGTGGTTTCTGCGTTTATTAGTGTATATAATATCTTTCGAAAATGTGGGGAGCGCGCGCGGCCTGGTGGCCGGCCTTTTTGTATGATGGATGACTGGGAAGTTATGATGCCTGCATTTCTTTGAAAGGGATGAAAGGCCGGAAAAAAAGAGAAAAACAGACATCGAAAAATCTAACACAACAATATAATCATTCGCGAAAAACGCCGTCGCCATTTGCTTTTGTAGGAAACACGGAATCGGTAGGGAGATTTCGACAAGGATTCGTGGCCAAGTGTCAGCTGTGAATTCTCAATCACACACGCTGCCTCGTGTTGCGGGAACCATGAACATCGCCGTTGGCAGATCGTTTCTGGGATGCACCTGGTGCGAGAGACTCAAGCATCGACAGAACGGTACGCAGGACCTCTTTCTCGCCGATGCGGACTTGTAGGGCCATTTTGTGTCGTCGAGCAGAACCCTCCAGTGCTGGTGGCGCATTAGGCGGCAGAAGTCCGGAAAGAATGTTCATATCCTGTTCGAGCGAAGTGGCATACTGAGCCTGCTTGGACTGCAAAATCTTGTAAAGAAGACCGGCCTGGCTAGTTTCCATAGCCGGCTTAGACGGCCTGTTCTTTGACCGACGCTGCTCAAACTCTTCTGGCGATTGGGTCAGCGTGGTTAGCAAGACAACCAGCTCAGCAGGGAGAATGTCCTCAAGTTTAGCATTGGCAATCGGCTTAGGGATCACATAGCCATCTTCCAGAAGATCATTTTCATCAAGGAGTTGGAGCTATTTAAGAGAGTTAGTTAGGTTTTTTCTTGTTTCGCGGGTGTCAGGCCACATCTGCATGTGGTGCACGGTGTCACCTACCCTGGGCTGGGATTCCACATCGCTGTTCGGGAGTCCGGCTGATTGACAGACATCGGCAAGTGTCAACTCGACAACATCGTACACAGAGTAGTTGTCGGTAACATATCCATATCGGCGGAGCAGATCAGCGCGAGGGATTTCGCCGTAGTCGTTGAAGATTTCTTCGCCTTCCTGGATAGGCTTAATAGCCTTCATAACCAGTGCTTCCTCTTCTTGAAAGAGACGGGCCTTCAAAATAATCAGTATAATTCCATAGTCAGGAGGTCGCAATTAGAGGGCAATTCTCACATTATTTCGGTCCGCATCGGCATTGAGCAAATCAGCAAGCGGAACCATACCCTTAGGATGCTGCTCGTCCTCATCATCACTCATAAAGCTTTCATCCCCATCACCGCCTTCTTCATCGTCATCATCCTCGCCGTTTTCGATGTCGAAAGCATAGGCCATGATCAACGACCCCATGGTATGAGCCAGCTCCAGCAAAGCGGCAATGCCAGCATCACCCTCGTAAGACGCAAGGCCATTGACAGGCGGAAAGAGAGCAGGATTAGACCTGACAATAGGAGCAATGGATTGAAGGATAGAATCGTTGGCGCTGGATTTGCCAATCTTGTCCAGAATGGCACTGCCCTGCAGTTCCCTCAGCTCTTCATCCGACCAGAACATCAATGTATCGAAACGAGAAGGTAGCACCCGGAAGTACGGCGCCCACTTAGATTGCCCCCCACGTAGGTACTCATAAAGCATGACTAGCATTAAGGACAACCACGGACCAAGCGCCTCAACATCTTGCGGTAGCAGACTCTTCAGCTCTGAGTTTTGGACGGCGAGAATGAGGGATCGAGGAATAGAAAATAGTTCTTCGCCTTCTTCAATGTTGGCTCGGGCGACTGTGTGTATAAAAATGGTTTATAGTTAGAGGAACATTCTTTGCATGTGTCTTTTTCCGGGTGCTCAGGGTGTAGATTTTGTGCGATGGGTGGCGGGGGATTTGTAGTAAGCTTACCAACTCCTCGACCTGCTCCTGAAGATCGCAAGTCGGCCAAAAGGATCTTTGGGTTTGCCTTAACGCCGGGATTTGATTCAAGCCAAGCAATGAATTCATTGGACTGTTGCTGGAAGCTCGAGGGGTCTGAGAAGTGGGTTGAGGAAGACATTGTTGTAGAGACTGCGTAATGGCGAAATGGCGAAAGGGAAAGGGAAAGAAGGTCGAAGCAAAGGATATATAGTAGGCTAGATCTATATGCTTGCCAGCCGGTCTAAGGTGTAGCAAAAAAAAAAAACCAAACTAGAGAGGATGGAAAAATCCCAGGGAAAAAGAAAAAGAAGTAGATGGGGGTTGTAGTTTAGTTTCGGAGAAACGGGTACCGCTTGGGTTTGGTTTGGTTTGGTTTGGGTCCCCGATAACGATAACAGAAATCAACCCACTCTTGACTCTTTTCACTGAACTTCAAGCTTCCTCAAAATCATTAAGCATAATTCGAGTCAATCGACTCTAAATTAATCATTATGATTGCCATAGGCATGGAGGGATCGGCCAACAAGATTGCCATTGGGATTATGTCGCATCCCGAAGATGGCAGCCCGCCGAAGATCCTCTCAAATGTTCGACACACCTATAATTCCCCACCAGGCGAGGGTTTTCTGCCCAAGGACGTCGCATACCATCATCGGAGATGGGTTGTCCAGATGGTGAAGGAAGCGATGAAAGAGGCACGTCTCAGAGTTGAGGACGTAGACTGCATCTGCTTCACCAAAGGTCCCGGCATGGGTGCCCCGCTACAGAGCACAGTTATGGCGGCACGAATGATGAGTCTACTTTGGAACAAGCCGTTGGTTGGAGTGAATCACTGTGTTGGACGTATGTTTTGCATCTTTTTCTTGAGTTCTGCTTTCCAGACTCGTCCCATTCAATATTCTTGTGGTAGCTGACATGATGATGTTTGAGCAGATATTGAAATGGGCCGGCTCATTACCGGCGCCGAAAATCCTGTCGTCCTTTATGTCTCCGGCGGCAACACACAAGTTATTGCATACAGTGCCAAAAGATATCGCATCTTTGGCGAGACGCTTGATATTGCAGTTGGAAATTGCTTAGACCGTTTTGCGCGCACATTATACATTCCCAATGACCCATTCCCGGGATACAATATTGAGCAACTAGCCAAGAAAGGTAGCCGGTTGGTGGAACTCCCATACATCGTGAAGGGTATGGACTGTTCGTTCTCCGGTATCCTGGCTGCAGTCGACGCACTAGCCGTGTCTCTTGGGTTGAGCGGTGAGGAGCAGGCGAGACTGGACGACGAGAGAATTGAAAAGGAACAAAACGAGCCAGGCAAACTAGACCCTGATGCCAAGCCCACTCGCGCCGACCTATGCTTCTCGCTTCAGGAGACAGTGTATGCCATGTTGGTTGAGATTACAGAGCGTGCAATGGCGCATGTGGGAGCCAAGCAAGTGCTCATCGTCGGAGGAGTGGGATCCAACGAGAGATTGCAACAAATGATGGGCATCATGGCGCGAGATCGGGGTGGTTCTGTTTTTGCCACAGATGAACGTTATTGCATTGATAATGGTGTCATGATTGCTCAAGCAGGTCTGGAGGCATATAAGACGGGTTTCCGAACCCCGCTGAAGGAGTCCACTTGCACACAGCGATTCCGGACGGATGAAGTATTTGTTGATTGGCGAGACTAACTAAGATACCCATCCTCCGAATGGAAAAATTGTCATGTGTGATATATAAATTAAGAAAAGACGATACGTATATAGATAACATTGAAACGTATCTACCTAGTAGACATTCAAAACTTTGGAGACCCCCTAGGGCCTACTATTTATTGCCCTCACGTGCAGGTGATTGCACACTTGTGTCAAAATTGAACATTGAATAGTTGAAGTGTTTATCGGAAGGCAGATGGTGTATTTTGACACTACATAGATATCTCTGGAATAAATGTCTTTGACCGGTCGGGAAAAACCAAACGGCGCGCCTGCGCGGCCATTAGTAAATCAGATCTGCATCACTAAAATATCAACCGGGGAACTTCAACACAACGTTGGAAACCTATCGAAAACGCCTTCTGAAAGAGGAAATGCAGTATGAGTAATGTTGGGCCCTTGCAATTGCTTTCAAATGTGGGGTTTGGGAAATATTCGATCAATGGTGTATGAATCCCTAGCACAAGATGTTCATTGCGATAATTGAATATGTGAAGGTAAGATGTGTGGATTTTCGCACTTTCTCAGAGATGTCGGGTGTATTCTGAGGTGAAATTGTGTCATTTGGGCTGGGGAATATATCACTCCCCGGTAATATCGCCGGTGGGTTTGTACAAAATACTTGTGACATACTGCAAATGGGTCAGAAAAGGAAGTCTCACGGGTCTTTAATATCATCTTACCTTGCGCTTGTATCTGGTTGTGACACTGGTGGCAAGAACACCATTCTTGATGCTACTCGTAGCAAGATGGTTCAAAACAGTGTGGTTGGGGTAATTAAGAACACTGCTGTCATCCTTTGTGGGAGTAAGGGTGTTGAGAATTGATTTACCCAAGAATAATGGAAGGCTGGGTGGAGTCGGAGTGTCACCAATGACATTGGCAGCTTGCAAGTACGCAAGGCTGTCTTCATCCTTGTCCAAATCAGCAAGGAATTGTGGAATGGCACTGCCGAAATCTCCCGGTGGAACCTCTTCAGCTTCCCCGTTCTTTGGGGGATCATCTTGCGTATCCTCTGATTGCGGGTCCTTGGAATTATCCTGGGGTGTTTGCGACGGCCGCACTCCCGACGAGACAGATGAGTTGTCATTAGCATCATCCGCGCTAATTTCGATATAGTTCACCAGGTGGTTAGTGAAGTCGACGGCTGTCGGGAGATTATCCGAAGCCCGCATTTCACCATCGATAAGGAACTTCAGGTGATGCGTGCCGGGCCGCAGGTTCAACGTTGCGGTCATGACTCCGGCATTAGTCTCGCTATTTTATATTAGCCCAAATACTCTCAATTATGAGCTTCCAAGTCTATCTCAACATGGGAAATCCCTTCCTACCTTCTGTGTAACTTAAACTTCTTCTCCCAGTTGACAAAGGTACCAGTAACGTAGACCTTCTCACCGGGACCGTTCCATTCGATGACCGTTGGCACTGCCTTGCCGACACCAAATGGCTGTAACTCATCCACCATTTCATCTCCATCCAGGGTAACATTGCTGTGATGGGACGCTTCCATCTGCTCATCTAACAGCCGGTCCGCGGGCATCGACTGGATATGCGAATCTTCGGGTCCTATAATCGGTGATCCAGGCGTAGTGGTAGCATCGGCAATGGGCAATGGCATGCGTGGAGGCCGTTGCAGATGGGTCGATGCACTGTAGTAGGAGTTGAGCGGCGGAGCCGATGGCGCCACAGGATCTCGCCCCGCGGCATGGCGTGAGATAGGCACTTGCACCGGGTTGGAGTGGTCTGTCGGTGAGGCGACATCTCTGCTCGGCGCCGGGTTGGGCCTCCTATCCACAGGCTTCTCCGGTCTAGTTATAGGCTTGGGAGATCCGGGTGGGTTTCGGGATTGAAGCCGATGTTGAACGGAGCCCTGGAATGCCGCGGAGTGGCCGGCAGCAGTCTCTCGAGATGCCGATGGGTCAGCTGCGGTAGCCTTGGTTGTCGGGATTGTGTTTTGTGAGGTGCGTCGAACGACCTTTCGCTCAACGGCGGCATTGGGAATGTGGCCCGGTGGCGCATCGCCGACTGAGCCTTTAGAAGGGTTGTTGCCCATCGAAGGCGGGGTAGGGGGGATAACGTGGCGGTTGAGAGAATTAAGTGGGAGGGGAAAATAAGTGACAGTAGAAATAAGGTGGTAATGTAGTAAACAAATCAACTAGGCCGACAGCATTAAGGCGTTACCCCTAAGGTGTTGATAAAAACCGGAGAAACTGGTCTAGACACAGGTCCCTCTTCGACATCGGTCAAGCTAAGCTGATGACGGCGGAGAAGTTCAAATCGGGATAGGGCTTAGGGCTCGCGGCGATAACTCGGTTTCCCCGGATTTTCCCCCTTTTTAATAGGACCCAAGTCCCAACCCATATTATCCATACATTATCCATACTCCGTAGTTCCCCGATCTACACAATGTATAGCATCATCACTGGTAGCCTGTCATTTGTCCTTGGAACAATATATGACCTACTATTTAATCTATTTTACTGGATCTTCTACCTTCTTTACTTGGTCGCCACTCCCTTGATCTATCTTTTGCAAAGCCTCCTCTCAGTAGCTTTACTCCCGCTCCAAATCTTGATCAAATTCGAGGTATGTTTGATTGATGACTATGCTTATTTTCTCAGGATTACTCTCTTTGCTTTGAAAGAAGCTTACACATTTTGCAGGCATTTTTGTACTTTGTGACAGGGGCTGTTATTACAGGGGTCACTGTGGGCCTGTTTCTACACTTTGCTGGGGATGCTCTAACCAAGCTTCTCCAGCTACGGTCAAGCCCACCTTTTTCTCCAAAGAGTGAACCAGATCTCAAAGATGAACCAATAGATTGGGATTCGAGGTGGGATCATCAATTATTGTCCTCGACGATCCCAGAAGAGGAAGAAAACAGCTCAGCGTGATATCCATGCTCGTGTGCATACTACCAGTTGACATATAGGTCCGAAGGGACCATACGGTTAAATGATGTATTAGATCAATCTCGGTTTTAATGAAATATGGGCAATCGCCATCTGGTTCTCTGAACTCATCAAAATGTCTCTCCCAAAGCATTATTGGCGGATTCCCAGTCAGGGTGCTGAGCGTCTTGGTTTGGGGTTACTCTCGCATGCATTTCCATTGAATCAAAGCTTATTCCCAGACCAAACATGTCTTCTTGCTCTTGAGGCTCTTCTTTACGTATACTTGGGCCCCACTGGTCTGCACCACGGAATCCCATCGTGAAAGGATCAGTCGGGTCCAGTGCAACCTGCTTAAAGCCAGTGACCCAAGCTCTTCCCTGGATAGAAGTGTATATCGCATTATACCTTCCCACTCTCAACTCACCACGAATCCGACCAAATAATCGAGTTCCAAGCAAGCTATAGCTCCGGAAAGTCTCAGTCCCAATTTGGCCGCGGCAATGCTGAACAGCAAGCCAAGCACAGGTCGAGGTACCAGAGGGACTACGGTCCAACCTACCAGGAGACAAAACTGTGACACTTCGACCTACCTTTTGCACCCCATCTTTCTCAACATTTTCAATGAACACAATGTTGCTGACGCCTCGGATAGCATGATCTTTGGGGTGAACAACCTTCAGATCACAACCCGCTAGAGCGTGCCTAATCCGCTCCCCAATCTGCACCAACTTCTCGCCATAATCGGCCTTGATTTTCAATCCAACGGATTCGACATCGACAAATGCACAGAATACGCCACCAAAAGCAATATCGATCTTCAAGGCACCAAGTCCAGAAATGCGGATCTCAAAGCCAAGTTCCAATACAAAAGATGGTACACAGTAAACAGTCACTGAATCACACCTGTATCTTTGTTCAAGTGTTCTAGTGAACTTCGCCTCGGCCATGATCTTTCCAGCCCCAGTTTCAAAAATGTATCTCTGAAATGGCAGCTGTGGCACTGGCCCACCAGCATGAGGAAGCTCAGCAAGGACATTGGTAGCGCACATAATACTCGACACAGAGAAAGGGAAGTATCCGTCACTCTTGATCATAACCAGACATCGCTCTGAGTCAGGATCGATGGGCTTGAGAAGAAAGATAGCGTTTTTGTTGTTCCAGCCACGAGGCTCGTTCAACAAGAGCTTAACGCGGTGGTCATGTTCTCTGCGAAAATTGAGGAGTCGTCCGTACATTGAGCGGCCGCGAATGTTTTCAAATCCGCCGATGACGACGTCACAGGCTTCACCCTCAGCATGGCTTTCTACAATGGAAATTGTGTTTGGGCCTAGGACATTGTCGAAGCCTTTTGGAAGTGAAGGTGTGTAGGGGGTAAATAGTTGACTGATAGATTGGGGAGGTTCAAGACTGTTCTCCTTATGCTGAGACCATTCGGGTTGATGGACATATTTTGGGGAATAGTTCTGCGAATGTTGCCCTCTAGGACCACCTTTTCGATGAGCTATGCCATCAGATCCAAGTTCATGCCCATGGTAATATTGGTATAGATTTTGAGAGCGAGCCATGGTATCTCAGGGTCTAATGGATTCAAGTAGAAGCCGACATCTGGAAGAAGCAAACACCGGTTGGTTTATATGTGGTCTCATTCGGCTTTGTATGAGGAATCGTGTAAGCGCCTTCCCTTGGGGTTGTCCTTTGAAGTGAGAATAAACAGTAGCTGTGGGACTGTCCGCCCAAAGAACTGCTGCTCTTTCAATGTACATGTATCCACGTACTATGAACATTGAAACACACAGAGAACAAAGGAAACATAGTCAGAGATAGAACAATAGTATGTTGGGATACAAAGACAATATTCATTAAAGGACAACAAAAGGTCTGAAAACACGATGCTCCCGAACCTTGATGGAAATTGTGGAGTATAGCAACTTTTAGCAAGGGCCCGGAGCTGGCGATGTTTAATAGTGTGCTCGAATTCTGCCGGATTTTCGTTTATATGGGGAATTTATTTTCTAAGGATATGCACATTTTCAAAACTCGGCTAATTTCCAATTGGCCCTCCCAGTAGGCGGTGAGACTAGCGTCAAGTTTTTAAAGAAGGCGGTCTAGAGTTGCAAAACGGTAGGTCTGCCGCACGAAAGGCATCAACAGTATTAGTACTAGCTATTAGCTTCAGATTCCATACGGTCCAGATGTTCGTGTTTGCCATGGATGTGTGCTATTTATAAAGAACCAAGCTACAATACGTGTAGTTGATTTTGACAATAACTTTTACCAGGGTAAAGCATTCTATACAAGAGCTGAGTACTGGAAAAGTGGCTGGTGGATAAGTACTGTATACAAATAACCCGTATCATGTAGCATGGCCCGTGCACCTCGACAGTGTTTCAATTGTTAGACTCTGTGAACCTTAGCAATCTCCCAGGATTCTTCCCCCTTCAAACTTAATACCCTTGAGGATCTTCAATTCCATGTCGAAATATTCGGTTCACGATTTCATACTTCATCCCATCGGTTAAATCCGAGGTAGATGATCTATCGTCTAATCAAGCTCAGCTGTCAAACAACAACCCAGACCCGCAAGCCTAACTTTGGCTTCAGTGGGGGCACCGTCAGTGGCTGTGACTCCTGTGAGTCTGTGACCATCACAGAAGCACGCTCACCATGAGCATCCCTCGATCCTTTTTCCGCACACGATCGCTAGTCGGTGCCCTGGTAATTGCCTCCTTTATCATCTGGACATTTTCGCAATGGACTGCTAGCACCAGCGGTTCCGCCTCCGATTACAGCTTCGGCGACTCCACACAGAACGCACCCGATCTGACAGCAGCGCACCAAAGATTCTGGAGGAGCTTCCATGGGTATTTGGAGAGATATGCACCGGATATTGATAGGGTGGTTGAGGACGAGAAAGCCCCGACCGAGGGCTTCAAAGTGAAGGATGCAGCACCACGCCCGGAATTTGTAGTCCTTTCCACGGAGGACATCACATCGATGAAGGAGGCACATACTGGATTCGTGGAAGCCATTTCGACCTCAGCGCCACAATTGCATTACATTCCAGGCACAAGGGGTGTGGTCTCAACCGCGGGCGGTTCTTACCTGCCGGTCCTGGTCATATCCCTGCGCATGCTTCGCCGGACGGGATCCACGTTACCGATGGAGGTCTTCCTAGCAGACGAAGACGAGTACGAGGACTACATTTGCGACACGGTCCTTCCATCCCTTAACGCGAGATGCATCGTGCTCTCCCGCATCCTAGTCGCAGCACCCGCCAGGATCGAAAAATACCAGTTCAAACCCTTCGCGATGCTTTTCTCTTCCTTCGAAGAGATTCTTTTCCTGGACGCAGACGCGTTTCCTCTAGAACAGCCCGAAGTCCTGTTCAGAGGCGAGCCTTTCCGCACCAATAACATGGTCACCTGGCCCGACTTCTGGGCATCCTCGGCCTCGCCCATATTCTACGAGATTATCGGCACGTCCGTTCCAGCCATGAACCTGCGCCAATCGACAGAGTCTGGCGAACTTCTCCTCTCTAAGAAAACGCACACGCGCACTCTTTTGCTTTCCACATACTATAACTACTGGGGTCCCTCACACTTCTACCCGCTTCTATCTCAAGGAGCGGCCGGAGAGGGTGATAAGGAGACATTCATCGCGGCTGCAAGCGCGATGAATGAGCCATTTTATCAAGTCAGCGAGTCGATCTGTGCACTAGGCCACAGAAAAGAAGGGGGCATGGCAGGATCCGCTATGGCTCAGTTTAATCCGATGCAGGATCACGCGCTCACAAGCCAAGGGAAGTGGCGCGTTCGTGGCGACGACGCACCAGCCCCAGATGTCTTCTTTATACATGCCAATTTCCCCAAATTCAACCCTGCTACTGTTTTCGAAAAGCATGAGGTCAATCCCGCTTTCCTCGACGACGGTACCTATACACGCGCCTGGACCATTCCCGAAGACGTCGTTGGCCGATTCAGCGCCAAGGTCGACATCGAGAAAGAGTTCTGGCGCGAGATTCTATGGACGGCTTGTGAGCTCGAACACAAGTTTGTCTCTTGGGACAACTATAGAGGCATCTGTGCCGGTGTCAAAGATTACTGGCATAATGTCTATGAGTCCAATGGACTCCCATCCTGAAGTGCTAAATGACTGTGGATACGTGGATCGCTATGCCGGTATATCCCATTTCCAATCTAAAGGGGAATTTGACTAATCCTCCAGCTGGCCTGGAGGTGAGATAACTAGGGAAGGAATTAATCAAAAGACTTCATAAATTGATACCATGAAGGTACTCCTCGAACTTTGTACGATATCGTCCGAAAAATTGGATAATTCCGAATGCATGAGTTGCTTGAGCATTTGTCACGAACATATGGTTTCCTAAGCGAAGACAAGTATACTAGCCGTGCTTGGAACCTCAATATTGCAAGAGATGTGTTCTTATTTTTTTTTTGCAACACGCTAATATCGTACAAAATTTCTTCTATAATACATAAAATACAGATCCACAATACAAAGATCCTGTATATAGTGCTCTCCTCAAATCCCTCTTCTACTATGACAAGGATCACAGTCTACTTCTGCTCACCCACAGGCAATTCCTTCAGCTCCACCTTACGGATAGCCTCAGCGAACAACTCCTTACAGGGAACACGACTACCCAACCGCGCACACAGCAAGAACGCACCACTCAATTTGCGGTGCAAACTATACGTCTCCTCGGGAGGCGGTGCAAGACGTTCCCGAATCATCACCGGGATAAGCGCACGGATTCGATCAGTGATAGTCTGATTCTGGAAATCATACAGATCAGGCGAGGAATGCATAAACGGTTCAGCGATGGTGACAATCGATGAGACGTGCGCGTCAACCATAGCCTGAGACTCAAGGCCAGTAAGGTAACCCAGTTTAACCGAGAGGTCATGGCACGCGACTCGGTCGTTACCAGCAGCCGCGACGAGAGTCTGCACATAGGTCGAGATAAACTCGGCAGGATACGCGCGCGAGGCGCCGAAATCAAGGAGCTCGAGACGATTTGTGCGTGCGTTGTAGAGGAAGTTGGTCCAGTTGGGGTCTGTCTGCATGTAGTGGAATTCGGTGATCTCGCGCAGACACAGACGCATGATTTGGGTGCCGATCCAGTCGCGTTGGTCCTGGGTGAAATCTTGGATTTTGGTCACGGCGACACCTTCGAGCATTTCCATGGTGAGGACTTGCTTGCCTGATGCCTCGGGCATGACCTCTGGGACGACGAAGACGGGGTCTTCGTGGAGGAGGTCGCGGAAGCGGGCGCTACATTCGGCCTCGCGGAGATAGTCGCATTCCCAGCCGAGTTCCACGCGGGCGTTGGCAATGGTCTTGTCGAGGTATAGGCCGCGTGGAAGCAGACGAGAGGCGGTTAGAAGGATTGACAGGTTGTTTAAGTCGGAGTCGATTGAGTCTGCCACGCCGGGGTATTGGACCTTCACGGCGACGGGTTTGCCTGTTCGCTTGAGGACGGCGGCGTGGACTTGGCCAATCGAAGCGGCTGCCATGGGGATCTCGTCGAACGAGGAAAAGAGATCTCGCCAGTTGGGACCGAGGTTGTCGGCCAGTACCTTGTCACGCTGCGAGGCGGGCATGTAATCGGCACGGTCTTGGACACGCTGCAGGACTTGCTGGATTTGCTGCGGCAGCATGTTTGAATCTTGAATGCTTAGCATTTGACCCAGCTTGAGAGCGGCACCTCGCATCTTGGACAACTTGGCTACCATTCGTTCCATATTGCCTGCGCTGAACATGATAGAGCCACTTTCTTGGCTTCCCGTGGCTCGGCGGACCGTTTCACTCACGGCACCAAAAGCCATTGATGTTGCCAACCCTCCATACTGCCACAATCTACCAAGGCGAGAAGAGGGAACGCGCGATTCCATCATCTGGTAAGGCACGGCCTTCTCCTTGGCCACTACCTCCGCGACTGGCGCGATGACCTCCTCCGCAACACTGGCGGCCAGTTTCTGATTTTCCTTCTCCTCGGGCTTCAATGGAGCCTGGGATTTCGGTGCCAAAGTCGCAATTGGCGGAGTAGACCGAGGGCCGTATCTCTCTGCAAGCCAGTCGCGTTTGGGCTTGGATTTCCCTCCAAGCAATCGAGACACCCGTGGGCTTTGAAAAATATCTTGCATCATCTCCTCCGGAATCTCTTGCTGTTCCACGGGTGTAGCTTTCACTTCGGGGCCAGTAGTCGCATGGAATACGTCGGCGTTTAACCCATCACCTCCCCCGGCCTGAACATCTCCGGCAGCTTGCGGAATTGTCACGCGCGGCAGCGAATATGTGTCCGGCGCGGTCTGTAGCGAAGGCTCGTAGAAAACATCCTGTTGTTTACTGATATTCAAGTCGGAGGGATTCTCAGTGCCAGTATGTTGCGCGGTTTCTGAAGGGACCTGGAATTCCGACTGAGGTTCCTCATGAACGCGGGTGGTGTCCGATGTGGGGGTGGTTATCTTTTCCGCAAGCTGGGAGCTAGTCGAGCGAGCAGAGTCGGCCGATGGGTCGGCGGAGACATCGGGGGATGACGACGGTGACGGGGAGGTTGGAGGAGGTGGCGATGTTTCATCGAATCGACGCGCGAGAGCGGCAGCGGCTTGTGCGGTCAGGATCAGCCCTTCGGTCTGTTCCTTGATGCCCTTGGTGAGCGACGAAGTCCGAGTGTAGACATCTAGCTGACGTTGACGTATAGCCCAATGTTTTACGGCGACAGTCTTCGAGACATTGAGTAATTGAATGACGTCCAGCAAGCGCCGGCCAGACATGATGTCGTCAATTCCAAACAGTGGATTTTTAGAGGTGGTCACTTAGTAAAGCATCGGGTAAGTCGGAGCGGAGCGGGATCGAGTCGAAAGGAAATGTAATAAAATTGAATAAACGGGTACAGTCATTGATAGATAGAGAATCCGCCGGTCTTCTCCGATCTCCACTTAATTTCCGGGACTTACATATATCTCCCTTCTCATGCGACCTCTTTCTTCTTTTTCTTCAAGTCCATGTACCCCGGATTATACTCATACATACCACACATACATAAATCCCAAATCATGCTTACCGATAACCCTCAATCCGCGGGCTTGGAGTTGGAGATCTCCCAACTTGAGGCGCGTCTCCATGACCTCCGCTCTCAGCTTGACGCTACCAACTTCCCTTCCCCACCATCATCTCACACAGACACTAAGACACCACAATGGACAATCCCATCAGGTACGTTTTATAAAAAGAAAAAAGAAAAAAAATTCCATTCCAGCTTAAAGCCTCCCAATTGAACCACCCTAAATAACTAACACGCAAAAATCTTCAGACCTATATAATAATAAATTCCAATCGGACTCAGTCCGAACATCCTCTCTCCACGCTCTCCTCCTCCTCTCCGACTCCGCCCTCCCATTGGGCTCATTTGCATACTCCAGCGGGCTGGAGTCCTACCTCGCACATAACAAGCCTCTCCGCACAAACCCTGCTTCCTCATTCCACCGCTTCCTCAAACTCTCCATCGCCTCCATCGCAAGCACATCCCTCCCATACGTCCTAGCAGGTTATCGCCACCCCGAAACCCTAGAGACCCTCGATAATGACCTTGATGCCTCAACCCCCTGCATTGTAGCGCAGCGCGCCAGTGTAGCCCAGGGACGCGCCTTGATCGGCGTGTGGGAGCGGGCCTTCCGCGGCAGCTTCGCCGCTCCTACTAAGCCCACCGATACCGGTGCTCAGGTATCGGTGACGTCGATTGATGAATTCTCCGATGCGTTGAAATCCACGCTCGGCGAGGTTGACGAATATGATATGGGTCCCAAGGGTCACTTTGCTCCGCTTTGGGGTGTCGTCTGTCGTGCTATGGGACTGGATCTCCAGCAGACTGCTTATATCTATATCTTGAACCATGCTAAGGCGGTGCTGAGCGCCGCGGTGCGGGCTTCTGTCATGGGACCGTATCAAGCACAGAATATCTTGGCGAGCCAGAGCTTGCAGGATACTATGATGGCTCGCATCAAGCGGGAGTGGAATACCCAGGTTGAAGAAGCTGGCCAAGTGGTGCCAGCGCTGGATCTTTGGGTTGGCAGACATGAACTTCTATACAGCCGGATCTTCAACTCATAGTGAAAGCATGAATATTATAACTAAATTATGAACACTTGAAACTGTCCAATATTCTGTATTCCTATATTACGTATGTAACTGGTTCATGGACGTGGTTCAATTTAAGGTACATTCACTCTTGGATATTGGTCCTACGTGACTTTAGATAATCTAGAGGCAAAAATGCCGAGGGAAAGTCACAAATGCGCCTCGAAACCAGGGTATGTATCCAAGGGTGCACGATCGTTCGCTCGGCGGACCAGCGCCTTTAAGAAAAAAATGTTAAGACAGGACAAATACACCGTGACATTCGAATCACATTGCATGAAAATTGAAGAAACAAAACTGCCCCGAAGGACGCCACATAAAATCGTCAAACGCCCCTAGCCTGACCAAATAAACCAGCCACCCAACTCCGCACCATGGACCTGTCCGAGAGTGACCACTAAAAAAGAATAGAGGGAAAGGGGCAACAAGAAAAGAAAAAGAAGACGAAAAAAAAAGGGCTATAGTACAAGAAAATATTTTGGAGAACAACCAATCACGGTCAGATCACAATCAGAGCGTGATGTGCATATGGTCATTGCTTCCAAAGGATTTGTTGCAGTTGGGACACTTGCGAGAACGAGAAGACATCCGTTCTTCCACACAATCCCTGCAGAAGACATGACCGCATGTTTTGATTGCAGTGTTCTTGAAATTACGACGGCAGACGGTGCACAGGGCAAGGGTCTATATGAATAAGGTTAGTGAGTGGGACCAAAAGACGTGAAGGTGGTATCCAATGAACTTACCCGCAACATTTCATATTCGGATGAGTTATTGCCGAGACTCTTGCCTTTCCATCCCTCAAGGCTTTTCTTGGTGTCGGCAAGACTTTGCTTCAAGCCAACGATCTCGGTCTCGGCTTGTCGCAAAGCAGTGGTAGTGTTTCCCAGAGTTGAATCTTTCGAGGTCGAGAGGGCCTTGAGTTCAGAAATCTGGTGTTTCAATCCATCCAGCACGATGGTGCTCTCGGTCAATTGTTGCTGAGTAGATCGATGTTTTTCTTGGACCGAGTTGAGAGCTTCTTTAGTCTCGCTGGCTTGCTTTTCCATGTTGGAGAGCAAAGATCGGGTAGTAGCTTCCGCATCCTTGAGTTGCGCGACAATATCGGAGGTCTTGGAATTCTGCACCCGGAGAGTACGAACTTCGGTCTCCCGAGCTTCCTTGCTCTTCATCGCTGCGAAGTATTTCTGGTCGGCCTTGGATTTCTCTGCCATCAATCGTGTGATCCTCTCCTCCAAAGCACTGAAGTCGATTACTTTCTGAGAAGCCAATGTGGAGAACTTTTTGTACGCCATCTGCATCGAGCTCAACTCGGTGTTAAGCATGCCGTATTGACGCTCCAGACCTGTGTATTTGGCCCGAAGATCTTCAAATGAAATATCCTCCACACTTGCCGATGCTTGAGACCCTTCGATCTGCAGTCGTAGTCTCTCCGTCTCCGATTCCAGAGCAGTAATCCGAGCTTCGCGGGCATCTGTCAACTCCTGCAGCTTCGCACTAGTAGTTTTTTCTTGATCTTGACCAGCCTTTCGCATCTGAAGGTCGGCCAAAATCTCATCACGAACATTGCGTATCCGCGCCAGGTCAGTTTCTGCTCGCACTAATTGGTTGTCCTTCTCCGCCATTGCGCTGCGTGCCTCGTCCTCAATTTGTATTTTGTATGAAGTTCTCTCCGAGCGGTACTTCTCGGCCTCCTCGCGTAATTGAATATTTGTCGCTTCGAGATGGTTGATGCGTTTCACTACATCGTCATACTGGGAGCGAAGTTGCTTGAAAAGATCGGTTTGCGCATAGTCGTCGTCCGTCAACTTAGAATACTGTACGATGAAAAGTCAGTACTCCATTGGCAGGAGATTGTGGAGACGTAGCAAATTACCTTAATCTTTGCCTCGGTGATTTGAGTAAGGAGATCGGCATTCTCAGCCTCCATCTTCTGCAACTGTTCTTTCTGCTTTTCCGACACGACTGAAAGTTGATTATTTGATTCCTCCAGCTCAGCACTTCGGTCTCCAGCAGGGGTTCCACCATTGGCAGGAGATGATTCCTCGCGCTTTGTTTGCACGCCCTCGGAGCCAGGTCGTGAATTGCCCATAATGTAACCCTTTTCGAGCTTGGCCGCAGTTATACTCCTTGCACGGTCCAGTTTCTTTTCAGCCATCATGTATCGGAATGAGGCTGTTTCCAAACTATCTTCGAGTTGCTGCTTGTCGGCCAGTGTCTTCTCATAATCGGCAATTAAAGTCTTTTCCTCCGCGAGCTTCTTAGCCAACTGGCTTTGGAGATCTGTAACATCGGGAGAAACATTGACCACAGTTGATTGGAGCCGAGTAATAATTTCACGAATATCGTCAGTTCGATCCTTCAAGTGAGTCTCGAAGGCTTCGTTGTCATGGAATTGTAGCGAACTTTTGAATGAGTGGTCTGCCAGGAATGTCAGCTATTTGTGTCTGGACGTGCGTGAAGGTGGGGGGGGGGGGGGGTTTAGGCGCGACACTCACCGTTGTTTGAAGAATCATTGGAAGGTCCCAGTAGCAGTTTAATCTCGTCAAGGAACTATTACCAAGTTAGGCCTCACAGAGTCCAGGGATGAAGCAAGGACCGCCAAGACGGACGGGTCACGATTGTGCTTACCTGGCGAAACCAGGAGTCGATAATACGAAGGCGATCATTATTGATTTTGGCTGCTTCAGACATTTGGCTCACTTGCGACTCCAAAGAAAGCTTCTCCCGTTTGTATTCTAACATTTGACGTAAGATCGCATCTTTTTGATAGCGCTGTGGAAAAGGAGATGTCAGCGCCACGTGCCTTCGAATGGCGCAAGGAATAGCTCTACTGAGCTCAGTTCGTGTAAGTGACATACCTCCAAGTCTTCTTTCCAGGGCATATCGGCATCGGGGTGAGGCTTGCTCGCGCCATTCACAGTGGTGGCCTGCTTCTTTGATGGCGGGGCCGATTCATTGCTATCCGCAGCGGGTCGCTTCCGGTCGTCCATTTTGACAAAACCGGATTCAGTGGACACGATAGGGGGTTCGGCGGCCGGCATCAGTGGCTAGACGTGGAGGGGGAGGGGGGGGTTTCGATCACCACCGAACCTCACTCGGCCAGTCAGACACCGTGACCGACCAGGATCTGGTAGGTGCAGTACCCAGTGTCTCACGGGGAAACAAAGTCAATGAGGGGGAGTGAAGGCAATAGTGACGGGGGGTTGAGTTTCTGAAGGGGCAGGGGCGTGATGGGATCAAATTGTCGAAAAGCATTGCCAGGTGAAGGGATCAAATGGCTTATGTAATGGCAGCAACCTGACCGCCTGGAACCATCCAATCCCCCTTTGTAGATTTCCCGTAATTTGGTAATATTACGGTGAAATATTCACTTAGGTTGGGGGGGCTGCCTGCTAAATGTACTGCGTGAGGCCATGTTATTACCTTACGATTGCTCAAATACATGACACATCCAGATCGATACCTAATTTTCCAGGTATTCAACTCCGTAATCGGCACCAGCACTTGCATGTTTGAAGACAGAGAAGAGAACCACTACAATGTTGCCTAGGTATTCCATGGCCTGGTGGTATTCTCCAAATATTTGAGATAACCCTGAGGTGTACTAAAGTTTTATAGTTCTTGACACCCTCCACCCGAGGGCTGGGATTTGCCTTTGTACGTACACGTGCATACATACTCAAGTGCTTCCTCGCGATTATACACATTAGTACATATGTTGACTAAGAATGTTATAACTACTTAACTATGTATGTAGGTAAATGCAACATTTGAAGTGTGCGGCGTTTCTACATTCAAACATTTGAATGTTTAAAAGCACCTTCAAATGCATATGTGCTGACAATGTTGATGCCCAAGTGGCATCCATACACGTGGATGAGATGAACATAGATAATAATCAGGATATTCCATCGGCAACGTAGAAGCCTAAGTTGAAATAACTCATGAAAAATCTCCGAGGGAGGTGGACAGTGTATAGTGAGCATAGCGACTAGTCCAAAATTTACCCGATACAATCAATTGATGACAAATCCTACTAGGTTTTAACTAACTAGTTAACTAACTAGTATGTAACTAAGTGCTCAGGTCCAACTGACGGAAGCGAATAAATTTGGACACTTACAAATTTGAAGAACCCAGGTGCCATCACACTTGCCACTTTTGAGCCCCGAATCTGTACACTATGATGTTCTAATAAGTACAAATGGCTCTTCATAAGTAAAAGTACTATTGACATCTGGAACATTGCGTTAGTACATGAGTGGTACAAGGGTTTGTCGATCAGGAATGAGGTTTCATGTTTCAAGATTTAAAAGTTCAGAACTATATAAGAAACCTTAATTAAGATCTTACGGCGTCTGTAACTGTGGGTCGCATCACCCCACATCGGATGAATTTCGAATTACAAATGTACTATGGCGAATTGGTATTGTAGATTGCCATTACATGTGGGCATCGAAGCGATGTAGAGACACCTGGAAAAACCACTACATGCAAGGCTGATTGATATCTCTTAAGTGCAACCGATTTTCCCATCGCCAACTTGAATGCTAAAATGTTGTAGCTTGTAAAAGTTATTAACAACGTAGCAGTTACAAAGACCCCTGCCGAGTATGAATATGAAGTTTTATCGGCTTAGTATAGACAAATCCAGCTTGTTGTTGTGACCAGATTAGGTATTTCACTTTCTATGCGGTTCCGCCAACTGGCTAAGATGTTCGGCCCGCTTACCGAATACACCCGAGCTCGGAAGATGAGGGGCAATCTGGAAAGAATCATCCATCAACGATAGGAAGTATAGCTCACAAACGCTTCTCTGTCCAAACCCAGCTGTACAATAGATCGCAAAAATGGGTCTCACTAGTAAGCATATCTCATTTCATCTCTCATTGAGCTCACGGCCTTACAATTGCATCTAGCATTCATCCAAGGTGGCGAATACGAAACTGCCTCATCAGAGGTGATGAACTCAGATATTCAGACTGAACTTTCTGCAACATTGGTTGCGAAGCACCTTGTATACCAAGCCGTTCTGGGATATGGAAAGGTCTGCGATAAACGGGGTATGAGAAATTTTCCTGACCAAGTCAAGATATGGAGAAGCTAATATAGATCAACAGGCCGACCTTCCTCGCCCGAGCAGGCAAAAAAATTGCTGTTGGTCTTTACCAATGCCATTCTTGAGGACATGGTCACACGTGGTGTGAAGGTTGATGATCAGGAAGCGGCGAAAAGTGAGACCGACAAAATGGCAGAACAGGTACTTAAGGACTCTGACGAGTTTCAATAAACTGGTATGAAACGAGGTTCTTACTGCTGTTTCTCCCGGCGGATATTGCCGGAGATAAAAAGCAAAAAGCAAAAAGCAAATGAGAGCAATATACTACTTTCAATTAGTCTATTGGGCAACTACACTGCTGGTTGGTTTTGCAGCACCCAATTCACTCCATCAACAACAATTTCCGGTTGAGTCATCTGGACAAAGTGACCACTCTCAGTAGCAAAAACAAGCTCGCTCTTCGTAGAGAGCTTCAAGAACTCCTTCATGAGACCCTCATTCTTCGCATCAACCGTCTTGATCAACTCTCGCACATAGAGCCTCTCCTTCTCAGTTCCATTCCCTTTAGCAACGCCCGCCTTGTACAATCCACTCCAATCCCTACTTCGTGTGCCCCCAATCACATAAACTGGTTTATCTCAAAGCAATGGCTGCCTCTTACTCAGCTCCTTCTTCCGCAGTGTCTCAAAACTTGGCAGGTAATTCTCAACATCCTCTTTGTGCATAATCAGCTCAAACTTCTCAGTTGCTTCCGCCGCCCTGAACGCGTCCCACTCTTGCTGCGTCAGCTTGTGCTCCGCCTCCACACCCCAGGCAGCGTATGGTTCAACACCTGCAGCAATGACATTCCAGAGAATTGGATCGTCCACATCCATGACTAGTGGCGCTGTCTCATGGTTGGCATCCACAAGAACTAGGCCGGCTATTTGGCCAGTACCCTTTAGGGCAAAATACTCGTGCGTGAGCACGCCGGCCCAGGAGTGTCCGACAAAGATTAGAGGGTTCAGGATGGGCGCTTTTTCAATTAGGAAGGAGAGCTCTAGAGCAACATTCTCGGCCGAGGGAGCCAGCGGCGAGGATTCCGAGTTGTGATAGCCCGAACGGTCGTAAGTGTAGCTTCGCAGCGAGGGCCCCAGCTTCCGCACCACGGCTTGCCAGTTGAGGGCATCGCTTGCCACACCTGAAATAAATAATACGACAGGGTCGTTGGAGCTCTTTGGCTCTGGGCCATGGGTATAGAGAGCAAGGGAGTGAGTTCCGATGTTGACAAGGCGGCCATTCGAAGGGAGGGTCGAGGAGGCCATGGTGGGGTGATGGTTTGTGGATTTGAATTCTCTTGCGGGTTGTGTACTGCAAGAGTTCTAACCAGTGGCTATTATGAATCACGCCTTCAAGGCTATTCACTAGCTAATTCAGTTGCAAGATATCGCTGTATAGAATGGTAGAGTGATGGAGGGACAGCAATTCTCTGAGAAAATTCTAGGATTTGTAATTGGCGTTTCATCTGACCAGACTACTACTAGTAGGTAACTAATCAAGGTTTAGCGCTAGTCACTGTCTGACCTGAAAGCTGACGGTCCGGTGGGAGGCTCTACTAGTACTAGTAGGTACTAGTAGTAAGGAGAGTAAAGGGGGAGAGAAAAAGTGAGTATTAATTCCTACCACGCTGCGCTCTGATAAAACCACAGCGGTGCAGCCGGCGGTCGAAACCGCGTGTAAGGCTGTGCGCGGGCGAAGGAGGTGGTTTTCGTCACGACGTCCGCACGCGGGATTGTTTTTGTACTCTTAAGCCAAACATTTTGCGTGCTCCTAGACCCCACTTTATGAATGGTCTATATTGTTCTTCAAGAAGCACTACTCAAAAGTTCATGTCATTGCCTTATAGTATGCATTAAATAAGTTTTGCGTGACTTATAAGTACTACCTCATATATACCCTTCAAATATGTACTGCCAAATATCCAAGATACATGAGCATTATTTACAGTTTTCCAGGCCTGCTCTGCTTCAATACCAATGCAACAGCATCAAAGAACTCCTTGCCCACAGCCTGCTTCTCTTGCAAACTTTTAGCTTGCCATTCGACCCGACGTCTTCTGGGACCATCAACCCAACGCTGCGACTCAGTCACCAGCCAATCCCCCACATGATCAGCCAACTCTCCCAAGCTACGATCAAACGGCATAGTGTGTTCTCCCTCCTCAATAACAACCTGTTTGACTGCGCCCAGTCTCATTCCACCGTTTCCTCCCACTCCAGTCCCCGTGATCCTCGCTCTCTCCTCCCGAACCACTGGATCCGCAAGGTCTGGCGAGTTGCTTCCATTCACATACAGAACCCAAGGCCTGATCTTTGGTAACAGATCCCAACCCAGCTGCATCTCTGGTCTATAGAATGGCCCCTTCCCCCGATCATCGGGGTTGCTATCTGGGATGAGCTCGCGCTGTGCCAGAGTCACATCCTCAAGTCCACCAGGACCCATCCCCACACCCTCCGGATTATGCCGGAATACCATCGTCGCAATCTGGTCTTTAGGTATGGACAATGCCCAGCCACCATCACCGCTGCTACCGCTTCTATTCTCTTTGTTCGCAGCTGTCTGAAAAATACCATATCGCTTCAACCGAGCCACCACCTTCTCGCTCCAAGCACCAGCAGCATTGGACTTGACAACCCTTTTCTCTGCTTCCTCGCGCGTATCCCATGATTCTTTGCGCTGCAACGTCCTCACCACCAACGGGATGACCCACTCGCGGCCATAATTCGGGTCGAGGCCCGGCTCGACAAAGGCGAGGGAATGAAACAGAGTCGGATGCCAAGACGATAAGCAGGTTAGCTGGAAACATCCAAGCGAGTGGCCAAGGCCAATAATCGGCTTGGGCATTTGAGCGTGGAAATGGTTGATCATGCTCCACAGGTCGCGGGAGTGGTCAATCCAGGTTGCGTCACAGCCTAGATTATCTAGGTTTGCGATTGCGCTTTCGCCCATGTTGAACACGTCTGCCATCCAGATCGAGCGGATGCGGACATTGGGGTTGGAGGCATTGATGCGATGGAGTATTTCGGCAAAGTAGGGTTCGTAGATTTCTTTGATGAATCCTAGTCCTCCCGTTGCGATTATAGTGATCGGTTCGGGGGCGTCGGAAGTAGTTGTAGATTGCGCTGTAATGTTTCGGGGGATGTATTGTTTCACTGCGAGGCGGAGGCCCTTTTGTTCATCGATTATGCCGTGTGGATATTCGCGCAATGGAGTTATTGGAATTAGATGCGAGATGATCTCGAATGGGAAGTCCTCTTCGAGAGGGGCCACTCGAGTTGATTCAGCCATTTTGTATATTTTTTTTCTTTCTATTCTCTTCCGAGGAGGAAGATATTGGAATATTTCAGTTGAGAAGAAAATTTTTGGGGAGAGGGAAACGCTTCTAGTTTTTAAACGTCGCGCTTTCCCTCATACTAGTGCTGACATGTAGTGGTTAAACTGGCGAAATATAGCGAGCTGAAGTTCACTTCCAAGGTTAGTACATCCGAGGACCGAGGAAAGTAGTTCGTTCGAATTTAGTACTGCACATATCCTTAATAGCCCCAGGAGGCAGGAGGCAGGAGCCTAACCATTCCTGACACTGCATGAAGTCAGATTACACAACACTAAAAACATTAAAAATATTAATAACTATAGTAGTTCGTCAGACACAAAATAGCCGGTAGTAAGAATTAGTATGCAAGAAGCTTCGTCATTTAAAAAGTACCAACGATTAAATCATATACAAATCCAGATATAAAAAAAAAGAAATATACAGTGTAAATCCAAAGTGAAATAAAATGACAAAAGATTTCAAAGAAAGTTATAAGAATCAAAAACCAGATTCACTGAAAATTAATTGCTGGCGTCACTCAGAATCTCCTCCGCCGCCTTCTCAGAAACCATGTAAGTCGACACAGCAGTGAAAGTGCCCGGAATGCGGGGATAAACGGAAGCATCAACAACACGCAATCCATTCACACCACGAACCCGGAACTTGGAGTCCAACACAGCCATCGGGTCCTCATCGGTACCAATAGGACAAGTGCACGAGGCATGATGTCCCCAAGCCGTATCCATAATATAATTCTGGATCTCCTCAGTCGAAGCAACATCCTTTCCAGGTAGGACCTCCTCGATATCAAGAAGCTGGCGCTTGAACGCATCGCGCGCCAAGCCAATAGCCTCAGTCATCGCCGTCAAGTCCGACTCATAATCCCCACTTCCCGAGTCAAAGTAGTTAAACACAATATCCGGCATATCAAGCGGATCCGCCGAACGAAGCTTGACCGAGCCAGCCGTGTTCCGTGGATGCGCCTTGAGGATCGCCCACGAGAACCAATCATGGTGCTCAGTGATATTAACACTGTACCCGGGGAAGTAACCACGGAAATTAATCGGCCCACCAAAGACAAAGGTATCAAAGTCGTCGTCCACGGCCACAGAGCTCTTATACAACATGGTACTAGCAAACCCATTTGAGGAATAGATCCCCCGGTTCCCGAGAATAGGATTCTCCCACCGCTCAAGACAGGGATCCGCCTCGCCATCCACGCTAAACGTACACCCATCCAACGCGGTAAAGTTATTCGGCAACTGGCCCTGCACAGAGGTCTCATAGTGGTCCTGCAGATTTGTGCCAACACCGGGTAAATCCGAGACAACGTCGATGCCGAACTGCGCGAGTTCGTCCGCAGGCCCGATGCCACTCAGCTTCAAGAGCTGCGGCGAGTTATACACACCACCTGCAATGATAACCTCGCGAGACGCAGTGACGTTACCGGGCACGCCCTTCGCAGCCGTGCCGGATTGCGGACTCGCGCGGAAGAGATACTTGCCGTCTAGGAACTCGACGCCCGTTGCGCGCGGCGTGCCGGTCGAGTTATCAAAAACGACCTTGGTAGCCTGGCAGTTTGTGCGGATATCGAGCGGGTACCGCTTCGAGCCATCGAGGTTCGTGGCGTCACGGACAGCGACGAGGAACTCGCGCGGGCCATTACGCTTTGCGCCGTCGGTGGCCAGCGGGACCTGGTAGTAGCCGCTCTCGGTGTCGCGGGTGCGTGAGTCTGCGTTCGCGTCGCCGGCCAGCAGGGTGGCGACGTTGAAGATGGTGTCGGTGACGTTGCCGAGGGCGAAAGCGCCGCCTAGGAGCATGTCCAGGAGCTGGGGGTCCTCGAGGACGATGCTGATGGGGGCGGTTTCATCGTGCAGCCAGCCGTCGTAGCCGTGGCCCGGGGCGAGAGGGAGGAGGTAGTTGTTGTTCTCCATTTTCTCGAAGTACTTGCGCATGTTGTCTGGGGACCAGGAGGCGTCGCCGGTTAGCGTGGAGATGTAGTCGAAGTCAGATTCGAAGGGATAGACGGTGACCAGGGCGTTGTGTGCGGTGCATCCGCCGAGTGTGCCGGTGCGCGGGTATAGAATGCCCTTCATGGTTGAGCCCTCGGGCGGGTTGAGACCGACGTACTCGCCGCCATCGGGGGTGTCGTAGGTGGTCTTGTAGTCGAGTGCCTGACGGGTGTCGTTTGTGTAGTGGCGCACGAAGAAGTTCCAAGCGATTGTTGGGTCCTCGGATGCTTTGGCGGAGTAGGCTGGGACGGTATAGTTTGTGTTTTCGCCTTGGTCGTCTCCAGCCTCGATCAAGAGTGTCTTGTGGCCGGCAAGAGCGAGACGAGCAGCTAATGGGCCACCTCCAGCTCCGGATCCAACAATGACATATTCATAGCCGGTGAGTTCGACGGCGGCTCCCAGGCTCGCCAGTGAGATGGCGGCCAAGCCAAAGAGGCGTGGGAGAAGCATGGTGAGTATAGAAATCCCACAGAATGAAAAATGAGCGACTTGGGTTGGATGTGAATGGAATGTAAGAATGGTCAAATGTGACCAAGGTCTACGGGAGTATTATCCATATTATAGAAATCTATTCATATGACGAGAAGATCGACATTCCAGTCTAAGGCTAAGACGAAATCAGTATATGCATGCCATGATGTGGTCCAGTATAGGGGTCAATTGGAGACCTCGGGAGTGAGTTCCAAGCGAGATGGTATTGGATATTGGATCAGTTCAAAAAGGAAAAAAAATGTAAGCCACTAAAGGGTTGCAGAGACAACAAAGGTCCACCACTGGAAGATTTAGTATTGGACAGCCAACCAAGAAGAGAAGATTAACCCCGTAGAAGATGACGATCGGACCTGTTTCAAGAAGGTCAACGGAGCTAGTGCTTTTGGCTGTGGGGCGTTACGAGGGAAAGCAAAGTCCAAGCGGGCATCATTTCAATATTCACTGAATCAACCGAGGTGTCATTCTCTTGGCATTTGATGGTTATAGATATACCAAATCTCAACATGAAAATGTTCATTCTAGAATACACAAATGCTTCCTTGTCATGAATGTCACGATTGAGTTTGTTCCCGGTCAGATTCATCAAGTGGATCTGACCCACCACAGAGATTGGATCTGGATCCTGATCTCAGCTGCAAAATAGGAACACTCCACCAGCAGAGATTTGTTTTGTCAATTTCTTGTTTTGTTATGAGGGATGACTTCTGAGGAACAGGTTCTTGAGAAGATCGAGCTTAGTGGATCATGGATCGGTGTGGGAGATCCGGTTATGGGGGCTTGCACTGGCCCAAAGTCCATATTATGTATAGGTAGTTTGGGTTAATACTCAAAGGTCAGCTGTGATAAAGTTGGGGAATGGGCCAAATCTATAATATTTGCTGTGCACAATAATGCCCAAAGAAGCAACCTTGGAAATCTAGTCTCGAGGCTGCGCTATGCTAAATCCTCGATGCAAGAATAGTTGCCCTAGTAAACATCCATATCGAATATAGTACAGCCACTTCATCCAATTCACAGCTCATCCTTCAGGTCCCCCGCCGGCGGAGGCATCGGTCGTCCGCTATCAGTAGCCAAATCAACCCCAATCTTCTTGCGCCACTTCTCCCACAAAGAATGGAAGTCCTTCTCCATCCCACTCTCCAGCTGATCAGGTAGAACAACCGTATATTCAACAAAGAGGTTACCAGGATGATCTTCACCCTCGTCACCATGATCATGCAAGTGCCCCTCAGAATAATGCGGCATACCTTCGCCATATATCGTTTCCACAGCCAAAGGCTGCACAACATCCCCACGCTTCCGCCCAAGACGAACAACATGTCCATCAAGATGCGTCAAATTGCGCGACCACTCACCCATCCAGGCCTCCCTCAACGAAAGAGTCTCCTTCCAAAACAGATCCTTGCCCTTCCGGCGGAAAAACGTCCCATCCGTACGCTCCTCATCCCCAGACCCAAGCTCGGCATCCTTCTCCTCCAAAATAACAATCAGGTCGCCAGCAACCCAGTCAGGGCTCTCATCAGCCTCATTCTCAAAGACCAGCCGTGTTCCCCGGCCCATCCCAGGCTCAATACTAGCCGACGTCTCGACCTCTTTCCGCACAACACGGTTACCCTGACAGATCGGACACGGGTTCTTAATCTTCTTGCCTTGTCCTCCACACTTATCACACGGCATCTGCACCTGCTGGTACATACCCGGCGCAAGCATGTGCTTCTTAATCACGCGTCCATGTCCACCACACTGGTCACAGGTCATGACCTCGCGATCCTTGGATCCGGTTCCCTCGCAATCATCACAGATCTGCTGCTTCTCCACGAGGAAGTTGATCTCGCGTCCGTTGTAGAAATCACGTAGCGGGAGCGCGGCCTTGACTTCCATGTCCGGGCCGCGGCGGTGCCCAGATCCCTGTCCGAAGTGCCCACTTCCGCCGAAGAAGCGGGAGAACAGGTCGAAGGGATCATTGCCGCGGCCACCTGCTTGTCCACCTTGACGCTGTTGCTCGACACCGTCGTGGCCGTATTGGTCGTAGACTTTTCTTAATGTGGAGGTGGAAAGGACATCGTAGGCATCTGCAATTTCGACAAACTTTTCACGTGCGGTTTCATCATTACTAGAGCGCAGCAGAGAGCATGTATTAGCACAAGTTATTCCGATTGTGTGGAAACCGACTCGAATAGATCAATATCCACGAGAGGTCCCACTCCTATGAAAATAAGTAAGGAAGATGCGCCCAACTCACGGGTTCTTATCAGGGTGGTATTTCTTGCTCAAATTCCGATACGCGCGCTTAATATCTTTTTCTGAGGCGGACTTATCCAGCCCAAGCACCTTGTAGTAATCCTCCGCGGCCAGAACAACCACGGAGAACAACACCACAGCCAATGTGATGAGGAAACGAGTGAGATGCATTTTGATTATAGAAACAAACGTATGTTTGTGCAAATAGCTCTAGCGCATAGGGTTTTCTGATTTGCCGGGGTGCTGCGCAATGTGCAATTTGGCACTCGGCGGTTTGCGCAATGCCAGAGAGCTACTATGTAGCTCGAGCGGAGTGCGGGTGAGCTTGGAGCTTGTGATGCTGCGGTCTTGGTGAGGTGGAGGTTTGTTGGTTAGGTGATGGTCATGAGGAATGATCGGGCGTCCCGAGGATGTTTCTGGAAGAAACAGGGGAGTCAATGGGAGTCGATCACGTATAGTACAGTGTATTCTGACCCGCGTCGAACGGGACAAGTAATCCTTATCGCGATGGGGAACAATGTTCGGCCGGGTCACGTGCGTTATACATCGAGGAAGTATACCCATGAAACAAGGGAATTAACTTGTAGTAAAAGATATGAGATGGGCAGTAATAGTAGGTCGTGATCGATTAGATGGTGCTTTCAAAGATAATATGGTATTAAATGTCGAAAAATGTGAAAAGAGACTCGGAGTCTTTCAATCGTTCAACGCATGTACATTCAAGCACTATGTGCAGCGTACATTACAGGGTACAAGTATATATTCAAATGTTGAAAACACTATTCAAAGACATATGTCTGGACATCTGGAAGGAACATTGAAATATATGTACATGTATGCACATGTAATGTTCAAAGGGAATTCAACATTTGAATAGAAAATATGTATGATGCTTATGGCTATGAATTCAATAAGATACTGCATACATATCAATTGATGTATGCGTCAACGTTTGCTGGGAAAAATCAAAAACCCCGACTGCGACTGCCATATGCGCCTTCACATACTCATAAAAAAGGTCCGAGTCAATCGTAAATCATAAACCGGCATCGGCGGGGAAACAGAGACCTTCCAACATGATAGAAATACAAACAGAAATCATTAATGGTGTCCAGCTACATCAAAGATATCATTGCGCCACGTGTAGCCCAGTCCATGAGTCTCATCGCCATTCTCGATTGCCTCCTGGGCCCCGATAGCCTCTTCATGCCACGTCTTGACAATACTACCCGGAGCATAAACACCCTTGAAAACACCACTGTCAGGGGGTTCAAGACCAATGCGAGTCTCAACATCATCATTGGCAGGCACCAAGCGTGCCAGCACGGCCCGCACAAAGGTCGTCAGATCCTGCGGGTTAGCGATGCGAGTAGCACGCAAGCGCTCGCGGGCAAAGACCAGCTCCCGGTTCAAAGTAGAAGCGGCGTTCACGATCTCCTCTGCGATTTTTCTTTCTAACACGCGACGCACCAGGTGCTTGAGGAATGGCTTGGTCAGCCACAGAAGGAATTTCCACTTGCTCTTCTGTACTTTGTAGTCGAGCTTGTGGATACGAACTCGAACGCCGCGGAGGGTAAAGATGTGCTCGAGTCGGTCACGGCCAATCTCGATGTCGAGATCGATATCCACACCGCGACGGTCGAGGTAGAAGCTGGCGATTCCTTCGTCTCTCAAGCGGAAGAAGAGGTGGTGAGTCTTGAACCAGTAGCCAAATTCCTGTGCACTGATATTCAGGCCGTTGAGGGACACATGGAACATGGTTCTGATGGATGTGTCCGTTCGCTTTGAATGCTTTTTGACGATTACAATATCATTCTGTGTCCTTAAATGCATGCGATAGGGCAGGAATGAAGAAAAGTTGACCGTGTGGCCAGGTTCCAGAATGAGGTTTTCCAACAACAGGTCCATCTCTGGAGCTGAAACCTCCAGACGAGGAATTGGCACATATTGAATCATCCGTAGAATGACAGGTAAGGCGACATTTGCCAGATCCGCGGGGAAGCGATCTTTGTTGCTATTGTACGCCTTCCAGACATCTTCATAGATCTTCTTGGTCGCATTGAAAAGCTTGTAAACAGCTGGATCGTCAGGCAATGTACGCAACGTTTGCTTGGTCTGGACAAGAAATTTGTCTATATCTTGACGGAGACTAGTTTCCGACCCGACCTTCTCCGACTGCTGCTGCAGCTCTTCCAGCTTTTGTGGGGCTGAATCAAAAAACTCTGGGTCGGTCAGCATATTCTGTAACGAGTTCCCTACTTCTCCCATCAGTCGTTCAAAATCGGGATCCTTATTCGCGTGACGTAGGACATCATGGAACTTTTGCTGGAGTTTATCCCACTCTTCCGCTTGGCCGAACGATCGCAACAATTCCCAAAATTGCTCGACCGCCTGTTTCAAGTCGTTATTAGGTTCAATATCTTCATTTGCAGCCGAGGCAGTGTCTTCAGCCACACTAGAATAGATCACGGCGTAGCGCTGTACCAGCTGGACAATGGTAGAAACCGAGTCCGAATAGTCAGTCCGCTCACGGAGTCTCAAGACAACTTTCTTGATCCGATACAGCAATGTCTCTTTCTCTTGGCCAGCAAAGTGCTCACGGGCGCTTTGCACCGCTGCGTGGCCAGTTGCTGCAATGCCCTTTCCAGCTACTTTGGCTGCGTCGGCCAACTCTTCCTGTACTTCCTCCCGTGAGATTTGGTGCTCCTCATCGGCACCAGGTCCTGACAGCGCCTGCTGTTCTTCCTCGGAAGGCTGAATCTGTTCAGCAACCTTTTTGGAAGTCTCGGAGAGGGAGGAGGCAGTGTCAGCAAAGATCTGGCGACCAATCGTGGCGACGTCATCGATAAAAAGTCGGAAGTCAGCGTTGGTTAGAAGCAAGCTCCCGATGGTACGAAAACTATCGTACGCTAGAGCATGCAAGTTCCCCACGTTAGCAGATCATTCGTGTGACCCCCCATGCCAAACCCCGTTTAGCTCAGCTGTCAAACAAAGCCCATCGGGGAAGTCAGGAAGAGGGGAGGGAGGGGCGATGGAACGACCCACCAGCTTTAGTATCAGCGCGCGCTTTCACGTGGGCCGCGGTGTGAGAGACACGGGAACCATCCAACATCACCCGAGATCGGGAGAGGTGCCAGAGAAAGTCCTGTAGTTTATCGTGACTATTTTTGGTGTGGAGAAAGTCAATGCATGCCTCGGTCCAGAGACGTGCATCGCGCACTAGTTGGCGACCGTGACTGCCGATCTCCTGATTTCGAAGGTTGAGTAGGTCGGAGGCGAGCAGGGTGCGTAAGTTGGCAATGGCTTGTTCAGTGGATGGCATGTACCCCTCGGATAGGGCGCGTACCATCTGATAGGAATGCAATTTCTGGTGGAGCTGACGCTGACGGGTAGTGTCATCCTCATAGCGAGGGAGGAGGGGTTCTGTCTCGCTGGGCATGATTGATGAGCCCTTTGCGGGCCAGGGGCATACGGGTATGAATGATTAGTCGAGAAGCGTGATGATAAATGTGGTGTAAGGAGTTGAAGCTTCAAATGTTTGAATTGCACGATGATCTACAATGTAGGATTCTCCAAGATGTCAAGGGGGGAAAAGAAAGAGCGCAACCTGTTTTAGTTCGGTATGATGACGACACAGGTACTTTACTCTGTGTCACTTGTTTTTTTGCTCTACGAGAACGCCAGGATCCTGAAATTGGCATTTATTGAGGCATTTATATTAAAATTGAAAAATAGAAGTATTCATGACATTTGGAATATTTGAAGGGGTCTTCCAGGGTACATGAAATGCTATCATTCGTAGAACAATGAAGGGTCGGGGGCGATCGGGGCAAATCTGGGGAAAGCTATCCCTAAGCTATTTTTGATTTTTTGCATGTGGGAAGATCCATTCAAATGTGGTAGGTCCAGACTCCATGTCCCATCTAAGTTAGCTACGTTGGGTGATTAGACTTCAAGTCTATAGATTGATCTATATTGATCTATATTGACGGTTCAATTTTTCAAAAACAATGAATGAACTATTTTGAACCCTGATAGTCTTGATTACACAGGTCTAAAAATGAACATCTGGTACAGGAGTACATGTGCGACCACACTGAGTCAAAATGTCCATACTGAAGGCTTAATTAGGTCAACTGGTATACGGCTCGGAAAGTGGAGGAGTTCAAATGTTATCAAGGCAATGTTTCAGTAGGACAAGATTGAGAAGGTAAATTCGGCCGAGAGTGGGCGTTAAGCATTGTACTCTGTAGAATGAAGTCCGAGTACTCCATACACCAAAAAAATATTCGTAAATATTCGTGAATATTCGTGAATATTCAATATTTTTTTTTAAAAAAATTCTTTAATGGTGGATCTTCAGGGCTGCAGTGCTCCGGGTGACTAATGCATCTATTGGGGAAAAACGCTCCATGACGGATTCCACGCGTATTTCTCAGCAGGCTAAGCCTTTATCCTACATAAAAAAAAACCGTTGGGACAGGCATCTCGGCGAGACAGTTGCCAATGCATGGGAAAGTCGGCAAGGGAACCAATCACCGATCCGATAAAGTGTTTTCATAACTCCGAATAATTAAGTGGGTTTGTGTTTCCGAAAAAAAATCACGCAAGATCTGGATGAGGGGGGGCATGTAGATATAATCAAAAAAAAGTCCCTGGGTCGGCGGAGAAGACCATTCAGAGGGATAAGAAATTGTTTTGGAAATCCAACCAAGATGAAACCGTTCACCGGTCAACCCTTTTTTCGAATGTTTCCCTCTCCGTGGTTTCCGATGACGTTCCCTATCAGAAGTATAATGGAGTTCTCCAGGGCTGGAGAGTAGATTTGCACTTGGATTACACGGCAGTCTCCGCCTTCCGCTTTCCGATGCTCCCCATTTTACCCCCCACGACGCTCCCATCTCCGATGTCTGTGTACACGGAGTACGGAGTTATGCTAGCGATTTGGTCTATAGAGGGTCAAACTCCGTTGGGGTTATCACGGTAAGTGGGCAATCTGTCCGTTTTTCTAGAACAATTCCAAAAGTACCTATTTAGGCAATTTCATAGTGGGAATTTTTAGGGTGGCATATTTAAATTGTCAGACTAAGGGATTGCTGGCACCGAGAAAGATCCACTTCGGCACTATCTGCGGCTCTGGAAGCTCGCTGATGTGGATGCGGAAGGCTGGGCGGGATCCATCACTGGTCCCTCCCCGGCCTCGTTCTCCAATCATATCTCCTCCCTTTTTCTTGTCCACGCGAGTTCATTCGGAATTCAGTTTGAGGGCTACCGTGTACATTTTCAACTTTCCCTTCCTTCCTGGAATGTTATGCATATGTGATACTGTAAATCCCGCAAAGTCTAGGCAATCGCAGGACGCACCCTACCGTGTAGCATGTATTCTTGTGGGATTATTGAATCCCAATCCCCAAAGTCAACGTTTTCAACAAACAGGAAGATATAGTTGTAGATCAGTTCGTTGGATCAAACCAATCCAAGGCGGTGTGGTCATCATTCATGGAATCCCTCAAAAACCAACGTTTTAAACCAATCACATCCCTAGTTGCCACTTCAACCATGTTTCGTTTCAACAAAAAAAAAATCGAAAACTCCGCAATTACTCCAATTGCTCCCAAAAAACTCGATAATTCAACTCCTTGCTGGATCTGCTTCCCGAAAAAGAAAAGAAGCTTTGTGAGGGATCCAGACTCCACCGGGCAGTTTCAAGCACAACGGTTCGCTGCCATCACCGAAATATCCACATCTGAATCTCCTGGGACCCCCCCATCCCTTTGTAACATCCCCGACTCTTCCCGACCCCCAAATCATGTCTCTGCTTTTACTGAAGCGCCTTGTCCTCGACACGCGGTCAAGGCCCCGGCCAATTCCCTCTCTACCTCTACCGGAATGTCCTGGATGATGTGCGCCCAAATGACCCAGGGGAAGGCTAGCCTGTTCGCCCGTGTACATAAAATCACACGGAGCTCGCCCCATCTTCAATTCTCTTCTTTCTATCATTCTACTCCTACCTCGACGACTAAGCTACTTCGCTCTTCGTCTGACACAATGGCTCGTTTCTCTCCTCAACAAAGCCGTCCGGTCCATGCCACCCCATTCATGAACCATTCGACTGCTCCTTCGTACGTACTAGCTACTCCGTTTTCTCTCTCTCTTTTTTTTATTCCAGAGAGAGATCAAGATACATACAAAAGAAAAGAAAGAAGCCCTTGGACTTGGTTCAACTTTGTTCAACCATGTAGCATTGGTGTATTCCATCAGAGACAAAAAGAGATTTCATTCCTTCCAATATTGCATATCCAACTAACCATCTATGTCTTTTTTTGCTTCATATAGAGATGCCAACTATGACACTGCCAACCCTACCTACATTCGCAAGTACCTGCGCACATATGGACTCACACCCCCTCGCTCCGAGAGCTACGAAACCCAGAAGACTCGCTGCCTCGCCCAGTTGGGATTGAAGAACACCCCCATCGATAAGTTCCTTTACCTGCAAAATCTGCGCAAGAACAATGTCCACCTGTTCTACCGCATGGTCACCGACCACCTCCGGGAGCTCACTCCCCTCATCTACACTCCCGTCGTTGGCGAGGCCTGCCAAAGGTGGTCCGAGATCTACCAGGGTCCCGAAGGTAAGAATTCCTCCAATTCTCTACAAAAAAAAAAACCTCCATGAGTCATGACGAAATGTCACGAAATTGAACCGGGGAAAACTAACTTGGCAAAATTTAGGTATGTACCTGAGTTGGGAGGATCGCGGTAATCTCGCTGCTGTGATCGCCAATTGGCCCCAGCCGAATGTGGAGATCACATGTATTACCGATGGTTCTCGTATTCTCGGACTTGGTGATTTGGGCATTAACGGTATGGGTATCCCCATTGGCAAGTTGGCTCTGTACACTGCCTGTGCGGGTATCCGCCCCGAGGCCACCCTGCCCTTGACCCTCGATCTGGGTACCGGTAACAAGTCTCTCCGCGAAGACCCGCTCTACATGGGTAGCCGTCGTGAGAAGATCACTGCTGAGGAGGAGCGCGAGTTCCTGGATGAGTTGATGACTGCTCTGACCGAGCGCTGGCCTGGGTGAGTTTCCGCTTTCGCGTCATTCCGGCGGATCTCCCGAGTCTTACCTTCTGACTCCCCGGTATCCCCCGCGGAGAAAGTTGGAGAACGAAAGAAAGTTGAGCTAACGAAGTTTAAATCTTATTAGTATTGTTATCCAATTCGAGGACTTCAAGAACCCCTTCCCCGCACTCGAGCGTTACCGCGATACCTACACCTGCTTCAATGACGACATTCAGGGTACCGGTGCGGTCATTCTCGGAGGTGTTATCAACGCCGTCAAGCGCTCCGGTCTTCCTTGCAAGGAGCACCGCGCCGTTTTCTTCGGTGCCGGCTCCGCCGGTGTCGGTGTCGCCAAGCAGATTGTCGACTTCTTTGTCCGTGAGGGCATGACCGAGGATGAGGCCCGCGCCTGCTTCTCCCTCGTTGACACCAAGGGTCTCGTCACTGCCGACCGTGGTGACAAGCTCGCCGACCACAAGGTCTACTTCGCCCGCGAGGACAACAACGGACAGCAGTTTAAGACTCTCGAGGAGGTCGTCGACCACGTTAAGCCCACCATCCTGATGGGTCTCTCCACCATGGGCGGTGTCTTCACCCCCGAGCTCCTCCGCAAGATGGCCGATTGGAACACCACCCCCATCATCTTCCCCCTGTCCAACCCCTCCTCCAAGTCCGAGTGTGACTTCGAGACCGCCGTCGCCAACACCGACGGTCGCTGCCTCTTCGCTTCCGGCTCCCCCTTCCCCACCTCCACCTTCACCAATGCCGCCGGCGAGACCCGCACCTACTACCCCGGCCAGGGTAATAACATGTACGTCTTCCCCGGTATCGGTCTCGGCAGCATTCTGTCCAAGGCCGTCCGTGTCACCGACGGTATGATCTACGCCTCCGGTGAGGCCCTCTCCAAGGCCCTTACCGCCGAGGAGCTCGAGCGTGGTCTCCTCTACCCCGACATCACCCGCATTCGCGAGGTCAGCGTTGTTGTTACCCGCAACGTCATCCGTGCCGCCGAGGCCGATGATGTTGACCGTGAGACCGGTCTCCGCAAGATGTCCGATGCCGACCTTGACCTTTGGATCAAGTCCCGCATGTACGACCCCCACACTGAGGTCCGCTCCCTCGAGCGTGAGGTCGGCCACTTGCTTTCCAGCCTGGGCTCCCTTTCGCCTTTGCTGAACGGTTCCCCCACTGAGGAGAAGCCTGCCAAGCTGTAAGATCTTTCTCACTACCTTCATCTTACCACGACCACTTCTTCCCGATGACTATGTGTCATGACGCCCATGTTCGAATCAGTTTCCCCATCATGCAACTCCACCAAAAAGTTACGAAATAAGCAACTTTGTTCTAATCGTCAGACTTGCTTAGGACCACTGCATGGTGAGCTTTGAACATGGTTCATTTTCATCGTCTTGTTTCTTTGACATCATTTTCTGGTTTCGAGCGCGCTTCTTCTTTCATTTCCTTTCCAGCTATTTTATCTTTTTTTCGTTTTTTTTTTTTCAGGGATGGATACACGGACACTTGGTTTTCTTCTCATTTGGAATACCCTTTTTACTTAGTTTTTGGCTCTCACATGAGTGTCCTATGCATTGGGTTTAGGATCAAAATCATCTTGAATGATCAAAATTGAACATACATTTATCTCAAAACAACTCTTACAATTTTTCAGTATACAGTACCTAATAAGGGGTTGCGCTTGGACCCTCACCGGTTCATACAAGATCAGCACACCTCGGCATGAATCATGTACAGGGTTTAGAGCACCCTCGTGGCCCGTATACCTAGTACCTCCCCGCTTTGGATATGATAGACATGGCAACTAATTCCGAAAGAGGCAAGCAGCTGGAAATTCGGTGATTTAATAAATGACAAAAGCCAGTTTGTTCCTAGTCTTGACAATGCAAATTATGAAACATACACAATTATGAACATCCATCTACTACCAACCTCGGAAGAAAGCAGTCATTATCAATCCACATACAAGGGTCCACTTTGAAGAAATCTGGGACTGACTTCTAAGAACCTTAGTCGGAATCCGGCCCAATTATCTGCGTCTACAGATCCACTGTCAAGAGACGGAGCATCAATCTCTCCGCGTGGCCATTACTAAGAAGGACCGAGGTTCAGTCTCCGCCGTTCGATCCACGGATGCGTTTAGGAAATCTTTCAACATTACTTTTCTTTACTGAATTTTTTTTCTTTTTTTAAATATTGATATATAATCACACGTACATTCTTTTTTTCTACTGATTTTGTTTTTCTCGCTGAAAGCAACATCCTTCATTGGTAAATATTGAAGGATTATCTTGAATTCCTGAAGGGCTGCTAACCCCTTTCCCCTTTAGCTTCTGCAGCTATACAAGTGCTACATACACTTGCATTGGCCAATCAAAAGGTCGCGGAACATAAACGTCTACACATTTTCATACATTACAAAAGATCCCTGCAGATACGTATAAATACGGATATTTGAATATACAAGATGCCTTCCCTATTGGCAGACCCCGTTAAGCTCCCCTGTGGGCTTGTTCTACCAAATCGCCTTTCCAAGGTACATCCATCGCATCCAGACACTTGGCTTGGAGTTACTACATAAAGAAACCCAATCTGACACAGCGTGTACCCACAGGCTGCAATGGCCGAAATGATTGCCAAAAAGAACGAGCCAAACCAAACCCTCTCCGACGCCTACGACCAATGGTCCCAAGGTGGATGGGGCAGCATCCTCACGGGTAAATACTAAACACCAACAAGCCGAAGCCTCAATTAAACGCGAGAATCCTTTTGAACTGACCACTTGAAAAGGAAATGTCCAAGTCGACGTCAACCACCTAGGAAGCCCCTTTGACCCCGCTCTCCATGCCGAATACAAAGGCGAGTCGAGCCTAATCGACAAATGGAAACCATACGCCGACGCATGCCAAAAGCACGGCACCCCGGCCATCGTCCAGATCTGCCACCCTGGCCGCCAGTCCTTCCGCGTCGCAGGTTACCGCGGTATCTGGGCGAGTACCATTGCGCCTAGCGCTGTGCCGATTGATCTAGGCAGTGGCCTATTAGAAAGGATTATTGCGGCTGTGGCGTGGACGGCGCCGAGGGAGATGACCCGTGCCGAGGTGGAGAGGGTTATCGGGCAATTTGTTGATACTGCGAGACTTATGGCCGATGCAGGGTTTTCGGGGGTTGAGCTACATGGTGCGCATGGGTATTTGGTTGGTACGTTTGTTTGTTTGTTTTAACTTTTCTTCTTTTCCTTTTGTTGCCAAACGTCCTATATCAAGATTTGGAAGCTAACCAATATTCCTTTATAGATCAGTTCCTGAGCGGAAAGGTAATACATACACAACACTACCTCAAAGCCAACTCGCCCAATACATAAGAAAAAGATACTAACACGCCAAACACAGACAAACCTCCGCACAGACGAATACGGCGGCACCCCCGAAAAACGCGCGCGCTTCATCCTCGAAATCATCTCCCAAACCCGCAAAGTAGTCCCAAGCACCTTCTGCATCGGCATAAAACTAAACTCCGCCGACCACAGCTCCGCAACCTTCGAAGAAACAATGACTCAGATCAACCTGCTCGTCGAAGCCGGCATCGACTTCATGGAGATCAGCGGCGGCACGTACGAGAATCCCAAGATGATGGCTCATTCTAGCGAGTCAAACTCAACACCAGCACCAGCCGAATCTGGCTCTCCCCGCACGGCTGCACGGGAGGCATTCTTCCTTGAATTCGCCAAGGAAGTGCGCATGCGGCACCCTGGTTTGGTGTTGATGCTGACTGGCGGGTTCCGGAGTCGGGCGGGTGCCGAGGCGGCGATTCGGGATGGGGCGTGTGATCTTGTGGGTATCGGGCGGCCTGCTGCTATTGACCCTAAGTTTCCTTTGTTGTTGCTTGATGAGAGTGTTGAGGACGAGATGGCTAGGTTGCCTTTGAATAAGGTGCCGACGCCATTCTATGCGCGGTGGTTACCGAGGAATTTGATTGGGGCTGGAGCTGAGAGTGTAAGTAATCCCCCCTTTTTTTTCGACGCTTGTCTTTCTCTTTCCTGTCCTGGGCTATTGGCTAACTGCTCTGCTAGGTCTATTACTCTAAACAGATCCAGCGGTTGGCGAGCGGGTTGGCTACTTTTGCACCGGCCATGTAAACGAAGTTCCAAAGTTTTTTGGTGCTCAATTTGTAACATTGAATAATGAAGCTATAGATTGTCATTTTTGTTAGTCTCATTTGGTATTATAATTATGTCCTCAATTTGTTTCTAATAATCCTTCAAAGAGTTGTATGTCCATATCCTTCATTTCCTCTCGTTCAAGTTGAAGGCATTCCAATTGTCGATGGAGCTCTTCATTCCCCTTCATTAAAGACTCCAAATATCTCGCCGCTTCATCAAGGATGTACTTCCTGGTAAAATTACTATTTTCCAGCCCAGGCACATTCCGACAAAGATCCCGATATCCCTCTCCAACCGCATCCCTCCTCTTCTTTTCCGAGCGGCAGTGACAAAGAGTCTGCCCGGGGGTCTGTGCACATTTTCGTTTTTTATTCCGCGGCGCCGCGCTATTCTTATCATTGGAAGAGAATTTCTGGGCAGACGCAGGTGATGCAGCCGCCAAAGGTGAGAGAGACATGGAGCTGGGCATGATTGAATGTCCGTTTCTATTCCCAAGACGCAGCAGAGGTGCATTCTCATTTTCGATAATGATGGGGTCCCAGTTCTGCATTCCGGGCTTTCCGGAGTACTCGAATTCCAAGGCCTTCATGTCTAGATTGCTGGCTATGTCGATGCCGCTGTACATACAGGCCATGTCGCGCATTAAATTCTGAACTAGCTGATCTTCTGTCCACGTGCCGGTGGGGCACGAGAAGCCATGGAAGCAGAAGCTAGGATCGGATCCCCATTGTAGTCCGTCTTCGATAGACCAGCGCTTTTTTGTATAGTGACGAGCTATGCTGGTCTGTCCGGGGCAGCATCCGTTGGCGGGATCGTGGGGTTGAGTGGTTGGGAGGGTCGTCATTTTCTTGTGTTGCCGTGGTGTATGTGAAGGTGGAGTAAAGATTTTCGTCTGCAGAGTAGGGTTTTTGTACCCATATGGAAATAGGAGATGGGAAATGGGAGATGTTAGTAGGAAAGAAGCTCTTTCTTTGTGATTATTGCTTCGGCCACAATGTGCGTCCCGATCCCGAGGATCGACAATCAATTTAGATTTGACATAATAAAAAAGAATGTTGGGACCTAGAATGTAGTAAATTACTGTCTTAGCTTTGTTGATCAATGGTTTGCACGGCTTGCGAGGTTGAGCCCCTGATGGTCTGATACGTCAACACCGGGATGCACCCGGATACTAGACGGGAAACTCGGGTGCATCCCGGAAATTCTCCGTCATGCAATGCAAGGTGGGTGCAATAACGCAACATGCTATGATCTTATGGATTCAAGGGAAAACCCATAACCACCTATAATTGATCAAAGCAGGAGACTTTGATTTTATAAGTGTATCAATGTTCTCTCCATACTAGTAGCTGTCCCTGAATCACAAGTATAATCTTCACGTGATGGGCCCCCGGGTCAGTTCCGGGAAAGAGCGCGCGACTTGTTTCCTCCTCCCCACATTTTCTTGGGTGACATCAATAGCCACGTTTGATACATACACGGGAAAATCAATATCCCGAAACACACCTCGTGGGCAGTAATACAAAGTCCAGCATGTGATTTACCCCGGAAATTGCCAGATTACGAGCAAGATCTTATCCATACAGGCCAGATCTGGAGAATGCGGGGCCCCGAGATTGGATGATCTGTCCCGGAAATTCAAGGCCATGTCTTCAAAGGAGTCTTCGAAAGACCGCAACAGGGTAAACAAGCGAGGAGCCCCGCGTCGTCGCAAGATTGCACTAGCCTGCGAGACATGTCGAGAAAAGAAGGTGCGGTGCGACGGAGCGAAGCCGATCTGTGGACCTTGCTCCCAGCGCTCCTACTCGATTGATCGATGCGTCTACAAAATCGAAAATGCCCGCTCGGCCAGTAACGATGCATACTTGAAAGTGCTCCACGACAGAATTCGAGAACTAGAACAAGTATGCGCGCAGAATGGTGTTGCGACCCCGGCTCCGGCTGCGTCGCAACTTATCGAAGGAGAGACTGAACCCACTAGCGATATCAACGAATCGCGGCCTAAGAATAGCGACTTAGATCCCGAGTCTCGCGCTTCTGTTGCGGCGGAGGGGTTGCTTGGGCTGGGATCTCATGTATCCGTTTCACGGCCTTTTTTGACACCTGCTCCACAAGGGACAACTCCTTGTCTGCAAACATATCAATCGCCTGTACGTTCGTCTCAACCGGGAGCCAGAGACCCTGGCTCATCGCTGGAGAACTCACGTCATCGTGGATCTGTTCAATTTTTGCCTGCGCATATGTATTCTTCACCGTCAAATTCAAATCCAAATACAAATTCCCGTGGTAGTGTGACAGCAATGGGTTCAATATCCGTTGCAGATGACGGGGAATGCGCCGATTCACCACGGGAACAGTACTATGGAAAATCTTCTGCAGCTTCGTTTATGCGCCTTGCAAGAGACTCAGTGCCCATTCGATCCTATCTCCAGGCACTGAAGAAGGTAGATTATGAGACTCCAAATACCCTGAACCGTGATACGGGCCTTTGGCAAGATATCAACACCACAGCAACTCCATCGGGATTCCATATCGACGACTTCTCACTTCCTCCGCGACCATTGGCTGACCACCTTCTTGAATGCTATTGGGAAAGAATATACTGTCTTTATCCATTTTTTCATCGGCCAAGCTTTGAACGAGCGTACGAAAACCTCTGGGGCTCAGTTAAATGGCCGAAGCCCAATTTACCCGACCTGAACATCGGCTTGGGGGGCTCATTTGATTCTGGGCCGCAGTCGATTATTTTCCATACTGCATTGAATGCCATCTTTGCACTGAGCTGTCACTTTTCGGATATTCCTGCTGGGGAACGCGAGGCTGCAGCATACTCATTTTTCCTTCGGGCCAAACGCTTTATTGGTCTAGACTTTTTGGATACCGACACGATTGGCGTGGTACAGACTTTTCTTATTGTTGCATTGCTTCTTCAGAGTACGCCATACACAAACAGATGCTGGAATGCAATCGGGCTCGCATGTAGAGTTGCCCAGGGCCTCGGATTGCACGAGACGACAACACCAAAATCAATCACACCTTTGGAGAAGGAGATTCGACGTCGGACTTGGCATGGCTGTGTCATGATGGATATGTCAGTATTCCTTGGTTTTTTTTTTCTTCTCTTCTTGAATTTATTTGGCCGACTATAACAATCCACTGACAACGCAGATAGGATCTTGAGTATGACCTACGGTAGACCAAGTATGACATCCCACATATCGCCCGTACATCCCGTCCCTCTTCCCGCAATGCGACCCCAATCTCAAGCCGAAGATCCATGCGCACTCAGTGGACAGCCCTGTGATCATAAGCTAGGACATATCACTTTCTACGCCTCCACCATTGAGCTTTACAAAATCCTTGAATCCATTCTAGCAGATGTTTATAATGCATGGCAGGGTCAATCTGATCACCACCGCACCATTTCTATTCAGGGAACACGCCAAAATAGCCTTGATGTCATAATGGAATTAGATGATAGGTTATCTGCCTACGAAACCAACATCTCTCCGGTACTTAACTGGACCACCCCACAGCAGTATTTCAGCCCCGAAAACCACCCACAGCCAGTACTTCAGCGCCAGCAAAATGTGTTGCGGGCAAGGTCAGACCGGATCCTTCCCATAGCCAAGTATTTTGCTAATATAAGTTTAGATTCATTCATCTCCGATTACTATTGTATCGCCCCATGTTTACACAGCTTTGTTCTGAGGAACGCATGGATCTTACAAGGCAGAACGGCAGCGACAGAAGCGCGAGTGCGGCCCGTCTCGGAAAGAATGACATTTACACCTCTATGTCCGTGAACTGCGCCACATCATGCGTGAACGCGGCCATTGAATTGGTATCACTCGTATACGAGACATATAGGACATCTCTAACGGATGCCTGGTGGTACAACGGCTTTTGTATGTGAACATCACTAAACAAAAGGAGATTAACTGCGCAAGCTAATTTATAACTGTGATAGATACATCTACAGCAGGATTTGTACTGATAATGTCATATTCCTGCTCCTCGATCTTGAAAAAAATTGATGCGCATCTTATCGCTGAAACATGGCGCAAATGCGAGAAGATTCTTACTCACATGGCATCCTTCAGTCTCTCGGCACGCAACTCGTTACAATTTCTCCAGGTCACGCACCACCACATTGTACAAAACTACACCAGTATGTCTGCTCCAAGCTTCGACCTCAGAAATGGCTACTCACTCGCCTTCAATCCAGCGGTATCTCATAATGAAGGAAATGGATCTCTAGGCCCTGATCATGCTCAATCTCAGCAGCGAATGAATACACAGTCGGAGATTTCTCCCCGCACTAATGAAGTTTTACCGGAGGAACTTGGTCTACGTGATATGGATCATACTAGTGGCCTGGGCATCAACCCTTTGACGAGTTGGGATGAGATTGGATTGGGACAGGAGGAGTTTGGCTTTCTTGGAAGATTTGATGTGCCGGATATTGCTAGCTGGTTTCCTGATCTACCCGATCCATCTTTGCCGACCTAGATTTTTTCAGACATCAATCTCCAACACCATTTGGGTCCAACGTTCCAAGTACGTTGCATTGAACATTCATCCGAAAAGATCCGGTTTTAAACTGCAGTTTCTGCACGAACCAACCGCCATTTCCGCGCAGGAATAAGCCGTTTCCGTGCGACAGATGGCATGGTTGGTATTTTGTATTTTGATAGTCGTTTTGAGAGTTCGAGTGGTCTTAAAATCCGTCGAAGAGTCGAGCGAGACGGATTTCCAGCCACATGCGCAGAAAGTTGTCTATACGTCCATGAAGGGTTCATACGAGCCTTTAGACGTATCAGATTGTGAGAACGAGGTTTAAAAACCTTAGGTCTGCCAGAGCGTGGTTTAGAAACGATTCGTTGCTCATTTTCAAAGCGTTTTAGTGTGTTATAGATTGTTTTCCGATTGCATCTAAAATCCTTGGATAATTGGGTGTTAGATATACCATTCTGATGGCCATGGATAATAGCAGCACGTTGATCAGGGGATAACTCAGCCTTTGGCCTTCTTTTTCCAGCAAAATCGACCTCCATTGAAATCAATAATAGGGGTGGCGTGAGAAGAAAAACCAAACTCTGTGAGGGTGCACAGGTTGTTGGGGTGATGGGGGCCCGCCAAGAAGTGGGGAAATACTTTTGACTATAGTAGTAGGGTACCAGTTGACTATATAGCTAAATTATTTCAAGGTTGCTTGGAAGAATGTTATTTACTAGTACCTAGTGTTACTATCTCCGTATTTTTAATAACATGACTATGTACATCCATCCGAAGTATTTCATTATAATCCATCAAAAAGAGCCATATCAGCATGACTCCAAAAAGTTCCGGACAAGTTCTCCAGCGTCTCAAAATCCGGCATCCACATCGGATCACTCTCATCCTGATCAATCCAAGGGGCAAGCTGCAACGCCATTCTTACAGCATGCCCAGTGTCGTCGGTCGGATAGGTGAAACCCGAAACCCCAATTTCCGGCGCCAAGCCTGCTGGGTTCGCCATGGGGAACTTCTCTCCACTCGGCATGCCAGACGTAGGGTTATTATTATCAACGCAAGCGCTACCATTCTGTGCACAGTGGGCTGTCATCAGCTCCACAATGCCGGTATTCCGGGCGGTTTCATCGCCCTGTAATTTTTCCATGGCGGCATTGACGAGGAGCTCAAAGGCGTCTCTGTATTTCTTGACCCAGGCTGCGCGCTCACCCATTACAAATAGCACGGTTGAGCAGGCGCGGATATCGTTGCTCATGGCGACAGACCAGACTTTCTCAGTGTGGGTCCATAGCGCGTAGAGGAGTGTGATGCCTGCCATGAAGATGGTCTGAACGGCTAGGAAAGAGTGGCCGTATTCCAGAGTTTGGTGGAGGCGTTTTTGGGACTGGCAGATTTCTCCTGAGGCGCGGAGGCAAATGTGGTAGTATGGGTCTGTTATTGGGAGGAGAGGAAGGAATGGCTGTATTAATAGTCGTACGGCTCTGTGGTAATGGAGCATGGGGTAGTCGAGATCTGGGCCACGGAAACGGAGCAAGGCAGACTCTTTCCACTGCTCGAGCTCAAGGTATAAGGGGTCCATTTTTGGTCGGAGGGAGGATATTAGGCGGTCGGCGCGGTAGATCTTGTGTAGGATTCTGGAGTCGATGCGTCGGAGTTTGAAGAGGTAGACCGCGAATGTGAGATTTGTTGTTTTGGTGGGATTCAGAGATGGTGGTGCTGTGAGTATTGCGGGATCTTCTACGTCGTCATCGACGTCCCATGGGAGATCGAGATCGATGTGTCGGTCAGATATGCTGAATGGCCGACCAAGAGACATTGCGACAACTCGCTCGAGATAGTATACTGTCCAAAAAAGTCTTCGTCGCATTTGTGCGTTGAATGGGTCCATGTTTCTCTCATTTGCCTTTCGGTGGAGGCCAAGGTCAATGGCTGTGCGCATGGCAAGTCCAATCATGTACCACATTCCATGGCTAGATGTAGTGCGCAGGTGATAGACCACTAGGAGGACCATGGCTTCGATATTTTCGATGGAACGTGCTTCACAAATTGCTGGCATATAATATTGCAGCGCAGTTATATAATATCGCTAAGAGAGGGAAGATGTTAGCACAATTGTGTTTTGAAGGGTAGAAAGATAGCTTTGAAACTCACTTCAGGTGATGAAAATGTAAGGTATGATTTGTTGCCGTTCATCTGAAGCATTGTGGAACCAATACCATATATCAGATTCAATTTGAATATCGCATATCGATCAGCCTGGGTGAGGTCTTCACGCTTTATTTTCGTAAATCGATCTCTCTCATTATGAAGTTCCCATGTTCGTGTCCGATCCAAAAATGGATATCGAGAATGAAGTCTCAAGAAGTAAGTCTCTAGAATCTTTGTTCCAGTCTCATCATTTGGAAATTCCAGATCTCGGGTCCGTGAGCAACCCCTCCCCTGCTGAGGCTGCGACTGGCTTGTGCTGGGTGCCGCCGTACTCTGGGAAGCATTTCCACATGCTGGATTTGGGCTTTGATGCATTCTCGAAACGAACTGGTTCCAGACACTGGTTTGTACCAGCTCGCCTAGATTAGCGGCCAAAGCGAGGCCCGAGCTTGCTCCCACATATGCGGGTGCTTCGGATGAGCTTAATGCAAGGAGACCCACAATCTCGCCGACGGGATTGTTGTCCATACTAGACGGGGTATTCCGTGGAGTGTTCTGTACACCCGTGGGAGACCATATTGACCTCGCAGCGTTTGCGCCAGAAGGGTCTTGGGCAGTTGTCGGCTCAGTGAGACCCAGTTTGCCTTCAAGGAAAGCTACCCGCTCTTCCAGTGCGCGTGTATAACTGAGGATTACAGTTAGCCAATTTCATGTTTTGATCTGATATGAACCATTTATTTCAGATGCTCTTAGCTCATGTGCTCTCACTCACTCATTTTGACGACCTGCGTCTTCTCGTACACTGGACTTGTCACACGTGACTCCCGCCTTTTGGCAGTTGGAGCAGGTTGGAATTGCATTGTCGCACTGCATGAAGTCCACATGAGTACGTTACTCATATATCAGCATCCAAGGAACGTCAAGCTTACTTTTTGTTTTCTTGTTTTGCAACGGGTGCATGCAGTCCTCCCGCGCTTTCGGGGATTGTAGTCCTGGGATGCTGGACTTGCCAACCTCGATGACTCGGGGCTATGTTGAGGTGCATACATCTTAATTCATTTCAAAGCCTCAAATCAATTACTTTGGAATAGAACCATCGTAAGTGTGGGTTTCGGTGGAGTTGGATGGAGTCACCGAGTCAGCAAATAGATGTCGGAGGAAGAACCGACAAGTACGGGAAGATGCCGATGATGCCAAGAGTCCGACCATCGGCCGCAATTCAACTGAGAGCTTATGCCAAACCCCCGCTTTCTATGACACTAAAACCTTTGCGAAAAAAGCCCCCAAAAATGTGAAATTAGTTATGCGACAGCCTCAATTACATTTGGTTCTAGAAGAGCCTTGGAAGACATCTGGAATCGAGTAGTTCCACCTTCCAAGGTTTCATATCTGGAATGCCTTGAGTCCGTTATACATGTAGGAACCTATCTATTGATCCATGGATCTATGTAACATTTGAACATTTGAACACACATGCAGAAATTTCTTGTGAAAATTGAATGATTACCAAATTATTATAAAAGTGTATGTATCTTGTGCTATCTAGCTATCAAAACCAATAAATTTATCCAATGCGACATGTATACTATGCTTTTGTGGTATCTAACGCTATGCAATTTCAAACCAAGGTTGCCATTGCAATTTAAATCAAATGAAACCTTGGAATGAGGAAACAAGAAGAAATTTTTCCAAGAAGAATGAAAATCCATGGATGAAAAGGCTTTTTTTTTCTTTATTTTTGCTCGGCGCTTTGCTTCTCTTCCAAGTTGGAAAGTTCCGGCTCTGCACGAGATGGCGGCATAGATGAGTCCGCGAGCGTCGACGAAATGGAGTGTCGCTTTTCAACATTATCTTCGGCCTCGTGATTTTCAGACTCATCAACCTCATGAATAGCTGCCTCGGCGTCCCTAGAAGCCAGCTCTGCCTTCCGCTTCTCCTCCTCAATCTCCTCGGGGTCCTTGACTCGCTCAAGACCGCGATCACGGACGAAAGCGCATGCAAGGAAACAGACGCCGATCAAGGGAACCTGGAGAATGAAAACAGAGTGGGAAGCAGCTGAGTACGATGACAAAATTTGAGACCACTCCTCTGCGCTGACACTCGACTCAGAAGGAAGCGAGTAAGAAGATTCTGCAAGGTAGGAGAGCTGGCTAGGCAGATTCGAGCGGAGTGATGCCTGTAACAGAGCTGCCGAAACAGCAAGACCAACGGAACCACCCATACACCGGAAGAAATTGCGGTTGGAGATGGACACTGCGCGTTGGGATTTGGTGCAATGGGCTTGTAAGGCGACTAAAGTTGGTTGGAATGTGAAGCCAATTCCGATGCCCGTGATACCGACAATGACGGCGATGACAGCTGGGTGAGTGTCGCGACCAAAAAGTAGCATCAAACCAGCGCCCCTGATAACTCGGATGGTTAGAAAACTATATTGGACAGAGTGCGTTCACATTGGGATTTCCACTTACAAGGTCCAGGTTCCGAATCCGATCCAGATAATCTCGCCGTATCTCTTCAGTCGAGAGATATACTGTCCCGAGCAAACAGATGAAATGGACTGACAAGTAACCATTGGAGCTGTCAAGGCTGCGGAGACAATGGGATCCCAGCCACGTCCGTTTTGATAATAAAGAGGCAAGTAGTAGAGGTAGGCCTGGTAAACCGCTCCCAGCAAGAAGCTTTGCAGGAAGAGGGCACAGATAACCTTATTCTTGAAGAATACCACTAGAAGATAGTCAGTATAATCAGTTTCGCTGGCATGAGAGTAGTGTTGATCGAGCGAGACATACTTGGCAGCATAGGCAATGAAGCCACTTTCCACTCAATGAAGACGAAAGCAATCATAGATAGTGATCCAATAACGAGCATGCTGATGACCATTGCAGAGTCCCACTGGAAGTAAGAACCACCACCAGAGATAGGAATCAACAAGAAGATAATACCAACTGAAGAGGCGAGCACACCCCACCAATCGATACGCTTAATGTTTTCTCGGAATTTGACTTTCTTCGCATTATTCGGGATGAGAAAAAACCCAACCACAGCAGAACACGCAGCTAATGGAGAAATGAGCCAGAAAAAGCCACGCCACGTAGAATCCATAATGAATGCGGCGGCAATGAACGGTCCAATCACATTTCCAGTGCCAAGAGCAGCACCTAGAATGCCCTGATACTTTCCACGTTGTTCAAGAGTGACAATATCAGAAACGATAATCATAGTCAGAGATGTGACACCACCACCTGCAACACCTGCCACACCTCGGAAGATGTAGAACATGGCCGGGTTCACCGATAGACCGCAGCATAGATCTGCAAGGCAAAGTAGTATCAATGCACCGATATAGATAGACTTGCGGCCAAAGATATCGGATAGTCGGCCATATAATACTGTGAACATGGTATTGGCAATCAAAGAGGAAGTACCAGCCCAAGAAATAGTATCCTCGGCTCCTAGATCGCGTGCAATGGTGGGCAACGTCACACTAATACCATTCTGATCCGACATGGTAATTAGCAACGACGTCGCCAGTCCCGAAAACACAACCATAAGCTGAGCGAAAGGAAGGATGTTGGTCTGGTCGTGCAAAGCCTTCTCGGCTGCACGCTGTCGATTTGTTGACACCATACTTGTTGGTTTGGATACGATGATTCCAAGGTTGTATCCACTTAAATATCGTTAATTGTCGAATTTTTGACGGGATCCATTCGAGAACCCAAGTGGAGTTGCTCCGTTCAAATTGAGATATCAATGAGCTCAAGAATGCTTGGCAAGAAGTGTAGTGTATGGAAATTTTGTGTTCAATCTCAATAATTTCCGATTTGAATCATTCAAATGCCGATGAATGGGGGTGGATAGCGTCTATATAAAGGATGAAGGATTTTTCACCCCATGTTTTAGTGCTATCCATAAACCGGCTTATCGGAAAATGAATTAGCAATGATTGGAGACTTCCGCCGCCGAGCAGGATTGAACGTCGGAAAAATCTCCGACGACGGTTTCTGGTGCCGCATTTTGTCCTGATTTCTCTATCGGTGGACAATTGAAAGCCAGAAATATCGGCTCAGTTCCGCGTCATCTGCGATGTGGTTGGTGCAGATGTGAGTGGCTGTGGATCCGCCACTTCGGATGTCCGAAATCTCGAACCGCCGTCGAGGATTAGTCATCCCGGAGTAAATTTTTGGCGCGTTCAGAGTGAAGATTTGTCTCCTACCACACCGCCTTCCAGTACTACCACACCCATTGCCGGACAGTGTGTAAGGGTGCGCGCGGGGCGGTAGATGATCCAGCGATCCTATTGGCTGAACCAGAAGACTGCAGTGGCTATAAGCCGTTCACGCTGCGTGTCACTACAACCAACCCGACTTACTTCACATCAACACATTCTACATCTACAAGCACTTTCCTTGTTCTCAACAGTAATACCTACAGATACGATCTGCACCTCATTTCGAAAAGGGAAATTTAAATATCGGACCTTGATATGCTTGCATTGAGAAAGATACGACGATGCATCGGGTCTCCGACGATGCCCAATACTGCGTGATATCATAGGGGAAACTGCATCCCCACCAATTCTTCACTCAACCGGTGCAATTTTTCGGCGGCTTCCAAGCTGACAGCGTGAGGTACTGCGGTGGCAAACTGGCAATCGCTGAGATAAACGGCCGATGGATCAGATGCAACTATGACTAGTGAGTAAAATGGCCATGTGAGAATCTCTCGCATGAAACATACCGTTCAATCCCGGGTCCAAAGCAGCTACGAGCATGGTGGCTGCGCCTTGATCGGGCGTCTTCCAGAATTTACTGGTTTTTGACATGGTTTCAGTACCATTCTCATCAAGACTTCGACTCAGACCTGTCCAGATAGCTACAGAAATGTGTTAGTCTCGAGGCAAGAAATCTCTCCCCAATGCCACTTCAAACTTACAGCCAGGGTGGACACTGTATGATACAATGCCCGAAGATGCAAGATTCTGGGTGAGGTAAACTGTGAACAGAATGTTGGCCGCCTTGGACTGCCCATATGCTAACCATCCATTATACCCGGTTGCCGTGGGACTGAACATGGGTGGCAGTCCATCAGGAGGTCTCTCATCTATTGGAACTTCTTTGCCCTCCCAGTTATAGTCATGGAATCGGATGGGCGACAAGCGGTGACCAGCACTAGTGACATTAACCACTCGGGTCGACCCAGGCTCAGAGGCTTTAGCCGCATTCTTCAGTTGGGGCATGAGTAGGTTTGTGAACAGAAAGTGGCCAACATGGTTTGTTCCAAACTGAATCTCAATGCCTTCTTCTGTGGTCTCTCGATCTAGGACCATCATTCCAGCATTATTGATGAGGATGTCGATGTGGTCGAGTAGCCCCTGGATTATTGATGCTGCAGCTTGGATGGATTTTTGAGATGCAAGATTCAATACCACAGTTTTGACAGCTGTTCCTGGGGTCTGTGCCTGCACTTTGTCGGCAACTTCCTGGACTTTGTTCGCAGTACGAGAGGCCAGAATCAAGTTTTTGGGTTGCTGGCTAGCTATCGCCAGTGCAATGGCTTCGCCTAAGCTATTTGGTCCAACGCCAGTAATGACCACTTATCTGAATGTTAACCTTCCAGAACATACTTTCCCTGAAGACAGAACCATGACTTACCATTCTTGCCTTGAATCTGTCCTGCAAATGCACTAGCGACTTCCGTCGCCGTGGATTTCTCGTTAAACTCGGGGTGAGATACAGCCATTTCCCTATTATCTTCTAGTGTGGCTTTTTTTCCTTTTTCCTTTTTCCTGTTTCTGTTTTCTTTTTCATCCAACTGGCTCTTTCTATATCCTCCATTTACGTCTCCTCGCCGGCATATCTCTTAGCGGCAGCCCCGCAAATCCTCCTGGAGAACCCCCAGGCCCCACACGCAGGTTAACTCCTTTCAACATAGCAAGACGAACCGAAGAAATGGCGGACAATGACTCATGCTCGGCAAGAAGGCGAGGCCAATGCCCTGAGATGAAAGGCACTTGAAAATGCGGGGGATGTGGGATATCTCAGACTAGTTTCAGTCTACTCCAGCGATCCCGCGACCCCGCAAGAGTACTCTCCACATCCCGTGTGGATGATAGTTTCGATGCCACTCATTGGACTGCTAAACCGGAAAGATTGTACCGAGCCCTGAATTCCATAATTCTGCATTGAGACTATCGGCAGTTGGGGATTGTTGACGTAGCCGTTCGGTTTTGGGGTTATTCCAGAGGCGGGGATGAGCCCCAATGCTAGCAATAAATGAAAAAGTCCAGCACATGCACATGCATATGTTTTTTTTTTCTTTTTACCGATTTTTCTCTAGTGCGTATACATTTCTTGAAGCTTAGATATACTATCTTTCTGAGAAATCAAAGCGAGATATGTCTGTCTCCAACGGAGAAGCGGCCCAGTCGACGGGAATCAAAGTGGTGATCGTTGGCGCAGGTATGCATCACCACCAAACTTCCCCACGAATTTACAAATATTCCTAACATGATTAATCAGGCTTTGGTGGATTGACTGCTGCTATTGAATGTCATCGCCAAGGGCACAGCGTGGAGATCTACGAATCATTCCCAGGTGAGTCCATAAACAAAGCTAGCAGGAGATGGGAACAAGACTTCTAATTCGCATGCCACTTTTCTCTCTAGAGCTCAAGTCACTCGGCGATATTATTTCCTTCGGTCCAAATGCTGGTCGCATCTTCCGTCGTTGGTCCGACGGTGCTGTCGCAGATAAAATGAAGCCTCTCAGCATCAACCTAGAAAATCACGGCTTCAAGATTCACAAGTGGACGGGCGAGCTTATGCACACACAATTGGCTCATAACAATGACCCAGAGGCCCCAGTTTTTAATGGCCACCGAGGTGAACTGCATACTGTGATTTTTAAATATGCCAAGGATGATCTCGGAATTCCTATTCATCTAGGCCAGAGGGTGGTGGAGTATTTCGAGGATGAGAATCAAGCTGGAATCGTTCTTGAGAACGAGACTCGTGTAAGTGAACAAGCAATATTCTGGCAAATGAGTGCATGTGAACTAATTTTGTTTCAATCTAGGTCACCGCAGACCTCGTCATCGGTGCAGATGGTGTACGCTCGAAAGCACGAGAGCTGGTCCTGGGCTATGTTGACAAGCCCAAGTCTAGTGGTTATGCGATCTTCCGAGCTTGGTAAGTGGGAGAAACAGTGGAATGTTCGATTGGAAGACTTTTTGCTAATTTATACAGGTTCTCAAACGAGGACATGATGCGCGATCCACGGACCAGACACTTCTGCGAAAACGGCGATACCTTCAATGGATGGATTGGACCCGATGTTCACTTCCTCTTCTCCACAATCAAGAATGGACAAGACTGCTGCTGGGTTCTCACACACAAGGTAAGTAAACTACCATTCTTTAGTATACTGGGCAGCTCTAACGAACTTCTTCTTCAGGACGAAGCCGACATCGCCGAATCCTGGCAACTTCCTGGTAAACTCGAAGACGTGTACAAGGTGATTGACGGATGGGATCCCATCTGCAGGGCCATCGTTGAGAAAACACCCTCGCTCGTCGATTGGAAACTTGTGTATCGGGATCCACTTCCTCGCTGGGTGAGTGACCACGGACGTATAGCGTTGCTTGGAGACTCGGCACATCCTTTCCTCCCCACCTCCGCACAGGGAGCGACGCAAGCTATGGAAGACGGAGTTGTGCTTGCTGTTTGCTTGAAAGAAGGTGGAAAGAACAACGTGCCTGATGCTGTGCGAGCTTATCAAGATATTCGGTATGAATTCTTTCCAATTTTCTAATCTTCGTGGGATATGTTGCTTACTTATTTTTAGATATGAGCGTGTGAAGGCTGTGCAGAAGACTGGAGAGACCACTCGGGATATGTGGCATAAGGCAGACTGGGAGCAGGTTAAGAAAGATCCATCATCGATCCAACTTCCCCGTGAAGACTGGATTTTCCGATTTGATGCGGAAAACAATGCGAGGGAGTCATTTGAGTCGGCTCTGCGGAAGGTGCAGGTGGTGAACTAGTATTTAAAGAAACTTCGTTAATTTGACCTTACAAGCACTCGAGTATGTGACTGCCCCTCGATGACAAATGCCATAAGATGAATTTCAATTTTTGCAAGCTCAGCTCTCGATCCTACACATGTGCATACATACTATAGTAGTAGTTCACCTATCTTAAGCTTTGAATCAAAGAATATGGATCATTCAACCACCGATGGTAGATTAACTATGAAATCTTTCTCCGACAATTTAACAATCTCAACCCGACTGAGATTACCACAACATCCTCGAATAGTAACTACTATATTCATCCTCTCTGGTCACCTATATCAATCTTTGTTCTCAATAGTCTCCACAGCGGCCTTCTCTGAGTCACCAGAGTCCCTTGGCTTCTTCGTATCCTCAAGGGTGGTGGCCGAGTTCTTGCGTCTTGCTTCGAGGGCTGCTGAGCCGACACATTTGTAGGATGCAAACTTGCGAGCTGGAACTCGCTGCTCAAACTAAAAGGGAAAAGCCAGTCAGTACTTGTTGTCTTCTGAAATTATATGAAGCACTTACCATCTCATCAATTTCCTCCAAAGTGCGCCCCTTCACTTCAGGGAGATAGAGGTAAATGAAGGCGGCAGCGATCAGACAAGACGGAAACCAAATGTAACCGTATTTGGGACTGTATACCAGAAGTATTAGAAATTTGGCAGACTGACATGCGAAAGAAACTGATCATGAACTTACCCCCAGTTCAACGATGCGACGTTGATGAAATAAGGAGCAGTGAATGTGGTGAGCCACTGGTGAGCTGTTAGCTGAGTACTTCGATGTAGAAAGACAGAAAGGGAAAGGGAATAAACTGACAGCTCCCAAAAATCCAATAGCAGCCGCGAGACCAAATGTATAAGATCGAAGACGCTGGGATGGCAGCTCTCCGCCCGAAACCCAAGCATATGTCGATACCATTCCCTAAGATCTCGAATTAGTTCACACAGAGGTTGTTTGAGAGCCCAGATTGTGTACTTACATTATAAGCACAGATAAAGATAACAGACAATGCGACAATCGCTTTGCCTGAGCCCGACGTTCCTGGTTTGACTGTGTATACGATAGCAACTACCAGCTGACTGAATCCGCATAGTATAAGACCCGTTACCAGGAACAGTCGTCGACGACCAATATGGGTGATGACAGCAATATTGAGAAGAATGGCCACAACTCCAACTGCAGTTAGAATGCAACTGTTCTCAAAGGCATCTCCAACGCCGGCCATCTCGAAGAAATAGGTTCCATAAGCTGCATTGTGACATGATAGTCAGCACACATGAACGCATGCAGTGAAGTGAGAATAAAGGGCGTGTGTTCGGTTTTATAAATTGACTTACCGATCATGAACATCGCACCAGAAGCAGCCTGGGTGGTGACAGCACCGACAGCTAGAATCGTTCGGCGACGATCAATGGGATTGGTGAACATGTCCCAGACCGAGGTTCCACTCGCCAAACCACGCTCCAACTCAATAGCATGTTGGATTTCTCCCATCTCCTGCTCGACAGTCTCCTGGTCGGGTCTCAGCCAAACCAATGCTTTTCGAGCCTTTTCAACCTCGTCACGTTGGAGCAGCCATCTGGGCGATTCTGGAATGAAAAACATGCCAATGACCAAGATTGCCGGGATGATAAATATGAGGCCAAGGGGTATGATATAGCTATCCTTTCCTGTTGACTTCTCCGTGAAATTATCAACGATGGTGCCAACGAGAGAGCCAAACGATGTCCAGAATTGGAACCAGCCTAGCATAAGACCTCTGTAACGTGCCGGTGAGCATTCCTAATGGGAAGATAACGGTGAGTATGGAGAATTGGGTACGTGACTCTCTGAACCGTGGCGGTGTGGTTACCTGGATGTATAGCTGGGAAAAGGTCATGAGAAACCCATTTCCGACTCCAATGATCAAACGGCCAGCGTAAAGGCCTCCAATGGTGTCTGTGGTCATCATCACGACATTGGAAACGTAGATTAAGATCACGGCAATCTGAAGAGTGGTCTTGCGTCCGAGCAAGGTTGCCAGAGGTCCTTTTCTTCTAGTTAGTCATCTCCATTCCAACTTTGGCATATTTTGATAACTGGCGACCGATTCTTACCTGCAGAGCATGATCCAATGAAAGCACCCAGCACCATCAGAGAAGAAATGAGCTGCTGGCGCTCGGAGGAAATGTTCCATCCTGTAGAGCTGCCGGAGTCTTTGTATCCGAAAACCTGATGTTGTAGACAACGGAACGATCAATTTCCATATCTAATTGTGGATACGGGGTTGATAGTGGGCCCTATTCTTACCTTTAAGAACCCAACCATAGCCTGGAAGCCTCCGATGAGAGTGTAATCGACTCCATATTGGAATGGCGACATGGAGATCAACGAGCAAGCCGCCAGCGACTTCCAATGAAGCCGAAGACCACTCTTGTTCTGATCACTCATGGTGGCCGTGTTTTCGCCCAGATATCTGATATTGAAAGAAAGAAAAAAAGAAGCCAAAGTTTGAAAATAGAGAATTGACGCTCAAGTGTGAGCACAGTATTCTATTTGACGTGCACAAATACCTGTTGATGCAGGCAGAGCAGGGGTTATAGCATACATAACCCGAACTCCAGCTACGACCATTCCCAATCTAACATTGTACATTTACGACCTCCCCAGATTCTCTGTGGGGCCATTGTGGAGTCGTTCCTAGTGTCTACAAAGTTGGATCAGTCTGGCTCTGAGAGCGGCATAATTGACTTCTCGTCCACGGCGAGGGGAAGAGCCATGTATCAGCCCAGAGACCAGCTCATTGGTTGCCAAGAAAAGGGTGTGGGGACAACCATATCGGCGATTTACTCCCACGCGCTGTTCAAAGGCAGAAAAGTATGCTTAGTCGGTAATGAAATGGCCTTGACCACTGCCGGGGTCCCTCACTCCATGCGAGCTGGGTCTGGTAATACGGGGAGGCTTTCGTCACCTTGCCGCTTGGTCCCATGCCACGGCTGATGTATTGCCTTGCTATCCGGGGTGACTGGGATCCTTGATCGTCGTGCGCCACTGGTTTGAAAAGGGACAGCTGACCCTCTATGACAATCCCTAGCCAAGGAATTTGGCAGTCTTGCTAGTTGCGGGGAAGATCAACAGTAGCTGCGTAACGGAATGTGGGGAAGCGGGCCCCTTAACGCTTTGTCTTTTTTTTGGGTTGTTTTCCCGAGGGGTGGAAGCCAATTGTGATCTGAGCATAACAATTCGGATTAGTAAATAGGCTTGCAAATGTGGGTTGGGCTTCTTTAGTTGAATGATGTGTGAGTTGTATGTATAATAGCGGCTTTTATATGAATGTAAAGAAAGGTTCAGAAGTCGGGCTCGTATCAAATTTATCTCTCAGATCGAGGCCGCAGCCAATGAAATACTGCCCCAGCATAGCATTGGAAAAGGGAAATCAGTCCCATTGATTGGTGAGCGAGAGTCTTGGTACCAATGCTATGGAAGAGTTGACATGGTATCAGGCAAAAAGGAAAGAAGCATTCATAGCATCCGTTATATCATTATCTTCGTAGCAGTTTCAACCTTGGCTTGCCCCAACTTTTCCATCTGTTATTGCGATACACAATCGTGTACATGTGTGCATATAGAAACTGCAGAGGCCAATCGGGGACTTTGACTGTCAACAATCAAGAACCACCAGGTTAAATTCAAAATACCTAAACGAACCTCCACGGAAGCAGAATCCAACTCCAAAACAAGGCATGATCATTGTATAGGTTGTGTGCTTGCCGCAGCATTCACGGTCATGGGATATCAGCAGCTTCTAGAGGCCAGAGACAGAAAGAGGGAGGGGGAATATTGATCTGGGGTTTAGGACTTGTGGTGAAGTGCTATGTATTCGTTGAACCAATCGGGACCCCTAAATCACCTGTTGCCCACGGGTTCTGCATGACGCGGGCGTTGAGCGCGTTGACGTTGTAGCCATCATCCTCAGCAACAGCGCCGGGATTGCCATCTGGGCCATGCTGAGAAGGGTCGCCATGTCGAGTAACGGCGCCCGGGTTTGTAACACCATGATGGGTCATATAGGAGCCACCGGAAACGTTGCCCTGGTTTGGAAAAAAGCTTTGATTCAGAGCTCCACAAGTTGTGCAGGTGAACTCTATCTTGAAGTCCGAAATGACCATCTGAGGCATCCCAGAGTGTTCATTGCGTGGCTGATAGTCTTGAGGTTTGAAGTGCGAAGGGCCTGCTATTGGCAGAGCAGCAGCAGTCGTATATCCGATTCCAGGTTGTGATACGGTCATAGGAGTTGGGCCATTGCCGATAGCAGACTGACCTGGGTTTCCAATGGGCGGTGGCATCTGAGGTGCTCGTATAGATTGAGGTGACACTGGTGCTGCAAGGTTATCTGAGGGCTCGCTAGCATTTACCGTATCATCCTCCATTAGAGTGGGCTGAAGAGGGTCCGATATCCAGGGAGTTTCCGACATATCCCGGAACGCAGGCCCTGTATCACCTTGTGACTCGGACTGGGACTGCGTAGGCGAGTGCAATTCACCCGCACTCATATCAAGACTCATAGATGTGTCGTTCTGATTGGTACCATCGTGTGATTGTAGTCTGATCAATGCACGCTGTGCCTGTCTCGCGGAGATGTCATATCCATGATAGCGCTTCACAGCATCCACGACATCCTGACTCTTGATCCTGGCCTTCATATCAAAAAGCTTAGGGATCTCACTGAGCAAAAACCGTACATGTGAGGCTTCGGAGCGTACTGGTGTCCGTGTCGTGGAGCTTCCACTCGTTCGGCAGCTATGACTGTCCTGCAGACTAGTGATGTAGGTCGCGTTCTTGTTTGAGCGGCACACCACCCGAAAGGAACAATTGGCCCCTGATCGACAGCCAATGACTACACTCTTCTTATTGCTTCGTATCACGCGGAGCTCCCAATGCTGCCGAACAGAGATGCTCCGGATCACCGATTTGAATTCCTCCAGGGAAGAGAACCGTTGATCCACATGTAACCCCGAGTACATTTCCGTCATATTGGTCAAGATAAGGAGTTCAGCGAGGGAGAAACGACCGAACAGATAGGGCGTTGGTCGCGAATGATTTGGTGACAGCTTCCATCGGGGGGTGTGCGTTGTCCGTAGCCCTGAAGAGCACTTCGTAATAAAGATGACTTGCGCGTAATGGTTAACGAAGCGCACCTTGAGAGGTTATTCCTCAGCCTGGCATCATCTAGGAATGTTTGTATCGACTTGCGTCGAGTAAGTAATCCCCTGGAGCCAGCTTTGAAGAGTTTCGAGGAGTTAGCGGGACCGCGGTGGAGAGTTGATTTCTCTGGGGAAAGCAGCCGCATGGAACCTTGGGACTGCCAGACCGCTCGCTCTCTTCAATTCTTTCTTATTCAACGCTCCACTTTCCTTAACTCTTCGGTTTTCTCCCCGTCGATCTTTCCTCTTCGTTCCCTTTTGAAGCATTGGTGATTTTCAGAACTTGGAATCTTCCTCGTTCTAATTGTCTTTGTCAGACTTTTGCAAAATGGCTTCATACGGGTTGCTGGGTCAGCCAGAAGAAGGTTGGAGTCCTCGTCACTTGTAAATCATTTTGTACCTGTCAAAACTAACATCACCCCATTTTGCAGATGCGCTTCATAAGTCGCGACTTCTGAACGTCGAAGAGAAACCATTCAAGCGTATTTCAAAGCGCCTTCTCAACCCCGAGTCTCTTATCGTTGCTCACTCCTGCCTCCCTCCCACCCCTCCTCCCGAGGATTCCGACGCCGATGCGACCGTAGCTGCCGAATCCGAGAAGCAAAAACGTTTGGAAGAATGGCGCCACTTCCGCGAGGATGTCACACTCGATTTCGCTGCCTTCGAAGGTAGCATTGCTCGCATTCAGTTTCTCTTGACCAGTAACGAAGAGGAGCGCCAACGGTACGCGACAGAGAAACTTCGCATTCAGTCAACGATGCATGCTGTCCGTGAAAACACAACCGATTTGCGCGCCCAACTTGAGGAGGCACAACGACTACTTTCTTTGCGAAAGACCTACGATGACCTAGCGGACAAAATTACTAGCAACCGGCTGTTGAAGCCGCGAGAGGATCAGCAGGCAAATTTACAAAAGCTGCAACTGGAAATTACGGAATTGGATAAGGAAAGCAAGGATTATGCGAAGACATGGGCGGAGCGACGCGAACAGTTTGGTCGCATTGTGGAAGAAGGCATGCAATTGCGCCGCTTGATTCGTGACGAGAAGGAAGAAGTCGAGCGGAGAGAGGGTATGCAAGAGGGTGAGGATGGGGATGAAGGTGACGCTTCTTCCAAGGGCAAGCTGAGCGCTGCTACGAGCCCTCGTCCGGATAATGAAGGCATGACTCCGTCTCAAACTCAGGATGAAAACCGATTGCGGGTTGAGAATGGAACTGGTTCCACCAGACCTGCGTCACCTTTACGGCAGGTGATAAGTGCAGACGGTACTGTGGATCAGGATGATACCAATATGGTGGATGAAGGCGAAATCACAGCCGATGATGCTGGAGAACAGTCGGATGAGCTTGAGGAAGGTGAAGAACTTCCGGATGAGAAGATGGATACCACTTGAGGTCTTTCGATAATGTATATTATGAGCATGGAGTTATGGTTCTTAGGGCGTTCTTTTTGTTCAAAGGTTTAGATTAAATGCATTTTGTGGATATTATGAGTCCAGTGCTTGGACGTCGCATGAGTTCCTCCTTTTTTTCTCTTTTCCTTTTCCTTCTGATACTTTAAATGAGATATAACCATGGCTGCTTTCAATGTTTACGAGATCTCGCGCTCGGCCGTCTTGGCCTTAGCAATGGCGTCCTTAGCATTAGTGATGTGCGCAACGTTACTCTCGGCACCCTTGTGGCCCTCCTCGATCTGTTGTATTGTTAGCAAGATGCCGACATTGCAAGGACCAAGATGAATGCTTACGATCAGAGCCTCCAACTCCTTCACGGCCTGCACAATCTTTTGCTTCAAGGTGGGCAGAACATTTCTTGTCTCCTCCAGAGCCGACTTCTGCTAGAAGTTACTATCTAGACCAAGAAAGCCAAGATTGAATGCAGTCCAGGAAAGACTTACCTCCTGCCTGACAAGGAACTCTTTGTTCTCATCGCCGTCATCTGGGCTGGACTCGAGCTTCTTGATCCGCTCAATCTGCTGCTCCAGTTCACGATGGTAGGAAGCCTCCTCCTTCACCAAGCGGGTGACCGAAGAGGTAACAATCTCAAGTTGGGAGCGGGGAGCCATTGTGATTGAATCTGCTGAGCGGTCAGATGCAAGATTCGAGTTCCAGGGTTGTTGCAGCTTCTAGTTCATGGGAATATCAGGGAGAAGCAAGGGACCAAGTTGCAGTGTTTGATGTCAAATCCCCAGCAATGGGGATCATCTGCACCGTGACTGCACGAACCCACTGCAGGACTTGCGGTGGGCTGTTTTGTAAACAGGACTTATGTATGGAGATGCGATCTCACTACAAGACCCAAAACAGGATAGAAGATCAAAAGGGTTGAATTTCAAATTAGAACATACCTTTCTGATACTTTTAATTGTGTGAAAGCAATGAGATTCAATATAGCCACCAAGTATTCGTGATGAGCCCCTCATGATGCTATCGAGAATGACATGTTTGCAATGTTTGCATGAGGGGCTCACGTGCGATGGTTTGGTCATCAAATTCATAAAATCCGTGAAATTCAATTGATAATGATTTTGAAAAAGAAAAAATTAGAGGAAAATTTGAAGTGAATTTTTGGCATAGTTACTACGAGTACTACTAGGTATTTCGCCTTGTCTTCTGGGCATTGAAGCAACCGAATCATCTGCTTCGAACATCGCGAATTTCCACTTCGGGGAGCTGTCTCCTATTATCCAAAGGCGATGATATCATCGTATAATTCACTACGAGAAGAAATTTCCAATTGAATACTGAGCTCAGTATCATATGTTTTATATTTAGATGGATACTATCCTAAAATCACATTCACTACGAATGTTGTCTCACAAAGTGAATGTAGCCCATATGTAACCGAGCCTGGGGTGACGCTGCCTTATTCGCCGCTAGCCAATCAGCGCTCGAGTAAGAGCTTGCATTTGGATGATCTCCCCGACCAGCATAACCTCTTACCACCCTTTCATTCAAGGCCACGCAAACATCCAAGAGCTCGTTCGAGTCTTGTATATCATTCACCTGATCTTCGTCCTGTACAGACCTTTATTTTTCCTGTAAAAAGACAAAGAACTCCTAATTTGTCCAATGTGCTTTGACTTATCCCTTTGACCACCCCCATATCCTCGAGTCCCATCCTCGCCCGATATGCCGGTCCCGTCATTATTACAGTTGGCTACGGCCACCGCTATCAAACATGTCAAGTGTAAGTCAACTCACTTCAGACTGAATGGTCCCTTGGTTTACTTGATTCAACAAAAAGAAAATTTCCTCATATTTTGCGACAAATAGCTTTGGACGATATTGGAGAGCTGCCTTACAAGCTCGTTCGTCCTATCCTTATGAAAGTGGATAATCCAGAGAAGCTGGTAAGTGAAATGAACTCCACTATATTCTTACATTGGATGACTAGGAACCTCCAATGTGGATGACGAGCGCAAACAAATTCTAATCACTCTATATTTACTCCAATAGCACGCTATGGAACTCCTCTCCCCACATCTCATCGGCGAGGACCAAGAACTATGGATCGACTTCATCAAGCGCGACATCCCAGAATGGGACCGCATCCGACAGGAGCTCCCCAAAGAGTCAACCCAATGGTACGAAATCTACTGCGACCTTCGCGAAGATGTTCAACGGGCTCTGGAAGCCGATGCCGAACAAATGAAGATGGCACTGGACGGAATCAAGTCAGCGCGAACACGGTTGACACCGAAGATCATTTCGGGGGCTCAAGCTCGTGCATCGCGTTCGTCAAAATCGATATTCCGCCCGCGCCCCTTCTCCGGGTTCTCTGGGGTTTCTGCTGCCGATAGGAAGAAGTCCGCCATATTCAGCGCGCCGCGGAGAAACAACGCACTGGCTGTCCCGACAAAGAATCTCAGCAACCGTGCATCACAGGTCAGGAAAGCCCCGAGATCCCTCATCGAAGAGCATCGGCAGCCATCTGGAGCGCCAGCCAAATCTCCTCTTCCGATGAGGCGAGATCAAGGGGCGGAGGAACCTAGTGTTTCAGACCGCTCGAGACCGATAGTGCCAGGTGGCTGGCAACCGCCCATTCCCTCTGCTCTGGCTGAGAGGGAGGCCAGACTTAGAGCCGCTAAAGGTCAGCCGCCCGGTTCAGAGGGCACAAGGCAGCCTTCCAGTTCTCGTCCGTTGCCACCATCATCTTCGTCCAGGCCGACTGCTTTGAAGCGCTCTGCGGAGTCTCCGCTGCCGTCGCGGATGGCTTCGTCATCCGATTCTTTGCCTAGGGCATCGAGTCAGAATAATGGACCATCAACTTCCGCCCCGGCCCCTGCGCGCCCAGTTATGCCCGTTCGGAAAAGACCCGACAGTGTCTTTATCCAGCCAAAGCGGCGACGTGTTGATTGATGGTGCGTTGGCCCTCGCAAGTTTTTTTTTTCGCGATTCAGCGACTTTCATATCTACTTTGGCTTTTGAGCATTTCCAATTAGCGCGCGAAAACATTGCATATTCAAGGAGTTTGGGGATCTTTGTTCTATTTATGCTGGTACATAGTACATACCATGATCTGTGCCCATGACTTGTCATTGATCATACTGGGTATGCTTCGGAATCACCCGATGTCGTTTGATGGTGGGTTGTGCACAGGAATTCAAGCACCGACGCCTGTACAAATGGATATCATGGGTTCTCTGATCTCATGCCCACCGCTTTACAACTGTCATGTGCGGTGTGCAAGATCTCAGCATGTCGGAGGTTGAGTATTGGGCCAATGCTTAACCAATCCAATATATGGACTGTCTTGGAAGTGTGAGCATTTTCGAGTGATCTGCACGATTTATATACACATCAGCACAATTTTGATAATATTGATTTTTGTGGTTGGTGCAAGGTCATGTCGTAAGCATTCGAATGTTAATTTCTTCTCGTCAATAAATCAACGTAATTTATGTAAAGCAAAAAAAAAAAAAAAAAAAAAAAAAAAGCAGGTCGATCTGTGAATAAGCATAACGACAAACCCCCGTACCTCCTCAGTACTTCCTAGCTCGTCGCTAACAAAGCTGTTTGGAGACGCCTAGTGTAGATTTGCCTTGCAAAGAGTGTTCTGATGGTCAAAAGCCAAATATCGAATGCAAGTGTTCAGTGAAGTGATATAGTACGTAGTTCTCGGCTCAATCATATTGCTTTGCAGGAATGGAAATAATGTGGTATCTAAAAGGGCATAAACGGATTATAGCGTATCACATCCTCCACGCAGGGCGAGCACAAGATGAAGTGTGGCGCCACCCTCGAGGCTGTATTCCGCGGCCGTCTTGTCATCCGCCCTACCAAGCCAAAATGTCAGCGCCTCGTTGTAGAGTATAAGAATGGCGGTGGAGGAGCTAGGTCGTATACATACATCTGCTTACCACCGAAGATCAAACGCTGCTGGACGGGGGGGATGCCCTCCTTCTCTTCGACGCGCTCCTTAATGCGGGAAACCTGTGTTTAACGATATTTTCAGCAAGTCTGTCCCCCAAGATATCCCAAGCTTTAATGTTATCCGAGCTCATGAGCAGACGGGGGTGGTTGGTGGTAGGTAGGCAGGTAGGAGTGTCGTCGCGACGGCGAAGTCTCACCTTGTAGTCCGGCTCGATATCGAGCTCGATCTCCTTTCCGGTAAGAGTGCGGACCCTAGAACGCGATCAAATGTCAGCAAGATGATTTTTGGTGGTGTTGCGCGGGAGCGGAGGTCATTCGATGATGCAATTGGTGCTGGAGGCACGGATTCAGACGTACTTAATCAACATATTGGCTGAACGCGTAGGTGTTTATGGGTTTGGGTATAACACAGTCAGCTGGAGAAAATGCTTTGGTGGTGCAAAACCCTTGGGCGCGTGCTTTTTTTTTCAAATGAGTGTCTGGAGAGAGAAGATGAGAGAGCCGCTTTAGCGGGGTTTTGGGTGGGGTTGTGGCCTTATCGCCTGATTGTGAATGAAGCGCCAGAGCATCATCGAATACTTCTACTTGATCCAACCCACTGACCTTCAGGTTAGGAGAGAATATAGACTTGATATTCACTGTACTATCCTCTTGAAACAGGCATTACTCGCTTTTTTTTTATACGTAATAGCCGCTGGTACTGGCTCTTAGCCGGAAATTATGTACATACATTGTTCGTACCTGGATACATAAAGGTGGAGCTAGCACTTGAGGTCCCCAGGTACGACCTTTTAAAAGCCCTACTACCTACTAGCTTAAAATTGTATGTTTGAAATTCAGTTACGTGCACTCTATGACCATGCTAGTATTCTGAAGCATTTTCAAGGTCCCAAGCGCAATGAATTTGAATGGCAGGTAGTAATGTGTGCAATCTACATAGCCTTGGAAGGTTCAAATGTTCATACAATGTATATGTATATTTTCCCTTACCCCACCATTTAAGATTGCCTCGGTTTCGAAACCCCTTCCTAGGTAGGACTTTCCAGCCACACATAGCTCATCGTTCTCTTAACTAACATTGAATTCCAAGAAGGGCTGGGCAGTACTTCATTTTTTCCAAACATTGAAGTTGCATCCAACATTGGAAGATATTCGCAATGACAGTGGCAGCGCCCCAGCAACCTGCTCCCAACCAATTCCATGAATTTATCTCGGCGTGCGAGAACGATCCGGTAACCCCTGTTTGACCCATCGGAATCATGTACTATGATTGCTAAACAAATTTAGAAACAAATCCAAGATACATATGAGAAACATCGGACCACCCGTAATTCAAGTTTCAGGGGAAAAATCCTGAGCCCTGGTTTCCGCGAATGGCAGTTTGACGAGATCTTGGAGAAAATCCTGAAGGCAGACAAGGGTTTGATCCAATATGAAGATCCAAGGAACAATGCATCTTTGTTGGCACGCCCACCGAACCATATCTGCGAGCTTATCAAGGATATCCAAGAAGAAATCGTGTCTGCAGCTGGCCCATGTATGTTGCGCCATTCGACCTCCAGTTGTAAATCTTTAGCGGGACTGGGTTTTTCTGACTTTCAAAATCCACAGGTCTTTGGCTGGCACCTCGAGATTATCTCCATATGACAACATCTGAGCTCATATGTGCCAAGACACGGGCTGAAGTGGATGAGGTGATGGAAATCTTCCAACAGAAGCTTCCACTGGAAGATATCGTGAGCTATACGCTCACCCACAGCCCCAAGCTCATTCGGCCAATCATTAGTTACGATACTACGGCCATCGCATTGAGCTTTCTTCCAGCTGCCGAGACAGAAGACTGGTATACTTACCACCACCTGCGACGGGATCTTTGGGATATTATGTCTGAGTCTGGGTGTCAATTTGGAGCTAGATACAATGTTCCCTCCGCCCATGTGACCATTGCACGGTTTGCTATGCCTCCGGATGCAGATCGAACAAAAGAATTAGATGATCTATGTAAGAGGGCAAGTGTACTGGTAGAGAAAATTGAGGATATCAACCAGGAATTACAATCCGGTGATTGGAAACGATTTGGACATCCGTCGAGGGGAACGTGGGTAGTGGGAGAGGAAAAAGGGATGCAGTTAAACCAAGGCCGGTCATGGTATGGGAAAGGGGAAGCGATGTTGACTGGCAGAGGCTTTTGAGCTGGTGATTTTTCACATATATTGCAGACCTAAAAGACATAGAAACATTGAAATTCATGGGGTTCTAGATGAAAATGATAAACGAGGGTCCCGGTGACTTCCTAATTGGGAACGACGAATGATGACTCATCCAGCTGGTGGAACACCCAACGTGGTTTAGCGCGCACCCGAATAGGGCCTAAGCGAAACGAAATCCCACAACCCAACCATCCGTTTGATCTCTCCGACAAGTGAACATCCAACGACCACCCACCTCGCTACCCGGCAAGACAGTCAAAATGGTAAGATTCATACCATCCATGATCCAGGCTGTAGTACCCTCAAGTCCCCGTTCGAAACCCGTTGCGAAGTTCAATTCGGCATTGTGCGATGGAGGTTGAATTTGTGTGGGCGGAAAATCGAGATCGTGCACGACGACCAAACCCGACCGACACCAACGCCAAAATATTTCTTCGCCTTCGTCCACCCTCGTGTCCCAGATAATGCGATATTCGATATGCAAAGCGACAATCTCGAAAGCACAAGACCGGAGTTCTGGTGGCAATATTCAAGCTCCGCATCTTGGAATGTGTGACCATGTGAATGTGAACGGATTAAGCGAACACGCAGAGTCATTCGTTACTGAGGGCCGATGCTTCCGCGAGCTATCTGGGACACCTATCCGATACATTTTTGAGCCTGGCACCGAATTCCACCGACCCATGCGATTGAACTATCTTCGAACTCGGACTTGAGCGGCACGCAGCTTGGATTACTCATTTTTACCCAAGCGCAGCAGAAGCTTATCAAATCTTTCTTCGTGTACAGGTCAACATCCCCAAAACCCGCCGGACTTACTGCAAGGGCCGGGAGTGCCACAAGCACACCCAGCACAAGGTCACCCAGTACAAGGCTGGCAAGGTGAGATTCCCCTTTGCCTCGACTTATCGACCCCGAAGCAGAAAACTGATTTTTGATTTTTTCCCCCACGAATCTAGGCCTCCTTGTTCGCCCAGGGTAAGCGTCGTTACGACCGAAAGCAGAGTGGTTACGGTGGTCAGACCAAGCCTGTCTTCCACAAGAAGGCTAAGACCACCAAGAAGGTTGTCCTCCGTCTTGAGTGCACCTCTTGCAAGGCCAAGAAGCAGCTTGCCCTCAAGCGTTGCAAGCACTTCGAGTTGGGGTATGTTACAAATCCGAATCAACTTCTTGATTTTTTATTATCAGTTCTAACCGATATTCTTTTCTACAGTGGTGACAAGAAGACCAAGGGTGCCGCCCTTGTTTTCTAAGCGTTCGATTTCCTTGTTCGGCTCCTGGGTTTCCTGCATTGCACGATCTGCTTCGCTGTTTCTGCGGAGGGATATATGACATGGGCAATGGAAAAATGAAATAGGAATTCATACCTTCAAAAAACAAACTATGACTACCTGATGACGAGCATCTGTTTTCTGGGCGTAGATCCATCCTGTGTTCTGGGCCTAGGCCAGAATTATACTACATCAGCCTAGTCATACGTGGATATATTTCTTACACTTGACATTTTGTCGAAACTTGATGTGGTATACGTCAACTGGTCCCAGGCTGTAGAACGGGCTGGGTGATCGGCAGAGTGATCATAAGTACGGTCTTTGCTTGCTCTACTGTCCAGGTGGGTGATGTGACTCTGGCCTGTGCGCGTAAAAGGAAAGGTATGGAAACAGCATTATCAATTGATCATACTATGCAACATCCGAGTCGGATTTCAAATGTTCCAGAGGACCTTAAGACTTCCTTATCATAACACGTGCAAGTAATACACAAAATCGCTAGCCACCTCCTGCACATGTGGGCCCAGCTGCTCAACCTTTTTCGTTCCCCGGGCTGTACACATTTTCGATGGTTAATTTCTACTGTTTCTTTGCATTATCTCCGAGCCAACTCAATATTGACTTGCACATACGTATGTGCATGCTTGAATATACAGTACTCAAGCCCATCTACTGGATCTCAGTGACCGATGTGCCCCCCACCTGGACAGGCGGAAGCTGACATTACCCGGGTAACCTTGCAATGCTTGAGGCTATACCTTCTAATCACTTACTTAAAACTACTTACTAAATATTTGCATGATGGAGATTATACCCAGCCAAGAAAATACTGCAACAAATAAATATTGTATATCGATCGATTGATCTAAACCTTCAATGTTCCAACCGGAGCAACTCCTTAAGGAAAAAATCACATTCAAGACATGAAAAAAGCCACCACCTACACTTAGCCACCAAACAGTTCCACTCTCCGAGCTAGTAGTGAAAGTAACCAACAAAAAGAATCCCCAAAGGCCGGAGCCCTGGAGATGACGACCTCCACCCCCGCATCCGCGTCCCCCACGCCGAGACAAACATCCCAAAACCAAACCATCCAATGAACGCACGAATCTCACAAATAAGACCCATTGGCATGGTTTCCCTTTTCCCTGCTCATCGTCTCCATCAAAATATTATTGGCCCATTCACTCGACGGCTGCACGGAGCCCCCGTATTTCAACAATCTCACCCCCGCATTTGCGAGATGATCATTGCCAACTCGGCCCTCCTCCGAGTATGTACGATGGCTGGGCGGTGCCATCTTGGGACCGTGTGACACTTCCTCGGCCATCGGGCGAAGCCCGCATTGATATTTGATGCTGCTTCCTGCATGCTTCTGCGTGAGAAATCTTGTTTGGAATAATTTCAAGGTTGCCCTCGGAGGTATATATCTTACCAAAGTACGGAGCACCACCAGTTGACTTTCAGACACAACTCGAGATCTGCACTTTTCAAATCTGATTTTCTTGATCACCATGGCGCTGTGGTACTCGCTAGGAATCGCGTTCTTTGCCGCCATCGGCACGTTCTTGTTTGTATGTGCTTCAAATTTTGCCTTTACGCGCAGTCAAGGTTGGAGGGTTGCTGATCGTGTGAATCAAGGGGTTTGACACCGGGATCGCGACGACGAGTGAGTCTTTGGATCAGTTATCCTGGATTGGTTCATGTCCTTCGGAAGTCTAACCAATGTCATTTACACAGCTATCGCGCATCAAAGTTGGATTGATTATATGGATCATCCCTCAGAGGGATTAACAGGAGCCGTACGTTATCGGATTGTCAACTGGTCTATTGATCCGTCTACCTTTGAGCGAATTGTCTGACCTTGGAATCGATGATTATATAGGTTGTCGCGGTTTATATCGCCGGCGAGGCACTAGGTGCCCTTACGCAAACTTTTATCGGTGATAAACTCGGGCGCATCCGGTTTATGCAGCTGATGTGTGCGATTGTCACCATTGGCACGGTCATTCAAACCGCCTCGGTGAATATCGGCATGTTTCTTGCTGGCCGTGTATTAGCCGGATATGCCGTTGGGTAAGTGCAAGTACAAAAGACAATATATGTGGTCTTTCCACAATACCCAAATACATGAATCCAGATTGGTTCGGTAGGTACAAGTTCTCTAACGTTTTGCAGAGGATTGGTCGCTACCGTCCCCATATACCTCAGCGAAATCTCCGACCCCCGTTTCCGTGGTCTGATCGGCGGTATCTCAGGATGCGGCATATCCTTCGGAACGATGGCATCCAACTGGGTCGGATTCGCCTGTGGATATGCTCCCTACGGCGCCGTGCAATGGCGCCTACCACTCGGGATCCAGATCCCATGGGGCATAGTAATGTTCATCGGTCTCTCGACTTTCATGCCCAACTCGCCCCGCCAATTAATCCGAAGCGGGAAGGTCGATTTGGCCCGTAGCGAGTTCACGCGGATCCGGCGTGGGGCCCAGACGTTGGAAGTGGAGGAGGAATTTGCGCTTATGCAGGCGCAGATTGAGTATGAGATGGAGCGCGAGATTACCTCTTATCGGGAGATCTTCCGGGTGTTCCGATCTCGGGTGATGGTCGCTATTGCGGTGCAGACGATGACGAGTTTGACAGGTGTCAATGTGATTCAGGTATGTGCATGGGCAGGACCCTGTGGGTCTAATTATAGTTATGGGTTAACCAAGGGAGAATGCTGACTGGTACAGTATTACCAAAGTAAGCTTTTATCTAGATGTGCGGATCGTCGTATGCCGGGCTGGATACTAACTGCCGGTCGGTACTAGCTATTCTGTATAAGTCGCTCGGTATTGGATCGCATACGATCTTGGCCCTTGCTGCAGTCTATGGTACCGTGGCTTTCCTGTCGAATGCTATCACGACAAAGTATATGACGGACCAATGGGGCCGCCGGAAGTACGTGACCCGTTGAGACCCAGGTCTTCTGCATCTGATATGAATTCGTAGCTGACGTGCATAGAATGTTGATCACTGGTCTGGCCGGCATCGTGCTGATTGAGATCTACGCTGCAGTGATGCAATTGAAGTTTCAAAATACTGATAACAAAGTTGGCAAGGGGTTCGCAATCTTGGGGATTTATCTCTTTGTTGTTTGTTATTGTGAGTTGTTTTCCCTCGCCGACCAGCGACGATGCAGAAAGATTAATACGTGTGCTTTTTTTTTTCTTTTCTCCCAGATGGTTTCCTCAACAGTACAACATGGCTGTACGGCGCAGAGGTTCTTCCCATTGCTCTTCGTAGTAAGGTGATGGGCATTGCAGCTGCTTCTCACTTCATTGTCAACGTTGCCAGTAAGTTGGACCCTGCACATTGAAGAGAGAAAAGAAAAGAAAAAAAGAGGGGGAAATAAAGGGATCGATTGTTAACCCTGAATTCTCAGTCACCGAGGCCGGCCCCAGTGCCTTTGCCAACATCAAACAGAACTACTATTATGTGTTCGTGGCATGTACACTTTTCTTCCTGGGAGTAGCGTATCTCTATTTCCCGTATGTGACCCTCCCCGATATCGCAGCTGTCAGGCATTAACCTTAAAACCCCTTAAGTGAGACCAAACAGAAGACCTTGGAGGAAGTGGCAGCCGCGTTCGGCGACAGAGTAATTCAGGCAGACGATGGGCCCAAGCGAACATCGGTGAGCCAAGCGGACCACGTCGAGTCTACTGCACAAGAGGCCTGATTCTACCCAGTTGGGCGACGGATGCAAAGTAGATGACGTGGGAGGTTGAGATATTTGAAGCGAAAATCCAACGTGTACAATTCTATTCGGACCGAGCCCAACGAGAGGGAAAAAAAAACATTCTTCCGGGGGCTGAACGTGAAGATGCACCGAAACCCGAAGACCGAAGACACCTTCCCCCAAGCAGAAGGTACCCTTGCTAGGTGCCTTCCGACCGAGAAATTTAGTTTAGCGTTTGTTAGCTCAGTTTTCCACGTGTAAAATTTCCTGACGGACGAAACGGACTAGAGCCGCGTGTGTCAGAAGGAAGCGAACACTGGGGGCGTCAGCCACATTGACTCCACATGGGTTTCTAGACTATACATCAATGGATTGTTCCAGGACCACGAGTCGACGACCTATGGTTAACCTTCATTAAGCGATTTTCCTCCAAACCTTCTCTCACCCCTTTCTTCTGTGTTGTTTTTTTTTCTATTCTTTCTGTGCCGCCCCAGAAGGATGCAGAGATCTGATTTGAGAATGCCACTTATCCGATGCAAGCCCCCATCCTTCCGAAAAACTCTATCGCCACGAGTCTGATCCCTGTCAATGACGATCGCTCATGTGGTTTTTCAAAGTTTATGGTTTACATGGGCAGTTTTTGCTTTTTCTTGTGCATTCCCTTTGCCGGGGAGATAGGTTTAGGCGCATAGTTTTTGAGATGCAGGTTACTATTGGCCTTGGTGCATGATTCGAGCGACGATCCGGGGACGTCGGTCTGTATCGGGGACAAATCGAAAATCGAAAATCGAAAATCGAAAATCGAAAATCTGGATCACAATTTCCGATTCTCAGGAACACGAGGTCCGAGCACTTCTCCCTTACGAAGAATCTTTCCACATATGCACAATACATATGCAAAATATGTCGGATTTTTCTGGAAACATGCGGAATAGAGACGGAACTTCATGCGGAATTCCATCGTAATTCCCGTCATTCCCACATTCACCTTGTTCTCAAGGGGTCCGACCCTGTTGAATGGATCCTTCCCCTTACAGACAATTTGATTTTTTTTTTTTTTCTAATGTTGAAACCCCACCGACGTGATCTGCCTCTATTGGAAAAGCATGGAGATCAATTACCGATCAATTACCCCTAGGTTTAACTGTCCCGTCCAATAATGTGCTCATGGAACAAGGCATGGAAGAACCATGGAAGCAGCACCCGGCAGTCCACCCACGGTTCCACATTGGAACCGCGTGGTTTTTTGTGTTTGACACAGCCGAATGGAGTAAACTGTGTACTTGACATTTGACAGGCATTACAGTTCGAGTTCGGGGGGGAGGCTGTTTCATATACCTTTCCATGGTTGGCTTTTATTTACTATTGATTCTTGATAATCCTAAAACTCCGCCTCTTCTCCGTTTGAATCTTCAGGAATACATAAAAATCCGAGGTTGAAAAAAAAAATGAAAAATTTGTAATAATTAATAATTTCAAATCCATGAAAATCTCAAACTGGCGGCCTAATTGAAGCTGTGTGGCTGATATGCAGGTAGAAAATTTTCGGAGTTGACCACGTAGTGCGTCATGGGCGAGTTTCAATATTTTGGCGCTACGATCTGCTTTGGCGGCTTTTCCACGAAGATCACCGCTCGGACCTCCTGTGGCAAGGGACTCTTACGAGAAATTTTCAATTTTCATTCCTTCTATCCGATGGCTTTTTTCGGATATAGAATTTTGTGTTAGTGGATAAAAATACAGAAACAAAAAAAGAATTTGTAGAAAATATGAATAGTAGATAGTAGGTACAGGTCGGAAATCCCTTGATGCTTAATTTTTCCTATATAGAAGAACTTTTCAAGCTCCTCCGATCTCGGCTCTCCTAGCAAGACCCGAAGTCCGCGAAAAGGGTCCAAGCGAATTGTGACTGCATGAAGAGATCGACAAGATGAATCGGAAATAAAGGGCCCTGAGAGTTTTCTTAGTGTTTTTTTTTTCTTGAAATTATAGCTTTATACGGGGAGGAATGTCGGCATGTCAAAAATTGCATCGGATGTCTAATGTCTGACCCGCTCCTAAAAAAAAACCTTGATGTGCGGATCCGATGAGACCCGGTAAAAATAAGTCAATCAAGTAAAATTCTAGAAGGAAAAGAAGCCTGCCTGGATCCACTTCATGCACCTCTGCACCTATGCCAACCCATAAACGCCCCGTACTAGCATTGCTACTGCGCTAGTTCGGAATGTTGCCAATTTGTGCTTGACTAAACGTCTACAAATGTTTAAAAATGAATAAAGGGGCAAATCTACTTCAGCTCTCACCGGCTAAACGATTCTGTGCCTGCCCAGCCCTGTCAGGTTGCCTCCTTTTTTCATTACATTGTTTCTGATTTATTCTTTTTTTTTATTAATTTAAATCCGGGGAGATACAACCTGCATATACACAATGACGCATCGTGCCTGTCTCTCTCTAAACAATCCTCTCCCCCCCCCCCCCTTCTCCCCGATCACTTTTAAAGCATCGTCCTTCCCCCACCCTGACCTAGAACTCCAGCTTCAGTGGATATCTATTCTCCTCTACGATCCAGTTTTATTCCCAACTCCGAAGCGCCACTGGTCCACCAGGCCCATCACCGAGTATCCATTCTTCGGACTCTCAATTGACTTTATGTCCGCGTGACAGAGTTTTTGCCATCCACCAAAGATTCAACCTTGGAATCAATTATATTCAATTTCCTTCTGGTCAGTGCACCAAGGAACCTGTGCCAGACCTCACCGCCACATCATGTCTTCCTCCCGATCAACCGGAAAACGTCTCCCCATCAGTTGCCAGGCATGTCGAACCAGAAAGATCCGCTGTTCCCGCGATGGCCGTCCATGCCAGACCTGTGTGCGCCGCGGACTAGGTGCGGAGGATTGCATCTATCTCGGCCAGCCACGTCTCTCAACCGAACAGTCCCAGTCCTCCACAGATCCCAATGTCCAGAATGAACTACTGGCCCGGATCCGCAATCTGGAAGCCCTTCTCCAGAAGCAGGTAAGCTCACAAGCTGGCACCCCCGTTGCTGGCTCTCAGTCCCCACTGGGGGCTCTCAGTGCGACAGGCAGCTTGTCTGAGTCTGATGTTGGCGCGGGACTGGACTGGGATTTGCGCAGTACCATGCTGGGCAACGTTGGCACCTTGCATACGTCACCTTCAGGTCATGTTCGTTATGTGCCACTTGCTTCACAGTGGGAATCTGTTGTTGCAAAGAGCCCCGCTGCGGGGTGTTTGCGGGATTCCGAGTCCGATATTGTTGACGACGATGATCTGCAGATCCCATTAGCTCGAAATGGGAGTGTATCCCGGGCTGAGCTGTTGGCCTTGCTACCACCAGGTCGGTACTGTGATAACCTGAAAGAGGTTTACTTCCGTGTCTTCTCTCCGGTAGGTTTTGACTAGGATACCACCTCAAACATCTAAGATGACTCGAATAGCTAACTCAATCTTGTATCGTTATAGGTCTTCCATATTCTACATGACTTGACTTTTGAAGCCGAGTATCAACAGTTTTGCCATGACCCTGGCAGTGTGTCTACTTCATGGCTCGCTCTTCTGTTTGCTATTCTAGCTATCGCAGTCAGTGCACTAGAAGACGATGACCCTTTGCTATCCGACCTTGGCCGGGAAAGAACGGTTAGTCGAAACATCAAGGTGCTCTCAGCACGATACCGATCCGCCGCACTACGATGCCTAGCTGCAGATGGGGTGATGACTCGTCATTCTATCAACTCGCTTCAATCATTAGTACTCATCAACTACGCCCGGCTTCATCGCGGCCTACCCTTCTGGACACTACTTGGATTCACTCACCACGTTGCCATCTCCATGGGATGTCACCTTGATCCAGAGAGATTCGTTCTCGGACCCATCGAGCGCGAAGAGCGACGACGAGTATGGGCAGGACTCATGATGCTTTACACTATCCACAACACATCATTCGGCAGTCTAGACCAACAACTCATCAACCAAGACGTCCGAATGCCAGCGGATGTCGACGACATCGACCTTCTCACCACACCAAACATCACCTCCGACCCATCCTCATCTCCTTCCTCAAACCGACCTACACAAATGACCTACCTCCTCCTCAGCCACCGCCTATACAAGATCTCCACCAAAATCTGCGAAACCATCTTCACCTACCCGCAAGTCTCCAGATTCACCATTGCACAACTCGAAGCCGAGCTCATGTCCGTTCGCGATCTATGCGATTCCCGATACTCACTCGATAACGGAGAGCAATTACCCGTACACCACCAAGCCAACCTCAACATCCTATACAGCCAAATCCACCAACTCCTCCTCCTTCTCCTCCGTCCCAATCTCTGCCGTTTCATCCAAGGCGAAATCACGCCCGAGACCTGCGAATCCCGAGCCAAGTGCATGGCCTCCGCCAAAGCCTCGCTTGCCATCTTCCAGACACTCTTGGAGTCTTCACAATTCGCCCCTTACAAGTGGTACACTAGTGGACTGGGCAGTTTCAACGCCTTCCACGCCGCAGTTGTGTTAGCGGTCGGACTCCTGAACCCGGAGAACGAGGCAGAATTTGACGAGATCAAAGAAACCTTGAGCAAGGCACTGGACATGTTCGCCTCGCTTTCTGTTCGAAGTATCTTCTGCAGCAAAGCAGTTCCAGTCGTTCGACAGATCATGTACGTTTTTGCTTCCTTGGCTCTTTACTAGACAACTGAAGCATTCCTGAACTAACCTGATTCCCTTTCTTTAGTGAAATCACATCAACACAGTACCACCAAGCAAAACTCCAATCCCAAACCCAACAAACTCAAGCCCAAATGTTCGCGACATTACCACCTTCTCTCTCGACCGTCAGCATGTCTGATAGCTACATCCTGCCACACTCTCAATCACAATCACCTGTACCGACTGTGGCGTCTACTACGAGCGATCACACAATGCAGACCGGATTCGCGATTAATTTGCACCCCCAGCATTGGATGGGTCCTACTTCTGTGCCGTGGGATACAATGGGTTCTTCGATGCAGTATGCATATGGGTCTGATGTGGCCTGAACAATTACTTTTTTCTACTTCCGGGTCTTGTTCTCTACTGCTTTCATTATTATAGACATTTTTGGTTGGTGTGGTTTTCTCTGTTTTCTTTTTGGGAGGCACTTTCGGGGAAAATTTCTGGGTGTTTTGTGTTGTTTTCGCTGGATGGTTTGGGAGGTTGGGTTTGAATTTGGGATTTTATTGACGATACCATGAGGAATGAACAAAATAATGGAATTGAAGTAACTCTTTATTTTATTTGGAATAAGATTTATTGTAATAGACTTGTGGGGATGGCCAATATATTAAACCTTAATGTTGGATCATCGTACAGTTCTAGTGCTGGAAAGATGACCAGTTGATAAGAGAAAGGGGGGGGATTTAGAGACATCTGGATCCTCCTACATTAACCACCTACGTGCTCTCCTGCACCTCAGTTGACGGCTTCCTTGATTCGGATACGCATGACTTCCAAGGTTTGATCAGCGATATCTAATTTAGCAGCTGTCAGAAATTAGCCACACAGAAGAAGCATCATGCAAACATAGTTATGATCGGCATTTTCGTGGATGTTTAGAAAAGCCTAGACGCAGGTCTATCGTGGAGCCAGACCTTGTTTCTCTCATCTTTGGCAAGACTGGCAGTTCTCCCGAGATCACGACTAGTCTGGCCATCGCTTCGCTTTCCGAATGCCTTTCAAGTTTGCAGAAAAGCGCCGAAAAGCGTGGTATCTTTGCTCCTGTTTAAACAACACGGTGGTCATTCAATGTATCTGCCTATTCCCCTACACACAAACTGAGGGGTAAATCGTTTTATCTTATTTTATCTTGTTTTCGATATTGTTTCCATATCTCATTATACCCTCGGTTACAAGCGCTTTGATACCAAGAATAGCCACTCTTTAAAGGCCAGAGTCTAAAACAATGTAGATGTTACACGGCCAAATAAATGATTCAAATGTTCCTTGACTCATTTGGTAACTAGGGCAGGACAGTGTATCTTTCTACCTCGAACCTTCTACAAGATCTGTTACACAGCTGCGACACCTCCCCGGTAGATATGCGAGGCAAAAACGTCATGCTGTAAAGTTCAGGCCGCGTCTACATGGTGGTGCTGTCATTTGTCACCACTGTATCACGCTGCAGGGACAAGCCCCATCATGGCAGAGACTGCCCGTAGACGGATAAGCAAATAGCAGGGGACAAAAATGCCTACGACAAACTGCCTCAGAATTATTTTTGGCAATTTTCCTGAAATTTGAAAAAAAAAAGAGACAAAAACCGAAGCAAAAATCAGGCGCTTAGGCTTAAACATACCGGTTTCAGCCCTTCCCTCAAGCCCCGTCGAACTAGGATCCACATGGTGCACATCGATAGGATCCTCTGCTCGCTGAAAGAAAAATAGAAAAGACACTGACGTCATGGGCAACACAACCCCCGATAACCGCGCGTGGGAGATTGAGAAATTTCAAAGCGGACGATGAAGTGGCGGTCGCATTTCAAGTGGCTGTGGAGGAGTTTATTGTCTGAAGTGTTTTAGTATGGGAGTGTCATCTTATGCTTGCAGATGTGAAATGGATGGTGATGGGCGATCTGGGGAGGATTCTGATCTGGGCGCTGCCATGGATTTCGGGCAGCCAAAAGACTAAAGTGGAGACATTTCCCACGTTCTGTAGGGTTTCGTGTTGATGCAGTAATATCCAACATGCATTCTATAGGCTTTTTACATGACGAATCTGCCTTGCAATCTCTGAGGCGAAACCGTGGATTGGATGGCGGGAAGGAAGTGAGAACCTTGGAACACTCAACATCTCTAGTACTGTGTACTTTGGATTCATCAAAACATCAAAACATCAAAACATCAAAACATCACTTGGAATTCTTATTTCACATGCCATTACTTCGTATTGTAAATCGCCTTAGAAACTCGACCACTTCTCTCGTCTTCCGTCTCTACCTTTCCGTTACCATCTTATTCCTACTCTTTGCTCTCTTCTCTTTTCTTTGTCCCTTCTCCTACCTTCTACCATAATCTTCCCTTTCCTTTTACTTTACGCTCCACACGCTCCCGTCACAACCTTTATCGATCCCCCACATTGTTGCTAGAGCGTTGCCTGTCGATCAACAATCAAGCCTGGTCACTGAGAAACCCCACCAAAAAAGCCAGAAAAACAGAATAAAAAAGAAAACCCCAGCAAAAAAAAAGCATCGGACGAGCCTCAGTCTGACAAAGAGGCTCCGCTACGTTGCCCTGCGAGGGTTTTGTCATTGAGAATCTTGCCTTCCATTGCCTTCTGGAAGCCAAGTTCCAATCGGATCCTTCGACCTGTGCCCGCCCCGTATTCCTACCGGCATTCATACGCTAGTCGATCACAGCCCTGCTCGTCTCCCCCCACTTACCTGCGCCCCTTCCAATTCCCTGCATTGCATCTTTCCTCCCGCTTTTGCCCCTCTTCATCTCTACTGTCCCTCCTGCAAATTTCATCCTTTTCTCGTATCGTCTCATCTTCTAACCCATACACACACCCTCATTTGAATACCCCTCACCCATCCTCTGTGAGCTATGTCCACGTACGCCTACAGAGAGCGTGAGCGCGACCGCGACTATGACAGCCGCAACGTCACCATCAAACGTTACGTCATACCATCGGAGGACAGAGAAGAGCGCCGAGAATTTATGATGACCCGAGACGATGATTACGGGAACCACGAGTTGATCACTCGGCGCAAGACTGAACGCGATGAGCCTTTCACGATTTCACGATACGAGAGAGACGTCGAGTACGATATGCCAGTTCGTCGTTATGAGAGGGAAACTATTGAACGTGAGTCGACCGATTCCCAAGCTTCTTCTTCGTCCCTGGCTCCTTCCCACCACCGCCCCAGGCTAGTGGAAGATCCTCCTGGAAGGCTCTATGGACAACATCTACGGCCCCCTAGTCCCATTCATCAACTCACACCTCGTCATCATCCAGCCCGATATGTTAGCCCGCGCCATTCCGAGTTCGAAGTAGACGAGGAGTACTACCACCGCCGTGTTGATGACCGCCATTCTCGCCGGGATGTAAGCCCAGGCGATTCGGTCTCACAGGCTAGCCGTCGCCGTGGTCGAACTGACTACGGCAGCGACGACGAATATTACTATCACGAAGAAACTCGTACATACGATGACGACCACCCCCATCGTCGCCGCCACCTAGCGGAAGGTGCCTTGGTTGGTGCAGGTGCAGCAGAGCTTTTTCGTAGCCACCGCAAGCGTGAAGGTGATGAAGTGAGCCATGGCATGAACCATGCTATGAAGACAGCTGGTGCTGGCGCATTGGGTGCCGTAGCTGTCAATGCTGCTTCACATGTCCGCGACTACTACCGCAGCAAGAGTCGCAGTCGACACCGTGCTCGCTCATTTGATGATGAACGTTCTTATCGCCATAGTCACCACAGCCATGGCCGTCGCAGCCGAAGCCGCAGCCGATCTCACTCTCATTCCCGGGCCAAGACCCTCATGGAGGTCGGCTTGGGTGCTGCAGCGATCGCCGCCGGTGTTGCCGCTTTGCGAAGCAAGAAGACATCGGATGAGCAACGTCCCAGCCGCTCTCGAACCCGTTCTCGTTCTCGAGCTCGCAGCTCTACCCGCACTACTGAGAAAGATAGCGCTAAAAGCGTGTCTGATCGTAACAAGCACATTGCGGGAGCTGGTCTAGCCGGGGCCGCTGTTGCAGGACTCGTTGAGCACCACCGAAGCAAATCTCGCTCTCGCAAGGGTGAGCGCTCGCATAGCCGACTCAGACAGGCGCTCCCTGTGCTTGCCGCTGGTCTAGGAACCGCCGCTGCTACCGGAATTTGGGAGAAAAGGAAGGCCGAGAAAGAAGGAAAGGAGAGCAAAAGTCGCGGAACAAGCCGATCCGGCAGATCACGCAGCCGTGGAGCTCCTGATGCCGCCTACCCTGATCCTACCCGCGACTCTGCGGGTCTGATCGAATACGGAAGGGACCCCGTAACCGGTAGCATTCCTGCTGAGCACTACTATGGTGCCCCAGCCGGTGCTGATGTTGCCTACTACTCCGATGAGGGCCAATACAACGGCCGTCGGAGCCGAAGCCGGAGCCGCAGCCGTGGTGTTCGTGACAATGATAGCTCTTCCGGCTCAGAGTCACGCCGTCGGCACAGAAAGCACCGTAGCCGCTCGCGGGACATTGCGGGAGCCGCACTGGGTGCTGGGGGCCTAGGATACGTTGCTCATAAGTACTCCCAATCTCGAGAGCGCAAGAAGGCCGAACAGGAAGATGACAGGGCTCGTAAGTGTGTTGAACTCCTGCCAAACAGATGAGAAGGTTGCTTTATTAACAGACGGACAGGGCATAATCATGGCCCTCACAATGATCCATACGAGGACAATTATGATCCGTCCCCCTATCCTCCTTCTTCTGGGAACCCCAAGTACCAAGAGCCTCCTGTGAATTATTATCCCAACACCAATCAATTCCCCCCACCCCCATCAACTACCAACTTGAATGCTACTCCATCGCCTAATCCCCATGGATACAACAACCCTAATTCATACAACCCCGCGGACTACCCTCACCCCCCCGGTGCGGCACCCCAATCCCAGGAACAACCGTACAACTATGGAGCGCCAGGCCCAGGGACCGAGCAATACGCCCCGCGGCCGCGGAGAGCCGATGATAATGTGAGTGCCCTGTCGGGCTCCACTTTACCCACTGATCACCACACGGACGATGGTGGGTCAAAGGAAATTGACGGCAAGGACAAACAAAACTGATATACTGCCCTGCAGGTCTAGCCTTATCACGCCAACTAGCCAAATCAAAGTCCGTACAGCGATCCAGCAGTCATAGCCCACCTCCTTCGTCGAAATCTGTTTCTTTCAACCTGGATTCGGAGGACAACCAGCTCGAAGATCGTGGCTACGAGACTGACGATAGTCAATCGATAATCAGTAACGGACGCCATTCTCATCGCCATAGACTCCAACGCCGACGCTCGTCTTCTGTGCCTTATTCGCCTGTATCCGATTCTGCTTCTGCTTCTGCTTCCTTTACCCATCCCCGTGGTCACCGCCACCGTCATAAACACCACTCTCATCACAATTCATCAGCACGTCAAAACTATTACAAAAAACCAGAGCAGGACTCCTCCAACTCGACGATTGAGCTACCCGAGCGATTTGATAGACATGGTCATCGTCTCCTAAAAGAAAAAGAGGATGACCCGGCCACTGCAAAGATCGAAGATTTTATCAATCGGGTTGCAAAGGTCTTGTTTTAAACTACTGCTGGAGTTTCGGTTCTGGATAAACAAAAAAAAACCAAGGATGGAGTTATGGTATGGGAGCCGATGATGCTCTCTTGCGCTTGGGATGGAGGTCTGATACCTATTCTTATTCTTGGCTCTTGATTTTTATGTTTTTGTTGTTTCCTTCGGTCGGCTCTTCGGCTTACGCCTTTTGATATTTTGCCTGTTATTTTTGTCCTGATTGATTAACTGTTTTTTATGACGACCTACATGTATGTCCGAGCTCAATGATTACGATTTATGACTTCTGAATGTCCTAGGATAGTACAATATTGTTTTTGTTCTTGTTGATTTCTGTTTTCTTATCTTACTTTGAAGAATCACATAATGCCAAATATCAATTTAGATCATCAACTGGTGGTTATGGTGAACCTTTCTAGTTTTGCGGCGCATATACTTTACTTCCAAACTGGCCTTCAAGATGGAAATTGTCTAAAGTGTGAGAAATTTGCAAAGAGGTTATGTACGCAAGATTTGAGTTCCCTTCATCCACATCCCATGTGGTCTAGTGGTTAGGATTGCCCGCTTTCACCGGGCCGGCCCGGGTTCAATTCCCGGCGTGGGAGCACATTCATTTCTTTTTTTGCATTTTCTTTTTTTGTTGAAAGAAATTTATTTAAACGATTTTTTTATTCAATTCTATGCTGTCTTCCACAGCTATACGTCCTCAGTAGCAAGGGAAGAAACGTGAAAAGATTTCAAATGTTCCCATGCTCAATCCATAGATGTCGTCACTTGACATGTGACTACAGCGTACAACAGTGTGATGTCGTTAGATTATGAATCTCACATCAATTGGACGAGGTGGTTAAAATAAAGAACCACCTTTCAAGCCGGGTTGCATTGCAATGTAGTACAAGTCCTTGGGTATACAGCACGATTGGCTTCCATATGCTAGATAGAATAACAATATTGAAAATTGTGATTAGATGTCAGCTGGATTGATACGAATTTTGAGCAGAGAAAGACTGACTGACTCTGATTCCAAGGTTTCTAGCAACACTAGACTATGTAAAATCCTTGCTGATATTCTACAAGTTCTAGGATCAATGGATTGAGAGTCAACTTCTGATTCTGGTTTGGTTTGTTAAGCCTTGCTGCGCCTTCCTGGCACAGGCGTGATTGCGATTCCTCAAGTGCTCTATGTGAGAAGTCATCTGTCTCGGTTACTAGTAACTATGTGAGGACCTCAATTGAATCGAATTTCTCTCACCGACTTTAGCACCACTAAAGTCAGTCTCACATATAACAAAAGCCTCGACAATATCAATGGATGACAGGAAATATACCGTGATGTATTTGTTCGTACTCACCATTTCTGACCGTACATAACACACAGAATGTAAGACAGTAAGACAGTAAGATCGATAGTACAGAGTATCTCGTATGTAATTTCCGACCCCAAGGATTTGCATGCCAAAAGTACCTCCAAAGTACGAAATACTAATGACACGTTCCATGACCCCAAAAGTTAACAAAAGCCAAGTACATCACCATCCCATCGCCAACCCCGATCTCCCAATAAGCATAACATCCACAAAAACGGCAAACGCAAAACAAGGGCCCCAAAAGAAGAAAAAGAAAAAAAAACCAATGTGAAACTCTGATTAGATTCTCCATGCACAAGCGAGCAACCAGAAATTAAAAATCTATCTAAACCATAACCATAACCAAAATTGAAATTGGTACTGGAATTCCCCGCGAAAACATTGAAGCAAGTAACCGTCCTCGTCCACCCGCCCCTCAACCTCATATCCCTTCGCCTCCATCACATCCAGGGCTTGAACGGCACGGCTAGAGCAACCTCGATGGAGTAACTGCATCCTGTCCACGTATGTACCATGTATGTGCTCCGTAGGTTGTACGGGAACTCCGTCTGTACATGCTCGGTAGGATGTACATACCCGGGCTTATTCGGCCAACGAGCTGGTCCTGATCATCGATCTCACAGATACCAATGAGGAGAATGTGATGAGTCGATTTGACGTTGACCAAATTGGCGTGTCGGTGGGGGTGGGTGGGTGATGGGGGCGGGCTAGTGGCGCCCTGACCTCTTCTCTTCTGGGGATTATTGTCCGATGAGCTCAGGGTTGGTTGGTTATAGGCTGTGCGTTGCGCACGGTACTTCTAATCTCTGATACTTGATTTGGGGGAGCAAGTTCTTGGCTCTGGAGGTTAGTGGGAGTGTAAGTGGTAAGTGGAAGAGAGATTGATGTGAGGCTTTGTGGAATACGGAGAAGAACCTTGGAAGAAGAAAGACCTAAAGAGTGCGTAACCTTACCATTACGGTGTTGCGAAATGTAATGTACTCATTGTATTTACAATGGTTACTGTATACGGATTACTCTTGTTTGCAACTTGGGGATGGGTGGGGCACGTGGATGGATCGCGTTCTTTCCCCCCCGTAACTTTCCATTCTACGGGGTTCGCTTATCGCGACCGGCGGTTTCGTCTGATTTCCCCCCCGTAAGGTTCCTTGGACTCGGGTCTGCTCTGAGATCAGAGATCAGAGATTAATATGATGGCACTTGGCATTGTGATATCAACTGGCAAATCCCTGCCCCAAAATCCCAGATTTTTCTCTGTTCTCCGAAAGAATACAGGTCCCACTCCGCACTTGAGGGGTAACCCATTGATGTATAGAGAAGCAAGCGAGAACAAGCGTCAAAGTACGGAGAACCGGGCAGTTAATTCTCCTTTCGGAAGCAGTTTCGTCTACGGAGCACTTGCTGTATCACTTCAGCATTCTAGACGATCAGGTTTTTTTTTTTTTTGGTCTTTTCTCACAAAGGTTAGGGTCGGAGATCGGAGCTTCGAGGTACCCGCGCATGCAGTTTGCGATCTAGTACGTTTACATTAACCGATCTTGGCACAATTCTTTCATTGCTTTGTCCTAGGCTTTCCGAAGAACAACCACCAAACAATTGATGCACAGTCACAAAGAAAGTAAGAGTCTCCAGGAGCAATGTTTGCTCGAAATCGAGATCTACCCGGCTTCAACCGATGCCAGCAGCCGAGTGCTTTACGCAGCGTGGTCACCCACATCACCATATCCTTGGAACCCAAGCCAATGGGTCAGCTACCGACATTGGTACTGGACTTTTGACAAACAGCTTAGTCCAGTTTGGAATTGATACGAGAGATGAAGGTCAAAAAAAGGAAAAAGGGGGGGCCAATGCTACAGTCACACTCCGCCTCACTCTAATTCGAGGATCATAATTTCTTCTGGTACTTTTGTTGACAGGCTTTCCAAGTCGGACCACTAGTACCAACGCCTGAGCCCTGACTTCATATCTTCACAAGAGCGGCCCGCCATGTGGCGCTGTGACGAGGTCATGCCCGGGGAGAGGATCGAAATAGGAATAGTTCGTACTTTTGTAAAGCCACCCATGCGCTTCCGACGATGTGAAAAAGGGAGAGTAAAAGGTGCGTATTCTTAAGCGCTGGGTGGTTTTTCTTCTGGAATGGTATCAAACCACAGCGCTGGGTCGGGATGGGAGAAAGGGAGGAAAGACCAGCGGTTCCAGCCCAGGAACGACTTGCGTGAATCCTGTACCCGCGGGCTTGGACTTGGAATCCTCGGCTGGCCTTAGTGTGCCCTTGGGCCGGGTTGGAGGATTTGACTTTGAACGACTCTCCACTTTGCGCTTCGGCAGGCACGGATGAATTGAACCTTTGGAATGAAATAAAGGGTAAAAAAAAATACCAACCAGGGAAGAGCGCGGGCGCTTCCTGTGAAATTACCACCCTCAAGTGGTGTGATGGATGGGCAGCAAGATCCCGATTGTCCAACTCGGATGATCTTTGTCTCAAGGTTTTCTTTTGCTTTGAATTCTGCACCTCAAACTTGAAATCTTGATATTGTACAGACTCCCCCGCGAGGGCGCCTGCAAGATCCCCGATTCAGTCGGATTCGTGGATTCCCAGACAGGTTCTAGGTTGAGTTTTGGTTCCCCTTGCAGGAGAGTGAACAGACCATCCGCTCCTATCAGCCTCAATCTTTGATCTTGGTTTGCTGATTCTTCACGGTCGGCTCGAGGGGCCAGACAAAGTGTTTACGTGTAAGGAGGCTCTTTGATATGCAGAAGTCTTCATATCTCACCTGGGTATTTCAAGGGTGAGTCAGTAATTTAAAATAAATGCGTCATAACGTTCGAATTGATGTAAACGGCAGCCACAAAGCCTAGACTTACCTACATGGTACTTTTCATCCTACTAGTGTACTCCAGACCTCATGTCCCCAACCTCAGAGGCCAAAATCCTGAACCAAAACGGCAAATGAGGTGCTCATGATGAAAGATCTGTTCAATGTTTTCAGCCACATGGACTATGGTCCACGTGGATACGATACATCTTATTGATCATCCTATAAGATCAATTACCCAGGTAATATATGCTGAAACTCATGGGACTGTGCACTGTGCACTATGGGGTATCATATCAGGTCCGTGGGACATGTCAACTCCAACGTCTGTGCTCAAACAAGGCAACAGAAACAACAGAAAAAGAAAACTGCAACATTGAAAATTGTATGTAGGTTGTGCGTCAGATCCTACCAAACAGAGCGCGAGAGTTCCTGCGCTGGCCAGATTCAATACATATCACATTTTCAAGTGGAGATGAAACCGTATTTAAGCGGAGCTACACGACCGTGTTAGCTGCAAGAAATCAAGGAGAGAAAATGTGGCTTTGGACTGAAAATTGAGCACGACGAAGACACGTGAAATGGAAGGATCAATGACTTACTTGGATGGTTTCGTTATTTTTTTTAAGGGACTGATTTATGTATGCATTTCAATGTTGGGGAAGTTTGTCTCCCATGCACTCTACTGGAACGAGTACATTCCGCCTCAATAATTACGGAATACAAACCTCGGCCGATCCCGCTGTCATATAAAAAGAAAAAAGAAAAAACAATTAACAATTAACAAATGACAAATGACAAATGAAACAAAGGAAATGCAAATCTCGCC